TGTGAACAGAACCTGAAGTCTTCTAAAAATCATGATTTTTTTCCATTAACAAAATGCAAAAAAATTGCATTTGGAACAACTGAAAGTTTTCAATACATTCGCAAAAACCAACCCCATTTTGTTCAACTAAATTGTTCATAACTTTTGAACTTCTTTCTTTGCGAAATTGCCCGAAACAGTTAATTAAGGTGGTCCCAGAGGTACCCGGATCAACAAAGAAAACACAAAAATTTTCGAAAAAAAATTATTAATTTTCCAACATAATATCCATTCAGTTTTTTACACATTTCCAGCGATGTTCAATAAGTTTGATGCCGTTTTTATAATAAGAACTGTCTGGTTCCTCCAAACAGCCATTAAGTGCAAACATCACATTGTTGGAAAATCTTTGACCACTGAGCCATTTTTGCAAATTTAGGAAAAGAAAATAATCCGAGAGGGCTAAATCTGGCGGATAGGGTGCATGAGGTAGCTATTCAAACTTTAATTCGTCAATTCTGATCATTGCGATAATGGATTTATGAGCTGGTGCATTGTTTTGATGAAACCACACTTTTTTCTTAGCCAAATGCGGCTGTTTTTGCTTGATTTCTTCACTCAAACGTTGCAATAAGTTCACAAAATACTCGCCGTTGATAGTTTTACCTTTTTTAAGATAGTCATTAAAAATTATCCCACGCACATATCAAAAAACCGATGCTATAACCTTGCCTGCAGATGAAACGGTCTCCGCCTTCTCCTTTGGATCCAGTTCTCCCTGCCTGGAAAAGGCGTAGAATCGACCATAACTGAATGGATCTATGCCATGCTGGTAAACAGAACTACAACTACGACTTTTCAAGGCTCAGGATCGCCAGGGGCTACCCTGCGTATGCTGATGACCTTATGACCTTGGCAAGGTCCACGTCGAAAAGGGTAGCGTGTAATATCCTCCAAAGTACGATGGACGTGGTTCACAGTTGGTGCCAGAGGGAGCAGATGTCTATCAACCCCAGCAAAATCTTGATAATCCCCTTCAGCAGGAGGAGAAAGTTGAACGATTTAACGCCATTTGTCCTCAATGGTGAGGTCATTCCATTTGGAATGGAAGTGAAATATTTTGGCATTGTCATTTATAAAAAACTCACCTGGAATGCTCATTTGGAAAAAGTTTTACACAAATCCAGACTGTCCCTATGGACATGTCGAAGGATTTGTGGTAAAACTTGGGACCTAACAAATCCATTGGATATATGTGATGATTGATTGTCAAAGCAATGATCACTTACGGAGCAATTGCCTGGTAACCGAAGGCTTTACAGAAAACGGCTCAGACGAAGCTCTCTGGCTCACAGACACAGGCTTGTCTGGCTATCTATGGTGCCATCAATACCACACCGTCAGCGGCCATGGAGATCCTTTTAGAACTACCTCCGTGTTTCTGGAGAGAGAGGCTAGATGAACTGCGTATAGACTAGTGCACATCGCCAATTGCATAAAACAATCTAATGCAGTGTACACTAGACTGCTGGCTGACACTGGAAGTCACAGCATTATAGGAATGACCTCTGACATTATCCCTCCAACTATCAACTACGAACTGCCTTATAAAGTACTTTTCCCGAGTAGAGAGGACTGGATCCTCCAGAAGAAGGAAATATTAAGAGCAGATAGTTGTTGGTTCACAGATAGATCAAAAACACCTTCAGGTCCTGGTGCAGGTGTTTTCAGTTGCAGACCCAGTACAGAGATATCAAACTGCTTAGGGACCTATGTGACTGTATTTCAAGCGGAAACTTCGCTAAACACTCAATTGAAACATCTTCAAAACACTGTTTTTGCTCTAGTGCGAGCAAACGCGGCACCCATCTGGCACACATCTTTCTCATGTCCAAATTTTCAGATAATATACGATGTACCGCACTACTAAGTATGCTAGCTTGCGCACTTTCAATCGACGATCATTCAGCACCACTTTTTGAATTTTCTTCACTGTTTCTGGAATCGTCACCTCATTTGGTCGACCACTGCGATGCTTGTCTTGGCAGCTCGTACACCCTCGTCTAAACTCTGCTACCCAATATTTTACTATTGTAAACGAAGGAAGAGACTCACCCAGAGTAAAATTCAGGCTGAAGCCTTTCAAATAAAAGTATTGTACCACATAACAATGACCAATTTTCTCCATTTTCACTAATCCACCGAAAACTTTTGTTATTGATGGCTGCCAAACAAATACTAAACAACGCAGCGTCTTCCAACTTGAAACAAACAACTACCGCCGTCTCTAGGTCAAGCTGGATTCTCCGGGGACCATCCTGGTACTCTGGGTAAAATTACAAATCGAATGACACCTCAACAATAATTTTCGGTGAAGTCGAACTCAAATTTTGCTAAATTGAACTCATGAACTAGACTATAACTTTTCTCCCATCGACTACATCGTTATCAACAAATCAATAGCAAAAAATTATCGAAGTAGGAGTTTTTGGTTATTATTACTTTAAGCATTCCCAAATTGACGATTCTGACAAGACAGAGACTCGAATAGAAAAAGATATTTGAATTTTTGTGATTTTCAACCTGAATATTAAGAGAGAGTAGAAGTGGCTTTGAAAGAGGCCTTTTACCATATAGTTACTAGTCTGTTAGAAGCTCAAGATTGATCGAACTAAAATAAATAAATAATGAACATGTCTTTTCCTAGAGCCAAACGTTTTGAAACTAGAGTATCAGGTGAGATATCATTTTTTCTATGACTATTGAAAAAAAACTTTCTACTTGTATTTGAATTATTTTCATTAGCAAGTTGTTGTACCTTGTGAATTCGACTACTTCAGAATGGCCTAAGAAGCTTTATGTCACACTGATTCGTAAGAAGCTTCGTGGAGTAGTATTTAACTCCGGGTTATAAATCAATGATCGTGGTTTAAATCAAACCGATTGTATTTTTCACTCCCACTCAATTTTCAAACTATCTGAAAGTAAATGAAACTACGGAAATAAAAAATATTTGTGAATACTTTCTCTGGCTTGCTTCTTATAAAATTCATTGATATTACTATAATTAGAAGTATCCTTTCCAAAATTAATCTTACATTGAAATATTCTTGTTGTAAGCCATAGAAAAAAATTCACTATTCTACACAAAAAAATGAACAGCATTCTTTTGTGGGCAGTGGAAGCCAATGACAAAATTAAGGTTAATAAGGTTAACACCTTTACACGTGTTTCGATCACCTAGTGATCATCTTCAAGAGGAAGATTGAACTATTCAATATTCCTCTTGAAGATGATCTCTTGGTGATCGAAACACGTGTCGAGGTGTTAAAATAACGGTTTGGTGTTGGGGAAAAAACTCCAGTAATTTGATACCCATATTAAGGTAGTTGTGAAAAAATATGTAATCCGCCATTTATAATTTATTAAATTGTATTGCCATCAAAACTAAATAGGTGTACCAAATATCAGATCAATTTGTCAAACGTTTAATAAAAATATCACTTCCTATTGAGATTTTCGAGATAAAAGAAATATGACGTTAAAAAAATTAAGAAAATGTACATGGATTTCCAAAATTTTCAATTTTTTAATTTTTATTATATATTGTCGTTTGTTTCACCTTACACCGACAAATATTTATATAGATGACGTTATAGTGCTATATATATTTTACCATTGCGTAATAAAATTTATATACGATCACATAGCCAAAAAATATAAACGGTTTTCTTTAAAATTCTCGACTTGGATTCATTTCCGGTTAACCCTGAATAAATCTTCAAGTGTTTCAACATTGAAAGTATCGGCTTTGATGAACTATACCTTCATTCCGAATTTCAAATTTTTTACCTCATGAACAACTGATTGGCACCGTGAACAATAATTTCGTTGAGAAAAGACGATGTTTCGCCATCATTCCAGATGGCATTATCAAGATTTGTTATCGCTCGTTCTTTGTGAGAGGTATTTCACTCTTCGTGAGGTTTTGCCAAGTTTGAAGAGAGCGCAAAAACTGTGCCTGAAGCAGGTGTTCTTAAGAAAACACACAGTCAAATATGAATTCCAAGGAATGAAAAATAGGTAGTTGAAAGGGTATTAATCCGCCGACAAAAACAAAACTTTACAATATTTCTCTCAGTGATGCTTTTCTTAAAACATTTTTTCCCAAGTTGAAGATTTACATAAAAACTTGATGATTTAAAGAATGGGCTGATTTCATGAAAGTAGAATCGAAGGAAATGAACACTCGAATCGCCGAGCGACGACTGAATTATGAAAAACTTATGGTGAGATAAAACGAAGCGGGATTTAGTATTCGTGGAGTTCACTTCTTTTGAAAAGGCATTTAACGTTCGGCATTTAACGTTGATAAAAAAAATTCTCTACTGGACTATTATTTTTTTTTAATATTTCTCATGAAACTAGAGTTCCCATGAAATTTCATATGTTTTTCGCAATAGGTCTACATATTTGATATATGTTCCCAATATTTACAATACAACAAAAATCTCGGTAGGTAGAATTGTTACCTCTGGCGTAAAATGAATCTATTGAAAACACTTTTCCCACACCTGAACAAAAATACGGTCTCTCGACTCGCGTTTCGATAGCCAAGTTAGCATCATCAGGAGATTACTGAAACTAAAACTTAGGGTATGTTAGTGTTTTTATATGTATGTGAACTAACCTTTACCCACCGCTATTCTATGAACAACGACAACAGTCCTATTTCCAACAGTCGATCTTATGCGTAGTAATCTAAGGTAAAAACCAGGTAAAATTAGAAAATGTAAGAGATAGTCATCAACAAATGAATAGAGTGAAATATATAAACAATATGACAGAAATTTGGGTGGGTTATAGATACCAAATCAGGTATAACGGTTGCTAAAGGTTAGTCCACACTAACATACCGTAGATTTTAGTTTCACAGTCTATTTCAAGAATAAGGTAAAGTAAATTTTCACAACACAAAGACCTCATAGAAGCTAATTTATTAAAATATCTCCCAATGTATAAATTCGGTCAGGATCACCTTGTATTGTTTTTCGGAAACGTAAGATCGCATGGAGGTGTCATAATAATCCAACCGCGAAACAGTTCAAAGGTATATACATGAAAATTGTGAGCCATTGAGGGATAGCTCTGGTGGAAATGGTATACCTTTCCAACAAATATCTATATTGAATTGTTTATCTGCCATACAAAGATTAAATAAAACTACAAATAATATTAAATATAAATGAAGGTAATCATGTTATCATGTTGTTAAAATAAATTACTTTTTTTCTATTGAAAAAATTAAGTGTGAAAATTCATGTGTTCTTAACAAATTGTTCATTGAATAAATAAAGAGAAAATTGTTTTTTTTTTGTTGAAGTGTCCGTACCCCTTTCATTCCACATTTTTTCAGAAACTGACAGTTCATCTGCAGTAGTTTTTGAGATATACTCTAAAAACTAACCCACGTATTTGCTTGCGAAACTTTTTTAAAATATTCAAATACTCTGTATTTGTATCATACCAATGATTATTTTTTATGTGGGCCCACTGAACTAATGTGAAACGGCACTTGTTAACTAGACCGAACGAAACAATTTTTTTTCAGATATCAATGTATCTCCAGCCGACTATGATCTGCGAGTTGATCCCGATAACACTGTTCGTTTCGGAACTTGTCCCAGATTTCATAACACAGTTCCCAAAGAAGGACCCCCAGTGGAATGTTCTCGCCCGGTAAGTTCCAACAGTTAGCCAAAAATATTAATACAGTGTGACACACTTAGGATGAAAACACCATTGTGTTTTGATCATTTTTGAAAACAGAGATATGATTTTCGGTATAGGCGTGAAGCTTCATAGGTCGCACTTTTCGCAATACTTAGCCCAAGTAACAGCCTTAAACCTAGCCTACTGCGATTCTGCGAAAAGGGCAAATTGTCGATATTTTGCTTCGCGTTGATGGTACCGAAATAAGTCATTTGAAAAAGTTGCTTGTGAATCGATTTTGACCCTCCATATCGAATTTCAACCAAAAATTCGAATTTCATATTCAAGTCCGATTTTCAATTAATGGTTCTAAATAAGAAGCTACAAAAATGATGAATTCATTATAATGTAGGAATGGGAACGAAAAATCTAATATTCATCATGAAAACATTCATTCAATTGATTCTCGACTATTTTATCATTTCTGTAGCTTCTTATTCGGAACCATTAATTGAAAGTCGAACTTGTATATAGAAATTACAAAAAAAAAAGGGTTGAAATTCGGTATGTAGAGTCGAAATCGATTTTCAAGCAACTTTTCCAAATAACTCATTTCGGTATCTTCAAGGCAAAGCAAAATATCGAGAATTCGCCCTTTTCGCGGAATCACAGTGGGCTGGGGTCTCTCGGGCTGAGTATTGCGAAAAGTGTGGCCCGCCCATGCAGGTCCACGTCCACACCTGTACCAAAAATATAATGTCTGCTTCCAAAAATAACTAAAACATAGGGGTATCTTCATCTTAAGTGTGTCACACTGCATATTTCGAAAAAAAAGTTGACTAGACTTCATTTTTCCACTACCGTTCATGAGAAAATCCATTTTTGAAAACGCAAAATCGTATTAGTTCATCTACAATCTTTTTTGCTACAAAACAAATGGACCGATTTACATAATTTTCTATTCGTCTCCGCCCAGAATAGCGAAATAATTAATAAAACATTTGAAAAAAAAGAAAAAAACTAATACATGAAAATGAATGCAAAATCGTGTAAGTTACATCATTAATAACTCAAGAACGTAAGGACCGATTTTTGATTTGTTGAATCTGTCTATAGTTGGAATAACCAAATAATTGTTACAACGTTTGAAAAATAAAAAAGAATTATGGTTTTGATATGGTTATATATTTTCCACTTTTTATGTATTTGTATTTCTGAAACAAAACAAATTTCCTGCTGTGGATGAAAATGGCCTAGCAACACTAGCCGTGTTCGTATAACACCACTTTGTGTTCCACAAATATAATTTTAAAAGGTAATATAACTTAACACATCATTTATCAATTCTAAGACGGTACCGGGTCAACTATAGTTCAGTCTCGAAATAGAGTAATAAACCATCATTATGTATACAAAACGCATACTTGGGATTCATTGTTTCCACTCAGGCTATGGTTTTCACTTATGCTCACAGAAATATTTTAGGGGTTAAGTGGAAGAACAACGAAGTGGCTTTCATTGCTACCGAGTTGAACTTTCATTCTGAATGTATTCAACATTGATTTAACAATAGTAAAAACAAATGTATCTGAGAAAAATAGTGACGTCATTTTATATTTCGCATTAATTGGAGATCATGCTATTCTGAATAATTTTTTCATATCTTGTATTTTAAATTTAGAAATCAACATCATTACATTTTTTACCATCTTACTAACCTAGCCTGATCATTCTTCTTTTCTATTTTTAGACACAAAACCACAGAACATAAGAGTATTCGATCTATTCAGTAAACTCTTTCATTTGATATTTATATCATGAGGTTGCATAAAAAGCTAGTCCGCCATATTGGGTTCAGATTGACATCTTGTAATTGTATTCTTTTCAGCAAACCCTTTCAATTAATGCTCATATCATGAGGGTGTCATCCATATTAGATTTAGAGTTTTGTTATTTTGTTACGCATTGTCATCCAACATTTCAGCTTAATCTGTTGAGGATACATGCTTCAAAATTCAGTTACAAGATTTCAGTCGTTTAATGTTTAAAAATCTGTTTAAAATCTGTACAAACATACATAAAGTAAGCAACAGCAACTACCCTCCCTATTTTTTACAATGTCATGGTGGGTCGAGTGATACATCATTTGAAACGTCTCTTGTCCCTCTATTACCTCTGTATTTTTTTTAATTTGTTCATTCGTTATTGAGAAATTAAATGTTTTATTTAAGAAAAACTGAAAAGTCGCTGTCGTTCATTTTAATGAGGAAATCAACAACAAATAATATCAGTGGAAACGAAATCAACGGATAAATTGTTCAAAATGACCTCCACCTAGTTCCATACAATCTACTCTCGAAAGCGTTCCGAACATTATTCAAGATGTCCGGAGTCAGCAATGGGCATTCCCGAACAATTTTCGGTCGCAGGTCTTTTAGATTTGTAGGCTTCAGGTGTTCCCACAGAAAAAAGTCCATCAGTATGAGATTAGGTGATCTAGCTGGCCACTCTACTGTGTTCGTCCAAAAACTGTCTCACCCGAACCTCAAAATGTAGGGGTGCACCATCCTGGTGGAATGTTATTCATTTTCTACTGAATTGTCATAATGTACTAAAATTTGTGTAATCATAGGATCTACACAGTCTTGTGATAGATTTAAGTATGTGTTTCATTGATATCACCTTCAATGAAGAATGGTCCAACAATATGATTACCAAGAATACCGGCTCAGACAGTCAATTTTTGTGGAGTTTGTGAATGTGTTTCCATCACCAAATGAGAATTCACATCGCTCCAGTAACTACAATTATGTTTATTCACTTTGGGTTATTGGTCAATATCTCGCTGAACACCTCACAAAACTGAAGTCAAAAATCAGGATCATCTTCGTTTAATTCCTGAACTAGTCTTATTTTGAAAGGATGGAATTTGTATGCTTTCAAAATCCGAAAAACACTAGTTGCTGATACACCGGACGCTCTAGCTACTTGTCTGATAGATCGTCGATTATCCATTCATCCTAAAACTGCAACTTCAACTCCGTCATTTCTGACAGGATGGGATACTTCATGTTTTCTGTTGTGAACAGAACCTGAAGTTCGAAACTTATCCATTAAACTGTTGAACTTATTAATGACTCACGTTTTGGCCTATTTCGATAATAGGCTGCAACAATTTCAATTTTTTTCTTATGTAGAATAAACCATGTTGGAACATTGTGAACAAGGATGACTGAATAATAACTCGTGAAGAAGTGACAGTGGCCAACTATCTACTTTTTGTACTGCGACAACTAGATTCAACAAAAACTACCAGTGCAGGAAAACTAACAGTGTCGTCCATTTCAGAACGTTCGCTACTAATTAAATAAATTCTACAAATCTAGAAAACCCGCGACAGAGAATTGAAGACCTAAGTGGATAAAGGTGTTATGTCACAAAACTGAAGTTTTGAGTAAATAGTAATAAACTATCTTGATTTGGAACTTTTTTGTTTCATTTTTGCTTTTAGCTTGCGGTTTTTATTAAATGGGTATAGGTAATAATTATTTTCACATAGAGTTTTATGTACATTGCACCTTTATTTACCAAACTCAATATTAAAGTGAGGTTTGGTTTATATGGATAGAAGAATCAAGTATACTAATGTTTGTTTATTGCTTTTATAAAAATACACAAAAGCTGGTTATTAAAACATTTAACATGTTTTTCTCTACTTTTTTGGGTTGTCGATGTTGTTTTTCAAAATGTCCTCGTAAAACCATCTGTATTCCTCCTCAACAAATTTGATTTGCTCTTTTGAATTTTGTAGCTTATCAAGAGTTAAACCGCCTGTTTTCTGTGTGGGTCTAGTTGGTTTTACTTCACTTCTGTGAAGTACCTTTTTTATTTAAATCAACTAGACGAAATGGTGTATAATCAAGAAAACATGTTATAAAATAATAGTAGCCAAATTCGTTCACTTTAATCCATTTTACATCATCCCAAAGGTTAGTTTTGTCATTTAGAGTATTCTTTCGCTTTCTAAATAAATATAGTTTTTTTTATTATAAAAGTGGTAAAAAACATAGAAATTTTCATTTCTTTTTTCACTATTTTTTATACTTGATGATTACATAATGTCACGATATTGGCCAAAGTCCGTATCAGAATCAAAATAGCTATGATCTACTTCCGGGAAGTTGTGATCAATGATTTAAAAAGCAATTTAAAATTAAATATTCATATATTCTTATTCTGTTCGGAACACGAATCAGACCATACAATCAAATGATTTGTTTCTGGATATTCTTTCTTGAGCATTTTACAAAACCAAAAAGACACCTTGCAATTTTATTGCTGCCTCTATTGGCTACATCCTCAGTCCACGTGAAGAAATATGATTTCTGTCCCAAATAGGTAAAGTGTATCCCAAAATTGTATAGCCACATTTGACTTAAATAAAATGCTTTTGAGGTTGATAGCTTGGGCAGAGGCATAATTTGTTGCAAATCCATAGTGATGTAGACTATATTTTTGTTGGAAAGTGGGTTTTGCCTTTCAATTTTTCGAGATTCGAAAGCAAAGGTGTAGGTGACCAGCAGTATTTCCACCGGAATCGTATACGCTACACACATCGCTCTTGGGGTGACCAAATTAAAAGTTAAATCTTGTTTTGAATATATGACGATATATTTTGACCAAACACATGTTTTTTACACTCGTTTATGTACATATGGTGTATCTGCGTTACTTTAAGTAATGGGGATAAAAACTGTTTGTTTTCATTTTTATTGCATGAATAGTGTTTCTGTGATTTAACACTGTACGTCATTTCTCATACAACTGTTCGTGGGCAATATTTTCATTTTCACAAGTGTTGATCTCATTTTCATCTGCATCATTTTCAATTTCAGATACAGGAACTTCATTTAATTCATTTTCTACGTCTACATTATCTGCAGTAATTTTAGTATTAGTTTTTTGTCAAAAAATATTTTTCTTTACATTTTCTCGTTTCAAACAGATGGTATGGTACCTTTTTTATAATCATCATCAAAATCTGAATCTTTACTAGAATAATTCGGATTATCTGAAGGAAAAAACTCGTCACTAGATAATACGCATTCCTGCTCGTCGCTTTCTGCTATATCTAAAATTAAAGGTTCTTTTTAGCACTACCTGGAATGAAATAGTAAAAAATAAACAAACTAACATATCAAGCCTTTTGATGTGAATGGCTTTTGTGTACTCTCTTGAAAAAGCTGCTCACTATGTCCACTTTTTGTACATTTTTGTTGAATGTTTATAGTATTCGAACTGCATTGTACATCTACAAACAATAATGTATTGTTTCAAATTATAACACTTGAAAAACTAGGTATTCCAAATCTTACCTTTCTTCACAGAATCCAACTTTTGATTTTCACACAATATTCTAAGAATACGTTGGCCTCTATTCTCCATTATATTTAAAATATAAAACACAAATCAACTCACTAATTGTTCAAAATTATGTGGAGATACGATGCACGCAATTTATGAAACATACCCTCAAAAGTGACATGTCACTGCAACACAAATCGTGCTTAACAAACAACCGTACGTTTTTTACGAAATAAAGGTGTTATATCCTAGATTTGTGACATGACACTTTTATACACTAAACGGTGAGTATGATATGCGACATACCACTTTTATCAACTGGCAGCTTTTTCAAATATGTAGTTTTATATATGTATTACCTTATAAAAAGTTAGATTAGAACCTGGGGGCTCAAAAATCAAATAAAATCAATTTTTACAAAAATGTCACATAACACCTTTATCCACTTAGGTCTTCAATTGTTCGGGAATGTCCGGAAGATGGAGGTCATTTCGAACACTTTATCCGTTGATTGTGTTGCCATTGATATTACTTTCGTTGATTTCCTCAATGAAATGAGCGAGAGCGAATTTTCTTTTTTTTCTTGAATAAAACGTTCAACATTTAATTTCTCAATTATGATGTATCAATAATGATGTACCCACTCGAACTCCCATGGCATTGAAAAAAATAGGGGGGGTAGTCGCTGACCGCAGAGGAGTGAAGTTTCGGGTATAATTAGTCCCCCTAGAAATATAAATTGACGTGTTCTTTGAAATTTTCGATTACACGTCCATTTTTAACTCACATAGGGGTAAAGTTTTCGTTGGAACGTCCTGTATATTAGATGGACTGAAAAGTTCGTAGGCTAACACAGTATGAAATCCATGTGATTTTCAGATAACCCTGACCTCCAATAGACACGTCTGAAAATTTTCAGCTGTCGGATTATTAGTTTGTGGGATACAACATATCGAGTGGAGCAACTTTTGTCAGCTTGAAGAAAATGGATAAAAATGAATTTTGTGTATTAATAAATCATTGCTTTCGGCGAAAAAAAATACTCTTGAAACCAGCATTTTCGAGCTTTTTAAAATACAGTATATTTTTCAAGAACTTCAAATTCATACTCTTTTCAGAATTGTTGCAGTAAACTTGAGATGACCTGCTCAACGCCCAATGTTTCTAATAAACGAAGACAATCTAACACAGTGAGATCTGAATCTGTTCGTTCCTCCAGATTATCTTTTCCTTCTGAAAATGACGAGGTGAGTTCAAGCGAACATAGGGAAGATTGCCAAGAAAACATCAAAAATGACGAAGTCTTGTTGGACGTTATTGACAATCCACCCAAACCTCCAGGCTCACTAATTAGACAAAATTCTCTTGATAATGATACCCGAAGTTTAGCTAATTCAAAAGAGTCAAATACAATAGACAAGAAGAGGAAAATACAATCCAACGAGGTAAATAACCGAAATCAAATTGAAATACAAGAGAATGAAAGTGGTCAAGGTGGAGACGACCAAATACGGAAATGTGGTGGGAAAATGATCAAAATCAAAAAAGTCACAACTTTTCTGATCCCAGAAAATAAGGTGATGCTTATACCCTACAACGAAATTGCGAATGTCGTTTCCACTGCCATGAATGATCTACATGTTGAACTCCAAAATAAAAGAAGATCGGTCCTCAATGAAACTAATGAAAAAGTAGAGCACTTGATCTCAGAAATATATACTATGAATATTAGTTTTAAAAAAGACATCAAACGATTGACCGATTCAACTTCTGCAAATCTCATAAAACAGATAACAAACATTTTGAACGGTACAAATGGTAGCGTGTCTGGGCCCTCCGCAGATATTGATACTGAGCTGGAAGAAATTGAACGACTACCGGAGATTCAAGATGCCTCTTTCAATTATGAAAATATCTTCAGAGTGTTGTCTGAACAATTGCAAAATAGCAAGGATGAACTGGATGCTATAGGACAACAGATTGATGCCACCTTGGATACTCAAAGAAGGGTAAGTTGCACTTCAATTTTCGAGGGTCACTGTTCCATGGACGATTCCTGTTTTGAATTTTCGTTCAGAAAGACGAAATTAATTTCATTTATAAACAAAAAATGTGGCTTTCTCTGTTGATATTGTTAAGTAAAAGGAAATACGATTTTCTTTCAATTAGATAAACTCTTCTAGCAATCAAGATCAATTTTTGAAAACGTTTTCAAAAAACCCAAAACAACAAATCCAACCTGCCAAATTATCAGATATTTCCAGGTTTATTAGCCGTGATCTGCAGGTTTGTATAACTGAATTTTTTCTCTGCTACTGCGACAGTCATTAAAGATGATGTGGCAAAAGTCAAAGTGCTGCGATATTTATAATGGGACTAAATGTCGAACGGTCGGCTTCCTGATTACCTTACTAATTACCTGCCTGATTACTACCTGATTGATCTTACCCTTCTTCAATTATGGGGGAAATTTTTGTATTATGAAGTGCCGGAATCCATGTCTTGTTGATGTTCAGGCTCTCCTCCTTACGGTTGGAATCATACTTATTCTTGCGAATGAAGCATATCCTCGACGGAAAAAAGATATATCAAGACTCCGGGAAAGAGTCGTATCTGCGTATCTGCGAACTGAAAGGGCTACAAGAGGAAATGTGTCATCTGAAGAATGTGTTTCTGGGTATCAAATATAACAAGACCGAAATCAACCGAGCCATTTGATGACAGATGACACTGGAGCAAACGGTCAGAGGAAGAACTTTTCTGCCCTACATAAGCGGTGTCACTGACCGAAGTAGAAGGATCCCAGAAAAACATGGAGTTAGGGTCATTTACAAGCCCGCAAGAAAAATACGGAAGAGTCTCAAGTCAGCTAAAGACCACAAGGATTCGAAAACTACCCTAGGAGTATACCCAATACCGTGTAGTTGTGGTCGTTCCACATCGGAACCACGAAAAGGAGCATAAAATAAGTTATACTATGGCCAAACAGATAAATTGGCAATTGCAGAACACGTTCTCTCAAAGGGCAGCCATGACATTGCCTCTGATCTCACGCAAGTTCTTGATAAAAACAGAGGGTGCTATCCAAGACTATGACAGGCCATATAAATAGGGGAGATATGCCTGAGATGGCATACTTTTTTTCTATACTTAATTACTAGTAGCACCTTGAAGTTACAGAATTGGCAAGGAGTGAAATGAACACTTAAGACACTTATTTATTAAAACATAACTTTATTACTCCGAAAAACTTCATACTGTTTTTATACAAATTAAAAAAATCTTCATATGCCATCTCATCAACACAATTGTTGGTGAGATGACATAGTGTAAAACTGCTTACTAAAGTTAGCATATATCGCAAACCAATACTTTTGTTGCTTTAGATACGCCAGCGCATTCGGTCTCGGTCCATTTCAAACAAGTCTGACATCGTACCCATGTTTCTCCCGCACGGAAACGGGAATATTATTCGTTACAAAATATACATGCAACATCATCCTCCGAATCGCTACTATCCTTTTCAGATACTTCTTCAGGTATTACGACGTTTTTTGCAGCTCGGGTGGATTTCCTTAGTGCTTGCGCTTTCTTGTCAGCAACTAGCTGCTTGGCTAAGTCAATATCTGGCGTGGTATTAATAACTCCATATTTTCTTCTCTGTGACACTGACACTTTAGGTAATGATGATATTCATGCCACAGAAATACTTCCAACTTCTCTATTTTCATCAAAATCATCCTTATTACTCATTACACGTGATGGTCCTGGAACAGTGGAAACAACTTCTTCCGTCCGTTCCCGCTGGATACTTCGGCAGTAACATCGGCAGGGCAAAACATACATTTTGGAAAGACATTTGCATCAAAGGGGCAAATGAATGTTGAAGAAAAACCATTTGTTGCGTTTTTAACAGTGGCTGCTTTCATATATGCTGGGCTGAAAATATCTGCAAATGTATTACAGTCCGGCCTGGATGATTCTTCAACCATGTGGTGAGCTCTTAATTATAGTATGAACGAAAAGCCGAATGAAAACTCACGACCAAAGGCTGCACCCGATGGGTACAGTGTGGGGGGAAGCAAAACAGCACTATGCCACTTTTGCGTATAATTCAGTGTGACCCATTTTTAATGGAAACACCCCCCTAAAATTTGAAGTTGTAAACCGATATTAATATTTTTTTTTTAAATGTCAAGTACTAAAAGGTGTACCTTGGGACAAAATTTGAAATGTTTATTAAAGTTTCAGGGCATACTACGATATTTTTTCTTAGTCGAAAATCGGGATTATTTATTAGCGATTTTTTTATTGAAAAAATCACTACGCCACTGGATTTAGAGTGCCTCTAAACAGATGTGACCAAAATTTCATGAAAAAATATTCATTATTAACAAAGTTATGACAACTCAAAAATTCGAAAACTCACACAGCTAACAGTCACAAAAAACACCCTATATCAACAGATATAGCCATGAGAATATTTTTTTTATGATTTCAACAATAAAGTGCCGCCAGATGAAAAAAAAAACCAAATAGCTAAATATTTTCAATGAAAATAACGGAATTACATTCAAGTTTTCACGCAAATTAACTAAAACTAAGACCTAATATTTCAATTTAAATCTTAGTTGCCATGGAAATGATATTACAGTTTGACACTTGTGAAAGATTCAAGTGTACTATTGTCAACTTTATTCACCTTACATTTCTTCGAATTATTTTGTGTCATGGCTGCAAGATTGAGCGTAAGAGAGAAAATTGAAATTGTACGCCTTTCGGGAGATGGCGTAAGAAGTGCTAGAGAGGTTTGTAGAGTATTCAATGAGAGACATCCAGGTCGTCCTCGTATTAGCTGTGGTACGGTAAATTAAATAAATGAATTATTCAATGAAACTTGTGCAGTATCAAAAATGATGTTGAAAAGTAATCCTGTACTAAGACGAAACAGGAATGACAGAAATGATAAAATCATTTTAGATTATTTCGGAAATAATGCCAGTATAAGGAATGCCACTTTAGATTTGAATATTCCACGAGAAACTTTAATAAACATTTCAAATTTTGTCCCAAGGTAGACTTTTTAGTACTTGACATTAAGAAAAAAAAATATATTAAAATCGATTAACAACTTCAAATTTTAGGGGGGTGTTTCCATTAAAAATGGGTCACACTGTATAACTTCCAAAAAGGAACATTGTATGTTTTTGATGCCATTAGCCATCCCATAATTTTTTGTTTAACAGCATCGATGGCTTGCTGCATATTTTGGTCGGGCCAGTTTTTTCTGGATGATTTTCTCTCGTACCGACCCATCACTGTAATAATAAATAACTATGTTTCGAAAAAAGCCATTAAATTAATAAAATAAATATGATTGTATGAGATGCATACATACTTGTATGAGAAGGCATTCTCTGCCATCTCGTCCACACAAATAGTATGCCATCTCAGACAGAAATACAGGAAGATCCTTTTGCTAACCTATATTTTAGTAGCTTTGTTTTGAAGACACCATAATATAGGATATACTAATCAAGTCACCAAAGAACATAAATACATATTGGAACTTACCTTAATTTCAAATAACCATCAATAATGAATCAACTTCTAATCAGTTCATAAAAACTTTTATGAGGCAAAAATCGACTGATTAGCCTACTGCCTCCAAAACGAATCTGTCACATGGCTTTCGCATACTGTTGCTAAATGTTCGAGCATTGATGATAGTTTTCGGTCAGAACAGCGCAAAATTTCTACATTTCTACAGTTTGCGCGTCGCAGCAAGGTATATCACTTCGACTGGTGCCGCATCGCATTTGATAATATCTGCCGCAGTAGCAGACGAAACGGCAGGTACAAAAACATGCAGACCACGGCTAATAAGCCCGGAAACATCGAACAATTTGTAAGACACCGATCGTGAAAGCCCACACATTATTATAAATCTAAGTTAGTCAGATCAGGATAATCTATTGATATGAAAAATGTTTTTACAGTTGGATCGTCAAGAATCTATTTTGAATTTCATTGGCAATGAAATAACAAACTGGAAAAAGGACATTTCCAAAGATGACTAACTTTTTTTTCAATGTTCTTATTGTGAATGTGAATTTTTCCAAATAATTAGTGACTTTTAATCAAATCATATTCATATATTTATTGTATATGGATCATTTTATTAAGATTGATGTGAGAGTTAGCTAGCATAAGTATTTTTAAATGTAATCATTTTAAATCAATAAATGGAGGAGATTTTGCGTTTTTTTTATTACTTAACTATAAGTTACGTTATGATTTTTTTCCGATGTTTGTATTTTTTATATTATTTGAAATCGGAAACTCTATCAAGTGGGCATAAAATTATTTATAATGTCCAAACGATATGTATGTATTTCCATACTGTCATTTAAATTTAACGGTATTCAGATGACAATTGAAAAGTTAATGTTAGCAGCCTCCGTCCGTAAAGATTTTTTAATGGCCGGCGGCCGTTAAAAAAGTCAATTGTTTTAAAAAAACGCGTTTCGTTACACGGTAGATTCATCAGTTACTGGTACATCAAACTAGTCTATAATATATTTTATATAACATTAGGTAATGACATATCTCATTAGATGAATACAATATATACTCTTCTCAACCATCAACCAAGTTGGCGTCTTCAGGAGATGAACATCAGGTGCTTTGATGATCCGATTATTGTTATAGAAGATCCCATGCATCGGCTCAGCCTTTTGTTGTCAGAGTGAAGTGATCTTTGCGACTTTTATATGGGCCTTCTACTGAACGTGTTCCAACTCGTTGAAAGTATTATGGTCATCTCGTTGGGGCTGTATAACGGAGACCTTATGCAACGAAGGGATAGAAACAGCTCTACACATCTTATGCGAATGTGAATCACAGGAGGCACGCAATATAATATGGACATACGAAATTACGTCCAGAAGAATTTGACGAACATCCAACACGGAACCTATACAAACTAGTACAGGGAACAAGACTGAATGGGTGTAATGAGAAGATGGGAGAATAAACGCAATAATCCCAAGAGGCTGTAGTGTTTTCTGGAGACTTGGACTAAATGGACAAGTCAGACAGCTTCCAAGGTACCAAAAAAAAATGGTCATCTCGTTCAGTCGAAAAGTGAACCGAGCAGCTGCCTCAAGGAGAAATGTCTTTATTCCTACCTACCAAGGTTACGGACCTTGCAGAGAAAGGAATCCAAACTTATATCTTTTCAGCCTCGATTCAGTACCATTATGCCATGTAGACACTCCAAACTCAGAAATCCACAGCCTCCCTGTTGTCGTCTTCAGGAGATGAACATTTTTCTTTGTCTCGTGAAGTCGCTAACTTGGTTGGTGAAACGCACGTTGAGAAGAGTTTCGCATTTCAGGTGATTGTAAAAAGTGCTTGTTTCTCAAGATGGATTTTGTCAAATAAACTCGTTGTGCGGCATTAATTTTGGCTAGTTGAAAAACATTTCTTTATCAACAGGTGCTAAAGCTATCAATAATACTAGGTACAACAACGTGACAGTTACTATTTAGAGCTAATAGTATAATTGAAAGATCCACATCACACTCGGCTTGACTCCAACCAATATTATTTTTAGTTTTTTGCAAAGAAGACAAATAAACCTATGTTAATATTTGCTATTTCATAAAAATGTCTCTTTATATGTATTCAAAGTTATATATTCTTCAAATATCTATTGGAGTATAATTTATATGACTACAATTTTTTTCGGACACTGACATCCCATCAAACACCTTTAACTTCAGTGCGCTAGATATTACGTGAATATCTTATTGTTGCTATACCTATTGATTGATATACAAAAAAATCGAAAAAAATTATGAAAAACTGAAATTATACATATTGTCTAAGCAATATAAATAATTTCACCCGCGCTTCAAAATATTTTTGATATAAAACAAAAATTCGAAAAAGAAAAATTTGCAAAATGGGAGTGGCAGTTTCTGAGGAAAAAGCACATAGGAATCACACGTAAAAAAGGTAAGACCTCTTTAATACTAAGCTCGCAGAAGTTTCGACTTCTGAGAATTGTGGTTCGTGCCGGACGACAGCTGATTAACGAAAAAACAGATTTCAACAAACAATTTATCTGATTCGACTACTTACGAACCAAGACCTATTGTCAGAATCGGAACCTAAATGCCAGAATAGCAAAAGCATCAACTTTCGACGCGCGTTTAACAAACGCGAAGATATCTTAGTCATCTTATTATGATTTTGTTATACGTGTACTGTTCAAAAAATAATATAAATGTTCAAATTTCGCGGGCTACGTACATTCCATTCGAGACATATGTTTAGAATATATGTTTACAGTTTCAGCTGTTAGTCCGGTCACTATACAATATTTAATTAACGAAAATTGAGACAGAGCTTAAATTTTAGTAGTGAAGACCTTTATTTTACTATAAAAAATGAAAATTTGAAAGTCCCAATCTGTCCCATTGGGACAGATTGGGACTGCGATATCTCAGGAACGGTGATTCTGACAGAAAAAATCATAAGGACAATTTTTATAGAGAACTTTGAAATCTACAACTTTGGTCTGGAGTATTTTTTTGATAAAACTTACGGTTTTCGAGAAAAACTCAAAAAACCTGAAATTTTCACCTTTGACCCCGAATAACTTCTGAAGCGTTCATGGGACAGATTGGGACAATCATCGCATAGGACAAAATAAAGGTCTACAGCAAAATGTAGCTCCGTTGCAATTTTCGTTATTTTATTTCTGTTTTCAGGTCTAAATTGACCGGACTATGCTCAGCTGAAACTGTAAGTTGGTGAGAGACATCAAAGAATTTGCATTAAATTTCGAGTGAAAAATGGAATTAAGTGCTCAAAAATACTTGAAATGTTGAAAGTGGAATACGGAAATTATATTCTGAGTCAGAAAAAAAATGTTTACAAGTGGTACAAGCTTTTCAAAGAAAGTCGAGAAGATTTGAATGACATCGCTCGCCCTAGACGCCCCAGCGTATGAACATCCGATTAAAATGTTGAGAAAGTGAAGAAAATTGTTAGGCATATCGGCATATCGGTTGGCTCATGTCAAGCAATTTTTTTGGAAATTTTGGGCATGAAGCATGTGGCAACGAAGTTCGTTCTAAAGTTGCTGAATTTTCACCAAAAAACCGTCGCGTGAGCTTCGCTCAGAACTAGTGACAAATCACGGGTATATGATTATGACATCGAAGTCAAAGTCCAATCGTCCCAATGGAAGAGCACAGGAGAGCCAAGACCAAAAAAAGCACGCCAAGTTTCATCAAATGTCAAGGTTTTGTAACTGCTTTCTACGATTATGATGGCGAAATACATCAGGAGTTCTTGCCACATGGTCGTACGGTCAATAAGGAGTATTATCTTGAAGTTATGCGCCGTCCGGTATTATGAAAAAACATATCATGGTTTTTGCATCATGAATATACACTTACTCACTCGTCATTGCTTGTTCGTGATTTTTTGGCCAAAAACAACACCGTAATCATGCCTCATCAGCCCCTGTATTCACCAGATTGGGCCTTCTGCGACTTTTTCCTGTTCCCAAGATTGAAGAGACCCATGGAAGGACGGCGTTTCGCTACGATTGAGGAGATGAAAACCGAATCGGTGAGAGAGCTCAATGACATACCAAAGAGGGCATATCAGAACTGCTTCGAGGATTTGAAAAAACGCTGGAAAAAAGTGTATTATATCTAAAGGAGGGCTACTTTGAAGGGGACAAAATAGAAATTGATGAATAAATAAATAGTTTAAATAATTTTTGAGAAAACCTTATTTTTTAACATACAGCGTACACCTTTTCAGATTATTCGTTTTTTATAAGAGACGGTTTATTGTCATAACTGTCAGTATTAATCTGACGAGAACATGACAAACATGGAGTTCACACCCAACATCCTTAGACGCTAAATATGCTGTTCGTCGGTATTTGAATGAAACAGTGAAGGCGACCTCTGTTATGATTTTATTCTATCAAAGGCTTCAATTTCAGAACATTAGGTACATCTGAGATGTTTCAGAACGCCTAAATTCGCATTGAACAAAACTGTAAAAGAGCAGAAAACCATTCTGAATACCTCAAGAGGTAAAATCAGAATTTTAAATAATTATGAAAACTAACTTCAATCTTGTTATATAACGTTATTATGTTGCATCCAATTTAAAAAAGTTTGAAGTTTCAAAAGAAAAATCGACGACTTTGCAAAAGAGCTATCTATCACTTGACTCATAATCAATCACATTCAAGATTTTTTTCCTAATGGTTCGGAAGTAGATTTCTTAATGAATATAATTTAAATTTAATACGCAAACAGTAACGTGTACCTACTAGTTCCTAAACGTAGTAAATATCTCAAGTTTCTAGAGTTTTCGATAAATATTTCATTAGTAGATATCTAAGTAAATTAAAAATTTATTTACAAATGTTTCATTTTATGGCCTGTTCGATAACGCCTTAAGTAAATATGTTTACTTAAGGCTTTTTTTATTAAATACGATTTTTTGAATATCTGGAATGGATATTATGTAATTTTTTATTTAATAATATAACAGTGAAAACAACTAACTAGTAAACTTATTTATTGTTTGTATGTTCACATCATTCTTATTGATGGATGTTGCCGTTTCTATGAGGTGAAAAATGATAAATGAAACTTTTTATGTTTTTTACCACTTTTATAAATGTGTTAAAATCATAGAAAGATTAATTTCTCATTTTTCACATAATTTGTTTATACTTAGAAGCATAATAATCAAACGTAAGAAAAGGAGTTCATTTGGTGCACTACCATATTGTTAAAAACCAGACTCACACTCTCAATTTGGTACGCCACTGCTGTATGATAAGAGTTAACTTCAACAAACACGTTTTTGAGCCAGTATGAACAAACGAATCAGTTGATTACTTTTATTAGGCATATTTTTCGAAATCGTACCCAATTCAATAATACTGAGCGCTGATTTTATCATGGCAAGCCGAACTTTGGGAAAAATGTTATACTCTGGTATACAATCCAACCTCAAACGTAATCACGATGTTTTCCACAAAATGAAAATTCGATCCTTCAGTTCTGCTATAGGTAAGTACCGAAATTACAATTTTGCATATTCTTTGCTATATTACATTACTATTGAAAACGAAATTATTTTGAACTTAACCTCAACAATTTGGGAATGTATAGTCGACCGACAGAACGTTACATCTAATGAGATTACATTCAACTAATTTTTAGAATTGAACGCAGGGTGTTTTTTATTAAAATATTTACTAGAAGGGTAATTAATAACTGCTAGTCTCCGCGAATTTTTCGTATGGCATAAATGAAATTTAATTTTGCATCAAACGTTCTTTAGACTTATTTGTTGAGTTTCATGAAACATCTCTTAATTTTTCTTTTCGATTCTGCTTACATTTTTAATTTCTATCATTCTTATTTTCATTTTTATTTATGTCAGTAACAAACATTACGTGGGTGAAATATGCACAGTTTGTAGCCTTCAAAAACATTTTTTCGATAAAACATTTGTTCACACAACAAAAGTGACTAGTATAGATTTCCAAAGAGACATTAATTTTCAACTTCAACTTTTTTCAAGTTGAAGTTGAAACGAAAGATAACATGAGGTAACATTTCCCTGATAATCACTTCTGATAGAAGGATTCGTATATCCCTTATTAACGGTAAACAGAAGTTGAATGGTATAGTAAAAATATTCCTAAAAATAAACAGTAAATCAGTTTAAAACACCGTGTTTTCCTTCTGATATAACCTATTGAATGCCTTTTTGATTTGAGAAAAAACTCAATAAAACCTGTCCAAAACTAAATACTTTCAAGTGATAATATCAACTAATCCTTGTGAACTTTGTTAGCACCATAGAAGTTCCAATATATGATGCCAAGCATGATTTGGTAATCAAAACAAAATATTTTTGATATGTGATGGAATTAGCCGATACTTGATAAAAATCCATAATAATTCATTCGAGTGACTTTATTGTGAGATTTTCACTGAACAATTTACAAAACCGCGTGTTAATATGTCTGAGCTATCGTATAATGGAACATTTGTTGCGGTTTTGTGAACTGTAAAGTGTAACTTGAATAAAATATTTTTGAGTGATAATTTGTCAACTGTTTATAATACACTCTGCTTAATAATTTGTTAGCAACATTGAAATTTCAATCTCGAATATTAACGAACATCAAAAAGTTAAATGTTATCTGTAATCTATTATCTAAAATGTTACGAAAACATTATTATTTAGAGTTGATATCAGGTTGTATTTTTTACATAAATTATGAGATACTGGAAGTGACTTGTAGTCCGTGCATACCATAGAATGGGTCTACTTTGCTACACTTTTGGAATATATTTTGGAATATGTTTTTCTACGGAGATAGGCCATGATGAACTCGTCGACTTCAGCCCACTTGACCTGAGGAAACCGAAGGTCAGATGCTTTGATGATTCGATTGTTGTTAAAGATCCCATGCATCGGCTCACCATTTTATTGTCAGAATGAAGATATCTCTCCGACTTTTATATGGGCCTTCTGCTGGACGTGTTCCAACCGAGCAGCTGCCTTAAAGAGAAATGTCTTTATTCCTGGCTCTCAAGGTCGCGGACCTTGCAGAGAAAGGAATCCGAACTTATGTCTTTTCAGGCTCCATTCAGTACCATTATGCCATGTAGACACTCCAAACTCAGAAGTCCACAGCCTCCCTGTTGTTTTGAGAAGTACAATCGTGGAACGGACGTGGGATGCAAACTCCTATGGAGTCACATAATTTTTCGAGTCTTCACGTCGAGTTTATACAGCTAATTCCAACTTTGAACCTATCCTATTTATATCTAACAGGGTGCACTTTCACGTCTATTCTTTATCCTGTTGTTTATGAATAATACAGTTTTAGAGTTATGAACTAATTTACGTCATCACCTTAAGACGTCAAATTGTTTGGTGAAACGCACATCCAGAAGAGTGTGAGCAGTGCCTGTTTTATATTTATTCTTCGCCAGATGTTCCATTTCCAGCATTCAGTAGAGTTGGATTTATTTCAAAATTTATTTATGTAAATAAAAACTTGTTTTTTAAAATGTTTTCTACAATAAATTCATTTTTCAGTTAACGCTGGACTTGTTTCTTAGTCTAATAATTTCGTTCAATACGTCATTGTTGCATGATCGACCCCTACAGCATGTCTTTTATTTGATATATTTATCATGGGCAAGCATAAAAATATAGTCAACCAATCTTACAAAAATAAGTTCTGAGTTTTATGTAGATTCATAGATGGTGTCTTCGTAAAGGGCGATGTTCTGTAACATCTAAATATAATAAATGTTTCAGCTTTCATTTTACAGTATTTCAATGGAGTTGTTGATTTTATAAATAAATTACTTATTAAGGTGCCCCAGACAAATGTAGCACTAATATTTGTCAACAAAAAAATTAATATTACTTCAGATAGTTATAAGTGTACCCTTCTTAAGATATGTCCATCAATCCAAGGTACTGATCTGGTTTAAAGAAATCAAAACTTTTTCAGATGACTTTGAGAATATAAGGATCTCCAAGGCAGGTGCTAGTAATAATATTGGTATTATTGAACTCCACAGACCTAAAGTTCTTAATGCTCTGAACACTGCCTTACTATTGGAAGTATCCAAGGCTTTGGATCAGTTTGAAGTTGACTCCTCCATTGGCGCTATCATATTGACCGGAAACGAGAAATCTTTTGCAGCAGGAGCAGATATCAGAGAAAACGCATCGACAATCTACACCCAATGTTTCAAACCAAATTTTATGGGTGAATGGTCCAGAATTACTCAAACAACTAAACCAATCATTGCAGCTGTGAACGGGTATGCTGTAAGTATCGACTCCATATGGGGTAACTTTCGCATGGGATGTATTCTTCCAATGAAATATATTTATCAGAAAATTATGATGAACTTGAATGCATAACACTGTGTACCCGTTATCGATAATAACGGGTACACAACTAACCCAACTAATGCCGTGCAGGTAGTAGTTGAAGTAAAACCATAAGGCATTTGTGCAACGTCTTCCATTTGGAAAATTCGTCGCGAGTAATTTCCTATATATGAAAATCAGAAATTAATTAGATTTTGTCGACCGACAGGTCGTCAGCAGCATCGTAAAATTTAATGACATGTCAACAGTGTCAACACTGGTTGATTCAAATACATGCAGTATTTGAAAAGAGGTCATAGCTACAGGAAAGGCAACAAAGATACAGAGACAGGGCTGCTCCTGGCTATACAATTGTACGAATTGCTATACAATTCAATATTTTTTCGTACATGCATACCACATTGACGAAAAGCATACATTTTGACTTCATTTGGTTTTGCATTGATTCGAACGAAGCCACGATTATATATTTACAAATTTCAATCACTTTGTCCTTCGATAGTCGAGTAATCTGTCTACCTCTGTCTTCCGTCTCATTATGATAGGCTTGTCCCGCTTGTCCGTCATAGAACTCATAGATCACGATCACAGAGCACTTAATTTTCAGATCAGTCAAATCTATCGAAAACCGCTGACGCTGAAAGAAAAATGAATCCACAGTAAGAAAAGAGAAAAGACGAATTTCAAATAAATATTTATGAATGGTAATTGGTAGTTCACCTCACCCCTCATGATGTTTGTTTTAGGAAACTTTGTGTTGTCATTTGATTTGATACATAATATAAGCTGAAGCTAGATTAGTGAATGCAGAATTTTCAATTAATATTAATGCAAATACGAATCAAATAAATATATTTGCAATAACCACTTCAAAATATTCATATCTGATGGAGTGTCTGCGCATGCCCTTATCGCTTTATTCCATCTTTGCATCATGCGGGAAGCTGTCACTTGTCAATTATTCTGATGACAGTGTTGGCGACCATTGATGCTATACAATTATAGCGAAAATCATACATTTTCATCTGTCATTTTCGTACAAAATTTTTTTGTCTTGGAGCAGCACTGTACAGAGATGGATAGTCATATTTCATGTGAATTTGAGGTTATGACAAACATCCGACAAGTTCAGATCGTATGGAAACATATGATCAAAAGCAATTAGCAACATCAAAATGTTGACTTATGTGCCCTCAATCTTTTCGTAAATAATGTAAACGTCAACTTAGTTGATAAAACGAGCGTCGAAAAGAGTGATATAACGACTAATTGTTTACTTGCAACACAAACAGAAAAGGTAAAAACAAGCAAAACAGACTAATTTTTTTATCTTGGTGTCATCGGCATCGATTACATTGGTAATTAGCCTCGTGTAGGCAAAATTAATAACTCCCCGAGCCACCTAGGGAGCATCATGGCTATTCGCAGTCCGTCAGCCATGTTACTTTACAGAATCATCCCAACTTCAACTAAGGTAGATAAATTCTCTCGAGAAAAACATCTGGTCGAGGTTGGGTCAGGCGCACTATCACGGCGCCAATTCACCGCTAACAGCCTATTTAACATGAGATATAAGTTTGTATTTCTAATTCAAATACAATTAAACTTATACTGGCAACTCGCCACTCGCATAATTTTTTCGAACTTCGTAGTATTAAACTGAGCTCAATGTTGCCAAATTCCTCTCGTTTTCAAATGTAAATAAAAAGTGTTTTTTGTTGAATGTTCTGAATAGAAATTATGCAAAACAAGTTTTTATTTATTTGATTTTTTTTAATTTGTTGAATATTTTTTCTAATAATTGAATCAACATTTTTTCACTCCCGTTAAATTTAACTTTATAGCACTTAACCTTTTACAAGTTTGTATATTGTTAAACACGTATTTTTGTATAATTTATAGTCAAAGAGTTATTTTAACTCGAAAGTTATGGCGCTCATTTTTGGTAAATTTATAAGTAAATTTTCTCTGCCATTCGGGACCACCGTGAGGTCGGGGGGTTCCTTAGGCCCTTACGATAAAGGCGGAAGTAGTTCTGCTACATCTTTTATAGTATTCTGGAATATCTAATTGGATTCATTTTATGTACAGTTCGGCGGTGGGTGCGAACTTGCCATGATGTGTGATATCATTTACGCCGGCGAAAAAGCCAAATTTGGTCAACCTGAAATACTTCTAGGAATAATTCCTGGAGCTGGAGGGACTCAACGATTGCCAAGATTTGTAGGAAAATCCAAGGCTATGGAAATGGTTCTCACAGGTAATCAGCCATTAAGTTAAGGTATTTGAGATAGTGGTGACATATTTCATAATATTATCAAGTTTTTTTTATTACCGCCTTTAGGGCAAGGCTGCACTTTTGGATTTCACTATTCTTAGTCAACTTCGCGATTATATAGTAATATGTATTGCAAACACGAAACATTATCAAAGTAACTACTGTTTCTCATTATCATCATGCATATAAACCTATCTAGTTTTATCAGCTCTATGTCTATGTAGAATTCTATCAATATGACGGTTATTTGAACATATTAAAATGTATTTTCCTTTTTAAACCAGGAAACCCCATTTCTGCCCAAGAAGCCCAACAAATGGGATTAGTGAGCAAAGTTTTTCCAGTAGATAAACTTCTGGAGGAATCTATAAAATTAGGGGAGAAAATAGCAAGTAACTCCCAGATAACCAATATGATAGCCAAAGAGTGTGTAAACATAGCATTCGAAACAACACTCAAAGAAGGACTTCATTTCGAGAAAAGAATGTTCCATGGGACATTTGCAACCAAAGACCAGAAGGAAGGAATGGCAGCATTTATAGAGAAGCGAAAACCGAATTTTACCAATGAGTGATGTCATTCAAGATGAATAATAAAAAACTATTATCTTTAATTTCATTTATTTTACCAAGTATACAGTTGAAGGTAAATATATTAGACAATATATGTTAGGAATCACGCGTTAAAAGGTAAAACCTCGTTAATCCTTAGCTCGCACAAGTTTCGACTTCTGAGGATTGTCGTTCGTAGGGGTGCGACAGCTGGTTAACGGAAAAACATATTTTAAACAGATTTTTTTAAACGAATCTAAATGGAAAAAACCATTTACCTATCAATAATTTGTAGAATAGGATCTATGTTTATTCAATATTTAGTGAATAGTATTTTTCTGAAACATTTGTTTCACTTCGTGCCTATGGGAGGGGGATGGGGCTTAATTTCGATATACCTCCCCGGCTGCGTCAATGAGATAATTGATATACTACCAGAAAATTCAATAAAAGTGTTAAAATGTGATAATTCAGCTGGATATGAGTGGAATATAACATTTCTAAATAATTTCTTTCAAATGTGATGAGAAGACTGCAATTTAAGAAAATAAGATCAACTGATAGAAATTACGAGACCCATATAAGAATTTTTTTTAATTTCTACTAAATTTTTTACTCGCTACGACCGGTTTCGTTTTGTTAAACCATTTTTAGATTACGAGAGAGGCGTATTCGGAGTGTGTTTCGGTTTGGAGGGGGACAAATATGACCAAGAATTGGAAACAAGTTATATTCCGAAATCTATTCCACGTTTTTTCTGAGTGAAGTATTCTGAGATATGGTCTGGGGAATTGAAGTACATATATATAAAATAGTCAATCCTCCATCATTGTATTTCCTGAATACGATTCAAGAAGTTTCAAAGTTAAAAATGATCGTTCGGGACTTGCAGTAAGTACCCATAGGTAGAGTACAGAATATTTTTAGAAGTGAATTACTACAAGAAAAAACGTTGAAGCACATAAAGCCATAGCCAGGACTCTAGTTCGGGGAGAAATTTGTTGCTGCAAGGTATTTGGATCCGCTTCCAAATATATTTTCTCCAATTTGAAGAAAACTAAGACATAATCGTAAAAGTTGTCTCCAGCGATGACGAGTTTTATAGATTTTATCACTCGTTAATTTTTAGAACGTACAAGTTTTTACTTCTGAGGATTTTCGAGCATAGGGAAGTGACAGCTGATTAACGGTAAAATAGATTTCAAGATAGAAACATATTTATTCTTGCGATAATATTTACTTGGATCATTCGACCATATATAGCATTTCTCGACAACGTTTCAGAATATTTCAATAAGTTTTGGTCCCCATACTCCATTCTCATAAGATATCTCGAAGTTTCGATCACGTATCTCTGGTTCAGTGTACTTCACAAGGACTAACATCAAAAATAACTTGTGGACCTTATTCTCCTTCAAATATATCAGGCATAAAGCAAACTGTTCAATATTGTTAGTCATTATTTGAACACTGACTCGTAACATATGCAAGATAATAAAACAATTTTCACATTATTACCTTCACTAAAGATTTGGTTTCTTCAATATCAGCAATGATTCTGCCCAGTATATGATATTATTGCATGCATTTATCATTAAATTCTGTATCAATGTGCTAAAATAATTTGCATTTTTTACACAATTCAATAAAAATAGTCTCTCAAAATCTCTTTCTTATATCCAAAATTCGAAAGGGTACACAAAATGTGCTGCTCCTGTAGTTACTTGCATTTTGAAGGGCTCTTTGATAGCCATAAAGAACACGGAATCTAAATAATAAAGAAATTCCTGTAAGTAAAATATTTCCCTTCTTCAGTTATTAACGATAATCAAATTGTTGAATTATTCTAGATAGATCTTTAGATTGTATATACAAACAATCAAACGTTCATGAAACGAATGAATAGATAATGAAAATCCGAAACAACCTTTAATTTCATAAAATAACATTGGATCTAAAACACCTCACATGGTCATTCTCCATGGTATACATACAGAGGTGTGAAAGTTAGTGTATGATTCAAACTTCCATCGTGTACCTGCAATATTCAAAAAGTATTTTCAATGTCTTTCAATTTCTGGAGTTGATAATTTTCGCTTAATCTTTCATTTAAGGTGATTCGATTAACTACATTCGCTCATATCACCTTCCAGTAGATCGGGATCATCCTGACCACATTATTCAATACCTTTATTTTGGGAATAAAACGGCTACATGGAGAGTGCACTTGACCTTCGTACTCCCACCCTCCATAGATTTTCAGCATGTATAACGATTCTTTCAGATATTGGCCATAACAATCAACAATCAAGTGTCAACCTAAAAAAGAAGAAGTAAATAGCGAGAATAAGGTTATGAGTGAAACAACTTAAAGGTTTTGTTTTGGAAGTAGTCAAGGGTCCTTAATTTTCTATAAGTACCTATCCAAAAATAATTTTCATTTTCTAACATAAAAATTATATTTTTAAAACATGTCTACGTCCATGGAAGACGTTCTTTTACAAGTACCCCATGTACGTTATAAAAAAGGTGATGGGTCACTGTTTCTCATGGACCAGAGATTGATTTGGATGGTAGAAAACAAGGACACTGTAGTTGTATCACATCCATATGCAGATATAAAGTGTGAGCATTTTACTATACAAGTTTTAACCATTTTTGAATGTGTGTTATATTTTTTAGCTCAAAAGATTTCTCCCGAAGGAAAAGCTAAAGTCCAGTTACAAGTTGTCCTTCATAATGGGGTTTCTTCCACATTTCATTTTACAAACAAAAACGGGCTTGAAGCTCAATTGGCCGATAGAGATAAAATCAAAGAAATGTTACAAAGCCTTCTCCCGAAGTTCAAAAGAAAGGTGAGAATTTACCTGAGATCTGTGGTATTGTTTTATATTTGATAGACTAGTACTGCAAAGTCAGATGAAAAATGTGAAGAATTGTGGTCTACAGTGCATGTCGAGGATATATATCAGTCTAGACTCACTTCAATACATTTTTTTTTATTTTTCTTATCGATGGAGAGTAGAGAGTTGAAGACAAAACATGCTCTTGTAGGATCATTCTATCTATTTCTTTTTGGTGTAGTACGTTTCAATAGATCTGACCGTGCTATTACTTATCAGATATCTATCGTCATGTACTTACATTTTTTGGTGCTATTCTTTAGTCTACAAAGTAATTGAAAACGGTGATTAGTAGACAGGCACATAAACTGCCTTGAAATATTTGTCCGGAATCACGTGACAATGAGCTGAAAACCTCATGTTAACCTAATATGAAACAAGTTGTGATTAGTTTTTTTCATTTTTATTATCACCTTAGTTGTGTTTTCACATATTGCACAAACACAAAATTCATACTTATATACTAAACACACATCTCCCGCGAAATAAGGCCAGTTAGGAAAGGGAACTCAGCATGTTGCAGCATAGAGTTCCTCAGAGCAAAGTATAAATTACATCTAATAATTTCATATGTATTTATGATAATTGTACAAATATTAGAGTTACAATTTGAATACAAATACACAATGAAAGTTTCACAAACGTTTTATTGAAATTTCAATAACATTATATTATGTCTCTTCAAACAGAAATTTATCTGGATATGGACTAAAATATCTATACCTACTTAACTTCCAAAAGTGATCAGTAACAACCAATTCATTTATCTTTAAATTGTAAAATTATAAAATGAACTAAGGAAATTTAATTACTTTTTCAAACTATATTGATATAGCAAAGATTGGTATTATGTTTTTGAGAATTCTGTGAGTTTGCTTCTACTAAAAATGAGTTCAAAAATGAGAGGTTTTAAAAGAATACTTTGAAAATTGTTCCAAATCTTGTTCTCGATCTATACCAAGCATAATGAGAAAATAATTAGAAACTCCTTAACTTCATTGAAAATACTTATCTTTGTTTCCAAAATTTAGTGGATATAATGAGAGTTCTAGACTAACCATCTTCCCTACCTAGATGTAAATGAAAGTCCCTATTTATTTATTCTTGTTTTCAGAATTCAATATTTGAAGATGGAAAAGTAGAAAGCCAAAATCTTTCTTTCCCAAAAATAAATCTCTCCAATAAATATACTCTTTTCAATTAAAATGTCAAAGTTGTAATGAGTTTCTTGGATTGAAATATATTTGAAATATCGATAAACAATTTCAAGAAACGAAAATATCTTTGACTAAAGGCTTGCATCATTGTGTCTGCAAGTCTCCAAAATGAAAATCAAATTACCATCCTAATTATGTTTCCAACAGGTAGACAAAGAATTAGAAGAAAAAAATAAACTGCTATCCAGTAACCCTGCCTTGCTACAATTGTACAAAGATTTAGTCATAACCGAAGTTGTATCTTCCGAAGAGTTCTGGTCACAGCATGCTCAACAGTATACTCAAAAACAGAAACAGCAACCCCAGGAGATAGGTTAGTAATATAAGATTGAATTATTGGTCTCTGAAATGATCAGCAATATTTTTTGGAAAAAAATCATGAAAATACATCAGTGTTACATCAAAATGTTGAATGTAGTGAATATTCCTTTCCTTTTTTGTATCAGAAACATGTAAACTTCAACTTATCACATGGATGATTCCATATTTTCAAATCTTTCAGCTGGTAACATACTACAGTTTGACTATATAGTGTATCACAACAATATTTTTTTCAAATACAGTTGACATTTTGATATGACAATGATGATATTGATAATAAATTTTCATAAAGTGGTTGACTGTTTCAAGCAAATCTAGTTGATCACTGTTTTACTGTTTCAGGAGTTTCTGGTGCATTTCTGGCTGACATAAAACCTCAGACTGATGGCTGTAATGGGCTCAAATATAACATCACTCCCGATATAATTGAGTGTATATTTAAGACATATCCAGCTGTGAAGAAAAAGTATATTGATAATGTTCCCTCGAAGTTATCAGAATCTCAGTTTTGGACAAAATTTTTCCAATCACACTATTTTCATAGGTAGCATATTCATATTTCTAGTATATGTGGTTCAAACAATACCATACAGTGTATGCTAAAAGTGGCCGATCACAATGCCAATCTTTAGCTACTTCAGATTCAGTTGGAAATGTATTTTTTTTTATTTCAATGGAACACTGTGGGACACCACTACATGAAGAAAGCATAAAATTTAGCACACCGTTGGAATAAACTGAACGAATTTATTATTTAGACAATTTAGATATCATAATTGAAAAATAGTGTATTACTGACAACAGAGGTTTGATCATTTCGGAACTTTTCGTATACCCTGTAGGCAAAAAGTATTGGAATAAGAACTCTTATGGAAAAGTTATGCAACTTATCATTGAGTGGAATGAAATTAAATATATTACTATTTTTGTTGAATCGAAGGCTTTGGGTTGTGTCTTATTGATATTTTTCTCTAAATACTATATTAGAATTATCTTAGTAAAAATTGACTACAGAGAGTTGATAAATCAACTACAGAAAAACTTTATTTGTGAAATTATAAAACAACAATAAAAATAAAAACTAGAATGAAAATTAGTTGGCGCTCCGGGGCGACTTCATTGATTCCAGTGGCGCATTCCTCTCTCTCATGAAACAAAGTGTAGGGTGTCTCCAGAGGCTCCAATAGATTCAGTACATCGCCAGGACACTTCGTGACAGTACTATCGTCAAACCACCAAACCTTATAAGCCTTTTTTTTCAGAGATCGAAAATATGCCGAAAGCAAAGACATATTCACAGAATGTGGTAAAATAGATGATCAGGAAATGAAAAAAGACATACAAAGTGGTGTTAAGGATCCCTTGGTAAACTTGACAGAGTTTGAAGACAAAACTTTTGATGAGGGTTTTGGTATTGCTACTGAACAGTCATCAACTAATACGGGTACAGTTAGCCAGGCTATGATAAAAAGATTCAATCAGCATTCAATAATGGTGAGTATATGAAATCATTGTTATCTATCTGATTATGGGCTATTTACTCTATTAATTCTCACCAAAAATACAATTACAATTTCACAACAGAAATTTAATCAATTTTCAGAACATATTGCCGAATTATTTGCAGCATTTTTCATTTAAATTCTCTTTGCCAAACTGAAGGTAAATTTGAATTTCCGGTGTTGTACTATTGAAGATTTCTTTTCGAATAAATCTTAGATTAGCAGTATAAATATTTTGTTAAAAAAAAATAACAGTGGCTTCAAATTTCTAAGAACAACAGTTCTGTTGCTAAACGGGTTTCAAAATACTGACTGTACTCATTGATCGCGCTTCTCAATTACGGGATGATAATGCTAGTGCAGTATCCATGAGCACCGCAGATAAATCTTCAAATAGTTTTCAAACAAAATATGAGATATTTCCCATATCTTGCCATTTGGATTTGTAAAACTTCTTTGTCAGCAGACAGGAGCTCTCCAAATATATTACCAAAGTCTTTTATTATTTCAATATGTTGAAAAATAAACAAAACATCATATCAATTTATATTCACCTGCACAAACTTAACTACAATCTGAAATTCAACTGTTTTACATATCGTCATATCATATCATCGTTTACTCTAATAATAGGATTTCATAGTTCAAACTCTATATTAGCTCTAACCGGAACCCACAAACCATCACTATTTTCAATCTAGAGTTCACACTGAACCTATAAATGTGGCCCCAATACATTAATATCAACTTTAAACCTCTGTGAAGCAGTTCAAATTTCTAAATGCTTTCAAAAATCATTTTTTTCAGGTATTAAAATCATCTAAAAACCAAGGCAGTGATACTCCTGTGCAAGAAAATGGATTAGATCCAAAAACTTCCAGTACAAATGGTCTAAAGCCTGGTGCCAAAGTAAGGGACGATGGTTCAGTTAGCAAAAGACAAAGGATATTAGAAAAGATAACTTATGATGATTTAGAAGATACCAGTGAAAGTACTATTCAGAAGGGCGTTCCTTTGAGTTTATCAAAGGTAAATTTCATGATTAGTTTTCTCATTAAAGAGATTCCTTATTCTATGTGTATTCATTTCGAGAAAATTAAATATTGCTTACTCCAAAAACCCTGTTCAGGTCGAAAGGTATTTACATGGCCCCATGCCTGATTCTGCCACAGAATATTGGAATGCAAATGAGGCATCTGCAGTTTTGAGAGGAGTGGCTCAAGAAACAAAACAGTGGGGAAAGAGACATCCATCTAATAATTTAGTGAGCCCCGCTGCGGCAGTGGGAGCCTTAGGAGAACTATCACCGGGCGGTGCTCTGATGAGAGGGTTTCAGGAACAATCGTTAGCTGGTAAATAGTTTTTGTGTTAGTTGAAGGTGGTGGATCACACTTGCCGAAAAATTTTAAAAAAAATAAAGGGTTCGACTTTTAACTTCTCCGTCTCTATACAAAGTTCAAAATAATAAAATATTTGTGGATGAATATAATCATTTTCTCAGGGATTTTTTAATCACTTCAACTCTTTTTCTGTGTGTTTTTCATTTGTATATTTTATTCCTCAAGACATTACAGGGCCAGTTTTGAGGTATGTGTTTTTTGTCTACTAATTACAATGAAAACAGGTTTGTGAGACTGTGGTGACTATTGATGCATGCATTTTTTTCTGATTTTTTTGCCTTACATACTCATTTGCAATTTGCTTCATTGAGAAAAGGAGTTGAAGAAGTGATCCACTATGAATCTCATGTTGAGAAATTGGACCATAAAGAAGTGAACTTAGAAAGTAATGAATCGCAGAAAAAAAATTGTAGAAAAGTTAACAGTGATTTTTTTTGAAAACTAATGCTTATACTGAGATTAGTTGAAAATTAGATAAGCAAAAATGTAATAAATATGAAAATGATCAACAAGTGTTATCAAAGTTCTGAAGTGCATTTACTAGTCTTATTTAAGAAGTTACATAGAACATTTTGATTATTATATCCAAGAAACTGTTCTTAATACTAGAGAGAAATAGTTTGTATTTTAGATTTCCATCCAAACAGTAGTTCGGCAGCAAATTATATTTTTATTTGAATACAATCATTAAAATTGCAAGGGTTATATTTTCAGGAGTGACTAATTTTTGGGAAAGTCTTTCGTCTTTCTACTAGTCCATCTTGATACAAAAAAATGTGGGAATCTTCCATAGAAAGGAAGGAAGCAATCAATTTTAAAAGAAGTAACTCTATACATAGATGTGTAGATCATGCAAAGGAGTAACTAAAAAGTTACTTCTTTGGAGTAGTAGAAAGCCAAAAATTTTCTTTCCTAAAAACAACAATCATCATCTGTTTTCTACAACTTAACATACTGTATGGAGGAGAATTTTTAATACTTTGATAAAGCCTCTACAAGCCATGCAGAATTCCTTATTAAAAATAATATTAAAGAAAGGTAAACGATTTTCAACCCAAAAACTGTATGAAGAAACCAAATTACTGAATGTTAGAGCACACTACTGCTACCAGTGTTTGATTTGGATGTTTTCAAATTCAAAAAAATATACAACGACAACTTTCAAAAAAACTAGATTTACTGATAATCAAAATGTTAGAACCCCCCATTACCGAAAATCCCATACGCAAAGATTCGTCTTTTTTTTCGGGCCAAAATTATATAACCAGCTTCATATGGAGCTTGAAACAATATCAAAAATTGAAAAATTCAAATCTGCTATCAAAAAGTATATTTAAAAAAATTCTAAAATATTTGACCAAATTTTGATTTACTGTCACTTTTATGTTTCTTTTGTTCTAAATTGACAATAAAAAATAAATAATTTTTGTTTGAATTATGTAAGCATGTACTGTTAAAGGATATTCCAACTATGAGTGGAATGAAACAGCACAAACAGGCATTCTGATGCCTAGGTGTATTTCACCCATTTGTAGTGGTTTTGTCATATGTTAATGACTAAATTTCACACATTTGTACTGAAAAATTTAAATAAATTTGATTTGATTTGATTTTTTTCAAGGTTGCTAGCCAAGTTCTGCCCATTTTTAAAGAGCTTTCGTTACCAATAGAAGTTCCAAAAATTATTTAATTTAAATTTATTTTCTTCTGTTGTTAATGAAGAATCAAAAAAATGTTATGCTCAAATTCTGTTCAAGTTTAGTGACTCAACACTATTTTTCAGAATTAGTACCTGCAGATATAGAAAAGGAGGTAAGGAATCTGTATCTTGCTCTTTGTGAACTGTTACACCATTTCTGGCATTGTTTTCCCCCCACATCGAGCAACTCAGAAGTCAAACTTGTTAAGATGCATGAAGCATTAAATAGATTCCACACTGCCAAATTAAAGCCATTCGAGGTAAGTACTCATAATAAGTTGTAATGATGAGTCATAATTTTTCTTTCTTGTTTTTAGGATAAATTAATGAGAGAATTGTCCCCGCTCTCCCATCACCTGACCAAACACTTGAATCAGCTACTGAATGCTGCCTATCAAAAATTCAATAACTGGCAAAAGGTCAAAGGTCGGTAGAACACAACTGCCAAGTTCTCATTATTTTTTGGTCAAAATAGGTAGAGCAATATTCATCAATTTCACAGTACCATCAATATGAAAATAGGATAATTATTATTAAGACTCATATTCCTTTTCAATGGTGCTGTAAAATGTTTTTCCATGTTTATAACTTGTAAGTCATTTTATATGAGCAGTCTTTGTTTAATTTATTTCAACTGTTATTGATTAAATCATGATTTATTTGATTCGTTTTTTTTTCTTGATACCTAGTCCTGAAAACTCAACATTTTATAGTTTTCTCTTCTATTCATGTTCCTAACTCATACATTTGATACTAGATATTTCTCTTTTATCTCGTCATAATGAAATAACTGATAAAAGTATATTTTGAAACAGCATTCCTTCATATAAAAAAAACTTCTCTGGACTATATTTTATTCCACAATACCTATTTTATGAAATCGAAAAAATATTTTCGAATCTTGACAACCATGGGTGCTTAATACAAGTGAAATAAATTTGAATGTTGTATCAAAAATTCTTGTGCCTTTCATTCACTAAGTTGAACTATACTCATATAGGGTATAGGAGCAGTTTTTGCATTGAATTCAATCCATGTCAAAGCTTTCACTTAAAGCTTGCACTAATGTGAATGCAATGATAATCTTTTTTCTGAACTGTTACTTCATGGTGAAATTAATGTTATCAATAATTACGTTTTACACAAATCAACGCCTAGCCTGATATTTTGTTAGCTCTACCAAGTCTATTTGAGAGGAGTACTGTCGCAAGGTGGCGGTGCTACCTCTCAAGGAAATCAAAGAATTGTTAAAATGACATTTTGTATTGACATTTCTGTGAAGTATTGAATTTGTTAATTTAACAAAAGTTGTCTGAGAATTCCTTATACTATGCTAAAACCAATAATGATTGAGAGTAGAAGTAAGCCCAGTTGACAGCAAATCGAGGGCGTGCTTATTAATTTTTGAGAGGGTTAAGAATGAAAGAAAAATTCTTAGTATTATTGGGTTTAATTCGCAGTGGTATGGTGGTAACCTTAAAACTGTAATTCCACGAAGAAATAAGAAGAAGAGAGTCGGGGTTATGTTGAAATGATTGCAAAAAATAATTTTTTATAAATTATGAATATGGCACTAACAAAAGCATGTTGGAGACTCTCTGATAAACTATTTCTACCCACAACCAAACAGTTTCAAAAAATTCATACCACGGGCATCGTTTCAGCCTGGGCAGACGAGCAAGAAGCTACAAAAAAGTGGCTTAAATATAATGATAAAATATACCCTCCCCAATCCCCAAATGAAGAACCAAGACCTGCTGTAAATACACATTCTTTTAGAGAAACTATTTATCCTCTTTTGTACATACATTCTTTTAATAAGCAATATTGAACGATTTTATTTTTTAGTATGTTTGCCATCAAAGAACAAATATTAAATACAGTCCCTGGAAAATGTGGTACATAGCCAGTTTTATAAGAGGGATGCCAGTTGATGAAGCTATCAGACAACTGAAGTTTGTTCTGAAAAAGGGGGCCAAGGATATCAGAGAAGTGCTGGAAGAAGCTAAGGAAATTGCTGTGAAAGAACATAATGTAGAGTTTCCCAGTAATATGTGGGTCGGTTAGTATGACAGTGAATTATTTCTAATTTTGGAGAAATGGTATGCTTTGAGATGAATCTATTCATCAGTATCAAGTTGTAAGCCACGGATTTAAGTCGCAAGAACTTAACAGATATGCAAGTTTTCATAATTTTTCTAGTATCCCTCAATTCCCACAAAATATTCTTAGGTAATTCTTGGTAATATGAAGAGATGTTACAACAGAGTGTTAATTGCAACCCTCTTATCAAAAGATGTTTTCTTCATGAAAAAATGTTCTAACATCAACTTTTCACATGATACCAACAAGTAAATTTATTTTGATTTGAGCTAAAATATTTCGTCTGACCAGAACTTCTAAACCTATTCAAAAAAGCCACAATTTTGACTAAAAAGTGTTTATATATTTCTGGTACTGTACATTAAAGAAAATTAACGAACTTTTCCAAAAAATGCTAACACAATTTCATACAACATGCGAAATAAAATAGATATATCTTCCAATTTCACCTCTGGAAATTGCTTAACAGTCTTCCAATTACATAAGTTTGGTTACATATTCAATCTACTGTTGAATACATTTTTAGCTTATCGTACCTTTCATAGTTTGGGTGAATTTTAAAATGTTTAGACTCTTATTCTCAATGTATCTTGTATTTCTAAAACCAGTACTGGTCCCAAACACCAGAAGTGCAACACTCTTCCCGAAGCGTATTTTACCAAATATCTTCAAAAGTTTTCATATCAAAAAGAGTATTTCACTCCTGGTGTTTGGGAACAGCACTTGTTTTGGATATATTCTATGCCAGAATCTCTAATTCTTTTTTTTATTATGTTGTATTTAACTATTAACACCTTTTTTCTGACTAATCTAATAGGTTTGTGTGATGTCAATATGTTTTTATTGCAATATGTAACTTTCTAGTTTCTATTCATCATTAAGAGTTTTTTTAAGTTGTTCGTTAGGGTTTATTCATGCACCAGTATTAGTTCGCAAGTTTTAATAAGCTGTTTGTAGTTGGATTATTAATTCAGTGGAAAATGCATGCAAGAATATACATATATTTATAATGAACTATTCCTTTATTCATTTCAATAAACAAATCTGTTTTTATCATAAATACTTACTCATAATTTCTATGTAGAAGAGCTGTAAGTTCAAAGTAGTAACAAACTTGAAAATTGCTACTTAAGACTGATACATCTTTGAATTGGCTTGCATGAATTCACATTGACAGCTTCACTAAATGTGTACAAAATATAGTATAGTATCAACTTTAGACATTTCTATTTTTTGTTCTAGCTGAATCTTTTGTTGGGAAAGGAGTGGTTATAAAAGGAATGCGAAGGCATGCTCGAATGAGATTTGGCATCATTAGATATTTCCATATCCATTATTTCGTAAGACTTGAAGAAGGAACACCTCCTGAACATTACTATCTGCCTTATCCCAAGAAACCCCATGAACAGCTCAGTGACTGGTTAGAATCGATGAGAAAACGAAAAATCATAAATTCCTTGTAATCCTCTAGTTACTCCTAGAATTATAACAATTTCAACAACTATATCTTTCATTCCATTGTCACTGCCCAAAACAGTTTGTCACTTTTTTTTGATAACAGCGACTCAATTGATTCTACATCTGATTTTATAAAATCAAGTGTGGAAAATAACTTGAATTATTTAATATCAAGAAAGGTGGAAACAGGAAACACTATCATCAATTCTTCAAGTGTTACATGTTGCATTTCACTTATGAAAAAATCGCTCTCCCCCCTGAGTGACATTGACTGTAACCAACTTAATTTCCCTACTCAGAATTAATATTTTGAAAAAATCATGCAAACTAAGTGTCTGGATGCACAATCAAATCAAAATATGCTTTATTACCCAAGATATAAACATCTTATTGGCAAAGTCTAGTAAAGTAAAACATGTATAAGGGACAATTAACAAATATAAACTATAAAATAATGCTTAAACATCGGAGCAGAGTATATGGACAGAACAATATTAAGTCCAGCTGAACAGCTACAAATATAAGTACATGAATTTATAAATATTAAGTAAACGTAAATATATAATTCTACATAATGAACATTGATAGCCATTTTGTGTTGGTTTCAATAACTTGTTTACACAAAGCTACATGTCAATTATTCGATAGAGCCTTGGTAGAATTCGTCCACACTATAATAAGGCCTCCCAACAAGGTATTCTTTCACTTTCTTTCTGAATTTCTTTCCATTATATATTCTCGCCTTAAATTAATGGGAAGGTGGTTAAATAACTTCTTGCTATTGAAAATAATAGAATTTTGTGTAAGGGCTAGAGAAGGTGTGGGAAGGGAAACGGAGTAAGACTGACATGTACTATAAGTTGCGGTGTTCCTAAATTGATTTTTATATTTTTTGTGGATAAGACAAAATAAAAAGACATACTAAGTTCAGAATTTTTTGCAAATAATGGGCGGCATGAATCCCTGTAGCTAGCCTTGCATAAATATCTGATGGCTCTTTTTTGTAGAGAGAATACCATATTGAAATGAAATTTTGCACAATTTCCCCAGAAACAAATTCCATAACGTAAATAGGATTCAATTTGTGCAAAATAAACTGATCTTGTGATAGTAGTGTCTAACTCTCTTGCAACAACTCTCACTGCATGACATCCTGCTGCTAGTCTTTTACGACATGGAAATCAAATTTTAGATTTTCATCAATGAAGAGCCCTAAAAATTTGTTTTTCTCCAAATTTTCAATTTTTACATTTTCCAAGTGTACTTCCCCTATGTTACATCTAAACGTGATCACCTTTGTTTTATCGATGTTCAATGATAAGAGATTGGAATCACACCACTCTTTAACCGTTCTTATGTCGACGATGATTTGATCAAGTAAATTGGAGGCTGTATTGCTATGCCAGAGGATAGTGATGTCGTCAGCGAAACATGTGAATTTACCACTTATGTTAACATGGACCAAGTCATTGATATAAATGAGAAACAACACCGGTCCCAAAACGGAACCTTGTGGAACCCCACTGTCAATGAAGCGTTTCTCTGATGAAATTCCATCTAATAGAACATTCTGCCGCCGATGAAAAAGGTACGTCTCAAACCAAAGTAATGCCGATCCTCTAAATCCGTATACTTCCAGCTTGCGAAGAAGCAGCATGTGGTCTACACAATCGAAGGCTTTGGTTAGGTCACAAAACATGGCCGCCGCAGATTCTCTGTCATTCAGATTGGTGTACAGGTTTTCCATGAGTGAAAATATGGCGTCTTTTGTGTACCTTTTGAAGACTGAAAGCCAAATTGGAATAAATTTATCACCTTGTTTTTCTCGAGGAAGGATATTACTCGTTTTTAGACAAGACGGGTAGCAGAGCAATTGGCCTAAAATTAGCTGGGTTGTCAAGATCGCCTCCTTTATGTAGAGGAATGATTGTGGCAATTTTCAGACACGATGGAAACATACCTTTAGAGAATGAGAAATTTATTGCCTCCGCCAACACACTCAAAGCCCTTTCAGGAAGAGTTATCAGAATTTTTAAGGAAATGGCATCCCACCCCACCGAATTTTTATTTTTGATTTCACCAAACATTTCTTTTATTTCATAGATATCCGTAGGTGCGAAGAAGAAAGTAGAAGTTACTGTAATATTTTTCAAGTACGACATTGGGTCGTTTTTCACAATGATTTTTTCAGCTAGTTTACTTGCCACAGAACAATAAAATGAGTTCAATTCATCTGAGTTAAGAGTTAGTTTTATTGACTCGGTCATATGCTTTCCTCTCAATTCATTGATAATATTCCATGTTTCTTTTTGTTTATTCTTGGAGTATTCAATTCTGTTGAAGTAATACATATTTTTGGTATTTGTAATTACTTTTCTATATATATTCCTATACTTACTAAAATAGTTCATGAAATCAGTATTATCGATATTTCCATGTTTTCGAATGTGATGCAGTGCTCGCATATTTTTTGCAGATACTTTTATACCTTTTGTAATCCAAGGTTTTTTGGTTTTGTTTTTTAAATTTCGAATGGGAAATGCACAATTGAAATTCAAAGATAGTAATTTATGGAATTCACTCAGGGGGTCCTCAAAATGTAGGACTTTATTCCAGTCAGACTCTTCACAAAGTTGGGCAAATTTATTATAGTTGTGTTTACTGAAAAGTCTTCCTCGTCGTAAATACTTTTTGTTGACGTTTCTCTCGAATGATAAATTACACAAAATGGCTTCATGGTCTGATAAACCAATGGAGTAAGGATCAAACAATAATGGAATTTGATCTGTGTAGAGGAGAACCCCATATCTTTTATTGCTAAAGCTAACCAAAATAACTTCTGGAGCACCACGATGTAACCAAAAATACTACAGAGCTAGCTTACGAAGCAGGAGTATGAACAGTTCCTGATACTGCCATCTGTGATGCTAGCTGAACGTCGACCTTCAAGAAACTTTTAAATAATGAATAACCATAGAAATCAGTGCATTAAATTTGCTTTCAAACTTAAGTATGATTAGTGACTTATTGAAAATGTTTGTACCATAATTAGTGAACATTTGTAGGTTAGCTGCAATGCAATGCCTGACAACTTTATTTCAATTCAGTCCAAACAAAGCGGTTTCCAGATATATCTGATAGACGATAATGACAAATTAGATTTATTTATTTATTACACAGGATTACCCCTTTTATAATAGTTCAAGTATCAAATATAATAAATATTTATATACAATTTAAAAATTAAACTTTAATAATGTAAAAGTAAGACTTGAAGTGAACTCGAGCATGTGTAAAAATGAGTGAAAGTACTTCACATTTGTTATATAATTAATTTTCAAGTCCCTCTCAGAAGGAATTTGGATGTTTACAGGCATATACCTGTGATCTCTAGATGTAGGTTTTTTATTCAACATTCTGAATGAATAATCAATAGTAGAGTACATTCCATAGTTTGCATAATGGAAAGAAAAGTGAAACAGGTCATTATTTCTCAAAGTTCTCTTTGGCACATGTAAGTGAACCCTTTCGAGAAGTTCCAGGCATGTAATAAGGCCATTCTCTTCTGCTCAACAAGTCTAGAATAAGACTGTTCAAAAGAATTGCATAGTTATGATTGTTAATGTGTATGATCATTTTATAATCACAGAACATCAGGAATTTATTCAGTAACAAATCAACTTTGCCTTAAATCAACATTTATTATAGTCATGAATAAATAAATACAATTTGAGTTACAACATTAGTATAAATAAATAAATATAACAAATTATGTACTAGTGAATAAATATGTAAGCAACTCTGGTTTGGTCATTTCCCTTTTATATTTTTGAACAATTTCCTGAATCTTCAATCTCCTACGTAGATGTGGTGGTTGATAACTGAAAAAAAAATCACGTTTCAAGTGAGACTTTCCTTTTTTCCTTGCTACATTGTTAATCTTATTATGTTTTATAAGTTCTTTTGAGTCTTAGTTCTAGCCTTAGTTACGTTATATTTCAAGACCGTGGTTAAGTAGAAGAACAGAGTGTGGGCAAGTGGGCATTCTCCTTATACATCCGCACTTTCTTATTTCACAAATTATTAACAGTGGTCAAAAATAATTTTGATATCAGTTTAATCTTTGCTTCTTGCATCATTACGATGATTAAACTCACCTATCAGAATCAAGTCTCTTCCTTCGTGCCATATTTAATGCAGTGTGTCTCACCAAAGGTCCCAAAGCCCTTCTGCTAACTACCATACCGTCAACCAGAGGAGAAGCTAAACTTACTCGCCCTGTTGGTCCTTGTAAATGGATCCTCAACAAACCCGTAGAAAGGAGATGTAAAAATATCACCAAGACGTCACTAGTTTTTGGAATCTGATCTCTTTCTAGGCCGGTATTCATGCAATTCAACAAATCCCCTGTATAATTCAAGAATTACTTGACAATAATGTGCAATCGATAAGTCAGAATTTTAATTTGTTAGGTTCTCGCCACATCCAAAGACAAACTCACCTATGGGAAAATTGAGATGATCCTCGAAACTTTCAAGCCAAACCACCATAATTTTTGTATTAGTATGAGGGTGCAAATTAGATCTATGGACTGTTCTTTTTGGGGGCACCGGTTGTTTATCCAAATCAAGACTCAGGGCTCGCTTATCTGACCAGCTTCTATCACTCCATGCTGAGAATAAATCGAATGGTGATGAGATGTATATAAACTGGGAATGACGGTAAATTTGAAAAATGAATATTCGATCATCAAAGCAATTGAATTATACCTTTTTCCACCAAGTTATCAGGCAAACAACCATATTCATCAACGAAAAACAGATTTGAGTCTATTACTATGAGACAAGTACACATTCAAATATGAAATTTCCATTTCGACAATGAGGTAACACTAAAGTTCTATAGCCACAAATTATTTTCAAAAACAGGACAATACATTTATGGGGATGACAAAGTTTTTTCATATTCAACAGGATATCTTTATTCCACTTCGAGAATGAACTAATTCAACGCATTTTTTGCCTTTCATTTATTGTATCCCAGCATATTTCGGGAATTCTTGCTGTACTATTTCCAAGATCAAATACAACTGATACAATAGTACAAATACAACAGTAGAACTAATATATTTTGCTGTAATGCAAACCCAACTTACATGAGAGGCTGCTCGTGTTGAAACTAGACTGTTCTAAAGAAGAATCACTTGGTTTCCACTGAGAAGGAATAACAAAAGCCAATTCAGAGCAAGCATCTGCCCAGTAAAGGACATGACTTGAACCATCGTACAATTTTTGTTTTTGAGTTGTGCCCTGTTCTGTGCTTCCTGCCACTCTCCAACTAGTAGACGTATGACCAGTCCAACCTAATGCAAATGTAATGAAAATATGCTGAGTATTTTGATGAGTTTTTTTTTTATTATGAATTTTGGCCAACATAATCCTTACTTACATCTCAAAATTTGTGATTTATGATTCAAGACTAAAACAGGACAAACATTCAAAATTTTTCATGTCAAATGTTTTTTATGTACACATAATATGAAGTATATTCATTATCCATTCAAATTGAACACCACTTATATTGTTATATTTTCGCAATCTGAACAAAGAAACTGATTCCAAAAACAAACATAGTTCCTATAAAAAAGTCTTTGCTTGAATGAGCTTTCTTTTTGAATTTATAAAACTCACAACTATCATTCCTGGATCTTTTAGTTATAAGGAATATCAATTAAGGTTAAGATACCACGTCAAGGAAAAACTTGTTTACTATGAAAATAGCTAAAAAAAACGGATATCCTTCAATCATAGTGGATAAGTTGATTAGATAAAAAAAAATAGAGAATGTTTTTCTGAAAATTTGAAGATTCACTACGACATTCGACATTAATTAAAAGTCCATGGATTAACCCAAATTTTCAAAATAAAACTGTGGGGATTTCAACAGAAAGAAAGTTGGTTTCATAGACTAGAGACATCTCAACACACCTTTTTCTAAGGCAATGGTGTCTGTTATTGTCCTCTGAATATAATTTTTCTAGTTAAAATAAAATAATGAAAAAGATTTCAAATTAATTTTTATATCTTTTTCTCTTGTCAAGAGTAACGAATTTGTACCTTCCATTTTACTCACAAAAGAAATAAAAAATGTAATGTTTTTAGTGGCTTTGAATTAACTTATTTATTATAATAATTTTATATAATATTTGAATAGTTATTATCCGAGGAAGTAATAACATTGAATCTACTGAAAAAAGGACTACAAAAGGAATAATAATTGTAAAAAGAAAAATTATAGAGAATAGAAGAAAACAGTCACTCATACAATATTTGCATACATACCTGGATGTTTACTGATTTCAACCGGCCATCCTAGGCTATGAATGAACTCTGAAAAATAAGTTGAGAGGATACTTTCATTCAAGACATTGCTCACTATATCCGCGGCTTCTGTCTGCTGCGATCTGACATAAAATATGTGCACTGTGTCACAAGTTCGTGGACTCATATTATCCAGAAAGGTCAGGTCCTTACAAAATTCACTGGCACTGCTATCTAGGGCAGATAAATGCAAACCGTTCTCTGTGACGTCCTAAAAACACGAAATCTCATTGATTATATTATCTACGAACATATAAATTAAAAGCAAACTCTAATCGTATACACCAGAACGCTTTTCTTAACGAGAATTTCAGCGACCAAGTTGGCGCCATCAGGAGATTAACTATACGTTTTCATACATACATTTTCACGAACGACAGACTTTAATTTGTTTTACTTTAGAAGATTAATAGGCCGTACCTCAGGTTCATCCAAGGCCAAAAGTCCAAAGTGTGACAAAAATAGTCTAGCAGTTTGGAAGTCATGACACACAGGAGGAGGAGTACACTCTTCTAAAGTTGCAGACGCCTGCCTCTGAGCTATATTTGATTCCACTGAATTTTGCCTATTCATCAATTGAGTTATCATCTCTATATCTTTATTCAATGCTTCATCATTGGCCAAAACTGCTTCAAGAGGTGGAATTGACTGATCGCTAGAAGAAATAAATATGGGAAATTAATGTTTGGGAGTCATGGGAGGTAACAATCATCATTTGTAAGACGACTTTTCAAATGTCTATTTTTTCATAAACACATAAAGAATGATACATTTCTGAAAGAAAGAAGATTGATTTAAACCGAGCCCAGGGTTTTATATGAGAAAAAACGTTTTCAGTAACATTTTGAATAGTAAGTTACTCAATTGAATTGAAGGGATTATATTTTCAGGAGTGATTAATTTTTGGAAAAGAAAGTTTTTGGCTTTCTACTACTCCATCTTGTTTTTTGTATCAAGATGGACTAGTAGAGAGCCAAACACTTTCTTTTCCAAAAGTTACTCAAATTTTTTTATACTTGAAAATTTCATACATATATAATTACAAACTTGTTTGACAATGACTACTAATAGACAAATCAGCATTCCACTCTCAAAAATTTAACATTCCTAAAATATATCCTTTTCAATTTGAACAGAAAATATATTCTGAATATCGAACAAAAATCCTAAATTTGTTCCTTGTAGTACTAAAAATTGAGCCTCACAATATTTAATGTATTTCTATACCTGTGAGGTGAGTAAAAATTGCTAAAAGCTATATTTATATTGATCCTTTCATTACTTGCTATTTGCAAGCTGAAGAATTTCTCCAGTTTCGACAAATTCAAGTTAAACAGTAAAATCATTAAAGAAACCATTGCATTTCTGATTGAGCCCTTAACCAATTCTTATAAACCATTGCTTTACTGAAGAGTATTTCCCGATATTCAAAGTAAGCATCTTCATTATCCCCATTTTAGGTGAAATTTTGGAAATTCCAATCACAGGGCATCCAGTTCAGTTTCATTAGGAACAGATCTTCAACTGATACAGGGGTAAAAGTAATTCAAAATGTTGAAAATATGTGTTAGGAATCACACGTTAAAAGGTAAGACCTCGTTGGTCCTTAGCTCGCACACGTTTCTCAACTTCTGAGAGTAGCGTTCGTATGGGGCAGCAGCTGATTAACGGAAAAACAGATTTAAAAACAGATTTTTAGATATATGATATACTATGGAATAGTCTGATACTTGATGTAAATCCATAACTAATGTATTCAAAAAACACTTTATTGTGAGATTTTCACTAAACAGTTTTACAAAATAGGTTGTGAAAATCTCACAATAAAGTGTTTTTTGAACACCGGTCTCCTCTTAAAATAAGCATATTTCTCAAACGTATGTAAAAATACTGGGCATCACGATTATGACTCACTCAAATGGAAATTTCACATTGTTCATTTGTGCAAAAAATATTCAAACTCAACTCTACCTCCTTCTCCAAAAAACATTCTGAGTCACCACATATCATCAACCTCCTATCATTTGCAGTTACACTCTCACCTAGTGATGGAACTCTTTTGAAAAAAAATCCTCTCATGCTCATAAGCAAAAAAACGCTCAGAAAATCTTCATTTTTCAATAAATTTCTACCTCTGTCTTTCATTTTTAATTCTATCCAGTTTGTTAGATACTCATGAAATGAAAAGTTTATTTCCCATTCAAACATCCCAACAAGAGCAAGTAATTGTCTGGATAATATTTGCACGAATATTGACATAGGTTTATATAATAGCAAGGTGGTTGATAATTACCTCAGTGATCATCAAAATGCTTCTATGTCATCATGTTATGATCGTTATGAACGAATAAATATTATTATTATTATTATTTACTTACACTTTACACTGCATGACTCTATCGACACTATCAGGAAAATATTTTTGCTTGACTTGAGCTCTAATCGGGGCATCTTGCATGACAACTGGGCGACAAGCATTATGAGCATGATATTTGGTTCCCGATTTATGTCTAGGTAAATGTCGTAGTTGCATTGTCCAAGCATGTCTTCCGAATGGACCACGAATTAATAAAGTCACTGTAGGTTGAGGATCCTGAAAAAAAAAATGAATAAAATATACTCACAAAAATTTTCCATTGACAAAAAACTTGGCTTTCTACTTCTCCCTTAATATTCAAAGGGTGAAAATCTCAGAAAGAGAAGAAAAAAAAGAAATTAAAAACTCTTTGCAAAAAATGTATGGATCATGCACAGATGTTCCTCTCAGATACAAACTGAAAGAAGAAATATTTATGAAATAACTATGTTTATTAGGAATATCACATCATAGAGAAATCACTTTGACACTTGTGACTCGATAATCAATTCACATTTGTACCTCAATGATTGCTCTGATATTCCATAATCACTATCAATTTGTTGTGTATAGTTCATGGAATCGTTCATGTTTCATTATTCTAAGAAATGTCTTTCCAAAAATATTGTTTTTCAAGAGGTCTCTATTTAATCTAGAGTTTCAAGAAAAAACTCCTATGAAGTAGGGCAAATTTCAACAGAATCCTCCCTCCTCAGGTTGCACATCTTGAACGATAAACATTATATCTGTCTTGAGTTGAGTTGGTGGATCAACTGCATTGTATGGAATCAGATGTTTTTCAAGTCTATGCAGGTCGTTAATCTAATGAATGAATCTGATCCTCACAATGGCTTCTGCAATTTTATCAGTTAAAGTGTATTGTCTTACTTGATACTCAACGATACTGTTTTCTTATCAAAGGTCTTATAAGTTTCCTCAAGAGAGGTGATTTTAATCTCACAAATTCATTGTCGGTTTTCACTTAAAGGAAGGATATTTTCGATAAATTCTTCATATAGGGCAACAGTTCTGTCTGCAAACTATTAGGGCCTCTGAGCCCAGATTTTATCTTCAGATACATGGGATTGGAAAGAGTAAGAGAAAACTACTCGCTCTGGATTTACACCAATCCTTATGCTCTATTAATCAACCTTAAACAAATTCACTGATGAAATCTTCAAAAATGTATTTATTTCGACATCAGTGATTGAGTATCAGTTTTTTTTTGCAATATGGCAATTTAAAAAAGTATCTCTCTGTTATAGTTAGCAGCCATCATGGTTACAAATATTCACAATGTTATGTACACAATGAAATTTAGTATCAATGAGGTTTTCTTTTAAAATATTGTGTTTCTCTGAATTACTATGAATTTCTTCATGTGCACACAGACTTGCCCTTATAAACCATTCAGTTTTTAATTACTTTACCCGAACCTAAACTGTCCCTCAATATGTTCCATCATTGGGTACAGCCAGAAAATACTGATCACTTTCTGTACAATGCCCTTAGGCACGGCACCAAATATTGGATTGGGCCCTGTGAGATACCATATAACGCAAGGCCCTGGACCCGGGCCCAATGATGAAGATACGACAGTCCTCGAGAATCAAATCCAAGAAAAGTGTCTCATTACAACTCTCAACCAATAACTCATACTGAGCATCAAGAGTTGTCATTCAAGTGAGTAAGGTCGATAACATCTCTCCTTAAGAAGACGCCATCTATGGGATCAACAAAGAACTCAATCCTTGAATATCAAAGATAAACGAGGCTCCCAAGGCGGTCATTTGCAAAGCCAAGGTTCGACATTGACCGCCGACTAGATTCGCCCTCTGTCTTTCACTACAAACCGAAGCCCAAACAGAAAGCATTTTAATTCAACGCCAGACAACAGTTTCGACTCGCCATAGATTTCATCAGTGTTGGTAGGCTGAACCACAAATACGACGCTGGATTCAAGGTGTGTTGAATCATAAATGAGTTGTGTTTGCTTCAAATAGTTGCCTTGCAGTGAAAAACAGTAGACAAATTTCATCGGGGGTCCATGTCAAAGCTTGGCTTTGCAACTAATCTAAACTAAACAGTGTTGTCTAGTGTTGTATCATAAATACGTTGTATTTGGACTCTGGTTTTCAACTTGTTATTCTAGATTTACTTATCACTAATAGTGTATAATGGTAGTTCAATTCACTGGTAAAAATGGCCCTAAAAGTGAACTTTGAAGAACACCAAATATCATTTTATACCGATTGGATACAATATTGCCAACACTGAAATGAAATTTCAACTAATTCCAAAAATATACCAATTGTATGAATTGTTTGTCAAAATGATCTTCATTTGTCCAGGCCTTAATGAATTTTTTCAATACAATTGGAAAGAATTATAATTGTATATGATCAGTCGGGAGCTGGTTGGTTAGAGTAGAAAGTTTGTTCTACTCTTTGAATCAACCTCTATTGTGAATGTCGGTTTGATCCTAACAATGGGATGATCAATGTTCACAGCATATTGTTTGACCCAGGCTGAATTTTTAACCCAATTCAAAAGTCTACTTTTTTCTATCTATGGGATTATATGTGAAACAAAAGCCTGGACCAACTATTTCTTACCTGATCATTGCCAAGTGGTTCTTCAAGCAATGCCAGCATCACAGATCCTTCTGTCACAAAATACCTAAACCTCTCCACAGCGGCAGACTGATCATTACAGTCGGTAGGCCAAGAATTGCAATGTTTCAAAAGAGACACTTCATCTAACAAAGAGGATATAGATTCAGGACCGCATTCACTGGGAAAGTATGAAACCTGTTCTAAAATACACGTGAGAAGGTTTTCAGCCGCATCTCTCACTCGCATGGAAGCTGGTTTCAGTTCTTTTTCTTCCTTCATTTTGATGGGTTCGCCTGGTTTACCTACTGATTTCGTTCCGGAGATTCCTAATTCGGCAACTTCTAAGACCTGAAAGGAAATGAAAGTTTTTTATCATTATTTTTAAAGAAACTTTGTGTTCAGTTACACCGTTGTTTGTCATATTAAGTTTTCGCCAAATTATAATACCAAAAGTATATGGTAACAAAAATCAACCACTATTAGCCCAAAATAGGTTACTGTAAGTTTGTTCATTGAATAACAGAGTAATTTGTGAGTCCCCCATTCTAGGAGTGTGTACGAATATAAGAACGAAAATAGCCGTATCAGTACCTCTAGAACTAACAGTCACATTGAACAAAGTAGTGTGCTTGTACAAGTGAAGATTGTTAGTATACTTTTACAGACAGTATGCCAAACTGATGTGGTCACAAATAACCACTAATCCATATGATGACGGGTTGGCTGTCCTTGTTCATCTTTCATTGCCTGAACCACTGTGCATGCTGTTATTGGCGAATGCATTGGCTTGTGATGTAGGGGTTGAGCAAACCGGCCATCGGATGCCTGCTTTCATGTAGCTCCGCTGAATATGGGAATGACAGAATCACTTGTGGCAGAGCCGTACTCTTACCATCTGACCTGAAAGACCATTCACCATACAAACTAATCGGCTTCGTTAAGAAGCTGGATTTATTTGGCCGAGTGTGAATAGGTGTGAGCCACAATAAACCCTTGTGGGTTGCGGTGAAGGGTCGAACAGACCTACTCACTTTGGACCTAACCTAACCTAATCCATATGATTTTCTGGTGTTTCCAAGATGATCCAACACATTATCAGCTGATGCACACAATAGTTCACCTTTCAGAACTACCAGCTAAAAAATATACAGCTGATATCTAATTAAAAACAAATTGAGACTTGGATTTTCAATCAAAAAACACTGAAATCCATGGAACCACTACAAACATTTTTCATGCAGAAGCTGTGAGGGAAAGAAACTCTTGTGGCACAAAAATAAAATTGGCGAAGAAACTTTCCAAAATTATTAACCTGACTTAATTAAATTCTGTTCAATGTAAAAGATAAAAAGTCAGATGGTATGGTCGACTTTATAAAATTCTTTAGAAAAATCTTTGTACTGGACATAAATTTGACTACATTCAATTGAATATTACTTGAAATGAAATTCATTTGAATGATTACTTAATAATGGAATAAGACACTGTGTTGATGGTTCAGTGATAATAAGATCTAAACATTCTAAACAATATTACTTTGAATTCAAACTTGCCTGTAGTAATTGATTATTGAGGGAAATTAGTAACTTACTGTATTTAGACAATCTTTGTCCCGAAGGAGATACGGATGTTCAAGTAACCATACTGAACAGCACTGAAAAGCAGCTACAATTGTAGAATGTAAATCTTTGGAATGAGCAGGTGGGGGACGTGAGCACTGGGAAACTATATAGTCACAGAGCCATTTGACAGCTCTCTTGCATTCCATTGCATCTGAAATATTACTTTTGTTAACCTCTTACACACCAGGATATAAATTTCTTGAATGAACATTTCGATGTTATACATATTAAAAAAGTTCACTGTGAATGCACAAAAATGCATTTGTGATTCATTGGTGCAAGTAAACTGTAGTAAAGTGAATTTGTTGAAATCATTGATTCTACTTTCCCTTCCTGATATTATTCACCACAAAAATGGAAGTGAATAATATTCATATACTGACCTGAGCCTTTGATGTGAATCCTAGCCAAACCAGATAATAGCTCCAAAGCAGCAAGGGATACATTCAAATCCGTTTTCCAAGAAGAAATTAATCGATGGCAAACTAAATATGTCGCTCTCACAAACAGAGCATGTGCTGAATCTACAAAATAAATCGAATGAATACAAATGGAGATTATTTTAATTAAAATTCAAAGTATAAATGTAAGCAGACAAATGAAAACATAATTTTTATCTTGCAAATTCTTGTAGATATATAAAGTTGAAAATTAATGCTCGAATAGAAGATAATTGATTTGGTCACAATTCAAATATTTTTTTATTCTAACATATCAAACCAGTTTTATAAATTAGCTTTGTCAATTACGATGGATAAAGGTGGATTTGATTTCAACCAAAATCATGTATTTATAAGCAGGTGAAACATTAAAAAATGTTGATATTTGAATGAAAATTAGATTTTTAAATACATTTTTGGTATTGTAAATATATAGAAAATTATAGGAAATATATGGTGGAATTATGTTGAAAGGTGAGGTTGTGTTGAAAAATTCTAAGCCTACTACAAGAGCAAACAAAATTTTATTGTCAAAATATTTCATTATTCAAAATACTCTCTTTTCAATTGAATGTCTATTAGAGCGAACCTGCAACTTTCAAACAAAATGTCTATCTTGCCCAGGAAACCAAGCCTTCAAATCTTCTACCACCTAATACAAAAATTATTTGTAGAAGGGAGTGTTATTTCAAAGAACTGCTTGAATTGATCACGATTACTTCTTGGCAATCCCCAAAAATTGAAACGAGAACTTTTCCAGCAGATTTTTGAGTGTCTCCAATCCATCGATTACTGCTTCGTTTCTGGGTTGTAGAAATATACCCAAATTTCATTCACACGTTGCTTACCTATATTTTGAAATGAAACTTCATCAAACTTGACATATATATAAACTTTTTTTTACTACTACTAATAATAATAAGTCTGCTTATCATCTTGTACTAATAATAATAAATCTCTGGGAAAATTATGGACTTTCTTTTATAGTAAAAAATGAGAGAAAAATTACCTCCTGAACCAATATTTTTTTGTAACAAAGAATTATTGACAATGAAATGGTTGAATTCTACTTGCTTTAGTATTATCACACAATATTCAAAATTATAAGGTGTTTTCAAACAACCTCTTCAAGAGCACCAATTTTCGAGTTGCTTGCAAGTGACGAAAGTGATGTAAAAAAATAAAGTGCATTATAATATTTCATTCAACATACCTAAGTGTAGCGACAGTGGGTCACAATCAGTGGAACCAAACTGATCAGATGTTGTGGAACGTTCACTGCTAGCCATGCTCACCATACTTGCAGTGTCAGAAGCTACATAAGCCATAATTCAAGCAGATACAAAATGCAAAGTAAAATAGTGAAATGAAAAAAAAAATTGAAACAAAGTGCAGATTTACAAATGCCAAAGCAGATTTTATAAATAAAATTGCCATATAAATTATAATTTCATTTTGAATCAGATTGTTCAATATTCCATATCTGTTGAGACAGTTGAAAATTACATGCTAGAAGTTCAAAAATTTTATCCAACAATGACAATGAAAAAAAGGTTTCACCAACTGAGAAATAGTTCTGTTTGATTTGTCAATAGTATTTCTTGTGATGTAATAAATACTAGTAATGCTAGAAATGCTAACAATAAATATTACTGGAGTTTTATCCCAACACCAAACCGTTATTTTTAACATCTCGACATGTGTTTCGATCACCAAGTGATCATCTTCAAGAAGAAGATTAATCTGAGTTTAATTAAACCGAGTTTAATCTTCATCTTGAAGATGATCACTAGGTTTAATTAGACTCATTAAACTCAGTTTAATCTTCCTCTTGAAGATGATCACTTAGTGATCGAAACACGTGTCGAGGTGTTAAAAATAACGGTTTGGTGTTGGGATAGAACTCCAGTAATATTTATTGTAAGCATTTCTCATTTCCAATGTTTTTACTCTAGTTTTTTTCTTATTTCATCTTACCTATTATCTTAACAATTAATATGTCTCTATTATCTTCAAATTTTTCTAGTTGTGTAACGTATTCAAATAAATTTTATTTCAACTGATTATGATCATGAGAATGATGAAAATAAGACCATTCATGCATTGACTGTGGCCGAACATCCTTCTGCCTGGCCAAAATCATCAATCACCTTGAACAGAAGAATAAGGAACTCTTCAAGTGGAAAAAAAATTGAATAAAACTGTTCAGAACCCATATTTTACTCTACTGCCATATGTTGGATACATGTAGACATACTCATAGAAAAAAATAGATCTACTTGAGAAATTCTTAGTTTTGTTATTCAAAAATACAAAATATTTCAGCGATTCTCAATAAAACTTTGAATTTCTCAATCTCGCACAGGGTTTTAGAGATGAACAATAAAATGTCCTGCTTATACCTGAGCTAAGCAAATTGGAAGAAGTTTCAGTGGAAGGCTGGGTTACTTGGTCAACTTTTTCGAAAATAGCAGAGTCCTGAACACACAAAAATAAACCTCCCAGAAGCATATGTGTATTTGCAGGATCAGATTCTATCTGCAAGGCATTCATCAAGAGATTCATCAACTTTGGTTTCAGTTGAATGAAAGTAACGGGTTTTTCACTTGATCCTGAAATAATAAAAATAATATTTTAATACATCAATCAAAAAAATATATTATCAATAAATTACTTAAAAAAGAGCATGCGCAAAATCAAGATTCAGTACATTCACAGATGATACTTTTCTAATCTACGTAACTCAAATCTAGCTTCGACATTCTGAGCTCCTTAGGTAACTGGGGAGATTTTATAGCAAATGGATTCCAATATTAAAAGTATAGACTTTGTGTATTTAGTTTACAAATTTAGTGTGTTTGTTCAATATATCAAAGCGTAGTTAATGTGGTAAAGAAATTATCTCATATTTTCAACTATTTTTCTAAAGGAAAATTTCCTTTTTTGGTCTTTATGATAAATTCACCATCTGGTATGTGAAGCTACTACAATGAGTGAAGCTAAATTCAAAAAGGTAATTAAACTCGACAAAAGTGGATCGGAGTTGAAACAGAAAAAAACAAATTCGAAAAGAAAACTTAAACAACGCATTACATTGGAGGTTAATTCTCTTGAAGTAACAAGAAAAGAAATAGAAATTGTTGATAGGACAGTCTATCTACACAAAATATTGAAAAATATAGGAAATAAATACAAAGAGAAAGATAGCAACAAAGTCTTGTGTGAAAAAAGCTATTATTTTGTAAGATGACAGTATTTTTAAGAAAATACAATAAATTTGAATAGATCAGTTTTCCCTTCATATATATAGAAACTAGCGATCCGTCACGGCTCCGCACGGGTGCAATGCTGACACAAAATAAAAATTCAACCATCGGAAATTTAAGAGTATGAAGAAAAGGTGATGAAAAGATAATTTGGTTTTATAGACGCGCCTTTTTCTTCCACGGCTGGCGCCCCAGTTGGAATATTTGAAAATCCTTTCTTATTGCACATTTTCAATATAAAACGAACCTACATACAAAATTTCAGCCTCTGAAAATATAGTGGTACAGAGAAACAGTGATGAAAAAGTCATTTTCATATGTAAACGCGACCCTTTTACCCCTACGAGGTGCGCTCTAGTTGGAATATTTGAAAATACTTTCTTATGGCGCATCTAAGACCTAAGAAACGCCTATATAACAAATTTTAGCTTCCTAGGACTTACCGGTTCGGAGAAACGGAGATGAATGAATGTTAAGTGAGTGACTTTCGCATTTATAAGTATAGATTTTCAACAGGTAGCTTAAAATAAATTTAAAATGATAACACAAAATCGATCATAGTGACAGTCTAGAGAAGGCAAAAGGCATACAGTATACAATGGAGAAATACAGGGTTTTGTAAACGTTCAGATACAAAGTTAAAGCCAAAAAGCCGATTTCCAAAAAAAAAGAACCTCTCGTAAAAATATACCCCCCTTAATTTAAATACAAAAATGTTGTTAATATTGATACATACTTTTTTGTATGATATTAAATAGTTACTATAGTTATATGCAAATGAAATATAACACACCTGTATTTATGAGTTCCTTGATAACAGTGCCATGGAAATGCAGAGGCAGCACCAACATTGATAACAAAAGATGTATAGATGCTTTCCTGAGTTCCACTTTATTAATATTGCTACTCAATTTTAGATCTTTTTCAGGCAAAACAACTTCTAGTGCAGAAATAAAAGCAGGCATGAGAATCCTCACGCCATCCAGATCTAAGTGAAACAGGTCAGGAGAGTTGATTAGAATGGCGGCCAAACATTCACCGCATTCCCTAGAGGATGACACTTTGAGACCTTGAATGATGGCCAAGTAGAACCTGCCAAATGTAAGATGGTAATAAAACTGAAATATACCATTTATTTTGGCGTTACCGAGCGAGGTATACAGGTAGAATTTCTTCTCCGGTTTTTTTGGCACACATAATTCGGCAAAGAGTCCCAAGAGCTTCAGCTCTACCACTTTCATATTTGTCGATTGTCAAGCCAGGAGGCAGCTCACTGGTGTCAGTCATAGAACCAGGTTGAGAGAAGTTTAATGAAGTTTTACTGTCCATTACCACAGAGTTTGGTCGTTTTTGATCAATTAGTTGCCCTGAAAAATATTTGTAGTTAAATTGTTCTAATACTTTGAATTTCATTAACATACTTTGAGGTAATTCACAGCCAATGAAGGCTGCTTCGAATAACCATTCTCCAAACAGGTGTAATATTGTGTTACACTTTGCTCTTCCTGGAGCCAAAGGTGTCCTTGGTTCCAGACCAAAAGATGTGAGAGCTGAAAACAAGTGAAAATCTACCTTATATTATCAAAAAACAATTGTTACTCGGGTTGTATTCTGAGATCACCAAAATTCTGAAACATTCTTTGAAAATTCAACGTCATAGTACATTTCTAATTTTTGTTTTTAATTTGTATCAACTTGCAATCAAAATTATCAAAATCGCTAATTCAGGTTTCTTGATAGAGGTGATAGTGAATATATCTATTCGATCTCCCACTTCAATCCACCAGGTTTTATTGTGACTTCACCTATTCAAACTTGACCAAATAAATCTAGCTTCTTAACGAAGCCGATTACTTGATGAGGCGATAATTTGCTTCTTGGCTGCACCACCTAGCCCCACCTTGGCCCCACATTGGGCGCCAAGATGTAACAGGGATAATTTTTTTCTGGGTCAGGATGCTTCAGTTTATTTACGATTGTCTATAACAACTCCCAAAACTAAAAATTTACTAATTCCAGTAATACATTCATTTTAAAGAACAAAATTATCACTTACCTAACACCAGGAAGAAAAATTTGCTTTGCAATATTCAACAAATAAATTATTTTCCAAAGGGCTATCAGCTTGGTCTGTCGGCATCGAAATTCACAGAATAAGGTTGAAAATAAAAAACGAAAGGTCAAATAAAAAGGAAAACAACAAAAACCTTCGTCGCCAATGCTGGATTGTAAACAATTATTTCACAGACGGTCAACTAGTACCATCTGGCGATATATAGCACAGGATACTTTCCTATGCTACACTAGGTTAATCAACAGGATCTGAACTGATAAGCTCTTGATCTTGATCCTATGTAAAACGAGTCGAAGTCAGATTCGTGGGTTACTTCATAGTCCATAAAATATCCCACGGTGCCACGAAAAAAAAGCAAAACCCTGCATTACCGTGACAATACTTTCTACAACTAGAAGGTGCCCAGTATCTTGAAGGATCCATTAAGCACATTGAGTGGCCTCAGAGTCACACATCCTTTCGGCATTGGTATACACACCTTAGAAAAATGTCTGCATTTAAGAGGACCTCTACCTCTACGAGTGACACCTCATTCGTCAGGGTAATTCTAAAGCACCCTGGTGTAAAAAGAGAGGGAGTTAAAAACTAAATCAATAAAAATTCAACTTCAGCGTGAAAAAAAAGAACTTTTATTGTCCAAACAGGCACTAGACCCAATTACAGGGCACAGTATACAATTTTGGGATGAAAGTGTTAAATATAGGAGATATATACATATCACAATAATAATACATTCTACGGGTTGGCTGTCGTTGGTCATCTTTCACTGCCTGAACCACTGTGCATGCTGTTTTTGGCAAGGCTTGGGATGTGGGGGTTGAGCATCCCAACGATGGCTTAATCCTAAAGTGTCTGTATCCATGCCAAGAGGATGAATGATACTGAGCTGGTTCTATGGAACCTTCGAGATACCGGGCACCCTCTCGTCGTAGTATCACCTTTTCACGGTAATGCGGGGTTCTGCCGTGACTGACCTTCTATCCGTAGCTACTCGTGGAACTTTTATGGACAGAGTAAACTTAAAAATACTTTCTGACGCTGAGTCTATAGGGAAGATGGATGTCGAGTTTACGACTCCAATTGACCTCCCTGTAAATTTAGTTCAGGAGCGAATCTACAGAGGAGATAGATGTCGAGTTTACGACTCCAACTGACCTCCCTGTAAATTTAGTTCAGGAGCGAGAGCTTCTCAACTCCCCAAATCCTGATCCAATAACTGAACCAGGAAACGACTGAGTAGCCTCCTCAAGAGCGGGGTACCTTATAAAACCGTCTTGCACCAAATTCTTGAGCAGGTTAGCAAACGTTTGCGCTCAAGTGATGATTCACCAAAACCAGAGGCAAAAAAGCTCTGAACGATTGAATCCCTCATATGGGAAGGTTGTCGTGGGTATCAAGATGAGAATCTTGCACCTTGACTATCCGACTATCTCATTAACGATGAAACAGCAGAGCATATACTTTGTGCCTGCCCCGTTGGGGACCGAATCAGGTTTTTACAGTTAGGCTTAGCCGTACTCTTACCATCCGACCTGAAAGACCACTCACCATACAAACTAATCAGCTTCCTTGAGAAGTTGAGTTTATTTGGTCGAGTGTGAATAGGTGTGAGCCACAATAAAGCCTTGCGGGTTGCGGTGGAGGGTCGAATAGACCCACTTACTTTGGACCTAACCTAACATAACCTAGTAATACATTCATGAAATATTCAGAAGAAAAAAAATAATAAAATAAATTTCAAGTAAGTGTTTGATGATTAGCAAACAGAATACAGTTTGGGATAAAAGTGTTGGAAATAAAAAATTTACATATACCGTAACAATAATACCTTCAATGAACAAAACAAATTTTAAATGATTATTTGTTGCTTCGCAAACATTATGTTTCTTATCTCTTTTTTGAATATATTCAATTGTGTTGAATAAATGTCTTCTTTCTGACACACCTATTCAATTTATAGCACATTGCAAATATAAAAGGTTTGAATAACATATTGGTTCTCGGTGTTGGTAGGTAAAAACGTTGTTCAGTTCAACCACCGATTCTTGGCACATGAAACTCTAGTTGAGACAGAAGTTTTGGTGAGTTGACAAGTTTGTCCACCAGTTTGTATATGAATACGCAGGAATAATAAGTTCTTCTGTCTTCAAGAGATAGAATATTGAAACGCTGCAACAATATATTATTATCTATTTCCTGTCTGGGGTAGACATTATCTAGTTTGTAGATGTAGATTATCTAGTTTTACTTCTGAGAGTTGTTGTTCGTATGGGGGCGACAGCTGATTAACGGAAAAACTAATTTTAAACAGATTTAAACAGATGACATATTTCATAAATGGTCGTTAGACAGATTCAAGGGATTGAATGAGCGGAATCTAACATAAGCTTAACAAACATAAGCTTGATAGCAGAATCGTAAAATCACTGAAAGAGAACTATTCAACGATTATAAATGACATGAAATTTACTTTCTTTTTGACGATCTCGGGAAGGGCCAAGAAAAAATGTACAAATGAAATTCGTCTAAAAGAGGCACGCCACGGTTATATAGATATACAAGCAACTTCAAAAAACCTTCCTGAAAAATTTAAATATTTCTTGAAATATGAGGCAACAAAATTCTTACACACATTTTTGTTTAGTTATAACAATTCTTCAAGTTTCATGTTCAACAATTTTCTGAAAAATCACTAATACAAAACTCTCTTTTTGAATTATTAGAGATATGAAATTTAAATGTACTGCAAATGAATTCCATAGCTCGCACAAGTTTCTACTTTTGAGGGTTGTCGTTCATAAAGGGGCGACTGCTGGTTAATAATAAAACAGATATTTTTTCAACAGAATCCAATTGTTACGAACTGTAATAATATATTTGAAAATCTTGAAGAAAGAGTGGATCATTTTTCAAAAATCAAGTTTACCGATATTGTAGACCTTGTTGATTTTGTGTGAGTTATAGGCCAGTCATTTTAGGGGTTTACCCAGGAAAGTGGATATACCTAGCTGTAAATTTGTATTAACTTTGTATTTTGGCATCATAAAAGTATTCTCAAAATTCACATGTGATTCGACGGCGGCAACTTCAAAAATTGGGGGTCAAAAGTAAAAAAAAACGACTTTTTGCACGTTTTTTGCCAATATCTCGTTTCCAATGGGTTTTATGCTAATTGTATTCATTATCAATATTGTAGAGAATTAAATTCTGTACAACTTTCGTTTCAACATTTTTTCATACGTTGAATCGTTTTTGAGATAGAGGACAGCGCGGGCGCAGATTAAATATTATTTGAAATCAACTGGTTGTCCCGATCGAAATCAGCTCATTTAAGGTTTATAAATTATTACTTAATGAATAATTATAAATAATTTTCATTTTTTATCAACAAATACATTATATTCAAATATTTTTTTCTAATACTTTTATGATGCCAAAATACAAAGTTTATACAAATTTACAGCTGGGTATGTCAACTTTCCGAAATACAGGCCTAAATCGACCTAAAATGACTCAATGTTTCACTACTAGAAATAGTTGGATCAGGAGTACAAATCATTGAATATTATACCAATATTCTTTTAAAAAACTTACATGAGATACTAGAAGCTGAAGATGGACCGGAATTCGAAACTGACGGAGTCGGTACAGCTGAGCTGCGACTAGTGGTCAAGCCTATTAAAGAAGCCTTTGGTATACCTGGATAGTTTGAAATAAATTAGTGTATATAGCTAGAATTTCGTATATGTAGATACATTAATTGGAAAAGCAAATAGGTGAAGATAACAGAATTGTCAGACAGAGTTTAAGAGTATTAGTTACATTTGATTAGCACAAATGAACTTTATTTGATAACATGTGAAATCATAGGTATCCAAATACAAATAAAAATGTAGTGGGTGCAAGTGCTTGCATGAGAAAAGTTTCTTACAAAAGGCAATGCAAGTTCAATTCAATAATTCTAATAAGAAATTATCTTAAAATAGAAATAGTAGAAATGTGTGTAATAACAAGTTCAAGTTAGGTTTTTCCATTTTTATTATCATATACACTTGCTATATTTCTGAACCCGTGCAACTTTTTGTTTCAGAAATATCTGTACACTGTGCGATAAATAAATAAATGTGATGGTCAAGCAGATAGTGGAAAGGGACAACTTCTATCTGGAAGTTTGGTTCCTACTTAATTATATACATGAAGCAATAAGATTATACATATACAAAGTAAACATTTTCCTGAACTGTCAAACTAATTAAATCACAACATATAGTAAAATAGTGTCAAACAAATGCATATTTCGCAAAAATCTGAAAACATATCAAGTTTGCTTGTGATGAGGACGATTTTTTCCTAAAAACCAAAGCAAAACCTTCAGTCCTCCTAGTGGGGTGTTAAAAGTAATGGGGTTCATGTGATAGCTCATCGATTATCTATCCAGTGCTTCTTTGCTTTTGAAAATAAGTCAATTTCTTGAGTTTCAAAATTTCAACCATACACTTTTCGAAAAATGCAAAAATTTAATAGCTTTCACTTGAAAATTTACCATATTATTCATGTAAATGCTAAAAATAGTAACTGGCAAACTCCATAAAATGATACAGGTTACTTTCAGAGCAGAAAGGGATTCGAAAGTCCTTTTCCATAAAGTATCACACGAGTTCTATTCCCACTGGGGGATGACGCCCCTGTTCAGATATTTGAAAATTCTGGAATGGAAAGACAGAATAGAAAAGAAGAAGAAGTCTTGTAAATATCATCTCTGGGCAGGTGACTCTTAACAACAACAGGCGTCACACAAGGAAAGTTATAGAATTCTACACAAAATAGCACATTTGCAGTGATTGAATGTGTTTGATAGTAGATGTCTTCATGTAGCATGCATATTCTTCGAAATCATCAGATGCAGGGGTCCTCCTTACTTATACTTGTCATTATAGAACAAAAAAGAATGATCTAAATTTATGTAAAAAGATAGGGTCCATCCCTGCTCATGAACAAGAAATATTTAAACTAAGTTTTTCTTATATCTTTCACAATGAATTATCTACATGAATGGGAAAAAATTGCTTTACTTTGTCGTAAAACGTACTTAAAAGTATGTTTAAACAGTACCTAGCATTCAGAAGAACTACATCTGCGCTGGCAGCGAATAATCTGTCAAAAATTCAGTTTATTTGACACCAGACTATCACACTTGAAAAACTCAATATAAACTATTTTCTACAATCGAGAGGTTGATTGTGCTGCATTAACAACCATTAACCTCTCTCCATACCTTGAGGTAAGTGATCAATTTGTCTGAGAATCGTTTGCCCTAAGGAAGTGCAATGAGCAAAGAATAACAGACTTCTGCATTTGTCCGGCCAACATTTCTGCCTTACTGCGGCAAGCCGGCATGACCTTGAGATTCAAGAGTAGAGAGAGCATCGTTCCATCAAGAAATTATTATCATTACTAATTTTCAGGTTGTAACTTTTCCGACACACAAAAAACTTGATATGTTTTTGGAATTTTACGAAAAATTCTATGCCTAGCATGTTTGCTTTGTGATACAGTTGTGGTGGTCCCCTGTAAATAATTAATTTAGGTTTTGTACTAAAAAAATAACTCCAATTCGAATTTCGTAGTATGAAATTCTTATATACAAGATACACCAAAGGTTACAGTATGATCAAATATCTTCATTTTATGTTCATATGATAATTATATCTATAGTTCTTAATCATTTATTTATGACTATTCAACTTCCTTGTTAGTGATTCAAGTCAACTTTCAATATTTTCACCTACTCAACATATCTTTGAATCTTTTTTATTCCATTCATAAATCACAAAACTAAAAAAGCTTAATCTGAATATAAATAAGCATGCATTTCCAATATTTATGCCAAGAAAAACTGAACATAAAAATCTTCTAAACTCTACCCTTAGCAGAAGAGGATGGTGCAACACTAAAACTTTTAGCTAGTCTGCGTTGAGTGGGGGGTGTAGGGGAATGTGTAATCGGAACAGCTTCTTTGTTCTTGTCAATGCTGGCACCTGTCACCACAGCATCCCACCATACAGGCTGTGCAATACCTGCACCAATATACAACTTACACTTTCAACACCATAATTATTTGTACACTAAACAGAAAAAGTATTTATAGTTTGAAAAATAAGAGAAGTTATAATTCTGGAATATTATTGATGGCATGTGAGAGGATTTATTCATTTCAACACTTGCTTAATCCAGAAATTGATTATCATTCAGTATCAAAACAAATTTTCTTTCTGGATCGTATGGGTATTTTCGGAAACAAAACAAGCTATATCTCAAACTATCAGTGATAGATCCAAAAAAAATATCGAAATTTATTATGATTCTGATTAAATATTTCATTTACATGTGTATAAAAATCATCCAGATATATTTTTGAGTATTTTGAAAAAGATAATTGTGTTCGTTTAGTACTATCTAGATTCAACTGTGGACTTTCCATAAATAAAACCGAAAAAAATCAAATTACTAAATTTACAAATTTCTGTTGCAGATATAATAATAATGATAGTAAACGATTTTATTGGTAGAATGAAACTAAAGTAACAACAAGTGGGACAACAACTTTCTTCCACTCGAACAACTATCCTGAAGTATGTGACAACTTAACCAATTGCAAGCAAACAAGCAAATTTACATGTTATAGAAGACTACAGTATTCTTAAATTATCCCTAAAGTTTTGACATAACAGAACAAAAAATTTCGGATAACTAACAAAAATTCAGTGATAACTCACCTGATCAGGTCTCCACAAACTAACATGTGGATCATGTCCAAAAGTTTATATAGGAAAATCTTCAAGGAATTTCAAAAGGAGGATCGCCAAACATAAAAGTAGTTTTGAGCTAAAGAAAACTAATTCAACCTATGCTTGCCACCGTTTATACAATAACCACGATTTCAATATGGACTACGACATATTACATACAAAAAATTAAAGACAGCAATTAAACCTGCTAGAATCTTTGGAAATCAATATTTAAAAAAAAATGTAAACGACCGACAGGAAGTTATTCATTAGCCATTATCAAACTTGTTCTTACAAAATGTCATTAATTGACATGTTTACATATCAACTGTTTTCCTATAAATAATATAGTAATTGTGCTTTCCAAGTCTACCTGTTTTGCCAGGAATGAATAATTCATCCAACTTAGTTTTGACATGAGATGCCAATATTTTACCTGTTTCTTGAAAGTAATATTGTGTTGTACCTAGTTGTTTATTCAACATATACCAGTTTTCCCAGATTTAATCATGTATCTAAAAAATTTTCACAATACCTACTGTTATATGAAATACAATGTAGAGGAGTTTAATGTACTGGTAACTGATGAAGTTTCCGTGTAGTGAAACGCATTTGTAATTAAATTTACTGTGGAAATTCTATAATTATTATCATGGATACTCTTTGATGAGTATTATGGTATGCAAGAAAAATCCCTTAAGCTATTTGACTCATGTCTTAGCAGTCACATAAAAAAGAAATCAACAGTGTAGAATAAAAAAAGGCAATCACAAGTTTCGTGACATTTCCTATTTTTGAATCACATTATTTATTGTATCTATTGTGTATATTATATAGTGAAACATCTGTTTTGATTTTGTAAAACTGTGTAGTGAAAATTTCAGGATAAAGTGTTTCTTGAATAGATTATAATAATGTTTATTTCTTTGGTTCAAAAGTACAGTTGGAAGAAAAAAATCAATGCACAATAAACAAAGAAAATTTCAAGTCCAAAAGTAAATATAAGAAACGTATAAATGTAAGCATATTGTAAAAGTTAGTCAAAATAATATAAACAAAAAGTTCAAAAGAATTGAGCAATTTCCATGAGTAATATTAGTATAAATGTAAATAAACATACATAAATGTTGTATCATAGCTTTGGAATATATAACATAAATGTTAATAAACAGTTAACAGTAAACACTATGACCAAATTTGCTAAAGCTGAAGATCTCAGGTTAGTTGATTAGTGGATTATTTAGAGTGAAACAAGTCCTTTGAAGTATCATTTTTTTTCAGCTGACTTTTGTGTACATTAATATTTGGAGAAATCTTAAGAGTTATTGGAAGCATATTTTATAATTTATACCCACTGTACTCTATGCTTTTTTTATACAAAGAAGTTCTATGAGCATTTGGTGAGATTCGATCTTAAGAACGAGTATTGTGGTTATGTTTTGGAAGAGAGGACTGAAAATTGGATTTATTTTTGTAAACATATGCACTACCCTCTAGTATATAAGTGCTGGCACATAAATCTCGGTACCCTAGCGTAGTTATTATTCTAATAGCATATTTCTGGAGGAGAAATATCCTTTCGACAGAAGGACTCATACCCCAGTTGAGAATAAAATATCAAAGTTTTGAATGGAAGTTAGCATGGTACAATGTTAAGGGTATACTAGAGCTGCAGTGATTTGACATGAATCTAATAGAATAGCAGCTTTTCTTCAGTTCATTACATAATGTATCAATATGTTAATTCCTTATTAATTTTTCATCTAGAACAATTCCTAGCATATTTACATTCGATTCCCTCTGACCACGTCTGCTAAACAATATGGCGTTAGTTTTAGATTTGTTGGGTTTCAAATTGTTCTTTTCAGCTCACAATATGATTTTATCACATATATCCTCAGCAGTTTTTTGAAGTGTATACATGTTGTCCTCAACAATCAAAATAATTGTATCGTCAGCATAATTTGTAACAAATGCCGAGTTTGTTTTACTTATTAATGAAATTAGATCAATAGCAAAATAACAAACAAAAAAGGAGCCTAAATTCGAATCCTGGGGAACTCCCTGCACAATACCATAGTCATCGCCCATGCATTGACCTATTCTCACTTTTGCCTTCTACCTATAAGATAAGATCTTAGCAAATCATGTGCTACCCCTCTTACACCTGATCTATAAAGCTTAGATAGTAACAGTTCATTGTCCACACAATCAAAAGAACACGAGAAATCTATAAAAATGCCACGATAATTTTTTTTTATTGAGAGCATTAACAATTTTCCTTACACCTTGTTAGGAATCACGCGTTAAAAGGTAAGACCTCGTTAGTCCTTAGCTCGCACAAGTTTCTCAACTTCTGAGAAACTTGTGTGAGACAGATTTAAACTATGGCATGATCCTTCAGACAAGAATAGTAAATTATTAAGCTGGTATTTTCACTCGAGTTGGCCAAAAAACTGACCCAGCTTTGTATTATTTCTTCCAACAACTTGTTTTACTTCGCATTTTGCTTGGTTGCTCAGCTCAAAAGTGTTTGATAGAAATGTTATGCAAAAAAAACTACAAAATATTTTTCAATGTAACAAGAAAATTTTAAAACGCTAGACTTGTTTTGATAACACATTTCGATAACAAAGTAGTTTTCATAGTTGGAGTTAATGATTGATATACTCAAAAGCTAGTATGGAAATGAATAAATCTTGACTATAAAAATTAGTCACTTTGTTTGGAAGAAACTGATTAGTTTCAATGTGAAAATGTTGATATCTTATCTGACATATACAAACCCAGGAACGCATCGACTTGTCCGGCGATTCCCTTTATAGCTTTAAGGAAGATAAGTGGTAACGCTTGAAGACATGGATGTTGGCATGGGTCAATAACCCCATCAGTACTTATAGCAAACTGAAGAAATTTTTGTGTTTGACTTATGACCTAAAAAATATACACATATATACTATAAATGTGAAAGTTTGTGAGAATGGATAAATGTATGTATGTATGTACATATGTTTGTGGCTCTTTCACGCCTAAGCAACTGAACGGATTCAGATTGAACTTTACATAAATACAGCTTATACATCACAATAACATATAGGCTACAATTTACAAAGGTTTTGTGAAATTTTGTTCATAATATAACGATAAGTATTGAATAAGTCGGAAAAATTCATGCTCCCTAAGAGCTATCTTGGCGTGCTCTGTCTATACGGTTGGAGTTACATGAAGGTAATGTACCGTAAGATTGTTTATCTTGAATAGTTCTTAATAAAAGTCCGCGATAGCATATATCTACCCCTTATGTGGTAGCCACTATATGCAAAATACTTAGCCATAAGTACAGTTAAATTGGATACTTTTTTACCATGCACATTTTAGAATATCTGTCAAATTCTTATGAAAATTGATACAATTGTCGTTTCAAGTATTTAATATAGATAAAATTTGTGTTTTACAGTAAGTAATTTGGACAGTAAGCCATTACGCGTCGCGTCTACTAAAAGACGACGGGGGACGAAGCGCGTGGGTAGAGGGGCGGTCTAAGCAATGAAACGCCATCGCCGAGAACGCGGGCAGACGCGTGAGGGCAGACGCCGTTGACGGTTGTGTTAGTTTTGCGAATTTCTTCATAGGTAACTGTATTTTGAAAGTAAAAATATAAATTACTAGCTGTTGCCCGCTCTTATATTAACGTACAGCTGAAGCTACTGAACCTAAAATCTTGAAATATGCAGGTAGGTTCTTTGTATAACGTAAATAAGCATCAATAAATGGAATCAAGAATTTACACCCCCAAGGGGGTTCAAAGGTTGCATTGAATTTCATCAGTTTTGAAGTTGGAAACCTGAAGTTTTGAGTTGATAAAAAATATTGTAACAATTTGTTTAAAATGGTCTGTCACAAAACCCAATGTGACAAACCAAATTCTACGCGGGCGTAGCGGCGGCAACAACTAGTATTAAATATAGAATAAAAAAAAAACTCTTGTCTAATTTCTACTTAGATTTTTATTTGCTTTGACCGGTTTCAGTTCATGAAACCTTTCTCAAGTAAATTCGGTTTAATGAACCGAAACCAGTCATAACAAATATAAATCTTAGTAGAAATCAGAAAAAAGTTATTTTCTTTATCTTATACTATTTATGACAGTAATTATAAATTTTCACAATACATATTTAATTTCCAATAAGTGCTTTGCAACATAGTAGCTACCTCAGTTGGACTGATACTTCACACTACTTTACAATGGAATTTATACATATTATCAACCTCATTTAGTGGTTCATGTCGAAATCATTGTTGTTTTCCAACAGATAACATGCATAAACTATATCCCTCCAACAAAAAAAGCAACTCAATCACATCTGCATCTATTGGGTAAAATAAACAAGCCTCCTTACGCTGGCCAATCAGATTCAACTGCAATCGGCTGACGGAATTCATTGTTACAGTGTCGGAGTGGTCAGTTACGTTTCAACGCCTGTGGTTTGTACATATAGGGTATTTTTAAGTTTAAAATTGTTGAAATGTCACGTACTGATATGTCTGGAGAAACTGCTAATTTGTGTCTCGACACTTTACCTAAAAAATTTTCCTATACCCAGCCGCATATTATAAAAATAAATTAGGTGTTCCTTAGTGCGACTCTGTACAAACAGCCTTTTCTGAGAGATCACGTGCACTATGCATGATAATGTTTTAGAGCACTCTGTTGCTTGGTTGGACAAAGGACAGGTTTAATTGGTTTTCTCTGGTTCAAATCTCTAGAATTTCTGAACACAAAAGAAGTTTTGCATGCCATCTGTTGGAAAACAACAATGACTCTGACATAAACTATGGCGACTAAATACAAGACAAAAATTAAACCTGCTGGAATCCCTGAAAAGTAATAAACATAAAATATAAAGTTTTCTATTGAACGTACAACAAGAAATCAATTTCTCACCTTTTTTGAAATTATTTTCATGAAAAACTTCCTAGAACAGTCAATTGATATGTTATAATGATTTACCTGCTTTGTACCTCCTGCTTTGTAACTGTCCTCAAAACTACACGTTTACCAATAAGTAGTCTCTATTAATTGAGGTCGATAATTTGTGTAAATTGCATTGTGAAGTAGTGTGGAGTATCATTCCAACTAAGGACGCTACTCTATAGTGTGGAACACGTATTAGAAATAAAATCTATATTGTGAAAATTTATAATTATTATCAATATTATAAATAAAATTTAAAAACATTCTAGTGAGATTATACTCACTTTGGGTTTGGTTAAGCTGACTGGATTACCAATAGTATTCAAAAATCTATACCAACTTTGGGCTATACAATCATTAGACATACCACTAGGTATCAAATCCTCTTCACCTAAAAAAAATGAAAAGTGATGAATGAGTACCATATTGATTAATATATAAAATCAAAACTGAATAACTGACTTTTGCAACATTGTAATCACCTATTTTTAATTCTGGAAAAGAACCACCATACATAAACACCAGAACCTTGGATGTTAGGGCCAGATTAACACGATTCCACTGTTCAATGAGAGCTACTCTATGCCTCCAATTCATACAGGATTCTCGTAAAGTTTTCCATAAAGGAGGGGTTGGAAAGCATTGAGCACAAGCAATCAGCCAAATCTAGAATATAGTTCCATAACCTTAGATTGTCTTGACTTGAATATTACTTTGTAACACAAAATATAATAGAATTTCTCTTCAACTTCAGTTCAAAATTTTCAAGAATTTCGCAGATCTTACTTATAGTAATAATGATAATAAAACTGGTGTTCAGCGTTTTGAGACCATTGTCTGTTGGAATTTCTTGTTGAAGTTTCGCCGTTGCAAGTGACTGTCAACTTCAGAGGTTTGTGTTATCACTGCCAAGATTGGAGATATTCTGTAGAGAGAGGGGTATCTCCACTCTTGAAAGAGATAACACAGATATTTGAAGACGCCAACCACTGACACCGTAGAAAACGACCATTGCAATGACAGCCAAAAGCCTGAAACACTAAACAGTTTCAAAAGATGGCCACGAAATTCAAGAACTCAATAATAATAATAATAAGTTGAACTTACCAAAGAATTATTTTTTCAAATACTTGATTCAAAATCTTACCTCAAAAAGAACACTAAGTACCCTTTCACATAATTGATCAGCCACATCATCTTTGACACTAGGTGGAGACAACAAAGTATCATTAATTGCTAGAAGAAACAGTAATAGTGCTTCCCAGGTTTCTCTTTCCAATAATTTGGACTCGTGAGATATTTGTTGTAGAGTTCTCAAAACTCTATGACAGAATACGGCCTGTCTGTGAATTGTATCGAACCCTGAAAAAGTGAAATTTTAGTTTTTTTATGAAAAAATTTGTAAAGTTATATTTATACATATGCCAAACAGAAAGAATAACACAAAAGCAGTTTCAGCCTGTGATTTGAGCATTATTATTTAAATATTGTCAATCAGTAAATTTTCACCAGTATATGGAAAAAGTGAATCTTTCAGAAAAATGACTTGAAAAATAATAGATAAATAATTTTACAAAAAGAAATTAATTCCGTAAAATCTCTACAAATTACAGATATAGGCAATTGACAGACGAAACTAATAAATGAAATCATAATTAATTATTTTTTTCAATACAATAGAATGGATTTGTCAAAACAACATGTTATTATGTTTTTTAGTGAAAATAGACATTATAAATGAAGTCAAAAAATGCTACATAATATTTAATCAATATGGCATATTACACAAATTAGTGAAAGTACAGGAATGTAGAAGTTTTTAGTAATTCTTCAATTAACTTTCAAACACCTTTTCATCACTTGAATAGGAATTTCAAGTGATTCCTACTACAATTTCAGGAAAATCTAACTACCTTTATAGTCAATTCAGTAATTAACAGTTGATAGCATTTTAAAAAATCAAGTGGTATTTTTAGAAAATATGCTACAAAAGAGAAATGAATAGGCCTGCTTGTAAATATCTCATTATATTTTTACTTATGCTGATACAGGTATAATTTTAATAGGAATTACAAGGCGAATTCAGACATTGGGATCATCCATAATCAATAACCTTCTGATATACAAAAATCTAGTGACTGACAATTAAAAACAAGCATTTAATAAAGTGATACAATATCCTACCTAAATCCTGATAAAGAAAGGGCCAGTCTTGAAAAAAGACAATTGGTTAATGAAATACATCTGTTAATTGTGTAAAATAACTTGAAAAGTGCAACTGTAGATACAAAAAACAACTACAAATACATAAATAAATGATACCTTCTCCTTTACGTGGAACAAAGAGATAATGTAAATGACCAATGATTTTTCTAGCATAGATATTTGGATCATCTAAAATTGGTTGAGGAACACATAATTTAGGATTTGGTAAGAGACTAGTGAGCCATTCACAGTAGATATTAACACAGTCCTTTATAGCTTCATGTTCTGATAGAGGAAGTGAAAGGCCAAAACATATTACTTCCATACACCATTGCACCTAAAAATATTATGAAAAGATACTAGTTAACTACCTAGTTACTTGAATACTCACATCTTTATCAGTTGTTAAAGGACTTGGTTCGGGTGGATGTGTGATTCCCAAATTACTTGCAAGTTGATGTACCAGACCTAAAGTAATATCTTTACTAATAGGTAATCCAAATTTTTCTAATACACTGTTATCTTCTCCCCTTTGCTGTGAGGTCAAATTCAGGGATGTCCATTCTGAATACATCCCTTTACTTTCACTACTTTCCTGATAGATGATAACATTGAAATATACTTATGACTTTGAATGAATCTACCATACCTTTAAGTTCATACGATTAAAAAGCCCCAAATTCATATGCAAGCCTTTGGTTCCAATCTAATCGATAATCTAATTTTTTCAATAAATGGAAATGTACATCATTTACATTCTATACCATTTGTAACCTCAAACCCCATCATTTTGAAAACACACAAAATGTCAAATCAAAAACGTCAAAACATCCTATTCAAAAATTGTAGATATATGTAGATTCCCCTAGTGTCAATTTTATTTTCAGACATCTGAAGACAAACATCCGTCTTAGGTTGTGAGCTTATTGATGTAGGATATTATTCTACAATGATTTTTCTTGATCGAAAACTATCACGTATGTTTGAGAATATTTCCTTCATTTGGAATATATCTCTTATACTTCGATGAAATCAATGATAAAATTGATTGAGAAACTGATGAAGTCTATTACTCTCATCCAAACGAAAGCTTGGCCCAACATCGTAAGTTCTTCAGGCTAGACTATGTTGGTTCAAAGAAATTACCGTTAAATTGGAAATATATTACAAATTTCAGATGAGCGTACTTGTTTTTCATTTGAAGACAGATAGGTATTCAAAGGGTCAAGTCTGTAAATAATCAGTTAAAGTGGTCCAAACTAAACAGTTGTCTCTAGCTAGACAGTCAGAGTTTCAAACACAGAACTCATGATTAAAAGTTTACCTTTATGAATTATATGGTGTCAAAATTTTATAGCTTTTAGGTTTATAACCTTCCACAATCTGAAAAAATTAAAGCTGAATCGATAGAGAATCTGTTGAAGTTTAGTAAAGGGCGAACTGAAAAGATCACCCCAAAAATTTACTGCGTAATATAAACTAGTGATTAGTTCAATTAGTAACTTATTGTATTCATAAATTTTGACTAAAAATTTAATATTGATACCATTGTATATAGACTATACATTTTTTTAAAGAGTTGTACTATTTTAATGTTGGTGAAAATGCTATTTGAAATTCCATCAAAGGAACACTGCACGTAATCTACTTTTTGCCATGTTTATATTAATATTATTATATCCTATAAACGAACCCTGATATCCTTGTTATACAATATCTTAGCCGCTTTATTCTGAATCTGAATCACATTTTATCTACTATCAAAAGTGAATCAGTCAACTCGATATTTGAAAAATGTTAGTTCAAATAAATTATCTACTCCTTGCTGTAGATTTTTGTCTGAAATATTACTATAGTGTACTAGTTTTTGGAGCGTTGGAGCACAAGCTCACATTTGCGATTATCTCACTGGGCTATATTCATATGCCTTGCATTTAAGTTCAAAGATACTCGGACTATAACTGATTAGTATGTGAATCGCGGTCATAATACAGTAACTTTGTATTTCACTTCGAAGTGAGTAGCGCGAAGTATGACGGAACTACTAATATCCTGCATTCTTGAATGCCCTGAACTTCGGCCGAGGATTTTATTGATATCAAACAGGTTTTTAAAATATACGTATCATAATTTTGTGCGATGTTTTAGTTAATGGTCACCAATTTAACAGGTGGTGTGCCAGAAAATTGTTTCAATCAGTTGTTTGAATTCTATTGGAACACTAGCCAACATGTCTTTGGACAACAAAAACCCCACAACGTTGGTTCAACATCTCAAAAAGACATTTGCCAGTGGAAGAACCAGACCCATAAAATACAGAGTCCAGCAGCTGAAATGTTTAGAAAGGATGTTGAATGAAAATACAGAAGGGATCATTCAAGCCCTCTACGAAGACTTGCACAAATCCAGACTTGAGGCAATGTTCACAGAAATTTATGCTTCCTTATATGAAATCAAAAATGTTCTAATTCATATCAATGAGTGGGCGAAACCTGATGAATTCGAAAGTAGTGGATTGGATATATATGAATCAAGTTATGTCTTACGAGAACCTCATGGAGTTGTTCTGGTCATTGGGACTTGGAATTACCCTCTACTAACTACCTTTATGCCTTTTATTGGTGCAATTGGAGCAGGAAACTGTGTCGTTATGAAACCCTCTGACTTGGCACCCTCTATGTCAAAGTTTTTAAATAGTATTATTCCAAAGTACTTAGACATAGATTCTTATCAAGTCTACGAGGGGGGAGTTCCAGAAACAACAGAATTATTGAAAGAGAAATTTGATTATATTTTGTACACTGGGTCATCGATAGTTGGAAAAATTATCCACACTGCTGCTGCAAAGCATCTTACACCCATCACCCTTGAACTTGGAGGAAAATGCCCAGTTTATCTAGATAAGTCTGCAGATATTCGTACTTCAGCGAAAAGAATTCTCTGGGGCAAATGTATGAATGCTGGACAAACCTGCATATCTCCAGATTATGTTCTCTGCCCTAAAGAAATAGAAAAGGAATTTGTAGAAGTTTGTAGGAGTATCCTGGAAGAATTTTTCGGAAGAGATCCAAAGTGCTCCAAAGATTATGGGAGAATAGTGAATGATCGTCACGTTCAAAGATTGTCAAGTTTAATGCAAGGATGTAATGTTGTTATTGGGGGTGATGTCGACCTTACAGATAAATATATTGCCCCAACCATAGTAACAGATGTAAAATCTACGGACCCTATTATGCAAGAAGAAATTTTTGGTCCTATTCTACCAATCATCTCTGCGGAAACGGTTGATGATGCCATACAGTTCATAAAAAAAGGTGAGAAACCACTCGCCCTATATATTTTTTCTAATAAGAAAAGAGATGTAGAGAAAATTTTGTTGGAGACTTCCTCAGGTGGTGTTACTGTGAATGATACAATTGTACACTCGATTGTTTATAGTCTCCCTTTTGGTGGGATTGGTAATAGCGGACTAGGGAAGTATACTGGATTATATAGTTATGATACTTTTACTTACAAAAAAAATGTATTGTACAGAACTTTGGATTCTGATAGTTCTCCTTTACGAGCTAAAGGCAAAACTGTTTGCAATAAAATAATTTCAGTTCTACAATCAGGGATCTTCACACATTGTTTGTGTTTTGTGATTGGCATAGTGTTTTGTTGTTTACTATATATTTGATATTAAATCTGTTTAAAAAAACTTCTATCTGATTTTATGGTAAAAGTGTTTTGATAAGTCACGGATGGAAGAAATTGTCATCTATGACTTACTTTTGAATTTCAATCTCAAAATGGGCACGTGAGAAAAAAATGGATATCAGGTTTTTTTAGAGATACCCACTTCAGTTGTATATGAATATTACAAATGGCTTACAGCGAGGTCAATGTCTTTGAAGCCTTGACCTCAATTATTGTATAAAATGAAACTACTGAAAAAAGAAAGTGAACTTGTGCATTTACTGATATTCCGGTCTAAAAGTCTGATATATACCTAAATGAGCTGAAAAACTCAAAAATTTTGAAATCGATTCCAGCGATTCTTCTTATAAAAGCAAAAATATATGTAATCAGTTCTCAGATCACTTTAATACAAGGTGTTGAATTTTAAAAAATCACCCATGCTTAACATTTGCCTTTGTTATAAATTGGCAGGTTTTTAATAAATTAATGGATGTAGGTAGGAAAATCACAATGAAAAGAGAAATGAAACTTTCTATGTGGCAGGTTTTTCATGGACAGACAAAAATAACATTTAAAAACAATTTTTTGTTTCTCCACTACCTTATCAATGTATTACAAAGAATGAGAAACTTGGGAAAAATATCAATAATGAAAACTCATATCCACAAATTTCTATATATGATCCCGAAAAAAGCGCCCTATTCGAAGAAAACATTTTGCCCAATGAAATACTGAATTAGATGGAAATTAATTTTTCTTCAATTCGTACATTATACACAGTAATAATTGAAACATTATAGAAGGCACTACGAATGTACCAAATGTAAAATGTTCTTTACAGGAAAGTGAATTGTCAAAAGGTGCAACAACTTATCAGCAATACTTCCCAGACATTTATATTTCCACAAAATTCCCTTTCTCTTTACATTTTCCACACCAGAACAACGACTCATCGACGTTAACATTTTGCAAATGTAAAATGTCATCTCCTGATGATGCTAACATGGTGAGAACTCGCGCGTCGTGAAATGTACCCTGTAAGTTACAAAGGAAAAATTTAGGAACTAGTATAGTTATTATAGTAAGTAAGCTGTGGTTATACGTCAACTTAGTGAAACGAGCGTCGAGAAAAGTATTGCATTTCTGGTATGTGAGAACAGTGTTTGTATTGGATTCACTCTACACTAGAGGTGCCAGTTTTACACTATCCAACAACTGAGAACTCTCAGTTATAACTGTAAATTAGAGATGGGTCAGTATTTTAATATCACTATTACAAACGGTAATCTTTTAATACCGCGATTTCAAACGATTATTTCATAAACTGTCGCATCGCGCTCCGTAACCATTATGTAACCGTTACTTCGATTCCAAATAATCAGTTGGCAAGTGTTCTGTAATTGAACTGGGGTTCGGTTAGTTAATGGGCTAGGCTCAATCATTGTCTAAGGATTTAAATCTATAGACAATGGCTCAATTCAGCTAAAAGAGAAGATTTAGGTTATGTATTGATTTCTGACTGACGCTAGGTTAGGTTTAGGAATTGCCTAAAAATGTATAAAGCAATGCAAAGATTCGCGATAAATATTAATAATTTTACTAAACCTAACTCTGGTCTAAATTCCTTTCAACTCATAAGAACATTTCTATCACAAGCATATTACTGCCAAGAGGCTTGGGAGAAAAGATTGAACTCCCCGATCTTTCAAAAAATTAATTTGGATGAATTATATTATGAACTAGATCAAAGATTCCAGAAATCACGCCAGTTGAGTGCCGTCGACGTAGATATCTTCGCAAATGCTACAAATAGCGATGCGTTTATTGATGAATTACTAGATATAGTACATAAATTGAGGTTGACCGCAGATACAGGAAATACCCTGAATTCAACTGGACATGCTGTCATAAGGATCTTACTGCAATATAAAAAGCATGATGATCTTTTGAATGTTCTAGACGATAGGTTGAATTATGGATTATTCCTAGATTACTACACATCAAATATTTTGATGGATTCATATTGGAAATCCAATGACTTCACTTCTGGTGCAAGGGTGGCTAGTCAGCTGATGTTGCAGGAAGAATATGAACACCCTATCAGTCGCAGTTTATCATTACTGCATTGTTACAACTATTTATCAAAACCTGGGAAATGGCCAATTCCCACAGCTCCCGTGGAGCCTGAAGAAGAAATCAAAGTGAGAGTGAAGTACCTGAGGAACCCTTATAATGATGATCACTTCGATTTGAAAGAACCCGATAAAATTGTTGGAAAAACATTAGCTATGTTCTGTAAACAGAAAAAGGACTCATTGAATAAATCACTCGGTATTGTCGGATGGGCTCTATATAATAAAAATGAAAAGGTACTAGAGTGTGCTAAAGAGGTCCAAAATAATGGTACACTTTTATATAAGGAAGTTTTGGATTTAGTTCCAGATGAAAGCGACAGCAAGAATATCATTTCACAGTTGCCCTCAGAATCTGCTGATGTAGAAGAACTGTTGATATCAAATGTAAAAAAGGCAGTGGACACTATGTCAGAGAAAGACATAGCTGATCAGTGTGAGACATTCTCCAAGTGGGAAGCTGAAAGGATGAAAGCATTAGAAGAGCAAAAAGAAAGATTAACTATTGCCAAAAACATTAAAGATATAGAGGATCTCAAAACTGCCATGAAGGAAAAGGAGACAAAATTGTGGTTCTTCGAAAATGAGGAAAAAATTGAATTTGAAATAGAAGAAGCATTGGAAAAAATGATTGTTCCTAAAACAAAGAAGAAATCAAAAGTAGATGACGATTATATACCACCAGAAGTGCATTCTAGACAAAGTAACTAAAAGTGTATCCAACTTTTGATTTATTACTTGTAGTTTTCATTCAATAAAAGTAACTGTGACATGTAAGAGAACATATTGAAAAATGTAATTATTATTGAGTAAGTTTTTAAGTAAATGTGTTATTTAATTATATTCTCATTCATCACTCATAATCTTTTCAAGTATGTCAAATAAATCAATTCATTTGTAGGTATTATTCAAATTTTAATGAATTTAGATACTTTTATAGCACATTCAAAATTCAATTTCAACAAAGCAAATTTTTGATGCAGTCTTATTTCAATCTTACATAACACTGAATGAAATTTATTTTCTTGTTTCAAGAGAATAAATGAACTATTAAATAACAAATCAGGCTAATTAATGATTTATACCAAACTCAAAGTAAAATTGAAATCATGAATATAAACAAAACATAAAAAATAAACTCAAAATTTAGCTGTGGTAATTTTCCATTTTTTCAATCACCAATCATCTTATCAATATTAATATATTTATATCACTGTATGGAAATTGTAAATGAAAATATTCTGAATTTATCAATACTGTGCTTGTGTTAGTTCTAGTTTTATTGTTGTAAGTGAAATGAGACGAACATTTGATCGAAAAACAAATGCCTAATCAAGCATTTTTTAGACTTACTAAAAATCATTGACTAATTGATTTAATCACAATGAAGGAGTTTTCTAAGAACAACTTAAGTTCATTACATATATTCAGATACATAGTATTCTGTAACATAATACAATGAAAACAAATTATCAAGTATTTATTAACAAATTTATACATTCATCTATGGAATGAATGAGTTAATGTTTTGAAATGTGGACTAGTATGTCTTATTTTATTTAAGGAAAACCAGGGAACTCATTTTAGACTCCACATTATTAATATATGTTTACATTGAAGTGTTTGCATAATGACAACTTAACATTCAACACACTGCCGGCACACTGTGACAAAATCGACACGTTTTTGATGTAAAGAACTGAAGATGAGAATTTACAGGCAGGGTGGCACTAAAAAACAATAATCTAACATGGCTCATTTTACAAAATATGACAATTCTATATTCAGAAAACCTTATCCTTGTGAAACTTGAGAATTCTTTATCAACATTTCAGTTTCTCTCTGGATTTGGGTTAAATCAGAATACACCCTGTCGAGTTTTACACCAATTTCTTTAGATTTTTCAGATTCGATTTGCTCCTGCAAATTTCTAGATTCCCTTTCAGCAAGTCCTATATCAGTAACTGCTTTCAAAATATTACTACATTCATCTCTGAGGGCAGCCAAAAGTTTGTAAGCTTTCCGGGCTGTTTCATCATTCTTTGCATCCTGAAATATGGGGTGATTTAAAAAGTTGATATAATCAACGTTTACAAATAACACTTACAAAGAATATCAACTCATCTGATAAAGTAAATGATCTGTCCACTTGTCCGGTTAAATTGTTGATGTCTTTCTGGACAGTTCTGGTATCCTTCAGAATATGCTCGATTTCCACATTTTGTTTTCTGATGTTGCCTATTATTTCTAGGATTCGTCTTGTGTATGCTGATCTGAAAAATCATGAAAAAAGTTTTTAGTCTGGTATATAAAAGATATGAGGTACTTTATGGTGATTATATTGAAACTGAATTCGAATTTATTTAATCACATTTCAAATCGTCTTTTGCTTGTTTGATTTCTTTTTGACTGATTATTATATCATTAGGCTCAATGGGAAGCTATTGAATAATTAGTTGAGCAACAAACCTTTCTGTTACTCACCAGAACTGTAAATAGCTATCAAATGATTTATATATAATGCATATTAAACAGACTTGTCAAGTAAAAAGCTCTACAGTTATTGGAAATAATGGTTTTAATAAGTTGCAATGTGTGTATGATAACAACAATCTTTATTTTAGAGAAATACTTTACAATAAATTGATGGATGTAGCCGTTACTACGTGGAAGGAGATCATAATGAAGAAAAGAGAATGAAACTCTATGTTTTTACCACTTTCATTTGTAACTAACGTTACTGCAGTTTCGTTCTATAAGGATATAAGTTTGAAAATGTCCTAATAGGATGAAACTGCAGTAACGTTAGTTACAAATAAAAGTGGTAAAAAACATAGAAAGTTTCAATTCTCTTTCGAAGTTATTTATTCATTTAATATTCGTATGAAATACTTCAAAAATTCCTTGTCTTGTACCCATAATATTATTCATCTTGAAAATAGGAAATCATTAGAGAAATTATAAAAATGCAAGTTATGGATAACAAAAAATGTCATGCTTTCACCTGTTATTGGTTCTATTCAACTGTTTACACTTCTCGCTCAAACTCTGTTCTAAAACAGTTTTTTCATTCAAATCTTCAACAAGTTTTTTATATGTCTCTCTTGTACTGGTCAACTTTTGTTGATCTTCTTGAAATTTGGCCTCTTCACTAGTGAGAGAATTTTTTAATGAATTATACTCCTCCAACAGAGGAGTCTGAATTTCATTCCACTGTTTGGCAAGTTCTTCAAGTCGATCGTGAGCATTTTGGACTAAACTTTTCAGTTTAACCATATTTTCCTCTTTGTTTATTATAGCCAGAGTTTTCGTTTTCAGTTTTAATTTGGCTAAAGATTCTTTGAGTTTATTCTGTTTATCATTTTTTGTTGCAACAACCTGAATAAAAAATAAATTAATAAAAGTAAAACAGCTCCAGAGAAATATTTGGACCTATATCCTTCATAGCATTGAAAAAAATTGTGTTAAACATAATCAGTTACATACATACCTGTGATAATTGCAACTCATCCGCTTTTGCATTATCTTGCAAAGTTATATATTCAGATTTTACCCTTTCAATCTCATCTAGTAAAATCTTCAACTTTTTTTCACCATGGTTCTCATTTTCTCGAGTAGTAGTGATCTTTTTTTCCAAATCCAAAATCTTCTCAGGGGATTCTTTTCTCAGGATGATTTTTTCGATCGTATCAGGTAATTCAGTCGTCTGATTTTTCTTTTTAATCAACTCTACTAACCTAGAGTTTCGGGAAAATTCAATATCTTTGAATAATAAGGAGGGAATGAGATTTTTTGGGGAGCATTGTTTAGTTACATCCGGCAAATTGTGAACCCAGTATTGCTTCAGAACTGAAATAGTCTCAAATAGTAATTATTTAAAGGTGAATTTATGCACACTAAATAGCAAATTTCAAGTTATCTAGGGCCGAGTAGAAAAACTGCTGCAGTCGATACGAACAAAAAAATCATTTATGTATCTCAAACCCGTTTTCAACCACTGCTTCAACTAATGAAAATACCACTCCTACAATTTTGACTTAAAGCTTTCGGAACAATTTTCATCTCCAACATGGTCACTCCTACTGAAAAAGCAATAAGACTCCTTATTGCTAATATATATTGCAGTGAAATCAACTTCATTAAATAACCTTCAATTAAGATATGAAGTTTTCATCTTTGGTATCTAGTTTGACTTTCAACAACCGATATTTACCCCCTGAAATTGAAGGCATAATAAACTTGGCAATTCCATAAGGAATATTTGACCTCAAAACTTATAAAAAGAAAATGGAGAGCTATAGATTAATAACTCAACTGTTATTGGTAAGGTTTTTGGCAAAAGACATCTTAACAAAAATAGATATACTGACTCTGCTACATATGATTTTATCATTGAAGTCTCTGAGGCAATTGACAAGAACTTACAGATTTAGGTTGCTCATATATTTCTTCAAATAATTAAATTATATGAATCATGATATCCTGCTATGTAAATTGAAGTTATATATGAGTTATATGTATTACACAACCAGTTTCACTCAAATCATAGGTTAAATGTAATAATATTTCAGGTATGAGAACCTTTTATATTGGAATACCTTGAGGTCCAATTTCACAACTAGTGGCATGTATAGCGGCATGTTTTACTTAAATCAAATAATAGTGAATAACTTGTCAACTGACCGATCTACCTCTACCAACTTCAGTGGTAGTTTCACTTCTAAACTGTTAAGTTATTTGCTATTTGAGTGTGTATAAATTCACCAAAGACGCAGACTGATGGATAAGTACTTTCTCTTTCAATTTTTGAATTAGGTACCTCCAAACTCTGACTCATCAATGGGGAACTGTCTCCTGTACTAACAACAATGTACCCTCCTCTACACTCCCTAATGCCTTTGCTGACAAAACAAGATGGTACCCACATTTCTTCTAATGAGTTCTTAATATTTTCTTCAATACTCTGTATGAGTCTTGCAACATATCCAGTCTGTTCATTGGCAGTAGTTTTACTTGTGTCTCTAGGTAATCTTTCGATCAAAAACATTAAAACTCTTCTGATTTCTATTTCGTTGCAATAAAGAATGGTCTGATAACCCATATCTCCTCGAAAGCCGAGTTCTTTGATGTGATCAGATAAATTAGTAGCAACTTTTAATCTGGCACTCATCGAAGGTGGTAATTTCTTAGGGAAAATAGTATTCGGTGTTATTGCTTCAAGGCAAGATGATAAGGCTGACACAACCATATCTGCGTTAAACTCTCTCAAGCCTTTGATGTCTCCAAGTTCACTTAAAAAAATAAGATTTTTGGTTTGGAAATGTGAAAATACAGTTTCATTGTAATTTGTTATTCAAATTACCATTCCAAAGTTTTAAGAGATTCTATTATAATTTTATCAACTTCCTCCATTATTTCAAGTAAGTTACACTAGAAAAGTAACATATCTATAAAAATTACTAATTTTCATTATTTTTTATCAACAAATTAGTAATCGCTTTCGTTAAAAAAGCAGTGCAAAATAAGTGTACACGCTGTACAAAATTCTGTTCCGAAGTTCAAAAACTGGACTATAGAGACAGAAAGTATCAGTCTTGATTGCAAGTTCACAAATCAAAAGATTATTCACAATTCTAAACAAATTATTTCAATAGCCTGCATTTTCACAAGCGAGGTGGCATTTAATATCGTATGATTGACACTTTTCTGTCGTTAACGTTAAAATAAATAAATTTATATTTATTTTAAATTTAATTTGAGAGTAATAACAATTCTGACATGTGTTTTGACTAATATTTGATTTCGTATTCGAAAGATTCCGCCAAACCAGACGGAATTAAAAGTAGTAACGGGAAAATAAATCAAAGAGCATTAAAACGAGACTAAATAGTCTGATATCAGAAGTTGTGCAAGAAAACACAGTTTGTAGACGAGTTCATAAATCAAACAGAAAATTATTGATGGACTGATTCAACAAATAGAAATGCCCTAACGTTTCGAATGGACTAAAAGATGAATCCAATCAATCGGTGGACAAACTCATCGGTGAATTTATTAACAAGTCTTATGTAAGGGTCGATCGGGTATTATCGGCAACTCTGGCCAAGAAGGATAAACTTTCAAAAAACTCAAAAGTCAACCAACGTTTTTCAAATACAACTGACAACTAAAAAATATGTCTGATCCTAACGTTAATCTCGGAGCTAACCGATGATATTTTTTTCTGGCTCTCGTAAATACCGAGAGCAGAAGTAACTGTGACAACAGATCTTCATAATCGAACGCTTGCTGAACGGACGGAGCTAAGCGAGCGAACAGATTTGTATTAAACGAACACGTCTAACATCTCAACATCAAGGTGCTGACTTTACTTTCGTTTCTGTGTCTGCGTTCTGACAGTTGACAGTAGTGAAATTAGCAAGATTGAGGTTATGTCGATGGTAGCAAAGAGTACACTTACTGTCAGCCTGACAGGCTAACCTTAAAAACATTTGAATTGTTTTCAAGTTATCAGTTTTGTAATTTGTGGAATTATAGATGATGCTCTAGGTTTCTTCAATCTGGTATCTCATCTGAAACAGAATTTGAAGTTATAATGATATGGAATTGGAAATTAATAGTTATTGCAAACAAAACAAGTTCAAGTGTAATGTGGATAGTTGCATTGCTTCTTTCAGAAAGAAGTGTTATTTGGAAATTCATTTGAGAAAGCATAATAATGAGGTACACATATATCGTTTTATTTTTAGAAATGAATTATTATTCTTCCTATATTTTCGTCTGAAGGTTTATTTGACATAATGAAAAAAAATAGTTAATTCTTCATGATATCATAATAATCAATGAAATGATAGTTACATATGTACATGATAAAAAAGTATTTCTATTTGATATATTGAGAGTGTAGTCTGTAGATAGCCCCATCCAATCACTATCAAGACCATAATAAAACATTTTTAATATTACAGCGTCCTTTCATTTGTGATGTTCCCGATTGTCAGAAATCATATATAACTGCATGGCACTTAAAACGACACCAAGGTCAGGTGCATGAAAAGGCAGAAGAGATTATGTGTGATATAGAAGGATGTGGATTGGTGTTAAGCAACAAGTATAACTTGAAGAAACATAAATATCGCCAACACAATGAATCAAATTGTTGTTCAGTATGTTCTCAAAAATTCAACAAGAGGTGGCAGTTGAATGAACACTCTTTTTTACATACAGGAGAATCAAGATATAAGTAAGTAAACTCTTGTACATATGTTTTTAATCATTATTCAGCTAAACAAGTTTCCTATCTTTAAAGAAAAATATTCATTCACTTCGTTTGGTGTATGGTTATACTTGTAGATCCAAGATATTGAAAGTTTGTTGTACTGGGTCGTTGATATACATACATGATATACATGAGAATAATTCCTTATGGAATGACTTCTTTATATTTGATTCTCTAGAATGGCTCCAGTATATTTAGAAGACTATATGGTCTATAATCTGGACATTTATCACATTCAAGAGTTATTAACAAAATTTATATATGAACTACCGACAGAGTTCTATGAAATCTTCACTCTAAGAAGGATTTCACCAGTTTGGTAAACTCCAAAACAATAATACTCATTTTACTAAAAAATACTACCTGAATAGTGTTAATCTTGATTAAATTTTCTAATTATGAAAGTGTGATTTATTAAATGGAACTGGGCATCACTTGATGAAAATCTATACAAAAACTTGCTAATATAAATTCCATTAGTATTGTATAGCAAAACACATGTCACGGCTTGTAAACCATTCATAGTATTAGTAAGTTCTTAAAGTCCTCAGATTATTCTCTATTATAGTATTGAAATTAATTGTATATTTTATCTGAAATAAAGATGTTATACTTTCAGGTGTGCCATTTGCAACATTAGTTTTAACAAATTCCACTTATATAATAAACACAAGAGAACTCATAAAACCTATAGCTGTGATTGTGGTAAAGAATTTACTAGATGGACATTATTTATTGAACACAGACGAAGTTCCTGTACTATTGAAAAAATAGGTAAAGTATTATACTTTCCCATTTCAGATTCAGTTATATTGAATCATTGTTTTCAGAGCACAAATGTATCATTTGCCAGAAAGTCTTCACCACTAAAACTAATTTAAGACAACACACAATGAAGATTCACCTAGAGGAGAGTATGAGTCATAGATGTCATTACTTGGGTTGTTCAAGAGGATACAAATTCAAAAAGAATTTAATGTTTCATATTCGTACTTTCCATGAAAAAGACAACAATAAAATCAAGTGCATCAAACCTGGATGTGACACATATTTGAAAAATCAGGTAATTTTTAAAATGGAATTATAATTTTTTGTTCGTAGGAGCAGTCTGACGGAAGTATGTTTTTCTCTTTATGGATAACTATGCATATTCTTGGGGTCTCTCTGAGCTTCTGTCGTAAATTAACTTCCCTCTGATTTCTCCCTTTCCCACGATTTTTCGCCTGTAAACTCAGGGTTCTTATAAGACAGCAATATCAAACCCCCTCATAACCTTTGCAAAGACTGTCGAAGCGGCCCTGTTTGTTGTTGGTTTGCTTGTACATCAGTGTTGATTCTTTTTTCTACTGAGGTAGAACCACTTTTCCATTTCGGGGGAAAAATTATGTGACTGAGACATGTCCTTAACAGTGTTAACAGAGTTGAAGGTGGAAGCAGAAGTGCAGAGGTTGGCCTCCGCATAATATGAACCACATAATTAGTCAGTAAATCGTTGTATTCTTGAACTCACTAAAGTTTTACCAAGTAATTTCTTTCCATTCTCAAAACCTAAAAAATTATTGGTGTTATTAGGCTCAACAAAAGTTTAGCAACTTTGCAATGCGAAATGGTACGCTCCTCCAAATAAAACTCAGTTAAAACTCCAACCCCTTCTAACCCGAGTGCCACAGGGTAACAAACGGAACTATAATAATTGTGCATATCATTTGAAATTTTCAATAAACTGCAATTGTTTACATAGGTTTGAAATTTGTTTCATTTTCAGAGAAACTTGAAGAGACATATTGCCAATGTGCACAAAGAAGCATCTAAACCGAATACTAAAAAAGAAAGAAGGCCAAGGAAAGATAAGGGTGAACCAAAAAAATGTATGGCATCCATTTTATCTGGTGTTGATTTGACTGTAGCAGAAAACAAGAATATTATTAATAGATCTTCATACTCTGCAATATCTTCATCTGAGGAAACAGATTCAGAAAAGGGCAATATAACTAATTCAAAGAATTTGAACGAGGCAAAGAGGAAAGAAACGACTGACATTTCACAATCATCCTGTGAGGGTCAACAGAACAATGTAGAGTCAGTTGAAAATAATGATTTAGATATGGAAGATCCTCTTTTACAAATCTGTGGTAGAGTTATGACTAAGATTCAAGAATATCTGAATCAGACACCAGTACCTGCAGTGCAGGAATCATCAACATACTTTAAAATGCAAGCTTAAACTCATGAAGAATTGTGTGTAAATATTCATCTGATTTGTTTGTTTTTCTTCGGATCTTCCCATCAGACATGAAGCCAAATTTTAGTAACAAGAAAATATGTTGAAAATTTTCATTTATCTCATTAAAGAGTTGTTACATTACAAAGATTATTTTTTATTAATATTTTTGTTTTGTTCAAGTCATAACACAAAAATATTCAAACTACTATGTGAACACTTTAGTTACCGAAATCACCAGCTGGCGTTCCGTCAAAAAGTGTATGGTCAATTCCATGGCCAAATAAAATTGGGAACCCAGTTCTATTGTATACGATCTATTATATAATTTCGTTAGCTCCCAGATATGCCTAGAGAACTTCATCTCTTTATACAGGGTGTTCCTTAAACACATGCTAATATTTAAGGAGTTGATTCTTAGACCCATTTTAAGAAAAAACCTCCTATGGACGTATGTCCTAAATGCCTCAACTTTTGAGATACAGGGTGGCAAAGTTTTCAAAAATAATCAGTTTTTTAATAATAACTGAGATAATTTTGTAGACATCTTTGGCATATTTGGTACATATGTTCCATGCCTCAAGGCGCATTTTCTGATGTACACAAATTTGTATTTTTTCAAACAGTGGCATCCCTACGGGTTTCGCATTGAATATTTTTGGGGAAAAAGTACTACGCCAATGCTATTTTTTCAAAATAAAATCATTTTTAAAATCCTCATTTATTTTTGAGAAAATTTGATCTGGTATTTCTTTGTCGGACGCATGATTTTCACTCAAAAAAAATAAAAATCGACAGAAAGCAAATTAAGAAATTAGATCAATTCTAAAATGAATGAGAATCTGAAAATTGCTTCATAACGCATTACCAATTCCCTAATAATATTTGAAAACATAATCTGCAAAAAAATAAATTTTTCACAAAAACGAGTTTTATTTTATTTTGTGACAGTAAGTCTAAACAAATAGCACAAATTTGTTAATTAGTAATAATACCAAAACTGATTATAAAAATTGTTGGAAGTGGCCACCTGCACTTAGTATGCATGCTTCCGCCCTTCTACGCATGGAATTACGCACCCGTTCAAATATTCCCGGCGTATTTCGTATAGTTTCACACGAGGCAACTATTCGCTCTCTTAAATCTTCTAAAGTATTAACGGGGGATCTTCCTGGCCATTGCTGAGGTCCTCCGCGACCTATCCAACGATTAGGATAAACTGTATTCAAATGGTTTCGGACAATTACACTGAAATGAGCAGGGGCACCATCGTGCATGTACCATTTTCGATTCCTTAACGCAAGTGGCACATCTTCCAATAACCCAGGTAAGTCTTCTTCGATAAGTGTAAATAAGAACGACCATCAAGGCGTCCTGGTAGAAAAAATGGGCCTATTAGATGATCACCTATAATTCCTGCCCATACATTAACCGAAAATTGGTGTTGGAAATGGGTTTCGGTTATTGCATGTGGATTTTCTTCAGCCTACACATGATTGTTATGGAAATTTTGAATGGCATTCCGAGAAAAATTTGCTTCGTCGGTGAACAAAATTTGTGTCTCAAACTGCGGATTTAGTGCAATACTTTGTAGATACCACTTACTGAAGTTCACACGCTGTGGAAAATCTCTGGGGAGTAATGCCTACACTCTTGAAATATGGTATGGGTATAACAAAAAATCAACCAAAATACGCCAAACAATTTGATGACAAATATCCAGAGTTCTAGCGATCTTCCTCGTACTCGTCTCAGGATGTTCCTCAATTTCTTGCAACACCGCTTCCTCAATTTCTTGCAGCACCGCTTCCTCAATTTCAGGAGTTCTTACTACACGAGGTCTACCTTCCGGAGTCCCTTTATTGAAACTACCAGTTTCCCCAAGTCGACGATGAATATTTGAAAAGGTTCGGCTATCTGGTAAGGCACGATTAGGATATCTTTCCTGATAAATGCGCCTGGCTTCTGTTGCATTACCATCGGCAAGGCCATATACGTAATGCATTTGCGCCATTTGCGTATAATTTAGCATATTTACTGATATTCAGAAAAACAGCGGACTACCAAAATAACTTCAATAACACTTCAAACTTCAATGTCAATCAAAACGCGCTGTGACAGTTTTTAACACCAACACCTTACTTTAAACCAACATCAATATTAGCTACTGTCGTTTGTACATGCAGAAAATTCGTTTTTTATTGCTATGGTGGGTACGCTGTTTTTTCTGCTTTTAATCTTTAAAAGAAATCACATATTGACAAACTCCATATTTCCAAGAGGTGCAGTAAATAAATTCTGCTACACGTCATTTATTCCAGGATAACTAAATTTATGTTTTCAAACAAATACCTTTTAGATCCTCAATTATTGTTTATCTGAAAAAATGGGGATTTAGGAAGATCACGAAGTGTGCATTATTTAGGTATGATTCTCAATAGGGATTTTGATTGTATTTTGTTGAAATAATGAACAGGATATTTTGTAGAAATTTCAATACATGTAATTTAGAGTCTCTTTGCATTCCTAGAGTTTTGCACCGTAACCTTGTGGAATGACAGATCACATGATACGGGTACAGGTTATAAACGTATTTAGGTTCGCAGTTCTAACAATTCTAGAACGGTTTAAAATAAGCACTCAGCTGATTATTGAGAGTAGCCTTGCGCAAAACTTTTCAAGTCCCAACTGTGCGACAAAATTTGAGAGTTCGAAAACCGTTCAAATGGCAAACCCGAATACAGCATTATTTTAACAACACGTTGATGTTATAATACTATCATTTACTAGGAAGTTATTATATAGTGAAACACGAGTCGCGATTCAGTTCACCTTTCATTGTGAAAATGCCACAGTGAACTATATTGGTTTCTTATTTTTGTTCGTTTTGTTTCATTTTCTTCATTATTCTCCCATTAGTAAGTGTTTCATAATTTATATCTTTATATAAAAAAGTATATTGTAATCTATTTTAGTTGTCCTGACAGAGTCTTTTTTATAACAGCCCTATCAAATCTGACTGCAACTCCACAAAATAATTTGATTTACATTGAATCAGTTACGAATTCTTCTTGTATTCTATGTAGAGTCAATATCGATTTCTAAGAAACTTTTTCAAATAACTAGGGGGTTCGCTCGTTCGCATAAACTACACCTTACGATTTGATCTTCACAAACTGTATTCTCAAAAATATATCAAGACATGCTGTTCTATCACAGTGCTATCGTAGTAATAACACATGTATGTTGTTCACTACGAAAAAGCTACATTGATAGCGAAACATGATGTGATATATTTTTGAAAATTAAGTTCGTGAAGATAAAATCGTAAGATGTAGTTAATGAAATTAATATGGATCTTCATCAAGTATTGGCCGAATCAATCAGAAAAATAAATCACCGTGTTGTAAAATAATGAATAGGCTGTGTTCAAAAGTGCTTCCACAATCAAAAAAGGATGTTGGTATTCAGACAATAGCCGTATTCAAGTTCATTGTTTGAATGGTTTTCAGACTGTCAAAAAGTTGAATAGTCGAAATTTTAAAAGTTTCAACCGTCCTAGAATCGTTCGAACTACGAACCCACTACTATATAGTTTTTGGGTTGAGAACCCGTTCAACATAAAAAAAAGAAGAAGAATTAATAGTTTAAAGGTTATTTGATAATTCAGGTTCCGGATATTTTGATCTTGTACTTGTACTGTTCATTTCTATTCTAGTGTACATTACTTATTGATAAGGATATAAGGATAAAGAAGACAAACTAACGAGAACAAAATGTATTTGTACTATTATCTAGACGATTTTGGCAAGAGACAATACACGCTGAAGGTATGTGAAGTTGTCAAATGATCTGAAGTTGCAATGTGATGATAGAAGTGCCAAGTGCCTCATTTGAAGGAATTTCTGGTACAGAAATGTTATTTAAAAAAATATTCAGTTAGTTTTCTTAAATAAATCAAGTGAGCTATCGGGTATCACAGTTTCTTCATCAAAACATTTTGTAGATTTCCATGTTATTGAAATGTCAAGGATGTCTTATTTCCTAAAAGAAAGTTAACAATATCCCAGAAATGGAAAAATCAAATATTTATTTTGAAGGTGTATAATTTCACATTTTACTTATGTGTTTTGTATTATTCCAGAAATTCGATCTCAGTGGAAAACCTACTTTGTCAGCCCATCCAGGTAAGTGATATTGTATATTTACCTTGATTCAAAAGATAATCAACATTGAAAATATTTGTGCAGAAATAATTTTAATATACACTGTCTTAATATAACATTCTAGAAATCAAAGACAGACCACAACAGAAGTGATAAATTTACCCTATTTCTTCATTGCACTTCAAAAACAATAATTTTTCATTTTAAAAACTCGCAAAATTACCCTACAAATTGAAATACACTATCGGCGATTACCTAATTTAGGTCTAGGCGTACTTATATAGGTTTGGTTAGGTTTAGAAACTGTTTTAATTTAACTTTTACATATTCTCAATATAATATTAATTTTAATATAAGATCTATCATTTAAACGTTTGGTTAGGTTGGGTTACATTTTAATTGTGCTATTAAACATTCTTATTTATATTAGCCGGGACCTAAACTTGGCAATCCTCATATTATATTAGAAATCGACTGCTTCTCATGCCAAAACACATCAGTTGGCATGAAAATAAAAAAGTACACAACCTGTTTGGCCACATCTTCAAAGCCGGGGTATTTATCATTCATTGGTTCTGGTGATATAGAATAACATTGTTTCTGAAGATAAGGCACAAGTATTAAAAACGGTACTCTTGTTCACTTTTTTCTTGCTTGTTCGACAAATAATCAATTTTTCACATGCCGTATTTTGGCAGGGAGATGACGAAATGACGACAATACATATTAAATAGCATTGTTGCCAGGTTGTGGGTAATTATTTCCACATTTAAAATTATCTTTTGTTGTCCATATGACATGAATGAATTTATTTACTGTACGAAATGTCATTTTTCTTCATTCTGTCATAATAATAATAATAATAGCTTTATTGTCCAACAGTTACCCACTTACAGAACAATATAAAATTTTATTCACAATACTTAACCATAAACGAAAAACAAAATGAACAAAAAAGTAATACATGACAGAATGTGTGAAATTGCACATTGAGTAAGATAGGGAATATACCCTCTTTGCATTCCTTCATATTGATAGTGCTTATTAGAGGTTCAGTTTGCCTTCCTTTTATTTTGTGTTATAGTTAGCTCAAGGCCTTTTAGATATCTTGCATGGCCTTATTCTTACTTGGATGGCGTCAGTCTGAGAACCTCGAGTGGTATAGCACGATTATAAAAAAAGGGCAAGCGAAATGACAGAATTTTTGTATGACTTTCGAATATGCTTTTGAGGTCGTTTAATATACCATTCATTGTTGGGACAATTGCCTTTTCGAATATCAAATGCCTCAGATTTTTTGAGAATGTATTATACTTTGAATTTACTAACAATGTATTATTTGCTTTCAGCACGATTTTCCCCTGAAGACAAATTTAGTCAACAAAGAATCATCGCCAAGAGTCGATATGGGTTGTTGAAAACCCAAACAAAGGAACCCAAATATTGAACTTTGTAATTTTTTATGTTTTTTAATAAATGTTACTTTTAAATTAAACATTTTGAATTGTGACTCTCATTTATTAGAATACAAATGCAGATTGAAATAATTTGTGTACTGAATATGCCAGTATTTTGTGGTGCAAGGGGTAACAGACCTGTCTCACTATTGGATAGTTGTGAGTTTGACACCAACCACACACAACCAAATACTTTTCTAAGGAGAATTTTTCTAGTTGAAATTGGTTTGATTCTACTACGTTACATGGCTGACAGGACTGAGAATATGTGACTCGGGTAGTTATCAACATTTCCTACCTAGAACACGAGGCTACTGACTATAGCAGTTGATGTAGTTGACACTGAAAAATATTTAAGTAGTTATAATTTCATTTTGTATCATTTAAAAAGTAAAGTTTGTGATGATATTGAAAATTTCATTATTTTTTGTGTGAATTTATGACAAAACTTGTTAATAGTCAATAGAAATATCTGGTAAAAACCAGATCCCAAAAATAAAGGAATCCTGTTCTAACTCCAGGCAGCGCTGTTCCAACCCACCATAGGTCTCATCAGTGATACTAGGTTGAACAATAAATGCGTTGGTGGACTCGCTTGTCCAGTGCAAGCTTGAGCCATAGGTCTCACCAGTGATGCTAGGCTGAACCATGAATATGTTGGTGGACTCGCTTGTCCAGTACAAGTCTGAGCACGTAATGAGAGGGTGACATCTCCCCTTGCGAAGATACCATTTAGGATGAATAGTAGACAATCTATGAATATCAAAAATAAAGAAGGATCTCGAAGTGGTCTGTTGCAAAGTCCAACTTCGACATTGGACGGTCGAACCAGATTCGGCCTCAGTCTTTCACAGCAGCTTTCACTGCATGGCAACTACATAGTTGAAACCAGATTCCAAAAATAAAGCATTTGTGATCCAACAGCAGACAGTGCTGTTTCAACCCACCGTAGGTCTCGTCAGTGGCTCTGCTTTGTAAAGGGGGATGTTGCCTTTATTTACTCAGGCTTGTCCTTCAAGAACAGTTGAGTTAGAAATGCATTTATGTTTAACCCACTACCAGTGTTGAAGCATAAAGTGGATCAAAATAGCAGTTAATGTTGTTGGATCACGAATTTGCTTTAAGACTTTGGTTTGAACTAGTTGGTTTTATCGGTCAGTGTTGAAGAATTACGAGGTCTGTTCAAAAATAAGGTGAATATTCAAATTTCGCGGGCAACGTTCACTCGATTAGCGACTTTTTAATCTTTTATGTTGGTAAACTCGTCTCTAACATATGTTCACAGCTTCATCTGTTTAGCATGTTTAGTTTGTTGATGAGAGACATGAAAGTTAGAAATGTTTTGCGTGTTCGGCGCTTTTCTACAATCGAAAAAAATGGATCGAAGAATTGGCATCGATTTATTTGTAAAAAGTTGAATTGAGTGCTCAAAAACACTTGAAATGTCAGTGGCATACGGTTATTGTATACTGAGTCAGATGCGCGCCCCAGCACATCAACAACCGATGAAAATGTTGACGTTAACGGCGATCCAGGGGTCATAACTGGTGACGAATCATGGGTATGTGGTTATGACATCGAAACCAAACTCCAATTTTCACAATGGAAGAGCCCAGGAGAGCCAAGACCAATAAAAGCACGCCAAATTCGATCAAATGTCAAGGCTTTGCTCACTGTTTTCTTCGATTACCGTGGCGTCGTGCATCAGGAGTTCTTGCTACATAGTCGTACAGCTAATAATGCGCCGCTTGAGAGAGGCAATACGAAGAAATCGTCCGCTATTGTAATGCTCATTCGTCATTGCTTGTTCGTAATTTTTTGACAAAAAACACTGCGATCGTACCTCAGCCACCGTATTAACCAGATTTCAATCCTTGTAACTTTTTCCCGTTCAAATGATTAAAGAGACCCATGAAAGGACGGCGTTTTGCGATGTTTGAAAAGATAAAAAACCGAATCACTGAGAGAACTCAAGGACATACCAAAAAGTGCAAATTAGAACTGCTTCGAGGATTGGAAAACTCGCTGGCACAAGTGTATTATATTGATGAATAAATAGATAAATACTTTTTGCTGAAAATGTAAATTCTCTTTATTTTTGGAACAGACCTCGTATATATGGTTCAAATAATCTCATTTTATCACCTTAACTTGTTCACAAGTTGGAATTTGTTCATTATATACCCCTTCAATTACTAAAAGCTAGAATTTTTTAAATACTATTCAGTATAGCGGAAAAATGAGCGTGTTCCTACATAGAGATATTGAATTATAAATGTTCTTAAATAAGCCACTCCGGTGATGAGATGGTTAAGTGACATGCAATTTGAGCCGAATTATAAATTCAGATAGAGATCGCGTGAAAAAAATTGAGATTCGCTAGTCTTTGGATACATGGGAGGCAACTATTAGGAGGTCGATACCTGGGCATAAAACAGCTGCATTCAAAAATTCTCTATACTATAACTGTATTATTTTATTTTATTGTGTTCCTTTGCCTATCAAAGAAATGAAGTTATCTTCATTTAAAAATTAAATAAAAAATATTTGATACTGAATGTTTTTTATAGTGTATATGAGTTTATAAGTAGAAATAAATGAGCTGTCAAATTGAAAATAGGAGGAATGAGGAATCTAAATTATTTCCACATTGTGTAAACTTTTTTGCAGTGTAAATATTTTGTTTTGTCCCATATACACCTGTTTTTTTGTGAATTTTCATTGTGTAAACTTTTTTGCAGTGTAAATATTTTGTTTTTTCCCATATACACCTGTTTTTTTTGTGAATTTTACAAGTATAAGTTATATTATACAATCATATTTTTAAAATATTTTTATCTGTGAAAATGTGATGATTCAGTTTTCAATCTGTCTTTTCATCATTTATTTTCTTACATGATTCTATTGTATTTAATTGACGTGCCAAATGTACAATATTGTATCAAATATTGGTAAATAAATATTCTATTCTATTCTACTTATTCAATTTATCCAAAATAAGCACCATTTGAATCAGTGCACTTTTGCCAACATAACACAAATCGATTAATTCCCCAGCATAAAATTTGGGCGCACGGGATCCGATGGGGTTGACGGAGGCCGTTTTTGCCTGGTGCTGATTTGTGAAAGTTTTACCGGTGAGGAAGTTATCGAAGTACTTGAAAAGATGGTAGTCAGTTGGCGAGAGGTCAGAGGAATATGGTAGGTGAGGCAGAACTTCGACGCCCAATTTTTGAACGGTCATTTGTGAAACATTTGTCGTGAAGCAGAATTGAACATCTGTCGACCAGAGCTGGCTGGTTCACAATAGGACCCTGCTGTGATGGTTTGGCCCGGTTACACCATACAGTAACCATAGTCTTTTTTGGTGCATTTTTGCCTTTTGGAAGTGTCTAGATGGCTCATCGGTGTCCAACCATTGTCCCCAAAGTCTCTTCTTGTCGTAGAGGAACTACTTTTCACCGCACGTGACAATCCGATCCAAAAAAGAATCGTTTTGGTTGAGCAAAAGAAAAGAAGAATATACCTCAAAACTTGACAATTTCTGTGTATCGTTCAAAACGTGGGGCATCCACTTTTCAAGCTTTTCGACCGTTCCAATACGTTTGAAACCATAAAAAACTGCATGGGAGCTGCTGTGATGGGTCAGTCTCCACCAAGTTCCTCTATCCTCGTCCTGGAGTTTATTGTAGGTCGACCACTTCGGGGCTCATCTTCATATGATTCCAAACATAATGAAACTTATGCTGATGACAGTACTTTACTATTCATCGACTTTTCCAGAACTGGCCCGAGTTGGGACCACCTTATTTGAAAAGGCAGAATAATGGATTCAAGGCTCGTACTGAACACGAATAAAATTAAAGCGTTTTTTTTTTTCAAAACAAATCAGTCCCTCAATATTCCAAATAGAATCAGACTCCATCATCAAACTATATAATTCTTAACGAATAATTCAAGGTAAATTCCTCCTTTTTTACCAAAAAATACAGGACTTTATGTCGTTTATGAATATGTTTGGGAAAACCGGCGATACTACTACTTCTCTGGACATGTTGACTCTGATTATTTGAGATCTTCAATCCAGCTCAGGAACGACCTAGATAGGCCAAGGTCATGGAACAAAGATTAAAAAGTTATTGATGCATTGGAAGAGTCTAGATTGTCCAGATTGGAATCTATATTGCTCATGAATAATGATGTTACGAAATATTTTGATCAAATAATCCATTATTATACTGTGAAGGTAATGACGTCAATCCCCGAATATCAAGGATATATGAGGCTCCCCAAGGCGATCATTTGCATAGCCAAGCTTCGTCATTGACCACCAAACGAGATTCGTCCTCTCTCTATCACTGCAGCTTTCACTGCAAGGCAACTCAAATCCATCGAGTTGCAAAAAAGAGCTTTTTTGCTTTCTACTTCTAAATTAACCGTTACAAACAGACTGTATTGACTATCTACGAAGAAATAAAGCCAGACAGTCAAAATAGGATTTCAATTTTTGAGGACGTCGAAGATAATCATTTTTTGTTTCTCGAGGACGGTGACAGGCAGAGGGATATAGTCTTTACTATTCTGAATAACTATAATTGAATGAAGCCTGACTTGAGGAAAAAATTTGGGGGTTGAATCTGTATAGGGGGTTAGAAAGTGAATTTTTATCTCGAGAATGGTTACGATAAAGGAGATTTCAATACTGTTGCTAAGTTTGGCAGAGAAAATTATACCATTTTTGGAAATCACAAAATTATTAGAGATATATTGCGGAACCAACGGACGATCTGAGTGAAACTTTTTCTGCAGGGTCCAATTATCTGCTCGACAGATTTCAAAGTCATTGATAATTGAGTTTCGAGAGTTGGGAGTTTTTTTTATTGTAAATTTCCTCCTCTTTCAGAATCTTTTATTTTAGTTTCTTAAATATTGATAGTTTTAGCTATTGGGGAATAACTAAATGCTTTCTTTGTTTCATCGTAATTAGTTAATAACAATTGCAATTTTTTGTGTTCTATGGAATCATTAACATGCATTCTTCTACACGTCATTCTGAATCCAATGAACTTTCGCTCATATTTTAGGAGCTTCATGGCTATTGAATACAAATTTCAACATGTGAAATAGACTAAAATGCTTGGAAGATTTTATAGCTTGATCATTACTATTATGGTTAGCTTCTTCTTCATCTGATGCCACAAGTTTTCATAGTAAATAGTTTGTACACCTACTTTATAAGGATCCAAAAAAATATTGGGAGATAAAACAAAATTAGGCTTCTCTCACGTTCTTTATATAATTAAATATGCATATAGGTACTTCCATTAAAAATTTAGTACTGAACTTCCCATATGTTCATATTTTTTCGAGTACCTCGAAAATTGGGTCTTTTAGAAGATCTACCCTTAAAAAATTATTTATACCTATATCTTATCTTTTCTCCACGAATACTCCGAAAATCACATACGTCAATACTGCAAGGTTCAATGCTATTTTTCATTAGGTAACTGATATGACTGACGCCCCCTGAAAATGATGCGAGTTCATAACTTCTTTCGTTTACCTCCCATTTTTTTCAGTATTCAGTTAGACACCATCGGGAAACATGTTTTGATCGCAAAAATGGGTGTCTATGCTATATATTTAGTTTTTATAGTTAATTTCAGTTTTGGAAACGCTAGGAGGAATTATGACTCAAGGTAAGTAGTAATTTGAAAGATTTTATTTATAATAAAATTAACTTTATCATCTACAACAGTGCCCAGTTCTGATTTTTGCCATTTATTCAAATTTATGATTATATAATATTTAATGATATAATCAATAAAAAATATTCTATCAACTGTACTAGCACTAATTGGTAACATTATCTCAACAATAGGTATTACATTTGATTATCATTTCAAATCTTCAAGTTTTATTGGGGAGGTTTTTTATTGTTGCAGAAGTATACTATATTTCACATAATTGTCCCTGTAGATTGAAGAAAAAACATTATTTATATTGTACTTCAGAGATACCAAATGAACAAGAAAACGGTCATTCGCAGAATTATCGCGAAATGGTGCAACTAGGCAAGATGAGAATTTATACATGATAACAAATATACAATTTTCCCAAAAAAAATGTATTTAAGACGGGTTTCGCTACTTGGTAGCTTCATCAGTTAGGGTGGTACCTACATCGAATTATTCTAGAATGTATTTAATAAAACAGTGGGTAATTACAAGTCTTGTTTTTATAAACGAATAATTCTGGTAAAACAGGTATATTTTGAAAAAATAATTTCAATACAATATCACTTCTAAGAAAGTAGGTGACTTATAAATATGTTAATTATTGGCATTTTATGAAAAGAAGTTCAACCATGGTGTGTGAATAACTTCTTGTTGGTCTTTTAAAAAAAAAATTAAATATTTGCGTTTATTGATTTCTAGAAATTCCAGCCGGTTCAATTTTTGTCCATTATTTTTTATATGTAATATGTCGTAGTCCGTGATTGTTCTCTAAAAGACGGCAAACATAGGTGTAGGTAATTAGTTTTCTTTAATTAAAAACTTCTTTTATCTTCCGATACTCTCGTTTTGAAATTTCTTGAAGTTCTCTCTATATAAACTTCTAGGCATGATTCATATGTTGGTTTGTAGACCTCTGATTTGTCATCTTTATGCATTTTTGACTGTTCTTACATGTCTTACATGCTATGTTAATATTCTCTTTGTTTAGTAGTCTTTTTATTTTATCTGATGATTTTCCTGTGTATGTGAGTGTTTTGTCGGTGTAAGTGTTATTTTCAATGTGGGGGTATAATCACTTAATGACCAGGAAGATATTCATACACCACTGTTGAACTTGTTTTCATACAATGCCGATAATTAACATATTTATAAATTATATACCTAGAAGTAATATTGTATTGTTATTGTTTTTCAAAATTTACCTATCCAATTGAGTTTTGTAATTACCAACAGTCATATTAAAGATATAGATGTAGCAGTCTTACTGATGAAAGGCGTCCTAAATAAAAGCTTTTGTGAAAATTGTACAATAGTATAAAAGAAAGATTTCGAAATTTCTCAGCCTCGATTAGAAGTGGGTATATTTATTTTTGTTGTCAAGTTGGCGGGAATTCGGTCGAAATGTTAAAGAGAACAAATTGCTAAATGGTCGACGTTTCGAAACTTTATTGTTTCATATTCAGGACTCTGAAGTAGAAGAACATTACATACATATTAAAATGGGATTCTAGAATCTAGTTTTGTTAAAAACAAAATAAATTATGTAAAATAACAATCGTTAAAAATTAATAAAACGCTTCGAATACTTTACAGAAAACAACGTTGTTGAGTACCTACTTACATTAGGGTGGCTTTCCGAGTTCAAAAAGAGTGAAGTGAATAAATTCGACATAAAATATAAATACATACACAGGTTCACGGAAAATGTTGACACAGACACGAAGAAATTAATGAACTGAACTGTCGGTGAATCGTTTCCTTAAAATGCAAAAAAGACCAATGAAGAAATGAGAATTGTAATTGGAAAAAGTCGTCTGTTAATGATTCAGAATTATCGTTTAATTTTTTCTATTAGATTAAAATATGAGGTGTGTAGGTAAATTTTCAATATCCGACCTTTTGTTAACACATTTTGTTCCATGCTTTGTTATTTCATTCATTTCATTCAAGAATATTTTTTCAATATCGTCTGTTGTCCTATAATACTGACTGAATTAAAATCAGAAGTATGAAGGAATGAATTACAATGTTCTGTAAGGCTAGTTGGATTTTTCATTGTTATCAGTGGGTTGTGTATATTTTTACAATCCCTGCTATGTTCAGCCATTCTTTGTTTTAGATACCCACCTGTTTGCCCTATAGATACTTTCTCACACTTAGCACATGGTATTTTATAAATTATATTGGATTTCAGGTCCTTTGGTGTTTTCGTTTTTAATCTTGTTAAAAATGGTTTTTAACTGTGTTTTTACATTTCATACTGATACTGAAATTTTCATTTTCTAGAACCTTAAATAGTCGCTGTGTCAGACCTGATACATGCGTTAATATGAAATATTCAATGTTCAACGGTGCTTTTTTTGTGTATTTGCTCTGTCGAAAAATACTAATTTTGTAGTAAAAGCAGTTGTTAAGTAACAGTTTCTATTAGTTTTAAGTTTTGGTTTTTAAAATTATTATTTGCTAACTGTGTAGATCTGTGTTTGAGATTGTTGATGATTATTTCTTTTTTGTGTCATTAGGTGAATATAGTGGTAGTTGATAAATCGTTCAGAGTATGTTGGTTTACGGTACCAGTCAGTTATAATTTTGTTGTTAGATTTTATCAGCATAGAATTGATTTTCTGGATGTTTTGTTGATAAAATCTAATAACAAAATTATAACTGACTGGTACCATAAACCCATATTTATTAAGTACATCTCTATTCACCCAATGACAAAAAATAAACTTCACCAACAATTCAAAACCTGAAACTGATAGAAACTACGTTACATAAGAACTGATATCGTAGATCTTTGACTAAAAAATTAGTATATTCCGACAGAGCAAATTCACAAAAGAAAAAGCACCGTTGAACATTACTTATTTCAAATTATCGCATATAATAGGTCTGACATCGCAACTATGCAAGATTCTAGATAATAAAAATTTCAAAATCAGTATGAAATGTGAAAGCATAGTTAAAAATCATTTTTTTCGAGATTAAAAACGAAAACACCAAAGGCTCTGAAATCCTACATCATCTACATAATACTATATATATGTCAAAGTTTTTCGTGAACCTGCGTATGTATTTATATTTTATGTCGAATTTATTTACTTCACCCTTTTTGAACTCGGAAAGACACCCTAAATGTAAGTACCCATCAACGTTGTTTTCTGTAAAGTGTTCGAAGCGTTTTATTATTTATTATAACGATTGTTATTTCATATAATTTATTTTGTTTTCAACAAAAGTACATTCTAAAATCTAATTTTAACATGTATGTTTTGTTTTTATATTTCAGAGTCCCGAGAATGAAACAATAAAGTTTCGAAACGTCGACAATTTGGCAATTGGTTTTCTTCAACATTTCGACCGAATTCCCGCCAACTTGACAATCGAAATCATGTTCAACGGTCGCCATCCTACTCAACTTTATAATAAGAACTGTTTTGCTCCTCAAAATAGCCATTAACTGCTGACATTACATCTTCATCGTTGGGAAATCTTAAACCAATGAACCATTTTTTCAAGTTTGGTAACAGAAAATAATCCGAGGGGACTAAATCTGGCGAAACGGGTGCATGAGCTAGAAATTCAAATTTTAATTCGTTACTTTTCGTCATCGTGATTTATTTGCGAGCTGGTGCATTGCGATGCTCGTCTTGGCAGCTCGTACGGTCTCGTTTAAACTCTGCCAATATTTTACTGTTGTTAACGAAGGAATAGACTCACCCAGTGTAGAAACCAGTTCAGCTTTAGTATTGATTGGGCTGAGGCCTTTCTAATAATCACATAACGATGACTGATTGTCTCCATTTTCACAAATTTACCGAAAACGTTCGCTATCGGTGGCTGAGAAACAAATACTAAACAACGCAGCGTCTTCAAACTTGAAACATATGTTTTATAGATTTTGTACTTTCCAATACTGTGATATTTTTCAAACAACTACCGTCATATCTAGGTTAGACCGCGTACTTCTGGAAAGACCCCTGGTATATGCACATATTCGTAGTTCAAATGAGTAAAGGTATTAAACACGATTGGGGAATTTATCTTTATATTGGAGCGCAACAACTACATTTCATTCCATTAATAAAACCCTATGTTACTTGATAGTAGCATGTGCAATGTACAATAGTGGAGAGAAAGCACTATTGTAGATGGTGTATAGCAGGGCACCTAAAATTCTTGTTTTTGAAGTTAATCTAATTTTCCTTTGTAGGCCTCGCATATCTGTGAATGAGGGACACCTTCTGATTACGGTTCCAGAAGATAAAAATATTAGTTTCCTCACAACAGGAAAATCATCAGGAGTATCCATAAACCACATTGATGTGCTAACCATTCTCAGTAGGGTAAGTGAATTGGAAATACTTTTTGTCATAGAATATTATTTTCAGAATGAAAAGACTAATTAATATATCTTTAGCGGGATGATACCAGAGCCCGAAAGCAAAGCAATGGCAATGTCAGATATCGCTGTTGCAACTTGTCTCATAGGTGGTGCTAAGCTTGAACCCGAATGCATTGTTGGCAGATTGAAATAGTGCTGTTTGGTATTGGATCACGAATGCTTCGCTTTAGGCTCTGGTTTCATCCAGCTGTCTGCTTACAATAGCTTTGCGAAAGGCTGCCGTAGTAACCTTTGTTCATCCTGGAGATTTATGTGGATCCCATAGAGGGTGTCTTCGTAAGGATTATGTTTTAAGGACAGTCGAGTCCAGTAACGCATTAATGGTCCAATCTAGTAGCAATGATGAGCCGTGTGACAGGTTTAATTAATGCGGACTGGTACTGGAGCCAAGATGCATAGAATATCCCTGGTGTAATCACTTCGACCCTTTCCTCGTGTGAACTATTGTGCTCATACAACTCAAATGACTCATCTTGCAAATGCCAAGTCGGCACTCCGATTTTCAATGCGATGAAAGATTTTTTTACAATATGATCCGTAAATTGAAGATCTGAACAAAATACGCCCAACAGATTTCGATTCTGGCACCAACAATTAACATATATAGATAGTTAGGTCAATTTTATTTCTCGCGCCGAAAATTTTTGGACAACACAAAAGCGAATCGGTTTTTGGTACACAAATGCTATCATTTTAAGCTCTGATTTCATCTAGTTGTCTGCTCACAGTGAAAGACAGACAGACCGTTGTAGGTACTTTTGGTCATCCTAAATAAGTAAGTTTTGTTTTTTCAATCAGTCCCATAAATGGAAAGATGCCCTTGCTAATTTACATGTTCCTTTTCATTTGAGATTAAATACAATTATAAACATATTCTTAGTGATATTTATATATTCATTTATTGTTAGGCACACTATTCTACATAAAATAAAAAGCGCCGCATTTTAGAAGCTTATTTCAATCTAAGCCTAAATAGTGTATAAAATAATAATTTGAGTGTTGAAGTTTCTACAAAATCTCAGGTATTTCTAATTAGAAATCCATATGTGTGATAAGCTATGGTGAGAGAGTTGCTGATATGTTTAAAAAAAAATGAATCGAATATTACACCTAAATGAGTGAGGGTATCAAGGATGTGATGGTCTGTGGTGTAGTTTTTTAGTATTTGGTTATTTTTTAATGATTGAGACATTACGTTGACATTACATTGAAAGATAATTATTTTGGCACCATGTGGCAACACGATTTAAATTTAAGGCAAGATGTTCACAATATACTGGACCTTTGAGGTACACTAGAGGTGACTAACGACAGACTTGAGGCCATTGAGTTGTACATACTGCCAACTATTTTGAAAATGCGACTTGAAATTATTAATTAAAACAATGGATGAGGCAAAAGCTGAGAGATTGTTGAGTAAGATATGATTAAATCTGTTGAAGGCTTAGGAAGTCGGTGTAGATTATACAAGTCTTATAATACCTGTCAAACTCTGTAACTGTTTCGAGATTAGTGACAATTGATAGGGACTAATAATATTAATTACATGAAAGTACATATATTGACGCTTTGAGTAACATTTCAAACAATTAACAAAAGTGACAAATAATAGAAATTGGTCTGTGATTCGTCTTTTTTCAAAGTACTCGTAGGGTAGATCTTCGAAATTTTTCATTTCTAAGGCACGGTTCCTGATTTCGAGTACAAATTTGAAAGGGTAGCTGTAGCACAATATTTTATGAACTTTTATATATCGCTATGGATTGGTTTACCTCTGAAGCAATATAACTGCTAGGAATCTGAAATATAATATTAAGAAACTACAAAATATTTTATGAGGTACTGGTGCATCTCCATACAAATGTATATAAGGCATAATGCATTTATCAAAATAAAAAAAACAATACATTCATTACTACTCAAGATACAGCATTCAGAGTTATTGTTTTCAGGCTCACAATGCCACTAAACTCGCCGAGAGACAGCAGCAAATTCTTTCCACGTACAGCGATAGACTCGATGTCTTGGAACAAAGACCACTCGAACCTATCATGTTCGGCGGCAATAACACACCATCTACACAAATGGTGACGACTTTGGCATTTCGAAGGTTGAGTCGTAGAGTTCGGATGTTTAGTCGAAGACTCCTTAGCATCGAACGTTTACTGTACAAGGATGAATGTGCTAATAATCCTTGTCAAAACGGAGGAACCTGTCAAGATATGTTCAACAACTTCCTTTGTCGATGTCCTGATGGATGGGAGGTTTGTATTTGAAATATTAACATATATTGTAATAGTAAAGAAGAAATAATACAAATCATAAAATTATGAAACAACAACAAACATCAATTGGCGCTCCGGGGCGACTTCATTGATTCCAGCGGCGCATTTGCTTTTTCAGCTGCAGGAAAACCCGAAAAAAACTACAGCACCACATCATCTGAAGATCTTGATCTGCCAATATCCTCTCTTTTATGAAACAAAATGTAGCGTGTCTCCAGAGCCTCTAATAAATTCAAGACACGACTATCGTCAAACTTAAACCAGTTCGTTTCGTCTTTGACCAATGCGTAATAATGACCAGATTCAACGCCAGAACCAGTGTTTCGTGAATAATTGATAGGTACTCTTTGAAAGAATTTTTTCCAACTCCAAAACAAAAATAACAAAAACAATATTTCACCTTTTTGATTCATACGCCACTGTTCGAACAATTTGTACTTCTTCAGATGTCTCTTATGTACAGTGTGGAATCCTATGATTTAACAACTCCGCATCTCACTTATAGAAATATATTTTAAACAATCCTTGGGGCAGACTTATTTCAATTTCAGAAAATCTATTTTTTACATCATGTTACAACTCCCTTTCAATCTCTCCAAAATCTATAAATTATACAGGGGTTCAAATTACACCTGTGAGGAATGTATTTGAAATTTCTGTACAATTTTCTTTTTATTCTGCTGATCTATATGAGCAACATACCATTTCATTAAAACTTTCCTCCAAGTGGTACTTAAAGATTGTTTCGTAAATGCAGTGCTTTTGAAAATTCAAAACAGGTGCCTTTTCTGGTAAAACCGGAAGTGATGATCGGAAACGGAAAATATGTGAAGACTCTTCTCTTCTCATTCCATTTATCTATACCAAATTTCATTTATCTGTACCAAATTTTATTTGATACAACACAGAAAATCTCCTTGAGTGTCAAGTCCTTTTTTATCCGTAAAAATCTATTTTAACATGTTTCATCCTCCTGATAGACTATCCAGCAAGAATCATATCATAGGTCTCGAATCATCCACATCTTCTCGTGACCTGTTTACATAACTTCAAGCCTGTTTATAATCTGGAACCTCATCTGATAGTTTCATATGTATGAATTCCCGAAACACGATTCTGTTTTAAGGTTATGTCAGTTTCGTAACAATATTAATATATGGTGCTTTAGTAAAATAAAAGTGGTTTCATGCAGCGCTATAATTCCTCACCCCAATTTTTCATTCCAGGTCTGGAAAGATATTATTTTTGCCAATACCGAAATGTAAAATGTTTCCTTTATTTTTTTTGATCATTCTTGTCTCAATTTCTTCCAACACGTTTTTTGTGGCATTGTCTCTCAATGACGAATTGTGGCATTGGGCTCACAATCGATATTGGTTTCACAACGTTACCATTTGGTGAGGACAAAGTTGTGGTAGATCTAACGGAAGCTGGTACCTGAATGGCAGCCTGATTTGGTGCTTCATTTGATGCAGATGAAATCTAGTTGAACTAGTATATTACTTAAAATAAATAAACTTGTGGCAGGGTTGACATTATCTGGTTGCTCAATAACTACCTGTTGTGGTATATGACCTGATGTGGATGTAATCACAATAGGGCTTAACTGGCTGCAGAGAGGCAGGCTGCTGCTGAGTGTCATGGTATTAAGTGTAGTAGTAACATCAATACCCACATCAATGAAATCATCTTTATGAAAAGCTGCAGAAATATTCCTGCAGTTTTAAAGCCTGAAACTCCTTTTTCTAAACAGGTTACTCTAATGTAGGCTTTATTAAACAGTCCTGTAATTTCATATGGTGTAATTTTTGACGATTTTTTTTGATTTCGTATACATGTTGCAATCTTTGTTGTAAGCTCCTTCAAGGGAGAAATGAAAAGTTACGTCAAGAGGTTGTAGATGGGCTGATGAATGTGATGGAATGCTGCCAATTCCTAATGACTGTGGTTATCAAAAAAGTAGCAAAACTGGCCTTTCAGCGGTAGGTTTTGTTTGTTTAATAAAATGACGTAGCCATGAAATAAAACCACTAGGAGAACATGCATAAACATCTTCTTGTGATCCATATCTTTCCATTAGAGGGGAGTAACGTTATCGAGGAAGAAAAGAAGGTAGATGAAAGATCCTCTAGCACACATAACACATATTACTGTGATGGTTTTATCTCTTTCCCATGATATAACAGCTCCAAAACGTTTCTGACCTTTGTAGCTATAATGTTCTCAGTTTCTTGGGCAGTCACGCCAATCACATCTACGTTGTAAATCATTTGTGATTCAAACTTATACATATTTCAGCATCAATTTTTTCGAATCATCAAAAAATCGTGTCATCCCAGTCTTGTTGAATCCGAGTATTCTATTGATATTCGCGGTTTTCGTGGTATTAAAATTCAATTTCATTCATTTATTATATCAGTAGGAAAATTTTGTGAATACGACAGGCTACTGGCTGTTGAAAAATCTGTTGAAATCTGTTTTCCCGTTAACCAGCTGTCCTCTACATTCCTCTACGAAACTCCTACGAACTAAGAATTAACGAAGTCTTACCTTGTATCGTGCGATTGCTAGCACGGGTTAGACGATACCATTCTTAACAACCCAACCGGCTACCACCCCACTAATTGGACTCTTAGGAGGTTTATATTATGCAGTAACTTTTCGTAATTAAATTTTCAGTTCGACCTTCATTATACTTTAGCAGATTCTCTATTGATTCAGCTTCGTGTCAACGACTTCGACTACTTTGGTCATTAGCTTTGTGCTCCGGGTAGGCAATCTTAATAACTTCTCGAGCCACCTAGGAAGCATCATGGCTATTCGCAGTCCGTCAGCCATGTAACGTTGTAGAATCATTTCAACTTCAACTAGAAAAATCTCTCGGGCTCCCCACCACTGCATCAATGTTTTCGAAATTAAAATATCAATGGAACAGTTTCTAGTTATTAGACTTTTATGAATACATTCAATACTATATGCGATACAATTGATGACAGTTAAAATAAAAATCCATGATAACGTTTTCGAGAAACACTCTGTGAAATTTTCACTGAACTGTTCGCAAAATCACATTATATGTTACTTATGTATTTGTTTTTATATACAGCTAATTATTTGCAATATTATAACCTTCTGAAAATAATTTCATTGCTGAAAGAACTAACGCCAACCACACACTAACAATTTTATTCAAGCAACTTTTTTATCATAAAAACAGAACATTGAAAAGTTACGCTTGACTTTTCAATTAGCATCCACAGGCCTTGTGGTAATCAAGGGATGAAACCACAATTTTCCGTTTTTCTTGTTCCTTTTGAAAGTGTACGAATGCAAACAATCTCTGCTGATGTTAAGAATGAATCAGACGCCTGTGTGCGTTTGGAATAAAAGCGTGCTAATTTCGAAATTCTAGATAATTGAATCACTGAGATTAAAAAATTGCCAGTTTGTGGCTAGCCTAATGTGGATATTCTATTTGCAAAATAGCCAAAGTTCCTAAATATAAATATGATCATAGTACTGAACTAATTGAATTGATGAACAATTCTCTAATTTAAGGGGCCAAACTGTAGTGAAGATATTAATGAATGTGCCAGATTTGTAGGAACTGATTTGGGCTGTCAAAACGGTGCCACCTGTGTCAACAAACCTGGAACATATGAGTAAGTGAATCTAGAGAGTATTCAACAGTGGAGAGAATTATATTTTTTCAGGTGTATTTGCATTGGAGGATTCCTTGGTATACACTGTTCGAAACGAAAAGCCGATTGTTTTTCTGGCGGTGGTGAACTGTGTGGTCATGGAACTTGCGTGTCACAGAACAATGCTCTTGGATACAAATGTATCTGTGATCAGGTAAGATTATGACTGAACATCGTCAAAGAAAAAAATCACCAACAAAAAAATATTTACTTATTCATCAATTTTTATTTTGTCTCCTTCAAAGTAGTCCCTCTCAGATATAATACACTTATGTCATCGTTTCAATCCCTCAAGCCTGAGTTCTCTCGGCGATTCAGTTTTCATCTCCTCAAACTTCGAAAAACGTCGCGTCATCCTTTCATGAGTATCTTCAATCTTGGGAACATGAAAAAGTCGCAGGGGGGCGAATCTGTTGAATATGGTGGCTGAGGCATGATTACGGTGTTGTATTTGGCCAAAAAATACGAACAAGCAATGACGAGTAAGCAGATGCTTTATTGTGATGCAAAAGCCATACTTCAAGATAACACTCCTTATTGACCGTACGTCCATGTAGTAAGAACTCCTGATGAACTAAGTCGCCGTAGTCGAAGAAAATAGTGATCAAAACCTTGACAATTGGTCGTACCTGGTCTGATTTTTTTTGTCTTGGCTCTTCTGTGTTCTTCCATTGGGACGATTCGACTTTGGTTTCAATGTCATAAACATATACCCATGATTCGTCTACAATTATGACTCTTTTAAGCGAATCTGGATCGCCGTTGACGCCATTCAACAATTCCTGAGCGATGCTCATGCATGGCATGAGTCAACTGATATGCCGACATCCTCAGCAACTTCTCTATAAGTGATTCGACGATTCTTCATAACAATTTTGTTCATTTTCTCAACATGTTCATCGGTTGTTGATGTACTGGGTCGTCATTCACATCTTCTCGACCTTCTTCTCACCAACAAACTGAACATGCTCAACAACTGGAACTGTGAACATAGGTTTGAGACGAGTGTATCAACGTAAAAATCATAATAATCGCTAATCTAATTTACAAAGCCCGCGAAATTTGAACAGACCTAATAGGGTTGAGTGTCATCTCGAATCTATAAAAATGACAAAAAGGATTGATTGATAATGAAGGGATAGGCGTGTACACGTACATTTTCACTGATTGTCTTTTTGACGATCAAAATTTTATTTGAAATGTTACGAGGACAATTTCTAGAATGATTTGATGCAATGATCACTGATAAAGAGAAAAGTATAACATAATGGTTTGCTAAGTTATCGTTTTCTTACCAACACCAACATGCTACTAAGTGGTGTGGGATCGATGAAACAAAAAAAGTAAATTAGCAAAGTGGCGTCACCCTTTCTATATCGTGCTGTGTCGCCAAAATGGAAAAGTGATATAATCGTCAATTACATGAATAGATCGTTTGAATTGAAAGGGTTATATTTTTTGGAGTGACTGATTCTTTGGAAAAGAAAGTTTTTGACTTTCTACTGCCCCATCTTTATACAAAAAAAAGTGGGAATCTTCTAAAGAAAGGAAGAAAGCAATCAATTTTAAAAGAAGTAACTCTATACATAAATGTGTAGATCATGCAAAGAAGTAACTTTCAGATACAAACTGGAAGAAATCATGTGGATATTTGATTTAATTCAATAACGAATATTTAAAATACAAACTGAGTAGAGACAATTATTTTTTGTATAATTCATTGTTCATATAAAAGTATTTGTTTCGAAAGATTTTTTTTTCGTGTAATTCAATGTTTATATGAAAGTAGCTATTTCAGGAAGGCTTTTTCTTCCAGTTTGTGTTTGAAAATTACTCCTTTGCATGGTCTACACATCTATATATGTACAGATTTACTTCTTTTAAAATTGATTGCTTCTTTCCATTTTTTAGAAGAATGCCATATTTTTTTGTATCAAGATGGAGTAGTAGAAAGTCAAAAACGTTCTTTTCCAATGAATATGTCATTACAGATAACCAACACCCAATCATTATTGAAGAAAATGGATTTACAGATTTTTACTCCTCCTGAACCAGTTAATAGTAATTGTAGGTAGTTGAATGAATTTAATGGTTTCAGACTCCAAATGAGTGTTTCAAAAGCTTGAATTATAATCACAAATAGGTATATAAATATCTATTTGTAGATATTTACATACGAAATTGAAATAAAACAAAAAATGTAGCCGTTATATTTTGCCACCAAATTTGAAGGTTCAAATAATTTAATGTGGAGTGATACTCACTTACCTGGAACTACGTTTCCATGCATGCCAAACTCAAGAATAATTCACCGCCACTAAAACCAGAATCCAAAATCAGAAACCTGTAAATGAAGATCTCATTCAGAATAATACAAATAAATAAAAGACATGCACAATTATTTCCACCACCTTCATACAGAGAAGTTTTGAAAAAAGTTTTTTCTCCAATACTGAACGAAACAGAATGGAATTCATTGGAAAGTAACAAACCGCAAAGTGAGAAAACTGCTCAGGAGTTTAGTGAAAAAATAGAAAAAATGAAGGGGAAGTCCAGAATTGGCACCAATCATAGCCCTTACTCAATTCAACAAAACTTCAAATCAAAACAGAACCAAATCGATGATTTCCAAAATACACTAAATTACTGACTGTATTCAATTATGCTCATGATTCATTCATTATTATTGAAGTTTATGAGATGATTTTGAAGCATATATTCTGAAAATAATATTCGGCGATGTATTTTTTAAGTTGAAAGAATAATAATGGTGATGGTACAAGCTACAGAACATACAGGGTGTTTCCTAACTAAGGTACGAAATATTTCAGAGGGTGATTTGTTAGTTCGTTTTAAGAAAAAAAGTTCCTATGAACATTGATTTTCACTTTCATTTTCAGTTTTATTTGTTGAAGCCAGAACTACCCCATTTTATAATATCTCCAAGTACAATTCAACATTGATAAAATGGAAACCAACTATCATCAATTAACACGCTTATATGTATTAGCTTCACTCGTATGTTTGCAACCGACTCCTTTGGACTCGTTTTTGACTAACTTTAAACGGTAGATGTATTATAAACTTTGTATACTCAACAAAAATTGGATTGTGTCCAACATCGATAAATAAGTCCTATGGCTTGACGTAACTAATGCCTTTTAATAAGTCTGAAATAAGAATAAATCTATGTACAAAAAATTAATTTTGTTGTAAAAAAGCATGGGGTGCCAATCTAGCAAACAGCTCCTACCCAAGTAATTATAACAATGAATATTTAGCACCCCACGCTTTTTTACAAAGAAATGATTTTTTTTGTAAAGAGATTTCAGACTTATCAAAAGCCCTCAATAATTTTTTTTTGTAAATAGATTCATTCTGACTTTAGACTTATTACAATTCAGTAGTTACATCAAGCCATAGGACTTATTATCGATGTTGAACACAATCTTAGATTAGTTTCAGATTATTTTTTATTTTTAAGTTTGTGTTTAGTGTGTTTTTTAGTTTTTTAAACTATTATTAATTTTATTGCTATGTTTGTGGGTCTTCACCATTTCTTCTATTGTGATCTTGAACCACTGTAGGTAAATACGTCGTGATCCATTCGTCGATGGAAACAATAACACAAATAAAATTTTGAAAAATATTCAATAATATAAGTTTCGAAAATTTTGAGGGCATTTCTTTTTGCCATTGATATTTTTTGGATATTTTCTCAGCCTAAGTTCTCTTGGAAACTTTTCATAATGAACAAGTGTGTCACACATCATTTGATTTATTCTTTTAATATTCATCAATTCTGCAGACAGTGGATAAATCAGATTTGAGTTCCACTCAAAAATGAATATCATGAGCTTCTAAATAATGTATTATTCAATTTCTACTGGCATGTAGAAATTTAGTTATGGAATAAAAGTGTTTGAATTATGCATACTTATATAGCGATAGTAAAAAAGTTTTTGTTCAATTTTTGTTGGTCTGTTGGTTGGTTTCATTGGAAATGGTTTGGATTTACAATCATGAAATTTTTGTAGGGTTGGACAACCGATGGATCAAATCAAGCTTGTGTAATAGATGTGAATGAATGCAAGTTGAATCATCCACCATGTTCAGTAAGTCCACACGTAGAATGTATCAATGTACCAGGCTCATTTTATTGTGCTCCTTGCCCGTCAGGTAAACTATAATATAAATCACAGAAAAAAGATTTATCCATCCAACTTTTTTAGGATTCACCGGTAATGGATACCACTGCTCTGATGTTGACGAATGTGCTACTAACAACGGAGGCTGTAGCGTTGATCCTATGGTTTTATGTATCAATACTCATGTGAGTCTATTCAAGATAATATAATCATGAGAGTGACGAGATCTATTATTTTTGTCAGCTGAAATATTGATATTTCTCCATTAGAAATCTCGACACTACTAACATTTCAAAACGGTTTTCTTATTGATACATTTTTAATTTTTACATTTAATTCAGTGGAAAAAAACATTTTTATAAAAAAAAATATTTGTTTGGTGTGCCCAATTTTGAAAACTAATCTTTAACAACAAGACTATTTGATAATAATAATAATAATTCAATAATATTTTCAGAGTTTTATAGAGTTTGGGACCACTTGCAAATAATAAAAATTATAGTTGATCATTAAAATAGTTGTACTAGAGATACTTCACTAACATTTTCCTGAAACTTTACTGATATTCACATTCACGTTTGCAGGGATCTAGGATTTGTGGTCTGTGTCCTCCTGGTTACTCTGGGGATGGAATAACTTGTACTTATCAGGGAGTATGCAACGTGAATAATGGTGGTTGTCATAATTTAGCAACTTGCAGAGATAATTCCAGTAAGTTAAATGCAAAATCCAAACAGTTTCCATGAATCTTCGCTGAAATTTTGATGTAGTCTATGAAACCGATAAACTCTTCAATTCAATGAACTAATTTGCTGAAAGTACTTATACGGTCAATATTCACAAAGTGACTAGCCCGTCTACGTCATATGAAGAAAAATGTTGACTGTGAATTCGCTATACAGGTGCTTTCGAAATTTGACAACTGATAACGGCGATCTTGTTGAAGCTATATCTGTCAAATTATTTGTCATTTATTCAGGCTGTTTTACCAAATCACCATGGACGGATATATCATTCAACACGTGCAAATAATAAAATTATTTTATAAAAATAGGTGTTCTGTTCGGGAAACTTACTCACTGGTTCAGTAAATGATTGACCACCCGTACGTCGAGGTCGACGAAACGCAAGATCCGCCGAAAATATCACCACTGTCTGTGAGAGTGTTCAGGAGAATTCGATTCGCGTCGTTCACAAGAACTCGGCCTTTCGCAGACCACAACTTGGCGAATTTTGCAACGTGATTTGGGCCTGTCCAGCAACTGAAGGTAAACCACTATAGACAACGAAGTGTCTTCGCTGAATGGGCTTTGGAGCAGTAAATAACTGAGCCTAATTTTTATCGAAAAATCATATTCAGCGATGAGGCCCATTTCTGGATGAATGGGTACGTAACCAAACAAAATTGTCGAATATGGAACGATACCAATTCACATAGGATCCAAGAGTGTCCCTGAAAAGTCACTGTCTGGTGTAAATTTTGGGATGGCGGCGTCATTGGACCATATTTCATTGAGAACGACATTGGCCAGGCCATCACTATCAATGGTCAATGATTACCCATTTCTTTTGGCGTGAATCGTATAATCTGGACACCAACGACACGTGGTTTCAACAGGGCGGCGCTACATGCCACACAACTCATGCCACAATGGATATTCTGCATGAGCGATGGTCATGGTCATCTCACGTGGAGGTGATCTGAACTGACCACCGAGATCGTGCGATTTGAATTCGTTAGATCTTTTCTTGTTTTCTTAAGTCGCAGGTTCATTCAAATAAACCACAGCGGTCCTCAAACCCAACATAACCCTTGCCATTGTTTAAATTCAGACTGATTTATGCGCAATAGAAAATTCCGATGATATCTCACTTTGTTTAATTTAGATTTAAAGATAGAAAGCGCTCAATGAAAGATCCTATACTTTTACGATCTGTATCAAGTAACTTGGTTGATGTTGATTTAGTTGGATGAGTCTATCAATTAGATTATCATTTTAATTCGCATAAATTACCTTACAATCAATTTATCAAACAGCTAACACTAGAAATATAATTGAAACTATATTTTCAACCATCTTTGGTTTTGAGTTTGAAGGCTGGTGTGCTGAGAATGATAGATTCAAGTCAGAGTTGCTGAATTTTTTTATTCGTGCTATTACTAGCACGTTGATCAGTGTAAAAATTTAGATGTACCTTTTACGATTAAAGTCAAACTTATGACTAAATTCATAAAAAAGCTAATATTTCCAGAAATAAGTTCTTCATATGTGGAATGCATTTGTCCTCCTGGATATGTCGGCAACGGAATAGGTCCAAACGGATGTGTGCGATCTTCTCATCCATGTTCTCCGAACCCTTGCAAAAATGGAGCTTGTTCCATGAACAACTCTACCGGCGATTACACATGCACCTGTCGATTGGGATATTCTGGTCGTAACTGTGACGTAATGCTTCGAAATCCGTGTAATCCAAATCCTTGTTTGAATGATGGAGAATGTCAGAACATAGATAACTATCACACTTGTAAATGTAAGGCTGGCTATGTTGGAAGATTTTGTCAAATTCAAAGACAAGGTGAGAAATGACCTGCGTGCTGTCTTCTGATGCTTATATAAATTTCTCGTGATTTCAGCTTGTGGCGGATTCATGAGAGGAGAGAATGGTACTCTCAAGTATCCTAGTGGAGAATATGAAGACTACAATCATAGAGCAAATTGTGCTTGGACGATCACATTGAGCAATTCATCCAAAGTCCTCAATATCACCATTGAACGTTTCGATATCGAAGAAACTACAGACTGTCAAATGGACTGGTTGGAAGTAAGATTGCTTTGAAAAAAACTACTAGTAATTTTTCAAAATTCTTGATTTTCAGATACATGATGGCACGAATACAGCGGCACAAACTTTGGGGAGATTTTGCGGGAAAACACTTCCCCTGGGTGGAAATTTCTTAACAACACATAACTCGATTTACCTTTGGTTCCGGTCTAATGCTGATGTGTCTGGAAAAGGATTTGAGCTCACCTGGAGAGCAGTTGATCCAAGTGAGTAAGAGTTGAAACATTCACTTGTACCATGCCAATTATGTAGGAACCAAAATATAATAGATATCTGACATTTACAGAATGTGGAGGAACGATAGCTGGATCTGATCATGGATCTATACAGTCTCCAGGTGCACCAGGAAACTACCCATTGAATCGGTATGTCATTAAGTTGGGTTATTTTCTAGGTTGTTTACGTTTACGTTTCTTCTTTAAACTAGTATGATTATTTATCCATTTATTCAATCATATTAAATCACTTTCTGTCTAGTTACATAACAGAATATATTATATAAATATACTATTTCAAGTAATATTTCATATACAGGATGTTTCCTAACTACAGTACGAAACTTCAGAGGGTGATTTGTTAGGTCGTTTAAAAAAAAGTTCTTTTGAACATATGTTCAGAGTTGCTTTGTTTTTAGATATAGGGCGTGAAAATTGAAAAAAAAAACGGTATTTATAAAATATTATAAATATCCTTACACAGATTTGGTTGATGGAATTTATTGAAATCATTAGCTTGATAGTACATGACAACAGGTTTCTGGATGTCTTTGAAAGCTTGGAAATCGAAAAGTGCGGAATGAATTCGATGAATAGGGACGAAGTCCTATTTCGAATTGCCCTTTGCTTGCTCTTATACGTAATAATTTCAAATAAAAAACCGATAAATATTAGAGATGATCATTGCATAACATACCCAAGGCCTCTAAACTCAAAAATAAATTAATATGTGGCCCAGATAATATACCTTGCCAACTTGTCAAAAAACATATTAATATTTTGAAGTATCTCCTACTCATTATCTTCAACGCCATACTGAAAAAAGAGGTTTATCCAGAGGAGTGGAAATTATCACGGATTTGTCCGGTACATAAATCAGGAAATAAATCAGAAATCTCTAACAATCGACCGATTGCACTGATTTCTGTATTTTCCGAACTTTTTGAGATTATTTTATTCGATTTGCTTTATGCACATGTGAGAAATTCGATATCAGAATTTCAACATGGCTCCATGAAAATGAGGGGAACTGTGTGGAATCTCTGCACATTAACTCAATTCATATCCAACTCTTTGGATAATAGATGTCAAGTTGATGTAATCTATACAGATTTCAGCAAGACATTCGATAAAGTTTCCCATCAACAATTACTATTAAAGTTGGATGCATATGGTATTTCTTCAAAAATACAAAATCTACTAAGATCGTATTTGAATCATCGTAGTCTATATATCGAATATGAAGGTGAAAAATCGGATGTATTTTTTGCACAGCCGGGGGTTCCCTAAGGATCTAATTTGGGACCGCTGTTATTTTTACTTTTTATAGATGACATATGCGGTTTGATACAATCAACAAAGCTAATCTCTGCTGATGATTTGGAGAAATACGGGATTCGTCTGATTGTATGTTGCTTCAGAGGGATTTGAATTCACTCCAAAAGTGGAAAGTGTAAAATTATGACTTATGCTCGTATATGAAATCCATACCAGTTCAATTATACAATTGATAATATCGACTTACCCAGAGTTAATGATACTTTCGACTTAGGAATCTTATTCGACAATAAACTTACATTCAATGCGCACATTGAAAATATTGTTCAGAGAGCTTCTAAGTCGCTGGGATTTGTTATAAGAAACTGCAAAGAGTTTAGATCATTTGAATGTATTCGTTCAGTTTACTATAGCTTGGTACATAGTACACTAGAGTATTGTAGTTCTGTCTGGAATCCTAATCAAACAAAATACATTGATGCTTTGGAAGGTGTTCAGAAGAAATTCCTCAAGTTTGCGTATTATAAGAAACATGGAAACTATCCGGTTAGAAATTAGGAATACACTTGCTTTCTGACTGAATTTATTTTTGTAACATTGAGAAAAAGACGAGAAATTACAGATCTCATTTTCATCTATAAACTGGTCAATGGTTCCAACTCTCTGCGACTAAAAACACCTGCACCAGAACCGGAAGGTGTTTTTAATCTGCTCTTAATATTTCCTTCTCCCGGAGGATCCAGTCCGCTCTACTCGGAAATAGTACTTTACAAGGCAGTTCGTAGTTGACAGTTGGAGGCATAAAGTCAGAGATAACTTGGTTAGCGAAACGCGCGTCGGGTGACCGTAATTTTTGTTCTGGTGTTGGGAGAATGTTTTCAATACATTGGAATTATTAGGTCCAGTGGAGTCTCAGTGGGTACCACACCCTTCAATATTGGGAAAATACTACGCCACTGATTTGTTGTTGTAGTTTTTAATTTTCATTAAATTAATCAACTGAAAATACAACTTTTTCGATGTTTGTGTTTTCTTCATACCTTGCTTAGCTTCGTTTTCGAGAAAAAAAATTGAAGCCACTTTGCATATCATGAACATCTGCTTTGGAGACCAGGTGACTGTGATAGTGTTGTCATATCGGTGAAAGTCAGAGTTGGTAATTAGCAGTGATTTCATAATGATTAATTTTGCTAACGCTGAAATATCTGACATGCACTTAATTTATGGATCAGCAAATGGAAATGCGAAAGGAGCTCCGATAATTTACCAGGACATGAGTATTTCCATGTACTAAAACATTCAGAACGCTACATGCAACAGTATGTGAAACTGAGAGTTTCAATAAAAATGCAGGTGGTGAAAGATTAGAAACTGTAACAACTTCTGAACTAGAAGAAGCTATACTTGATGCAATAGAAGATCTTTAAAACCACTTCAGCTGGAAGTCAGTCCAAAAACCGTATGGACAGTTCTAAAAGGAAACCTCAGATACCCATACCACATACAGCAGGTCCAAGCTTTACTGTCTGTTTTGCAGGTGGTTGATTCATACGATGACACACATTATTGATTTTTCACCAAATGTTTTATTTACGGACGAAGCAAATTTTTCACGAGATGCTATTATGAACTTTCACTATGATCATTTTTGAGCCGACGAAAATCCTTACACGTTATTAGACAAAGTCATTTTCAGCAAAAATTTTAGCTGAACGTAGGTGACGAAAGTTATTAAGAACAGTTTTTTTTTCTGAGGATCATGTTAGATGATCACCACGATATTGTCCACTTGACATGTCAAGTGGACAATATCGATACCATTGACCTGGGTTTCTTTCCCTGCTTGTTTTGGCCCAGTTACCCAAGCAGTAGAAGAAAGCCAGATAAATGGTACCACTCATATCTGTTGATTAAAAAAAAAGAATTCGAGTGGATCAGTCTAGTTCTAAACTCCAGACATCACCAGAAGATGGCAAATGCGACTTTGCCGAATCATTGTGGAAATAATCCTACTGAGCATAAAAACACAGAAACGGATCGAAACCCGGAAAAACATCATACTTGTCCGTAAGAATCTTCGAGTTACAAAAATATACAAGGTGTTTCAAATTGAGTCGGCACCATTGCCAACTCCGTTATTATTGATATTAAGAATTCGGTGAAATGGGCAAACTAGTAGCATTTTTAATTACCTTATCGATGCCGAAAACAAAAAATGACAGTCACGTTTTCAAAATATTTCATAAAACGATAATTTTTTAAATTGAACACTCTATATTTTATCATGTTTTTCGATTCGTAATAACATTCTAGACAACAAAGCTCATATTACGTTTTTTCCAAGAGTTGAAAATGGTCAACTTATGTAGAAATATTTATTTCTTTCACTAGTACAAAAATTTCTATGTTTGAGTGAATAAGGAGCTATAAAATATCGAGTAAATATTCATAAACACCGCTTTCTTGTTGATTATATATTTGGGCCCTTCTCTTGACAATATGTGTTGCTTTCAACAGAAATCGGTATCAATTTTATTATTTACAGTTTCAATATAATTTTTAGTACATCTACATTATTATGTTTTATTTTGTACACTTCATTTTTCAGAAATCTCCAAAAATAAAAATCTAGAGGTGATCGAGGAGGCCACTTAACATAACCATTTGTAGCAATTAATCTGTTTCCAAAACAGTCTCGCAACACTCTTTTCACGCCTCTGAAATTATGGGCTGGTGCTCCATCCTGCTGAAAATAGATCATCTAACGAGCCTCCAGATCAAGATCATCAAAAAACTCTTCCAACATTCTTGTGAATAAATTAATGTAACGGGGTATATTCAAAGAACCATGGTAGAAAAATGGACCGATAATTCTGCCTCTAAATAGACCACACCACACATTAATACTAAATCGTCTTTGCGGATTGTGGGGATGGACGAGAAATGTATCATCTCTACTACAATAATGAAAATTATTTCTATTATATATCCCACAATTTGAAAAATCAGCCTCATCACTTCTTATAATATTTTTATAGAAGTTTGGATCTTTTCTGCATTAATTCATTAACCACCGACAAAACTTCAATCGTCTCTCAAGGTCGCCAGGTTCTAGTGTTTGCACTGATCTTAACTTATAAGGAATTATTTGGATTTGCCTCAAAGTGGGCTAAAACGTCAATTTCTGTATCTTCAGATATTACAAAACGTTTTTTTAGTTTTCTCCTCTCCTCATTGTTCCAGAATCGACAATGAAGCACAGCAAAAACGTCGATTAGGTCATTCACGATCGGGAAACGAATTGCTGTGGTGTTGGAGTGCTCTTACGTTTTTCTTTTTGCAAACCAAGTACCTAGAATTCTAACGCTAGTTGCACACACACCGATTTTGGACGGCCAGTATAAAATCGGCCGATGTTTTATTGGTAGCGGGTGCTTGCACACTCACCGGATTTTCATCGGTCAAACAATCAGTTGCTTTGTTGTCGTAATTAGCACGCACTACCAAAACGAAGTTAATGCGTAGTAACTACAATTTCACCGAGCATTCGAGACTGGAATGGTCGGTAAAAAACCGGTGAGTATGTAAGAGTGTATTTAGTCATGTACGCCACTACTTCCCGGTACTGACGGCGATATAGTGGCAGTGGACGGCTGCTCACCAGTATTTTACCCGCGACGATCACCGGTCGGCGTGTGTGCCAGGTCCCTTCCCCACATGTGGTTCACTATTGGAATTTGGACGACCGGTACAAAGTCGGCCGTCCAAAATCGGTGTGTGTGCAACTAGCGTAACATATCACATTTTTCTTGATGGGAAAACGGCATTTCGAAAAATATTCGGACAGTGGTTGACAGTTCCTATAATTTATGACATTTTCATGATATACTGAGAATATTTGACAAATAGTATTTCAACAAAGTTTCAGGGCAACTTGATTACTCATAATAATTGTGTTTTGTCGAATGAAACACATTTTTTTCCAACCGTAATAATATGGCGTTCCAGTATTTTCTGTTCTGTACAAAAACGGCTTCAATGTTATCATTATATCAGACATATATTGATTCACAAAATGAATATGACTAGTGGAATGGCTTCAAGATATGGAAATTATCGTTTTGTAAATCAATACCAAGTAGCTCAGTGGTTGTCAAGTAAGTGGTACTACATGATAATCACGGGTTTTACGAGTTCAAATTCCAGCGCAACTTTTTCTTTTTGCTGTTAGTAACAAAATATCGTCATTCATATAAGTACCAAAATTGGGTGTTTGGACTATCATGAGGTTTTATTTGCCAAAACAAAGAAATTTTTTGTACTAGTGAAATAAATAAATATTTCCACATTGAAAACGCGACTGTCAATTTTTTGTTTTTGACAGCGAGAAGACCACTAAAAATGCTTCTTAGTTGCCCGTTCAACTCAGTTTGTAGCGTTAATAATAACGGAGTTGGCAATGGTGCCGACTTAATTTGGAACACCTTGATATATTTGAATTGAAGAGGTTATATTTTTAGGAGTGATTAATTTTTTTTTTTTGGGAAAGAAAGTTTTTGGCTTTCTACTACTCTATCTGATACAAAAAAAGGGATGAGAGATAATGTCACGGAATAAGCTTGATCTGCTTATGTCATCGATGACATCGTAATGACATTCATTCACCTATTTGATTTAATCCCAGCCAAGAGGAATGTTATTTGAATTGAAGGGGTTATATTTTTAGGAGTGATTAATTTTTTTGGAAGATTCTCTCATCCCTTTTTTTTGTATCAGATGGAGTAGTAGAAAGGCAAAAACCCTGATATAGTTATATATATCACAAATCATCGGGATAGATAAACGAGGGTATTAATAATACACTTTTATCTGAACAGGTTCTTAAAAAATCGGATCAAAGAGCAAGTTGGAGACAACGGAAAGAATGAAATTGATTTTTGTAGGTTTTTTTTGAGTTTTTCCAAATCTAATAAAACGTATCAATTTACTCTAGTTGTATATTGTGTTTTTCAGTAAAGGATGTTGAAAGATTGTTACTCATAGACTCAATAATATAATCGACACAACTATTACACAAGTAGTACCTGTATTTTGTTACAGGGACTGCTACTGGAATCTTCTAGCGCCTTTCGACAAACGGTTCATGTTTCATTTGTTCTCGCTGGATATTGGCGAAAACCCAGACTGTAATCATGATTACCTCAAAGTAAGTATTATCATGGATATTATTACTCTAAGTACGGCTGATCATTTACTGGAAAGTCTTACTCGAACTGGAACTAATTAAGCAATTAATTATTGATTCAACTATTTACGACTCATTGCGACTTACGACTCACGACTGAAGATGGGTAGGTAAATGGATCCAAAAGTATTACTTCGAAAGAAAATATCGGAAAGGTAAAAAAATATTGAATTGAGTTTAACGTCAACCATCTATAGTTTACCTAATGAACGAGTCAGCAAACAACCAATACTGGCTAATCAAACTGAAATTCATCATTTTTTTTTCAAGTTTTACTCGGCGTTGGATGGCCGAAAAGCGAGTATTTTCCAAAAATTCTGCAATAGTACGAAGCCCGCACCTTTTTATTCATTAGGATCGACAGCTATGATACATTTCCATTCGGATGCTGAAAAAACTCATCGAGGATTTCAGATCAGCTATTCCGTAGTTGAAGGTAAGTGATGTGGTAAAGCTCAACCACGGTTGATATAATGTTATAACGAATTGTTAAACTAGTAAACGGGAGTTTAATAAACGTTTACTGGAGATGCTTTGCTCAGGGTATACTTCAGTCTGTAAATAGTGAAAAATGTTATGTTTAGTTTTTTGCACACAGCTGATTTATTCAGACAAGTCGATTTTTCATCAATCATCGTGCTAAAACATTCATAGCTCGGGCTTTCTGGTACTTTGAAATCTTCTATTTTGACAGTAATTTGTTCAATGACCAACCTTTTTGATGAAAATTTAGTATATTTTGTTTTTTCTGAATGAAGACTTGATTGATTCGTTTTTCATGCCATGTGTGAAAGTAATCTTTCAAGTCAATCCTAAAAATATCGTCCTTCCAATTTGATCTCTCATATTTCTACAAAGAATAGGAAAAAGTTTGATTGGAACAACCTGTTTTTATAAATATTCCCTCTTAAGTTGATATTTGATATGAAGGATTATGTAACGTTTTATATTGTATTTTCCAGTTTCGTTGAATATTTTTAACAAACAGTATTTTCAACAATTATTCGATCATCTGTTTTTTGACGAGCTTTCTTTGTTCTTTTGCTGCATTGCCTGCTACTGAGGTCTCCGTATTACACAGCTTCATTTTGTTCAGGTGTCCTTCAAATGGACATTGTCCGATGAGTTGTCCTGTTATGTTGAAGATCATCTTCATCCTATAACTGCATGGCCTCTTTTAGTTGTTGGTGTCCAATCCTAAATTGATTTTGATGAACTTGTTCCAAATATTGTTTGAAATCTTTTGAAATTTGCTTGACTGCTTTCTGTTGTCGAGAAGATTTTTTTGATACTGACCTCCCAGTGGTAAAACTAATGAGGTTGCAATTTTTTGATCAGACATTGGCTCATTCGGCAAATTTCAAATACCGCCTTTGACATTTTTGTCGCATTCGCCATTTCTTTTAATACTTTATTTTCCCAAGCAAATATGTATATTTGGGAGCGCGTAATATAAAAAAAAAACAAAAGAGAGTTATAAATTAATATTTGGTTCCTCATAATCTACTTCAAAAATATATTTTATAGCTTTATTCTGTTTCTGCAATTATATTCGTGGTTTCCAAAACTATATCAGATACTACGGAATGGCGGCAGATATTTTTTTTTATTTAAGCGATAAGCGAATTCGAATCAACAAAGTGGTTATTAGCGAGTAGTACATGTTCATAATTTTGTTATAATATCGATACATTTAAAAAATTCGATAATATTTGGAATATTACAGTTTCTGCCAATAGTGTTGTATATATCTAGGGGAAAGTTAAAAGTTGTTTCGCTGCCCCCAGTATTTGACTCTTGGATCATGAATAAAACCACACTTTTGCATCAATACTTTTGATTGGAATAATGAAAATAACTGATTGACTGTGTTAATGAATGAATAGTGGTTCGATGCACATTGAAAAAACGCAAAATTCCTTAAATAGTTATTTGTTCAACTAGGTAGAAATAAATGATTGCAAGGCAGTAATTCTTCCCTGGCGTTAAAACATAATTTTTCTTCGATTGTTTTTACACTGTTTTTGAGAAATCTGTGAAGAGCTTGTACCATTTGTGAATCTGTTTGTGACTGTCAACATTTCAATAGTTTTCGAGCACTTGGTTTCATTTTATACACAAAATTATATGCAAATTCTTTGATTCAGTTTTATCGATAGCAGACAATCACGGGACACGTAAAACACAATTTTCATGGCCAAAAACTAAACTGTGAACATATGTTCCAAACAGGTGTAATAACATGAAAAAATAAAAAAATATCTCTATTTTTGAATACCTATAACAATCAATAATATTATAGAACTTTATCTACTTACTTTTTGTTATGCTCAATAATAATAAAATTCTATCGTTCTTTTTATAGTATCTCCCGCCTAGGGAGATACTATAAAATAATTTTCAAACCATTTTTAATGCCTAGGCATCAACGCCTTCTAGTTAAACAAATAACTTAACGTTTTTTCTGACACTGTGTGAGTTTTTATATTTCAATCTTTCGATCAAATGTAATATTTTTCAGGTACCCCGGGCTGTGGAGGTGTATATACGGCAAGGAAAGGTACCATCGAATCGGTACAATCAACAGATGAGTTTGACTTTATCATTTGTCAATATAGAATCCAACAGAGCATCGATACCAAAATCAAAATAACATTTTTGAAATTCGACCTAGGCGATGACGCAAAATGTACATTCAATTATGTAGAGGTATGTTTCATAGTAATGAACTCGCTCATAAGATTTTAATTCGATTAGGGATTAGGTGATTATGAAGTAGAAGACTAGTTTAGACTGGATAATCTATTGAACTTTCAAAATTGAATGTGAGATTTGCATAAAACTCTTCAAAATTCACGATATTATGCTATAAAAGTCTAGACACTTCATTTTTACTTTTCAAATCTGTTGATTGCATTTTTTCAAATGTATATCTACATCAAACTTTTGATTATTTAGTAGATTGTCAAAAAATATGACATATATAAATAAAGGTGTTGCGAATAAATTCGTTGAAAAAGTTTTTATGATCATCATTAAACCAAGTAACCCACTATGACGTTTTCAAAAAATATATTGACTTTTGTAGATTTTGTATTTTTTATGTCAATTCATTAAAAATTTAGAAATAACATGGAATTGGATCGTTCTTTTATTTGCCAAGATGGACATTATTGTATCTGTATATTTAGAGTAGGGAGAGTAAGTGTAGGGCTACAGCACTTAGGCCGCATGTGACCCATTGTACATCCTCCCGAAAAGTTGTCCTCCTAGGTCATCATCCATCCTATCCTTTCCAGGAAGGTGGACAGGTCACTAGAAGGCATCTTATTTATATCGGTAATATTCATGACGATTTTCTGACGTTAACCTAGCAATAAAATATACCGCCTATAATGATAAAATATCAATGTTTTTAAAGTTTCTAACATCTGAATACTACAGTTTGATGTTGGTGCTAGTTAAAAATAACAAATTTACGAACCAAATCAAAATACGAATTGAGCTTGCTGAATACAATATTTAAAAATTATTTGAATATATTTCAAACAGAATAGATCAGTAATTACGAGAATATAAAAATAAAAATATAAAAATCGGTGACATTTAAAAATAATAGTCAGGAATTTTGTCCAAATTTCTAGAATGAGGTGGTGGAAATTGATAATATGTGATAATATGTGTTCTTGAGATGCTGCTACGGAAAACAGTACATAAGCTGAAAATTCTTTGCATGATTTTTTTCAAAGCAAAATATTTTGATTAGCATTTTTCTCAATTCAGTGGCAAAAATATCATAGCTGTCTAATTCATGTCAATATGTTCTCTTTGACAATCGTCTATCATTCTGACCAATGCATGTCTTGGGGGCATTTAGACCGCATTATTTCATATATACCCTGTACCTTAATGGACATTCTTTTTGCTGTCAGTACTTCCAAGGCGGGATTATAATACATTTCTGAAGAAAATCAAATATTCTAATTTGTCGATGTTTTTCACATCCCGACGATAATGGAGAAACGAACATGAAATTTCAATATTGCAATTGACGAAACGAATGCAAAGTACAACTTCTTGTGATTATTGTGATTGTGATTATTGAGAAATCGACACATTCTATATCTGTATCTGTAGAGTAGGGAGGGTAAGTGTAGAGTGTAAGTCCTCAGCACTTAGGCCACATGTGACCCATTGTACATCCTTCCGAGGAGTTGTCCTCCTAGGTCACCGTCTATCCTTTCCAGAAAGGTGGACAGGTCACTGGGAGTCATCTTCTTTATATCGGCAGGTGTAGGCCAAGACTCGCCGAACACACACTCTCTTATTGACGATAACTCCGGATACTCGCATAAGAGATGCCTGACAGTTTCTTCTTCCTGTTCACACATTCTGCATAGGGTTGTGTCCAGTAGCCCCATAATATGTAGTTGTTTTCTGACAGTGGCCAGTCAGAAATTCTACTGTTAAGCGTAGATTTTTCCTGGTCATCGCCAGATATTTCTTCGGCGCCAGTTTCCCAGGGTCGCCCAGGGTGATCCTGGCAAGACTGCATCCTTTGATTCCATCCCATCTCTTTAGGGATTGAGCATGGGTGTGCCTTTTGGCTAGTTCCTCAATTGTCGAAGTCATCAGGCCCTAGGTAGCACCGGGCCCTAAAATTCTTAGTCCAACCGATTCCTTGGTTGAAGAGTCGGCAATGCGATTACCTTTACTCCTGTCCTGCCCTTTAACCCACCTCAGGATAATGTTATTATCTACCGAGGCTTTGACTAAATCTTAGTGGCACTTTAGTACTAGCCCTGAGGTAACACGTTGTCTGTTCAAAGCTAATAAATCTTGTCTACTGTCAGTGCAGATTGTTATGTTTTTGCCAGAAATTCCTTTCCTGGTTATTTCTTTTGTGGCAATTGAGATACCAGCCAGTTCTGTTTGTACCACGATGGTATTTTTCCGATTCCCCACTCAATCCTTAGGCTTAGTGATCTGAAGTAAACTCCACATCCTGAGCCTTCTATGGTTTTTGAGCCGTCTGTATTTATACGTATTGCATGTTTTATTTGTATTTTGTAGGGTTTATTAAATATAAACCTGGGTTCAATTGCATCAATGGCTTGCCATAGGCTTAGCCTGAATTGACCTACTCCTACTTCAAGGTTTACACCAGCCGTGCACAATCGTAACAAGGCATTTAACGCAACCTCCTTAACTTACAGGCCCAGTACAGACCAGTAACTAATTAATGTTTGAACAAGCCAATCGCTTTATTTGATTTAATTATTTTTGGATGGCCGTTGCTTGTAGAACTTTCGGTCCCCATACAATGGCTCCGTACGTTAACATAGGTCTTATTATTGCAGAGTAGATCCAGGCGACCACACGGGGCGAAAGACCCCATGTGCGTCTATGTTTATTTTGTATGATTATTCATCAATTTTCCAATATTATCACTATTTTTATTCAAGAAATTTTCATTTTTAGTTGAATAAAATAGTGCAAATTGGTTTTTTATATTTTTATATAAAACAAATATGAAATTGTGGCAAAAACCGAATCTTGTTTAACATCAAATTGAAATTTCTTCATCACTTTTACAATTATCGATTACTACTTACCCTTTTCCATTAAAAAGAAAGAAGAAATAATTTGTATGAATGAACTTTCACTCCAAGTTATATAATATGAGTATATTCTATTTGGCAGCCCATTATAAGGAAAGCCAGCATAGGAAAATTAGAAAGCGCGAGAGTCGGTTAAATTGGGAAAAAATTGCTATTTTAAGCATATTAAGCTTCGTGAATTGTAAGAAAAGTTATTAGGAAAATGATATTTCTTTGGAAGAAATAAAAAAGACTTAACAAACGACCAACTCAGAAATTCTGCTTAGAAATTAATTTTGTAATTCATTTGAATCTGGTTGACAATGTTTCAATTGTCTGGAAGTATTAACAATTTTGAAACCTAAATTTTTTTATACAAAAAAATTGATGATGTTAAAGAATGATAGGAATTGAAATATTCATATGGAGTAAGTTGAAAAAAGTAAAATGCAATAATAATAAAGTCAAAATAAGAATGATAATTATGATTCAGAATTCCTAGAATCATCACACACATGCTCCTAACTATTTGTAATTATTTATTTTGGTCAGTTCTTTCTCTCAAATTCAATAATAAAATTAAACTACAAATATGATATATTCCTTCAATATTTAAGCTACACGAGGGCCCAGACGAACAATCACCATCTATTGGAAAATACTGCGGAAACAATATTCCAGCTCAATATATTTCATCGGGCAACCAAGTCACCATCGTATCTTCTACTTTGACCCAAGTGAATGGATGGAAAATCAAATACGAAAAAGGTAAAAGAGGGCCAAACTTGTGGGATTAATTCCTACATCTACATCAGAAATAAGTTTTCATTTCAGAACCATCAAAAGTTGAAAGTCTAGTACTTTTTTTGTTATATTTGCCTGTAGTGTGATATTATTTTTAGTTTGTGGCGCAACCTATGTGGAGAGCAGTGGTTCATTCAACTTAACTGGAGGATCGGATGATTTCTTGAATTGTGTTTATCTCATAGAAAGGCCACCTGGAAATAAAATAATTTTAACACTGAAAATTGTAATACCCTATTACCGCTACAGAACAATACCATATAGAAATACACCTTGTTTCCCAGGATACATTGAGGTGAGTAGAAAAGTAATAGATATGATATTAATAATGACGTAAAGTTGAAGGGAAAATATTAACAATAAAGAAAATTACGGCTCTCTTCGACTTTGAATCCGTTTTCAAGAAGTTACTATATTGAGGTCTCAATTTGCCTACTCCCCAGGTCTCGTCACTGGTCTTTGCATGGGTCTCAATCTGCGTGACAGTAATGATCTCCATGAATGAGGTAATCTTTGTAAGTCATCTCGTTCTTTAAGGCAGCGGGACGTTTTTCAATTCCATTAGCTTTGTGGATTATCTTGGCCTGGAGAGTTATTTCGGTGGTAATTGTTTTCGAGGTATATCGTGTGGCCTGTTTCAAGATGATGTTTGAAGAGGAATTAGGCTGGATCTGATTTATGGACAGCAAGATCATGTTCATAGGCTCTGTTGGAGACTCTTCTGTTGGTATGGCCTATGAAAGTTATGCAGCAGGTGGAACATTTCGTATTGGGTATCAAGCCCTTGGGTGTTCGTAGGAAAATGTAAATTTAATTGTTGCCTGTGAATACTGGAATTCGGCTCAATTTGTCAGTAACTCCATGAATATAAGGAAGAAAAGCTTTTGGGTGGTTCGCCTGTTCATCTAGCTATTTGGGATGTGGGGTATGGGTTTCCTGAAGTTGGATGGATCTTTGGATTTGGGTTTCAAGATAGTGGTTTTGGCGAAAGCCGGATTTGAGCCCGTTTAGTTTTTTGGACCAATATGGCAGGCAGTGAGTCTGATACACCCTGTGCATGAGATAATTTAAAGCGGAATTCAATTGGGAAGGGTGACGATAAAAAAAATGTGCGACAAGGAATCATTTAATATTGAGGTGGACGTCCAGGAATGGAAGTGAGTTGTTATTTTCGAGATCCATTGTGAATTTTAGGTCGGAATGTGAGAAGTTGAGGTGACTTAGGAATGTATGGAGACTTCTAAATCCATGAGACCACATAACAAAGATGTAATCTACGTATCGAAGCCAAAACGTAGGTTTGAGGTCAATGGCTCTGGTTTCGAAGTCTTCCATGAAAAGGTTTGCAAGGACTGGGGATAGTGGGAAATACATGGGGCGCCTTTCACTTGTTTGTAAAATAGTAGTGCTAGACATGCAGTGGCTGATGAGGTTGAGAGTCTTAGGGAATTTGGTGTTTCGTTTTGAGGACGGATGAGGTTTCGGAATGTAGGATATTCATGCATGTTTTACATACAGAAAAAAATATTTTTAAACGTCTTTTTCTTGAAATGGTTGAAATTAATAAGTCTTCTGTTTGTATAATAAGAAAACTGACATTGATAATCTCAGCAGTATATACAGTAACTTACTAGAACTACATCAAAAACATAATAATAATGAAAATTGTATCTATCAATAACTCTTTCTTTAAAGTCAAAGATTTAGAAATCATCATACTCATTGAAAAATGACATTCATGTGAAGGTATGACATTTGTCAAACCCAAAGTAATCCTATACATATTCAACTTTCTTCGTCAATTTATATGTTCAATTGATTGTTTTTGACTAATTTTTACTATAAGTATGATTATTGTTTTTCAATGGCGAAAAAACCCACAACTCAATAAATTATAGGCCCTGAAGAAGCTTCCCATTAGAACCGAAAGCTTGGGAAAGTAGAGCAGAGTATTGATTTTTGATTTTTTGACTGAGAGATCCTGCTAATCCAGTTTACTATATATATATGAAACAATGAAACAAAAATGAAACAATTCGTGGACACAACACTCCAAAAAAGGGGGGCAAACCGCGGACACGTGTTTCTGGCTATTGGCCTCATCAGCGCGGTGCAGCCAAGTGTAAAGAAAGGCAACACTTGTTTGTCGAAAGCAGGAAACAACACATACGCACGGAGTCAACAACAGAATTAGAGAGAATCTCCATTTGGTTTTTTAGGATATATATTGGAATATTTTTGAGATGTATGAGTAATCTATCTTTTGCAATTCATAGGTTAGAGATGGGGATCATGAAAATGCAACTTTAATAGGAAAATACTGTGGATTCAAAACAATCAACATAACATCATCGCATAATACTCTGTGGATGAAAATGCCAAGAAGTTTTAGATCTATTATAGCAGAGTATTCTTCTGTGGATGTTGGTGAGTTAACCTGTTTCATTTCTTTACTGTATTCTGCTGCTTCACTGAATTCATCTGCTTCACTGAAGTCATAGTCATTAATATAATCTGACAGAAATAATTCTTGATAGGTAGAATTAGAACCTCTGACCTGGAATAAATCTACAATGAAAATATTCTCTTTCGATGCGCATTTTGCTAGTTGGCATCATCAGGAGATGATGCCAATTTCATTTAGAATCTGCCAATGAGGCAGATTCTAAATGAAATTGTAGAGCTCATAACAAATTAGATTTAGGGTTGATTAAACTGATTTCTGTTAAATGGATTTTCACTTTGTATGACGTGGAATCATTGATATTATTTGTCGTATTCCCACAGGCTGTGGAGGTATTCTTAGAAACAAGTTCGGAACTATTTCGCCATCAGTTGTAGATGGCAGCTACGCTCCTTCTTCCTCGTGCACATGGCTCATAATTGCGCCTCCACAAAATGTGATACAGTTAACATGGATGACTTTCAATTTAGAGCAGAGCTACGACTGCAGCTATGACAATGTTCAAGTTTTTGACAACAACACAGATTTAGGAATGGGCGGTTTGATAGGAAAATACTGTGGATTCAATGCACCACCCATACTTCTCAGTTCTTCCAACATGATGACTGTTGTATTCACTTCAGATGTATCTATTAACATGGATGGATTTTTGGCATCATACACATTCATTCCGGAAAAGAATGGTAAGGAATAAAATGAAGTGGGAATTGTATACGAAATGAATTATTTCAAATGTCACTGAGTAACAACCCATCTTACTTTAGTTTGTGGTGGAAGCTATTTTACGTCAGCAGGAGTCATAAAGTCTCCCAGATATCCTGAGGAGTACCCAACCAATAGAGAGTGCACGTGGATTATACACGTGATGCCAGGTCAACAGATAATGCTGAATGTAACCGAATTCGATATAGAATCTTATTCTGGGTGCAGATATGACTGGCTAGAGATAAGGTGAGTATAGCATTCGTTGGATTCAATTACTTTTCAACTATATAGATTGTATTTTCATAAATAAATGTTCATTTTTAACAGGTTTAAAAATGACCAACTAACTTATAACATTAGTATATATGACGACAGGTACTTTAAATGAAATTGAAGCTGTTAAAATTTAGGTACTTTCCATAAGCTGGATATATTATCCGGGAATAACTCCAATTTGAATCAATAACTTGATGCAGTCAATTTTGTTTAAGAGTATACAAAAATCAATTGAAGTGCAATTTCCCTCATCAACCAGAGCTTTCGAATTAAGATACGATGAAAGGATAGAAACCATTGTATTGAAAGAACGTAATTTTTATTTGGCTTTGAACAAACTCTGAATACTGCTAAGACTCAGAGTTGAGCTTACGTCTCGAAAAAGCTATAACATTCTGATAGTATATACATTTCAAAAATATCCCAAGTAAGTGACACAACGAGAAAAGAAATCCAATGTAAAGTAAAGTTAGATTTTTTGAAGGAAAAAACACAAGCACTACAGGAAAATCCTCTCAAGGCGCTCTCAGAGCGGTGCCTGTGCGAAAGTAGCGATTCACATTGGATTTGAATCCTTGGAGATTGACTCAGTTTGGAAATGTTCTCAGGAAGTTTATTCCACATGAACGTAGTTTTACAGATGAAAGAGTTCAAACTTCACTGTGGTGAAGTTTGAAGTGTACTGAGTTGAACCTCAAAACGATGAGAAGCCACAATCCGTCGCGTATTTCTGATATGTACCGCTCTTGGTGGAATCAAATGTGCCACGTCACTTGAACACTTCCCGTAAAAGTATCTATAGAAGAAAGACAAATCTCCAACCTTTCTTGTTTCAGGCTATCAAGGTTGCTCGTGATGTTCGCATCTAAAATCAGGCAGATGGCTCTTTTCTGGATGGAATCCAGTAAAGAACACTCACAAAAAAAAAATTCCCATTCACATATTTTCCTATTAAAAGAATATGGGTATTTGAATTTGAATATTATTCAAAAAAACAATCAGATAATGTTAAATTTCAAATATTAATGAAGGAAAACTGTTGATGATATCTTATTAAGTTTGAAATAGAAATAGAAGAGGTTCTTCGAATTTTCAGCGATAATAACCCTCGTCTCCAATTTATCATGGGAAGAAGAGGATGAGAACTTCAGAGTTTTATTTTTTAATTCCAAATTAATAAGGATACAATATAAGACTCTTTATATGTCTTGGTATAGCAAATTCGGCATAGCAACTATGGGCTACTCTCCACAGTTAGTCACCAGTTCAGTTTTTAACCGTGTTCAATATAAGTAACCCTTTTTTTGATAAGCAAATTTATCAAATATGACAAGTTACTCAATGGGGTGAACTAAAACGTTTGCTTCTTCCTCACTTTTATAAAGTTATCAATTACAGTTTTTATGTATTTTCAGCATGCAGAATGTGAAAGAACCCAAAAAGTGTCCATAAAATATCTATAAACATTTTTCTTTAAGGCTTTGCTTATATTCATGACGATTTTCTGACGTTAACCTAGCAATAAAATATACCGCATATAATGATAAAATATCAATGTTTTTAAAGTTTCTAACATCTGAACACTACAGTTTGATGTTGGTGCTAGTTAAAAATAACAAATTTACGAACCAAATCAGAATACGAATTGAGCTTGCTGAATACAATATTTAAAAATTATTTTAATATATTTCAAACTGAATAGATCAGTAATTACGAGAATATAAAAATAAAAATATAAAAATCGGTGACATTTAAAAATAATAGTCAGGAATTTTGTCCAAATTCATAAGCTGAAAATTCTTTGCATGATTTTTTTCAAAGCAAAATATTTTGATTAGCATTTTTCTCAATTCAGTGGCAAAAATATCATAGCTGTCTAATTCATGTCAATACGCTCTCTTTGATAATCGTCTATTATTCTGACCAATGCATGTCTTGGGGGCATTGAGACCGCATTATTTCATATATACCCTGTACCTTAATAGACATTCTTTTTGCTGTCAGTACTTCCAAGGCGGGATTATAATACATTTCTGAAGAAAATCAAATATTCTAATTTGTCGATGTTTTTCACATCCCGACGATAATGGAGAAACGAACATGAAATTTCAATATTGCAATTGACGAAACGAATGCAAAGTACAACTTCTTGTGATTATTGTGATTGTGATTATTGAGAAATCGACACATTCTATATCTGTATCTGTAGCACAGCACTTAGGCCACATGTGACCTTCCGAGGAGTTGTCCTCCTAGGTCACCGTCTATTCTTTCCAGAAAGGTGGACAGGTCACTGGGAGTCATCTTCTTTATATCGGCAGGTGTAGGCAAAGACTCGCCGAACACACACTCTCTTATTGACGATAACTCCGGGCACCCGCATAGGGCATGCCTGATAGTCGCATCTTCCTGTTGACATATTCTGCATAGAGGTGTGTACACTAGCCCCATATTATGGAGGTATTTCCTTAGTTGACAGTGGCCAGTCAGAAATACTACTGTTAAGCGTAGATTTTTTCTTGTCATCGACAGATATTTCTTTGGCGCCAGTTTCTCAGGTTCATCCAGGGTGATCCTGACAAGACTGCATCCTTTGATTCCATCCCATCTCTTTAGAGGTTGAGCATGGGTGTAACATTTGGCTAGTACTGCAAATGTCGAAGTCATCAGGTCGTAGGTGCCACTGGGTTCTACAATTCTCAGTCCAGCCGCTTCCTTGGCTAAAGAGTCGGCAATGCGATTACCTTTACTCCTGTCGTGCCCTTCAACCCACCTCAGGATAATGTTGTTATTTACCGAGGCTTTGACTAAATCTTAGTGGCACTTTAGTACTAGCCCTGAGATAACACGTTGTCTGTTCAAGGCTAATAGGACTTGTCTGCCGTCAGTGCAGATTGTTATGTTATTGTTATGTTTTTGCCAGAAATTCCTTTCCTGGTTATTTCTTTTGTGGCGATTGAGATACCAGCCAGAGTACTTCCAACAGGCGGGATTATAATTAATTTCTGAAGAAAATCAATTTTTCTAATTTATCGATGTTTTTCACACCCCGACGATAATGGGGAAACGAACATGAAATTTCAATATTGCTATTGACGAAATGAATGCAAAGCACAAATTTCTTTCGATCAAATGACGAATTATAGACCAATTTCAGTTTAACCAGTTTTATCTGAAATTATTGAGAAATTGACACATTCAAGATTGTCTGAATATTTTGAAGTCAAAATCATTATACAGTGGGCAATACGAAAACATACTGACAGGAGTTCTCAGTATTGAATGACATAACCCAAGTCTAGCTAGAATTATATTCGAACAAAAACATGTGGAGTTATTTCATAAGATCTGAAGAAAGAACTTCATACTGTGGATTCATTAAATTCTTCTTAAAAAATGTATAAAATAGGTATCCGAAGTTTAGTTAATAATCGTTTCAAAATTATTTATTGAATAATCAAATCAAATCACTTTAAGAAGATCAACGCAGTAGCACTTGTGCTAACTGAGTTGAACTTCACCTTTTGTTATATCAGCAACTAGCTCTGTAATTTATTTTAATATTTGTATGTAACTACAGCTGGGAAACAATAAAGACGATTATTATTTTTATTATTATTAGTAATCATGTAGAACTTACAAAGTTATAGGATAAGTCAAAGAGCATTTTGTACATTTTGTAAAATTAAACCAAACTTATAGAATATGAAAGATTGTCATATGTATACAATGATGGACACAATGATTGACACCGTGTTACAATTTTCTTTCAAAATTGTGTCGTCTTTGTCCAAAATTAGAAATGATGTGTCATCTGCATACATAACGCACGTATTCTCAGCAACCATGGCCCCAACATCATTACAATATAATATAAATAATAGCGGCCCCAACACTGATCCTCGAGGTACTCCAATGATCAAAACTTGATTATGTGAAATACATTTATAAACTATTTTCAGATCTATGATTCACTGAAACGAATTGACTCCTGTTTCTGGTGAAAGACTATAGAGTCAAGGGCATTTCCTCTTATTCCATATGAATATAATTTATTTAATAGTATCGTGTGGTCGACGCCGTCGAATACCCCGCTGAGATTACAAAATATTTCAGCAGGGTGTTCACTAGCCTCGATATACTTCAATATTTTTTAGTTAAAAGCTGTCACAGCAGTAATAGTGGATATATTGGATCGAAAACAATGTTTAATCGGGGAGATAATGTTATGCCTCTCATGAAATATAGTAAACGATGTGGGTATATGCATATTTAAATATTTTTGAGAAACTAGATGGAACACTAATGGGCCTAGAGTTCTCTAAAACAAATGGATCCGATTTTTTGTGGACAGGTACAAGTTTTCTGGCCTTCAATTTTTCGGGAAACACTCCTGTACTGAAAGACAGGAGTGTTAGAAAGCAATATGTTTATATGGAATAATTAAAAACGGAACTCAGTTGTGCTGCATATTATAATAAGACATTGGATTGCAAGGGATCGATTTTGGGATATGAGTGTGAGTGACGGAATTGTATCGTATTGATGGGATAAGGAAAATAAGAGTATATATGACCTTATAATAGTTTATGCGAACTCGTTGAAAAGTCAAGAATAATATAAATAAGAGAAAAATGATCAAATCGGGCCTGAATTCTACCTTATTTGTATTCCAGAAATGGCGGCACATCAGCTTCTCCTCTTATCGGCAAATATTGTGGTACCGAGATTCCCAAACAGATTCCTTCACATGCCAACAAGCTGTACCTGTTTTTCAAATCAGATCTTAGCAGAACTGGAAAGGGCTTCAGAATAACTTGGTCTTCAGCAGCAACAGGTATCTGAAATTTAAAAATACACATGAAATCCAAACAGTAAAGCTGTTTGTCATGCATAAGAACCTGCTGATAACGGCCAAAAAATCTGGAAAATAGCTTTCACACAGTTATCTCCAGCTGTGAAAGTTAACATTCTTTGATCAACTCTAAAATTATTTTTGATTCGTGAAACTCTTTCATTTTCAGGCTGTGGCGGTGTTCTTACTTCACCAACTGGTTCTATAATCTCCCCCCACTATCCAGAACCCTACAGCAGGAATACAGAATGTATGTGGAAGATAGTTACCAGCACCGGATCCCGAATACAAGTCATATTCGCCGATATAGATTTAGAAAAACATGTACAATGTTTGGCAGATTATGTCCAGGTAATTTTGTACTGAAGTTATTTTCACAATTGATAACGGCCATCTTGTTGAAGCTACATCTGTCAAATTGGTTATCATTTATTAAGTCTGTTTGGACGGATATAGCATTCAACAACATGTGCAATTAATACAATTGTTTTATCAAAATGGGTGTTCTGTTCGGGCAACGTACCGCGCGCTTCGCTAATTTTACGGACACCATAATCGTCCTACCGAGAGGATTATTCGCAATGTGGTGGATGACTTTGGGTCCACTGGTTCAGTAAACGATCGACCAACACCCGTACGTCAACGAAACACAAGATCTGCCGAAAACATCGCCGCTGTCTGTGAGAGTGTGCAGGAGAATCCCAAGCAGTTGATTTCGCGTCGCTCACAAGAATTCGGCCTTTCGTAGACCACAACTTGGCGAATTTTGCGTCGTGACTTGGATCTGTACCCGTACAAAATTCAACTGATGCAGGAAGATAAACGACAATAGACAACGACGTGGTCATCAGAAGAAAGCCTTCCTGGATGACAGACAGCACCTATTCAATATGTACACGACTGTTGTGAATTTGGAAGACTTTGAAGATCCATGTTGGTGTGTTCCAAAATTGGAGAAAAACACACCGTTCTGTATGCATCATTCCAAAGGAAATTCGTTCAGCTACATTCTCAATAACCAGTGGCGGCTCGTGCATTGGAGAAAAGGGTAGGCTAAAGTCTTAAAGACTATATACACACAGAAAAGCCCGCCTCCGGCGTATATAGTATATAGCTCTGGGTATATAGTAATAATAAATAAAAAAAATCGTCAGCTGTGCGCCCAGATGAAACATCATGAAAACCCATAAAACGTTCTACCACATTAACATCTTTGACATATCTAAAAACGATTGAAAGTTGTGATGTACAGGTAATATCGGTAGTTTCATCAATTTCCCATGCAAAAAAAGAAACACTTTCAATCTCCTTGCTTATATTTTCCTTAATAATATATGCCACACTGTCTATAAGCTCATTTTGGATGGTTTTTGAGGTGCCCGAAAAAACGCTACCGTTTAAAAAAGTGCCAAATTGTGAATCATATTTGCCCCATAACATTAAAAGTTCCTTGTTATTCCGGCGATTAATCGAATCTTTGGTCTTTTTAAATTCGACCGATTTTCCCTGACCTGATTATTAAAAGAAATTATGGCCTCTTTTTGAGCTGTATCTAAAGCTGTTATTTTAATTTACAAGACGAAAATATATGCTCCTTATATTCAAAATGTCTTTCTGTAGAACGAGGTAAATTTTTTAAATCGGAGTATCCTATTTTAGACCACGTTTGGTATTCGGTTTGTACGGAAAATAAAACACAGGGCAAACAAAAAAGTTTTTCCCGTTTAATGGAGCCGGATAACCAATCGCATTTATCGTACTAACTAATATTAAATCTTCGATTTTGTCGATTATCTAACGTTTTAATTGAAATCAAATTTGGTTGAGGCCTTCCCAGAGTTTTAATAATGTAAAATTTATTATCATAAGATAAAGACTTAAAATTATTTGTCAGCAACCAATCGACTATATCGTCAGATTTTTTAATTTCGTCCAACTTATCCATAATAAATGAAAAAAAACTTACCGAAAAGTGAAAACCAGAAAACACCTTAAAATTGAAAGAAAACACTTTGAAAACAAATTAAAAATATTACCAAAAAGCACTGTTATGATACAATACTGCCTGTTTTATACACAAATAACAAATATTATCAGGAAACACCAAAACGATTTACCGATATATTTTTTAGTCCCGGTCCGTTACGGTATACCGTCCGAATAATTAAATAAAAAACAAACGCAGTCGTACACTAACGGAGACCAACTGGAGGCTAGCCTCCTCTAACGCTATAATTTCTGCAACTGAAATTACAAATCGGGACGTATAGGCTTGGCTCCCTTGCAACGTATGGCATTTATTATTTCGAGTTGATGGTTTATTCGTTATTCGTTCATGGGCGGTGTGTTTGAGTTTTGATGAAGCAGGATACAGTGTGGTACGTACCACGTAGTGAGTGATAGTTTTTTTCGGGCATATTATGTATTGATATTAAAAATTAATGGTAAAGTAATGATAACCAAGCATTTAAAAAAATAATCCTAATTATTTGTCAATATCTTTTAATTTATTGCTATGAATATCCTCAAATTTTATAGGGAGGCTAAGGCTCCCTTGCCTCCTCTGACGAGCCGCCGCTGTCAATAACTTTGATATTTTATATAAATGGCTTTATAATATACTACCAAAATGAATAAAATGTTCGCTGAATGGGCTCTGAAGCGGTTGGCAACTGACACTAATTTCCATCGAAATATTATCTTTAGCGATGAGGAACATTTCTGGATGAATGGGTACGTGAACAAACAAAATTTTCACACAGCGGTGCTCGAAGCCAACATAAACCATGCCATCGATCAAATTCAGCCTGATTTGTGGTCATGGAAAATTGGACGTTTTAGATGAAATCATATACACATTTTGTTTTATTTTAATTTAAAGCTAGGAAGCGCTCGTTGAACGACTCTTTATAATTGCCGAATAATTTTAATCATCATATTTATATGTCATAGAAATATTATACTGGACAACGAAAAGAAACATATTTTAGTACAATGAATATTTATTTTTTGACCTGTTCTTGTCGATGACGGTAAATGTGTTTTCTTTTAAGTTATTTGATGGATTGACAATCAACTCAAATTCTCTTGGAAGATTCTGCAACGAAATAGTTGAACCCATAAAATCTACAAGTAATAAAATGCTGGTGAAGTTTAGATCGGACGTAGCATTTCAAGGACGAGGGTTTCAATTGCAGTACACAACAGGTATGTGATGAGCTACTGAATAATGTAAAAACTATAAAACAACAAATATTTTCAGTCTGCCACAATACTGTGAAAGGTTACCGTGGAGTTATAGAAAGTCCTAATTTCCCCAACGATTATCCCCAAGATGAGGACTGCTTGTGGGAGATAGTGGTTTCCAATAGAAATAAAATCAATATTACCTTTTCTCATTTTGAACTGGAAAGGTCCCTTACATTCGCTAACAATAGTTGTCTCTTCGACTATGTAGAGGTAAGAAAAAAATTATTATTAATGGAAAACATATTGTAATGACCGGAGTGATCATTCATTTTATGTTCATGTTAAACATGATGATTCGTTTATATTAGATCGTTTCAAAACTTTTGTCCATTTTGTTGTCATGAATAGAACAGAATAGAATAGTTTATTGGCTACATGATACAATTGAACAAATATTTGTAGAAAGTATAAACAAAAAATTATAAATATATGAACTTATATACAAATAATATACAAATATCACAATGTTAATAAATATAGTTTAAAAAAACTAAAAAACACGCTTTTAAAAAACATCGAACTAAAAAGCTAATTATATAAAATATGTTTTTTATTTTGATTTTCTTTTGAACAACCTATCAAGGAGGTTACGTATAGCGGCATCTGCCCGCGAATGGCTTAAGCAATAATTGATAGTTACGTACAGCGCCATCTGCCGCGAATAGATCAAGCAATAATGCCGATAAATCTGTCAATATAGATCCCGAGCATGAGAGTTACAAACAAACAACCATATATACAACAAACAGGTGAGGCTAATATAAAGCGTGTAATTGAAATGAGAACAATCGTTACTCGAAGTCACACGAATTATCTGTTATATAACATATATTTATCTGTGGAATAAAAACAGTGATTCAAAAAAAAAATGACTTCAGTTTTTGCTTGAAACGGTAGAAACTGAGTTGTTTTATGTGACATGGTAATTTATTATAAAATTTCAAATTCAATGAATTTTTCTGTGAGGTGCTCAATCTGAATCTCTCAGTTTCCTGATCTCGTTGGATATTCATGTTGTAGAGACTGTAAAATGTAGCAGGATATATTTTTATGAATTTCAATCATTGTTTCATATATGAAGGCTGAAGAAAGCGGCATAATTTTAAGGTGATTAAGAAGTGGGCGACTCTTTTTTGCAATACAAAATTTTTTTGGAATGACAAGAATCCCTCATAACACTATGCCGTATACCATGTGACTATGGAAGAGTCCGAAGTAAGAAGATTTGATCGCTCTGATACTGGCCAATTCCTCTAGTCTACGAATCATAAATATTATAATTGATAATTTCTTGGCCAGTTTGTCAACATGACATGACCAGTTCAATCTGTCGTCTATATGGATCCCAAGTAGCTTAACACATTTACCCGAGGTTGAATTTGTATTTGCGGAAATAATAGATTTTGATATTTACCCCCGTTGAGGAGAAGCCTATTTGAAACAAACCAGTTACTCGCAGACTTCAAGGCAGGAATAGTCAAATCATGCACATTATTGTGACACTCCACCAAAGTGGTATCGTCCGCAAATAGAAAACATTTTTGGGAAGTGTATGGAAATATACATCATCCATATATAGAATGAACAAAATTGGCCCAAGTACAAAACCTTGGGATACACCATGTTTGACAGATTTCATATTCGATTTAATCCCATGTAATGATACACACTGTGATCTTTCGTGCAAATAGGATTCAAAAAATTTAAGGAACAGTCTACGGATACCATAATAGGAAAGTTTCTCAAGCAGAATATTATGCGAAACACAATCAAATGCCTTCGATAGATCACACAATGTTATGAATGAATGTGTTTTTGTAGCTCAATGAATATTTCTTCTACTGTGTTGTGGTGTACACTGATCGATGGAGAATTTTTTACAATATGCATTGACGCTGTTAATTTTTAAATTTTTGTCCTTCTCAGCTTATTACTAAATGATGTTGAGTGATTTTCGAATAATTGTTCTCTACGAATTCGAATGGAATGAAATCCCGAAAAGTGGGTGCCCCACGATAGGATCGTTACATGTTTTTTTTTAACACAAGCACTACAGGAAAATCCTTAAGGCTCTCTCAGAGCGGTGCCTGTGCGAAAAGCGATTCATATTGGATTTGAATCGCTGGAGATTGAATCCATTTGGAAAAACGTTCTCAGGAAGTTTATTCCACATAAACGCAGTTCTCCAGATGAAAGAGTTTTTAAACAGTGAAGTTCGGGGTGTACTGAGTTGAACCTCACAACGATGAGCAGCTACAGTCCGTCACGTATTTAAGATATGTACCGCTCTTGGTGGAATCAAATGTGCCAAATCACTTGTACACTTCCAGTAGAAGAGAGACAAATCTCCAACCTTTCTTCGATGTTCCAGGCTATCAAGGTTGCACGTGATGTACTCGTCTCCAATCAGGCGGATGGCTCTTTTCTGGATGGAATCCAGCAGAGCTCCATACATGGGAAAAATACTCCGAAGAAGGTCTGATCTGAGCTTTATAAAGCATCAAAAGTTGCTGAGGTGTGTACAGTTTTCTGCAAAGTGGATCTTCTACGACAGCAGGAGACGTTGAGAACAGTAGTTGGACACCGATGAGCCACCCAGGCACTTCCTAAAAGCGAAAACCCACTGAAAAAAGAACATGGTTAATGATTACTGTATGGTGGTCAACGGCTGGTGTCATTCACTTTAACTTTCTGCAACCGGGCCAAACCATCACGGCAGAGTTCCATTGTCAGGAAATCGACCAAATGTACCAAGAATTAATTCAGCAGCAGTCGACACTGGTCAACAGAAGCGGTCCGAAACGCTCGTTCGCACGTTTCATGAATCACCATCGGAAAATTGAACGAATTCAGCGTCGAAGTTCTGTCTCATTCACCATATTTCTCAGACCTCTCACCAATCTACTAATATATTTTCAAGCACTTCAATAACTGTCTCACCGTTAGTTAGAGCCTTAACCAATCAGGACCAGCCAAAAATGACCTTCGTCAACTTCATCGAATCCCGAGCACATAATTTTTATGCTGATAGAATTCATCGACGACGGCAAACGTGCACTGATTCAAATGACGCTTTTTCGATTGAATTGAACTATAATTCACTGAGATATTTCAGTTTAAAATGCACTCATAAAAACGGTCAAAACTTTTCAAACAACCTAATATTATTGAGGTTTTTGTCATTTCTTCATTATGATGTTTTCATGGGGACAAAATAGAATCTGAACGATTTCTGGAATCTGAGTTTGAAGTTACTCAATTCTGGATTATAAATTACTTATTATTGTGATCTAATCTGTAATTGTATTATACAGTCCATAAGACCTACAAGTTCGGTAAAAGGACAATAGTTTCGTATTTTGGGGAACTAGATCGAACATATCAATGGTTTTTTTTGATTTATTCGCCAATATCTAGAGTTGTCGAATTTCGTTTTTTAGCTCTACCGTCTCCATTTCGAATGATATGAAAAAAAAGGCAGAAGAACTTTCAAAACTATCTCATATTTGTTATGAAAAACACACCACAAAACCACAAAAATAGACATAATTCATATATTCTCAGATAATTCTATATCCTCTGCATTCTATTCCATAACAAACTTCAACATTATTTGATTTTTCCAAAAAAAATATAAGAAGATTTTTTGATACCTGTTACCTGGTATATCAATTGCCAGACAAGGGGTTTTTCCTACATGCTGATTTAAATATTTTATGATTTTTTCGGCGAGCATAATTTTTTAAAGCTCATTCGAAACTCATTAAAAATCCACATGGGTTGAGAAGGAAATATACGGTTTCTTGAATCAGATCCATAATTTTTAAAATACTCTGTAAACATTCGAGAAAGTTCTCACTCTTTCACAATTCATTTTGATAACTTCACTATTCTTATGAAAGAAACATATTTCTTTTGCAGATAAGTTATGCAGAAAGGCCATCAGATGCATTCTCCGATGAAAAACCGACGTATACAAAATATGGCAAGTATTGTGGGAACCAGAACCCTGGTCATCTTAGCCTCGATTCAGATCACGTACAAATTCATTTCGTTAGTGACAAATTATTACTTGGATCTGGATTTAGATTGGAATGGGAGATGGTCGGTAAGTTTTTTCATGTATGAATGAAGACTAGTGAATAGTAGGTCGACCAGAATTGTTATTGGAATGACACAGAATTGTTATTTTCTTAAACTTTGTTCAATTCACTGAATAATGTTTTGGTAATCAGAACTGCAATCGAACTGCAAAATAGATATGGGTTTAACACATTTTTGGTAGAGGCTATTCAACCCACAATTTTGTTAAGAATGTTATTTCACAGTTTTACACAACGATAGCTACTTTCTATCTATTTTTTTCTTTCAAAATCTTCATAACTATTGAAAATTTACGACTAAATTTTATAGGATGTGGAGGACATCTCAAGCAAAATCGCGGGACTATCAGTTCTCCCAACTATCCAAATCCTTATCCTGCATCAGTTGTCTGCGAATGGCTTATAGAAGTGGATTATGGAAACAGTGTAGAAATTGAATTCCATGAGATTAATGTTGAAAAGGATAGTTCGTGTTCATTTGACTCTATCAAAGTGAGTAAAAGTTTACTTTTCAAATCTGTTACCAATTTCATATCGACTTTCTCCTCTAAATTTTGAGTTTTTTCTCGAGATCTCGATATCATTCTCGAAATCTTCTCGATTCTTGAAGAACAAAGTCTTGGAAAAACTCAATATCTCGAGAAGAAACACCCTTCCACAACTTTATGATAACTCAAATGTTCAGTTAAAATACGAAGTTTGTAATAATATCATTTAGGATATATGATGGAATTGGATGATATTTTAAGAAAATTCATAACGTATTCAAAAACATTTCATTGTGAGATTTTTCACTAAACAGTTTTACAAAAACGCAACACGTGTTTCGCCATACTATGGCTTCTTCAGACGTGTCTTACACGTCCGAGCAAGTGAAAATAGACCATACATTGTAGTTGCAAGTATACACTCCTGACATTATATTTCTTTCCAGATTTACAATGGTTTGGACGACACTTATAATCTCTTGGCTACATTCTGCAGACAGAAATTAAAAACTGTTGTATCCAGTACTGGCAACTTTATGTTTGTCAGATTCGAGACAGATTACAGTTACCAAGGAACCGGTTTTATAGCCAACTTTACAAATGTTCCAACAAGTGAGTTACCTAGTTATATATTTATAGTATATAGTTGTAGTATAGTATACATTTACTTGAGCTGTGACCCGTTCAACTAGGGTGAGTTTTAAATAAATTGACAGTGGAAAACATTTTTGAAAACAAGCTTTTATTAACATGATCTAGAAAGATGTAAATGAATTTTTAATTGATTCAAACACGTCAGTTTGTTACATTAATGATTTATATGATGAAAAGTTTGTCGCGACATTTACCTATTTTATAAAAACATATATTTTTACTCTTGAAGTCACTTATGAAAAGATTAGGTAATATATTGTATTCTTATTTATCTGCAGAGGTACCCAAATCCCGCGTCATGCTTCCATATCATATTATAAATTGTGTAATGTAGGTAGAAAATTGATGGGTTTGAATCAATTCAAAACTTGTTATCTTTTAATTTGGAGTATGTAACTGAAAGCTTAGTTTTAAACATATTTTTTGGTGTTATTTTATGATGGACACGTTTCTTAGTCTGTTTATTTCATTTAATGCAGCAATGTTGAAATTGATGTGGCAGCCATCTTTTTTCTCGACATTTTTTTTCGCTTTCGTTTCATATCATGGGGCTATATGAAAATATAGTCGACCATTTTTAAGAGTCAGTCATATTGGACTTAGAGTGAGGTCATTTTATTTGATACACACATCATGGGGATGCATGAAAAAACTGCCATCTTGAGCGGTCGATCATGTTGAATTTAGAGTGATGTGAAATCATTTTTTGCATTCTTCTCAGCGAAAACTTTCATTGATACGTATTATAGGTGGTCCGCCATATTTGATTTGAGTGACGTTATGTTGTTTCTTTGATACTCATGCACCTGAGGGTGCATAAATAAGCTATTCCGTCATCTTGGGCGGTCCACCGTATTGGATTTAGAGTGACGGAATCTTGTTTTTTTGTACATTATTCTCAGCATTCTCTTACAATCTGACCTAAAAGATCACTCACCATAAAAATTGATCTGATTCGTTAAAAAGCTGAGTTTATTTGCATGCATGTGAATAGGTGTGAGCCACAATAAACCCTTGTGGGTTGCAGTGGAGGGTGGAATGAATCTACTCACTTTTGACCTAACCTAACCTAACCCACTATCGTTACCGATACAATGTTGTAAACCTGGTTCAAATGGTTATTTATTTCTATTAAACCGCGTATATTTCGTAAACTTATCTCTAGTTGATCATGCGAATGAATCACCATGAAATGTTTGTTATACTATTGTATACATACATATTATATAACATAATACGGTCCGAAGTCGAGGTCAATGAAAAGAACAAACACTGATTTAAAAGGAAGTTATGATGAATTTCATACTGAACTGCGGTCCTTTCTCTCAGCGTAGTTATGATTCCAAAGAGTGAAACTAGTAAATGGAGTACTTCAAGAATAGTACCAGGATTAATGTATTTGAAAACTAGGGTACATTATGAGATGAAGCACTCAATTGTTTCAACATATTAGGACATTATGTCACCGTTGACTTGAATCTTCGTATGTTACAATGACATTCATTCGCTTATTTGATATCCCAGCCATAGGACTCTTGTTTAAATTGAAAGAAGTAAATTTCTAGGAGTAATGCTATGAATGAATTGACTGCTTCAGCGTGTGAAGTTATCCAATTTGGCGCTGAGGAGACAACAAGACAAGTATTTTTTATTCCGAAAAATCGATGGCCGGTGGCATGGAACACTGTCATTTAGAATAACAGTGTTCCATCTGCCATATCCATCTTCCATATACCATATTGTGTATAGTTTCTATGAATTTAATCTGATTCGATTCATTAAGGGATATTCGGAATATATACTTAATAACGAAAACATTTTTTTTGTATAATTCAATATTCATATAGAAGTAGTTTTCTCGAGAGGCCTTTTTCTTGTAGTTTGTATCTGAAAGTAACTTCTATACATGATCTACACATCTTTCTGAAGAGTTTATTTTGAAATTAATTGCTTTCTTTTTCCTTCATAAATTTACCACCTTTTTCTATACAGATGAAGGAGAAAAAAGTCAAAACCTTCCTACCCCAAAAAATAATGTACCCTAAAAATGTACCCCTTTCAATTCAACCTTATTTCGGTGATAACCCTAGTTCATAATTAACGTAGTAAAATATTTAATTTATGTGAAATGTTTCAGAATGTGGAGGTAGATTTACAGCATCTCAGGGAAGTATATTCTCTCCAAACTACCCCAAAAATTACAACAAAAACGAAACTTGCGAATACTTCATAGAAATAGAGGATGGCCATTCAATAGAACTTCACTTTGAGGATGTCGACCTTTTCAGTTCGACCAATTGTTCCAAGAATTACGTTAAAGTATACTTTTGTTGCGAATATTGATAACTGTTCACTGTAACGTTTTTCAATACATTCCAGGTTCATGATGGTCCTTCGCTTGCTTTTCCAGTTTTGGCGACAATCTGTGGAAATGAAACTCCCAACACTACGATCAGATCCTCTTACAATCATATGTATATTGAGTTCATGTCTCATTCTTTCTTCACTACGAAAGGATTTTTAGCAAAATATAACAAGGTAAAATATTTTTCACACATGTTCTTTATCATACGAACTTATTGAGAGATCAGAGTGATCTACCCAAACTATCCATATCTCTACCTAAATCCATTCATCTAAAAACATGAAAAAAAGTATATTTTGTTTTCGAGGATTGATTTTTTTGATGTAGTCTTTCAGCATGTGTACGAGTATCAATAAATTTGGCACTGCTAGAGTAGTTGCCAGATTATCCCCGTTTTCAATTACAAAATTTGATTTCTTTTGATGCAGTTTTTTGAGTTTATTTTATTTTACCGTAATAAATAATATTTCACTTTCCGAAATTTAGTTTACAAGCTTATGTTCAACTTAGTACTCGTATCTGATGAACTTGTGATCCAACATCTGACAGCGCTGTTTCAGGTCTCCTTAGTAGCCCTATTCTGAATCATTGAAGTGTTCTTGTCTTTGTAGGTGACATCGTCTCTACTATCTGATGTTACACCGCCTTCTGTTTCAATTCAAATCTTAATTTGTGGAAGAGACGAAAGTAATTGGGTTTTAACATTTTTGTGGTTTTCAGGCCTGTGGATCTAGAATATCCACCAACGACAGAGGTGTAATCGATATCGACCAAAACGAATTCACAGATAGCATCAGCAATTGCACCTGGACTATTGTTTCATCCGTACCAAGTAAATTTACCGGTGACTTTCAGAAAGTTTTCGATAATAGATAATTTTATTTCAACAGGTAGACACGTTTCTCTAACGATAAGTTATATGCATGGTCAGCCTTACTGCATGTGGGACGAAGACTCGGTGTTCATTTATAATGGGGAGTCGGAAAATTCGCCTCTATTGAAGAGTTTTTGTGGGTCGAAAATTCCTCCTACCTTGGTTAGTGATGGTTCTGCTCTCACAATTTTGATAAAATCTCCGATTACATTTTTTGCAACGTACTCGATTTACGACTCAGGTGAGTGAATTTACTAATTAAGTCATTACAGCTCGGTTGAAGTGAATGTTGAAATTTGTGACAAACTAAACATATTTCAGAACAGATAAAGTGGTAATTATTTAAAACCTGTTGTGTTACGACCTCAGTTTGTAGTTTTTGTTTTGATTATGGGCCATTTTCTAATAATGGACAATAATAATTGAAAGTCAATGAATATTTCCCTTTATATAATGTTGGTCTCGATCAAATCAACAACTTTGATTAATACATTATCATAAAATTATAAATATAACTATTCCACTTCATTATCGTTGCAAACCTCATCATTACTTTCAATCTGAATCTAATCCTTCCTGTACGATTTCTCGTCTTTCAATACTGCGGTGGAAATTTTGCGATCATTGTTCTTCTGTTCCTGCTACGACGCATAATTTCTGTTTTTTTTTTGTGGAACAGCTTCAAAGACCACTCAGAATCATCAATTCGTTGTTTTTTTGGTCAATTGTGAGCTCGCTCGCATCTACTTTGAACAGAATTTTCGCATTCCCAAATATTCATGCACAATATGTCCAACACGTTTCTTTGATGTCTTTAGAGCCTCATCTACATCGATAAACTTCACTTGGACTTTTTTTATGTTTTCGTCGGCAACAGCCTCTTTGGGGCGTCCACTGAGTGCATCGTCTCCGGTGTTTATTTCACCTCGTTTAAACTCAGCAAACCACTTCTCAACATTTGATTTTCGTAGTGCAAAGTGCGAATAATGTTTATCAAGCCAAGCCATGGCTTCAACAGTATTTTTTTTTCGCATCAACACACGAAATTCTTTTTAATCAAATTCAAAATAACAAAAGTTCTATCCCACAAATTAATTGTCCGGCAGCTGTGAAATTTGTACAGGTGTCTTTTGAAGGTTAGGATTAACTAAAAATTATATGGATTCGACACCAGTAGCGCCATCTGTGTTTTGGTTTACGACCTTTTCAGCCCACCTAATAAGTATCGAGTTTAAGAACTGTTATGGATGTAGTTGGTTATCTGTCAATAGAGACTTGAATGAACAGTTGTTGAAGTTATTTTTTATATATTACACAGGGTATTTCTTTACAACGGTACGTACGTTAGGTGGTAAATTTTCGTTATCTGGACACCCGGCCATTTTGAAAAAATTTTTGACTGTACTTACGTATTTTGATGCGTAGATTACGAATCCGAAATAAAAAAGCGGCGCTCTTCTTTATTTAAAAAGTTACGGCCCTTCAAAGTTCAGAAAAGGGCAACTTTTCAGCCTTCTTTTTCACCAAATAAACTATTTAAAAACACAAGCATTTATTCACTAGGTTTTTCTGAACTTTGAAGGGCCGTAACTTTTTAAATAAGGGAGAGCGCCGCTTTTTTCTTTCGGATTCGTAATCTACGCATCAAAATACGTAAGTACAGTCAAACATTTTTTCAAAATCGCCGGGTGTCCGCATAACGAAAATTTACCCCAGTAGCGTTTCAGTGGGCCCCGTAGCCAATAACAATGAAAAAGGACGCAACTGCCTTTTTTCGTATTTTTGTAACTGAAAGTACAAATTTTTGGTCTCTTGAATTTTTCATGTGACTTCGTTTCCGAAAAAAAATAAGCCATCTGCATATCATGAATATGGAAAAATTATTTTCTAATAATATTGAAAAAAAATCTCGCCCATTTGTCTCAAACTCCGAGCTAATAATTAAATTTGGATGGCAACTGAGTTGAAATCTGGTTTAATATTGAAAATCAACATTCATCTGTTTGTTTTCATTATATTTTTACCAAGTCCAATCAAGTACCTTCTCACCTGCATTGGAGACCAACTGACCAACTGACAGTGACAGTGGTATTGTCAATTCAGAGTGGTCAATTAGCAGTGATTCCATCAAGAAAAATTTTATGAACGCTGAAATAGCTCTTTTGCTATTGATTTATAAATTAGCAAATAGAAATTCGGAAGAAGCACAGATAATTTACCGGCACAGATATCCTAACAGAGTGATTCCATGTGTTGAAACACATAATCTTACATGTGTTAAAACATGGTAATAAAAATACAGGTGGTGAAAGACTAGGAACTATAACAACGTCTGAACTAGAAGAAACTTTACTCTATGCTGAAGAAGAAGATCCTTCAAATAATACTGGGAGGAATGCATTGCAGCTCGAAGTCAACCCAAAAACCATTTCTGAAAAGAAACCTCGTATACCTATATCACGGTCCGAACTCTACTGGGTCCAAGCTCAAAAGATTATTGTTTTGCAAATGGCTGATTCATACGATGGCACACAACAATAATTATTTATCAAATATTTTGTCAATGGACTAAGCAAATTTTTCACGAGTTGCGATAATGAACTCTTCATCGGAGAAAAGCACTTTCAGCAACAGTTTTCGCTGACCGTTTGGATAGGAATTATTGGTGACTATCTAATTGACCCATTTTTTTACCAGCAAGATTAACAGATGAATCCCACATGAACTTTTTGCGAGATCATTTGCCCAGTCAGAAGAATATCCTCATTTGTGAGAGAAGACATGTGGTTTATGTACGACGAGGCTCCAGCTCATTTAAGTGTTCTTGCTCGCCAGCAACTCTTCGTATTTTCTAATCACTGGATTGGACGTGTAGGTTCTCAAAATTGTCCAGCTCGCAGTTCTGATATGAATCTTCAAGATTTTTATTCATGGGACCATTTAAAAGCCCCCGTTTATAGAACTCCTGTGCTAGATGTGAATGACTTGAGGAATCGAATAATTGATTGACAACTGCAAGATTTTTATTCATGGGGTCATTTAAAAGCCCCCGTTCATAAAACTCCTGTACTAGATGTGAATGACTTGAGGAATCGAATAATTGATTGACAATTGCAATGTACTGAGCAATCGGCCAGGTATTTTTGAACGTATCAGACAATCAATGACAAATCGATTTGAGTCGTGTATTTTATCAACAGGTGTACATTTTGCTCATTTACTTTGGGGTGTAATTTGTTTATTTTCCATTTTTAGTTATCATTTTTTTGTTCGTGGAAAGTTTCCAGAATGAGTTAGAGTTACTTCAATTTTCTTTCAAAAAAGAAGCTAGATATAAAGAAAACAGAAAGTACCAAAAAGTTGTATTTGGTTGTTTGATCTAGAAAATAAAAAACTTCAGAAAACAAGGCACTATCTTACTTTTTTGTCAATATTATTGGTTGTGGGTCTTCTGAGACATCACTGTACCTAATAATTTCAATATAGTTTCAAATATCAGTATCAAATTATCGACCCAACGAATCATCCTCTGAAGTTTCGTACCGTATTTAGGAAACACGGAGTATATAATAAATTAATTATAACATGGTGATAGATTAATGTAATTTTTTGTTTAGAATGTGGAGGCACCCTCATTTCTTCAGAAGGATTTTTCTCAACTCCAGGATATCCAAATGAATATGCCTCCGATACGCAGTGTGAATGGACGATAGAAATTTCACCCGGTTTGTATTTTTGTTGAAACAAAATCTTCGATAATTTCACGTAACCATATGTTATTTCAGGCAATCAAGTAACGCTGAATTTCATTTATTTCGAACTACTAGATTCCGATGATTGTAACAATGATTTTCTTGAAATAAGGTCGTATAACAGTTCTGGACCAGTATTGGGAACATTTTGCGGAGAAAATACTCCCGAGAATATAACACATGTGGGAAGCTTGTGGCTGCTGTATAAAGGCAGTAAACTGGCTCCTGGTGATCCTCCCATTGCAGCCAAAGGATTCTATGCCGAATATCAGTTGAGTGAGTATATTCGATGAATGACTTGAGAAACAAGGAATTGTATGACAACAGAGTGTTACTTATTAGACTTGAGTTAGTGTTATTGTTATATCTATTGTTAAATATGTGATGGACTCAACCGATACTGGATGAAAATCCATAACGTAGTCAAGAAACACTTTATTTTCAGTGCTATTGAATAGCGTAACACGTATTTCGCTATATAATAACCTCTTCAGGCGAGTCTTTACTAATTAAAATCTACATGTTCAATATTTACGTTTTACAATTTGAAGTACCTAAACTTCAAATAAGTCTGATAGAAAAATTAAAATTGCAAAATCAATTAAACGAAGAGCAGATAAAGGTCGAACGGTTATTGTATTACATAAAAACGTCTACGTAGGCAAAACTCTAGATTGCCTTAATTCAAGAAGCTACGGTATTCCGAAGAATGGTCCTACAACTCTGTTCCAGAAATTATTGAATAATATTTAAAACGTAACTCTACCTGATAACGCTAAATTAATATCGTTTCATGTCCAGACTGAAGATCGAGACTAAAGATCAAATCTATCATACCAACGACCTGCGTTCAATTCTCCAACGAAAACTTTTTGTATGACGTCATGAAACAGAAATGTGTTGAGCGAAAAGATGGGATGACGTAAGCGCGCCACGTGACTAGGTGGTCTGTCTCGTTAAGGGATACGCCTGGTTCACAGAAAATTCAAAACTCCCGCCACGATGTTCTGAGATACAGAAGCGTGCGCTCTGATTAGTTGGCGAGCTGGATGACAGATTGAGGACGCTACGTGACAATTTGCTACATTCTGATTGGCTATCTCTCCGCCCAGCCAGCTGGGTAACAGTTTGAGGACAGCACGTGACAATTTGGTGCACTCTGGTTGACTGGGTTGTCTGTCTGTCTTGTCTGGCGAGCTGAAAAGCAACCTGACTGGTGTGATGACGTCACTGTCTCGCTGAACCGACGTAAAGTTTCCAGTATTCCGCCAATTGAAACAATTGATCTGGTTGAACATCTCTTAGACAAAATTCATGTGAATGCTATAATAAAACAGGAAATTTAAGATTAACTTTCTATTTTTTTATCTCAGAATGATTTCCAATGCGACGAAAAGTTTTATTTATAAGGACTAATTAATGGGTAACCCGTTGAGTCCTTTGCTGGCTGAAATTTTCGTGGATAACCTAGAGAATGAACCCCATAATAATCAGTTCATTAACAGTTTCTTGATCCTACATTATTCCTCCGCACACACCCCTGCCCGCATTAAAGTAGCAGCATTCAATAGTATGCTCCACATACTATTGAATATTCCACTGTCGGAAAATAATTTTCAAAGAGAGCTGAGTTTCATCAAACAAATCGCTGTCAACAACGATTACAAGGTAGATATTATTCTTTTCAAAAAACTACAGAAACAAGCCATGGACCAGGATTACCCAAATTCATATTTTGGTGAACCCACCAATAATATCGCTCGTTTTTACAAAAAAAAGAATGTTTGGACGCGGCTTACAGAACGAATAATAGTTTAGGTAAAATTATTAAAAACAACAAAGACAAAAGTTCGGATAGATCAGGATTATATAAGTTCACTTGTGTCTCTTGGCCAAAACTTTATATTGGTCAAACGACGAGAATTTAATATTTCATGCAAAAATCATATATCAAACGAAAAACAAAGCCAAGAATCAAGATTTGTAGAGTTATCACAAAAGGATTGGATACCCTGTTAATCAATAGTTAGTACCTTTTGGTCAATTGTTCGTATGGAGTTTTTCTCCAAATGGATACAAACCTCCCTAATTTTAGCATGTAATTATTAAACACCCTTTATATTCACGACTAGCTATTGTCCGCTTCGTTTGCAAGGAATTTGATTCATACCGAAATTGTGATTGGTCAGTCTCCACTACGGTCTTCAAATCAAATAATGTATTACTGAACTATAAATGTACTATAACTTTAACTATAAATACCACAACCACAGTGTCTGCCGAATAGTGTTTTTATATCTTTTTCCAACAATTGTTTGACGTCATTCTTCATATTAACAATGACTTTTTAATTTTTTGAACCAATTGAAATACACTAAATATTGTTGCTTTTTTCCCCGTGGGTTGACCAGTAATTGACTACACTGAACAATAATCAAACTCAACTTTATTTCACTTTAAATACAACAAACACTAATACAACTAATACAACTTCAACTATTATTCGAATGTCTATCGCCTTACTAGATCGCTTCGCTTACCACTCTGTTTAAATATCTAAGGGAGAGTCGGATATTGGCGCGCCCTTAAGGAAAACACGCTCTAGAAATCATTAGATGTATTGAATTCCAACTCTGTATATGTCAGCTAATAGATGACTTATCTGGCAAACAAGTTGAAATGAGAAATTTTCAGTTAAGTTAAAGTGGTAGAGGGAAAAAAACAAAAGTCAATAAAAGCGCGGTATTATCAAACCAGTCTGATAATACCGCGCCCCCTGTTTGACAATACCGTGTTCCAAAAATATATCTTTATTCAAGGCAGCATTTATTGATCAATAGGGGAGACTGGGGCAAGATGAGATAGCTAAGACAAAACTCGTTATACAAGGAAAATTAAACTCTTTAATAACATTCTTTAACAAAAGAGGTAGTCATTATACATTTCTCTCTTACAATTAAACGTTGTAGCATGCAAAATCACAGAACTTTTTTTGGCAAATAATGAAAAAATAAACTCGGCAAATTTTCCGTTTTGACCCATAACTGGGGTAAGATGGGAAACGCTGTGGGCAAAACGAGTACGCTTTTTATTCGGGTAGGCAGCGTTCACAAATGTGTGCCTCTTCATCTTCCTCATCTACTCCGGCACATGAATTATGCGCCCAACCGTGGCACACGCCGCAGATGACCCAACCTTCGGTTGAATCTGAGTATAAGTACCCACAATAGATGCAAGCACAGTCATCATTCTCTTCTTGGGATGAACTATCTTCCGATTCAGTTTCTTTTTTGCACCTTTTGGTTTGACGCTTTTTCTGCAGGTTTTCCTTGTCAGTTGTCTTTTTAATCTTCTTTGCAGTCTTTTTTCCAGGTTTCTTTATTTGTTTTTTACCTTTTTCAGTCACTTGATTGTCAGTACATAGAAAATGTTATTTTAATCACAAGGGCGGGGCAAAACGGGATAGTATCCCATTATGCCCCGATCATCTTGCCCCGATCCACACGTAGGTAAAAAATATGACGCAATTCTAACCTTAAACTTTACCGGCGAAAAAATCTGGTTTGAATTTAATGTTTTGGACTACTATAATAAGCTCGGGATTGAAATAATACATTAACACAGGTACTTACATGTCTGTACATCAGTTTTCGAATCAAATATCGCGTAAAAACACTTGCAATATCACTTTTTTCTCTCTGCAACGCAAAAACGAGTTCTAACCTGTTCGCTCTGCTTGGACACACTAGCGGAGAGTGAAGTTCGTGCAAATGGCGCTGTCGCCGCTCAGAACACGATTACTATTCACGCACACAAGCTTACTTCCCGTGCTGCCCCGAACTTCATCTTGCCCCGGTCTCCCCTACAAAAGAAATCAGCAAAAATCGCAAATATAGTTATCGGCAGATGCTTGACCACTGCAGTCTTAATGCACCCACTGGAAACAATTGTTTTTCTCGATAGCAAACTCGTAGGCCAGTTTACGTAGTTGTTGCTGAGTGACCCCATAAAATGTTTTTGCTAGTAGGACAACATGATCATTTATCTCTTTCTCTTCTTCATTTGAAAATGTTGCATGTCGACCCATACGAGGATCATAATATGCTCCTCTTTTAAGTCTGTCTCGTATTGATTCTGGCAAGTCGAAAGTTCTTGTCACCTCTTTAACTTTTCTTCCAGAACGTAGAGCTTCCAGAGCAGCTTTCATCTGAGCTGGATCCCATAACGCCTTTTTTCTCTTTGGAGTAGGTTCAGTCATCTGTAGAAAAATTATATTAGCATGGTCTGATAATACCGCGCGGCTGATAATACCGCGCCCTGAGCGGTATTATCGACCGCGCGCCATTATCAGACTCTCCTCTAATCGAATGCGGCATAAAATTCGCCAGAATTCCATCGAAATCGATATTATTATTCTCACTGCATCTAGAGCGGCATCCTAAATTCGCGCGCTCTTCACTTCGTCACAATTGATTTATGGCTACCAGTGGCGGCCGGCGTTATTTTCTTTACGGTATGATTTACAACAATATCATGTAATGGAATTCGTATTCGTAACGTATTCAGTAACACATTGTTGGAGATTATCACTTGATAGTATATAAGTTGACTCGTGGTTCTTGCCCAATATTTTATGAGGGGATTTTTTCCCAAATGAGAGCATATGAGTAGCTTTTCAAATGTGAAGACCAATTCCGCATTTGCCAAATGACTAAATAGAACTGAATTCTTCACATCTTTGGAATCTGTTTTGTGATGTGGAAATTGGTAATTAGTTTATCACTTGATAATTTTATGAACTTGTAAAATTTTCTTTTACAATGTTTAAATTTTTAAATAATTTTTACCTAAACTCAGGGAAATTATCAATCATTAAGTAGGTAGGATCCATATTGTTGATATAAAAAGCATACATTGTGATTAGTTTATTACATATCCATTTAATGGACTGGATTTTTTTATGACTTCTTATGTTTCGATTAGTTTTTACCTAAACGCAGTAATTACGTAGGTGGAAAGTAATATGATTCAAATTGTTATAATATGAAGCACAAATTAAGTAGAATTTAGTTATTATGAAAACGCTTGAGGAAGTTTTTGTATAGCAGAACACAGGTTACGGTTTTGTAAACTGTTCAGTGAAAATCTCACAATACAGTTTTTCTTGAATACTAAATGTTGAGTGAAGCTCACCACAGTACATCAGTGAAAACTTTTCCCAAATTGTTTAAACCGTTTCAATTCAACTTAACAAATCATCGTTTCAAAAAAATAACTGATCTTTAAAACAAAGCACGAAATTGAGGAACAACAAAAATCAATTGGCGCTCCGGAGCGACTTCATTGATTCCAGTAGCGCATTTGCTTTTTCAGCTGCAGGGAAACCCGGAAAACCTGCAGCACCACATCATCTGAAGATCTTGATCTGCCAATGTCCTCTATTTCATAGAATGAAATGTAGGGTGTCTCCAGAAACTCCAATAAATTCAAGACATCGCCAGAACACATATCGCATATTAGGAAAAATAATAGTTTTTTTTTTATATTTTCATAATTTTTTATATCTCGATAAGCGTTAAACTGCTTCATATGCTGCATGTGGTAGGTATCTTGAAACACATTCCTGATAAATATTTTTCGCAAACCACACATATCAGTTTAAAAAATGTTTCAGATGACTACAGCGAATTAACGGGTAAAAGTGGTGAAATATATTCCCCGTTATATCCCCGTCCATATCTGGAGTACAAAACATTCTCATATAAAATAACAGTAGAATTGAAAAAAAGGATTCTCCTGTCCTTCAAAGAGTTTTCCTTGGATGCTCTAGATAATATCGATGAAGATTGTTACTTTGCTGTATTTCAGGTAAAGTGAAAACAAAGGTTTGAAATCGATTATTATTTTGTTCAAAAAAATCATTTATTAATTATGCCCGATTTTCATATACATATTTAAATCGATGTCTGATGTTTATTGATTCTATTAAAAATAATGATCAATCATTGAGTGAGACAGTATTTCATGAATGATAATGACTGAATTGTGATCAATGAAGTAGATAATGAAAATCACATTTTATACGAAAAATATGTCATCGATATGCTAATAGTTGATACTCTCCACCTACCAAACTCAACATAAATCATTGATATATTCAACGAATTCCTATTTTTGATTTCAAAAATCAAAAATTATTATTGTCAGTCATATAAATTCCTTTCCAAATCAATGTCCAGAATAAAATCTTTTCATTTACGATCAAAAATCAAAATCACTCTTGATGAAGATCATCGAATAAATAAAAAAATAAATCCAGATGACATTTTAGATCGTATTTGATTTTTTTTAATGATCGATTTCAAACCCAGGTGAAAACATATCCACAGATACTCATGATTACTTTTCAGGTGTTCGATGGTGTTGACGACACAGCAGTTTCTTTGGGAAGATACTGTGGTTTAACGGCACCACAACCTTTGAAATCCTCGTCAAACATCATGTTTATCAATGTGGAATATAACAGCCCTCGAATTGGATCAAAATTCATTGTCGGATGGGAAGAGATACCAGGAGTTAATCCATTTGGAGTGATGAATCCTCCTAACTATAGTAAGAACTTTCTATACTTTTCCAGCGATATACCCTTCAATCTTTTCCAGGTTGTCAAAAACTTTAAAAAACGAAATGATGTATCTTTTCTGACAATTCAAAAATATTATTTTTTTATACCTCGTATTATACTACTCCATCAAAAAGTAGTAGACAGCAGAAGTTAATCCATTTGGAGTGATAAATCCTTTGAACTATAATAGCAATCTCTTAATTATAGTAGTAACCTCCTAACTATAGAATCAGCAGATAGCAGAAATTAATCCATTTGGAGTGATTAATTATCCTAGCTTCAGTAGTGATAAATCCTCCTAACTATATTAGCGATAAAGCATCCGAACTATAGTATTGATAAATCCTCCTAACTATAATAGTAACCTCAAAACTAAAATAGTAGCAGATAGCAAGAGTTGATCCATTTGGAGTGATAAATCCTTTGAACTATAATAGCAATCTATTAACTATAGTAGTAACCTCCTAAGTATAGTATCAGCAGATAACAGAAATCAATCCATTTGGAGTGGTGAATTATCGTAGCTTCAGTAGTGACGAATCATCCTAACTATATTAGCGACAAATCATACGAACTATAGTTGTGATGAATCCTTCTAATTATAGTAGTAACCTCAAAACTAAAATAGTAGCAGATATCAGGAGTTAATCCTTTTGGAGTGATAAATCCCCCTAACTATAATAGTTAGGGGGGAATCTTCAAAACTATAATAGTGATATATCCTTCTAACTAGAGTAGTCATCGGAGATAAACTCAAGATGTAAGAACCTCTGTAGAAGCTAGCCACTCGCGTCATCGAAACGTCAGGAACAAATTCCAAACTATTTATTGGTATTCAATTACAAGGAAAGTAAAAATTACCCTAAACAAGAAACAAATAACAAAAAGGTTCCCTTTTTTATATTAAATAACTCATTAACTAATTGTTACACCTTCTCGATTCTCACTTTTATGAAACTTTAAATATGCTGACTTCAATAACTTACAGATACCACTTGTGGAGCACAGGAAATAAGTATCACTCCTTTACGGAACTTCACTTTCCATTCCCCGGGATTCCCAGGAGGATATGAACCGAATTTGCGGTGTGAATGGATTTTTTCCACAATACCAATGAACCACTTAACGATCCAGTTTCTATCTTTGAATTTTGAAAGTGGTAGATTCAGATTTCACCAAAATTGTAACTTCCTGAGCGATAATGTGATAATCTATCAAAAACACAGAAATGATAACGATTGGCAATTGATGAAGACAGTTTGTAAATATGACTCGAGCATTTTTTCTGCAACGGATTTGATAAAAGTCCGATTCGAAACTACGCGATATATGAATGGATCAGGCTTCGAAGCCAGAGTCGAAGACGGTGAGTAGAATCCGAAATAACATTTTCGGCTCAGGCTGTGAAAACAGAAACAGACGCTTGCTGTAAAAAATTGTGGAAGGAATGATTTTTATGGTGATTATTTGAATAATGCTTATTTGTGACCAACATTTTACAAAATAAAAGCAAATTTTTCATTTCAAAATTATTCCTGAATAGTAGGTTCTGCTAACGAAACACAAATAATTATTATACGAATTATAGAGGACACCATTCTCTACGTTTGTGTCATCCCATTTTTTGTTAGTTATATCTGACAGCGGTGGTGAAATAAAAATTTATTTGAAAATTAAGAAACTTCATTTCCACAAACTTTTCATTAAAATAACCATGGGTTCAACTTTTTCTCAAAGGCTATTGAATTTTTCTTTTTTTTTTTGGTGGTCAGGATTGATATACTCGTATGCGAATATCAATCTCTGTTATCAATGTCAACTTCCGTAATCCTTGATATTTCTATAATGTATGTTTCATTATTGCAGTATTTGCTTGGAATAGAGCCATTCAGTCAAATTTTCCTGTAACCAGCTCTATTGCATCCTTATCTACAGCAACTTGAAATAAAATGTACTTAACACCTGAATGTTATGATTGATACTTTCACGTTCTACAAAAACATATACAATTTTTGTCACAGTATCATTGCCGTGTTGACAATCTTTATCAGCCTGCTTGATTTCACACGAAGTAATTTTTATCATTCAATTATGAAGAGAGACAATGTTTATAGTGACTTTAATGACCCAGTTGACCGTGAGGTATAGAGAATAAAAACAGAATTGAACAGGAAATATTATTATCCAAAATGGTGCTGATGAGGCGGGTAAGACAAGTGTCTTGTCCCAAAATTTCGGAGTACACCACTGAGGATGACGGTTTTACATGGAAGAACATTTAACAATACTCTTTCATATATCACATTGAGTAGTATTTCCATAAATAATATCTGGTTCATTTCCATTACGAATGTTTATAATACAAACTGAATGAGAAAAAGTTATTTTAATGTAATTCAATATACATGAAAAGTAGTTGTTCAGGATTTCTTCTTCTTCTTTTCGTGTAATTCAATATACGTGTGAAAGTAGTTGTTGGTAGTTTGTAGCTGAAAAAATTCCTTTATATGCACTACAAATCTCAATGAAGATTTTTCAATGTTTTCTTCCTTTCTTTATGAGTTTTTCACAGTTTTTATTCAATGATAGAGAGGTAGGAATCCAGAAATTTATTTACAGTGAGATCACAGCTCACTATTAAACCATTATTACTAGGCTAGTATTACTCCGGCAAAGATTTTTAACATATTCGATGAAATGTCAGATCTTATCGATGATTATGTAGAAAAACAATTATTTTAAAAGAAAAGTTTTGTTTTCACATCGCTGAAACTCATTATTCATTATTCTTACAAATAATATAAACAGAATGTGTTCCTACCCCAGTTTTTTTACCGCAAAACCGTCTTCGCACTAGGCTATTTGTATGAAATACTGAATTGGGATTTTTCAGCTTGTGGAGGATATCTAACAGAACCAACAGGATACATAATTTTCAATGGTTCAACTCCCCGTGATGATAACGTAAGAATGTTTTTGAAGTAATTATTTCTTTCACAGATTTTTTTTGTAGTGCGAATGGAACATAACCGTGCGATCTACCAAAACTATTGAATTAGTCTTCGAAGAAATGAATGTTAGATATGACAGGAATAAAGGTTGTGATAATTATATTATGGTATGTGCTAATGAAGATGATTGGTTCGCATAATGAGATAGTTTTGCTATTTTAGGTGAGGAATGGAAAGTTTCCGGATTCACCAATACTAGGAAGCGGTAAATATTGTGGCAGTGAATTACCCGAAAAACTCCACTCTACTGGAAATAATCTTTATGTGAAGTATCGTGGATCCCCTGACTCGTCGGTAAGCACATACAGGGTGTTTCAAATTCGATCCTCACCATTGGAATCTCGGAAACTATAAGAGATACGAGGATGGTTAAATTGGGGCAAAGTTGCGCATTTAACTGACTAGCAATATACTGTTGAGAAAGTTCTGAAATTCCGAGTATATCCGGAGATATCCGAAAAAACAGAAATTTCGAAAAATGGTTTATATTTTTTTATGGTTTAATTTTTTGAAAGATTCGAATATAAATTGCACTTCCATTGCCACTTTTCTCCTGCTACATAATGGTGTTTTCAGATTTGCTATCCGACGATTCGTCTTCCGGCCACCATCATCATGGATGGTTAAATTGGGGCAAAGTTGCGCATTTACCTGACTAGCAATATGCTGTTGAGAAAGTTCTGAAATTCCGAGTATATCCGGAGATATCCGAAAAAAAACAGAAATTTCGAAAAATGATTTTTATTTTTTTTATGGTTTAATTTTTCGAAAGATTCGAATATAAATTGCACTTCCATTGCCACTTTTTTCCTGCTACATAATGGTGTTTTCAGATTTGCTATCCGACGTTTCGTCTTCCGGCCACCATAATCAACTTTATTTTTTTTTATGGGCGCTACATTGGATTGTTTCTGTTTTGAATAGAACCAGGTTTTACCTTTTCCATAATGTATCATAAGTTATCATTCTTTTTCCAAAAAATTGACAATTAAAAAAAAAGTATGCTTATCATAATAGGCTTTGACTTTGATGTTTCTAAATTTGACTTTCAATTTGCCAAACTCAATTGTTATTGTTATTGTACAAGTCATTGAATTTTTGGCGAAAAATGGCTTTCACGAATGAAGAAAAAAGAGATATGATACAAATTTATTACAAATACCATAGAAACAGTGTTAGGGCATCGGAAATGTATTTAAACTTGTATCCTGAAAGACGAAAACCACATCGAACTATGTTCAAGTTATTGAATCAAAATTTTTTGGAGTTTGGTTCATTCGAAGAACCAATGAAAAAATACGGAGACAGAATCAACAATCAAAATTTGACAAATGAGTTGTGAATGAGGAACATTAGACATTGTGTCCTTTTCAATGAAGATAGAACTTTGAACAAATAACAATAATTAACTAAAATGTAAAGCCAAAAGTAAATCACAGCAACTGCTCAAAATACTGGCCTTGTTCATGATAACACAACTTTGCCCTTCTTCGAATATTATTCACTTTACAATTAATTTCCCTTCTCCTCAATCTTCCGAATTCTCTAACAAAACTATGTTGTAGTTCATCAATATTTTAATATTCCCTCTGATCATAAACTCTATTTTTAAGTGTATCCCATAAGAATGTATCCATAACACTTAAGACTGGTGACCATGCTGCCACGTCACCGGCCCATTATTCCCTATCCATTTATCATCAAACCTTTCAGTGAGGTAATTAGATACTCGTGTGGTAGTGTGCGGTGGAGCACCATCATGTTGAAACCAGATGTTATAATTAGCCAAAGGTAGATCATCCAATAAGTCTTTGAAAATTGTCATTAAAAACTGGGCACAGTTGTGTCATGAACAAGGCCAGCATTTTGAGCATTGCTGTGATTAACTTTTGTCTTCACATTTCAGTTATATTCTCATCGTAAAGGGCACAATCTTTAATTTACCAAACCAAACTCGGTGAGATTTTGATCCAATAACTTGAAGACAGCTTTCGCCAAAAATTAATGACTTGAACAATAACGAAATGTCATTGAGTGTAACAACTTGAAAGTCGAATTTAGAAACATCAAAGTCAAAATTTTTTCAATATGTCCAATTTTTCAAAAAAGAATGATAAATTATGATACATAATTGAAAATGTAAAATCTGGTTCAATTCAATACAGAAAGAATCCAATGTAGCGCCCATTATAAAAAATAAAGTTAATGATGGTGGCCGAAAGACGAAACGTCGGATAGCAAATCTGAAAACACCATTATGTAGCAGGGGAAAAGTTACCACGTGAAAGTGCAATTTATTTTCTAATCCTTCAAAAAATAAAACCAGAAAAAAATAAAAACTATTTTCCGAAATTTCTGTTTTTTCCGAATATCTCCGGAATTTCACAACTTTCCCAACCATCTTCGTATCCCTCATAATTTCCGAGATCCCAATGGTGAGCATCGAATTTGTTCGGATATGTTTCTTCGGTCAGTAGTATGTTGTTTTGAGTTCGGGTTGAACCGCGTCTGGGGTTTGGTGTTCGACGTTTCGGCTCCGATTTTAGAGCCACTTTCAAGAAATTAATGTAACTTGATGCCGACGCCTCAATTTGCCTACTCCACATGTCTCGTCACGAGTTTTCTCTGATCTAAGAAGTAGGCAGAAAACAAAATAGGAAACTCTTGTCCAATTAAACCGACCTTGTAGTTCTTATCGTTTCCAAGATAGCAATAGTAGGATCAAACTTCAGACATCACCAGAAGATGGCAAATGAGAGTTGCCGAACATTGTGAAAATAATCCTTGTGAGGATGAAGAACACGGAGCGAAAACCGAAAAAACAGCTCATCATACTTTGTCTGTGAGGATTAAATTGGCAGATATAAAGTTTTCAATATGCTTCATCGAAAGAAAATAATACTTCAGGTTATATCGGAAGTTTTGCTTTTTTCATCTGATAAATCTGATATACAAGCAAAAACACTTTTATCACTGAGACACATGTTTTATGTCATCTTATGTCACATGTTATGTTATCATGTCACGTATGTATGTGAATGCAATGAAATGTTATGTAAAGTAATATTGAAGCACTACCTCGACCAGATTTCTCGAGATAATCCATTTAGTTGAAGTTGGGATAATTTAGTGAATAGCCACGATGCTCCCAAGGTGGCTCAGGGATTTATTAACATTGCCTACCAAGAACAAGTGGCTAATGACCAAAGAAGTCGATGCCCAACAAAAAAATTAAAACATAGGTACAATGAAAAAAGGGGCATTATCATTCATAGTTTCCCCAATACATTTCTAATATTTGTATTTTTCAGAATTTCAGACTGAAATATCAAGAAATTTCCGCATCTTGTGGCGGAGAAATTATATTGAGTCCCTATGATAATCATACAGAAATATCCTCACCGAATTATCCAAATATACCCCAGCCACACATTGAATGTCAATGGATCATAAGAAGTCCTCCTGGAGAATTACTTCGAATCGATTTTCAAGACAGATTCGATCTAACCTTTTCCAAGAAGTGAGTATCAGCTTTTTTGATCGATTAAAAGAAAAAATAAAGAAGTCGAAAAAGAACACACTTACTGTGTCTACCCCAAAAAATCCTGAAGAACGTTAAATATTTCCCAACTGAACCGAATGAATCAATAATTATTAGATGAGATTTGTGATTCTATCGAATGAACTAGCTGTGAATTTCCATCCGCTGAAAACAAAAAACATTTTAAAATATTAATCAAATAACACTATCTGAATTTGTATTCGAACGCAGAAATGTATCTAGGCAAATTTAGTAATTTGTCCTTCTTATTTAAATAATCAAAAAAATTATTTTATTTTAATTTGAAGAAGTGAAAGCCAACCAACTTTCCTTCCAAAAACTTTTCCCTCCTAAGAATACACCCCTTCCAATGTATTGCTTGTGGTGTGCCCTAAGGATCTATATTAAGCCCAACGCTTTCATGAATCCATATAAAGTCAGTACTGAATAAAAAACTTACAATCAAAATATGTAGTTTGAAACCTTCAAAAGGATGCCAAAACAAGTTATTAAAGTGTATTTATGAATTAATCAGGAACCGACATTAAAATTCAACGAATCAAGAAAACTTTCTCTTATCTGAATTTTCCATAAAATGAGAAAGTATCTATTCATGCAAAAAAATGTTTACTGGACACTAAAATTTTAACATAAGATTTTAAAGTTCTTCATAATTATAACTGTCAGATAAATAATCTGTTTCAATATTTGGTACTAAATAGCAAAATAGCTCACTGAGGAATTTGAAAACTTGTCTATTGCGGAACTAAGCTTCGGTATCAAAAACTCCTTAGAGTTCATACGACATACAACATTATGAACAGGTTAGGTTAGGTTAGGTTCAAAGTGAGTGGGTCTATTCGACCCTCCACCGCAACCCGCAAGGGTTTATTGTGGCTCACACTTATTCACACTCGACCAAATAAACCAAGCTTCTTAACGAAGCCGATTAGTTTGTATGGTGAGTGGTCTTTCAGGTCAGATGGTAAGAGTACGGCTATGCCGAACTCTAAAAACCTGATTCGGTCCCCAGTGGGGCAGGCACAAAGTATATGCTCTGATGTTTCATCGTTAATAAGGTAATCGGATAGTCAAGGTGAAATATTCCTGCCTTGATACCCGCGACAGCCTTCCCATATGAGGGTTTTTGCTCGTCAGCTACACCTGACGATGCCCGTGCAGGGTTTTTTCGCCTGTGGTTTTGATGAATCATCACTTCAGCGCAAACGTTTGCTAACCTGCTCATAGGGGGTTTGTTCCTCCACAGAGACAGATTCTGCGTACGCCGCTCAATAATTTCGTGCAAGGCGGTTTTATAAGAAACTCCGCTCTTATGGAGACGACTCAGTCGTTTCCTGGCTGCGCCAGCAAACCTTTTTTTTTAGGTTCAGTTATTGGATCAGAAGTTGGGGAGTTGAGAAGCTCTCGCTTCTGAACTAAATTTACAGGGAGGTCAGTTGAAGTCGTAAACTCGACACCCACCTCCTCTGTAGACTCGCTCCTCATCTAAATTTATAGGGAGGTCAGTTGGAGTCGTAAGCTCGACATCTATCTCCTCTATAGACTCAGCGTCAGAAAGAATTTTTAAGTTTACTCTGTCCATAAAAGTCTCACGAGTAGCTAGGGAAAGAAGGTCAATCACGGCAGAGCCCCGCTTTCGGTATCTCGAAGGTTCCGTAGAGACAGCTGATGGGCTGTGTCATTCATCCTCTCGGCACGGATACGGATGCCATTCAGTTAGGGAATATCTGAACCACAAGTGATTCTGTCATTTCCGTATCCAGCGGGGCTACGTGAAAGCAGGCATCCGATGGCCGGTCTGCTCAACCCCCACACCCCAAGCCAATGCACTCGCCAAAAACAGCATGCACAGTGGTTCAGGCAGTGAAAGATGAACAAGGACAGTCAACCCGCCATGAACAGACTAAAAAAATCAGCAGTCGCCCATCATGTTTTGCATCAAAACCATTCCATAAGATCAGTTAGACGAATTAACAACAACAGGCATCTAGATGCCTATGAGAGCTTAGAAATGGGTCAACATAATAATATTATGAATAACAATGGTGGACCAATACCTATAATAGTTTACTATACCAATAGCTTGTTGAAATAATGTTTTTAGTTATCAAATTCACCTGACTAGTAGATAAGACAACATTGTGGAATCAATTTTAAGACAATTAAGACGCAGGTACCTAGAGAAATAATCTATGATATAAATAAGGACAATATTGTATGCAGATTTAGTTCAATCATCTCCTTGAAGATGATTACTTGGTGATTGAAACACATGTCGAGGTGTTGAAAAAAACGGTTTGGTGTCGGAATAGAACTCCAGTAATATTCAAGGTATTGTTCATGGTATGTTGGCTTTCATAGACGGTGCCTAACAAATTGTTGGACCAGACCACGGTTTAAAAAACCCGAAAACATCCGACAATTTGCAAGGTATTGTTGAAAAAACAAAGTCCTCAAAGAAATTGAAAAACTATTGGAGTAATGAATTCCCACTATTTTTTTGTGAAATTAACTCTCATTATTGAAGATTTTGCCTTTCACTAATTATGTTTGACTACCTGAGTGAGACAGTAGTCAAAACGAAAAAATTGAGCGTAGCCTTTTCATGACTTCGTGAATTTGCGAACAAAATTATTTCTTTACAGCTGTGAAAAGGAATATGTGGAAATACGAGATGGTGGTACAGAATTCTCGAAGCTAATTGGAAGATTTTGTAAAACATTGCCGAGTTCTCAATTCACAACGGATAACATGGTGTTCATCAAATTCTTCACTGATATAGATGATCCCAAAAACGGATTCAGGGCTAAGGTATCAATCAGTCGATGCGGCGGTTTATTAGTGCAAAATCGAAACGGAGAACTCAAATATTACAATCCGACCCACACCAAACAAGCAAACTGTCTATGGCATATTGTCGGACCAGTTGATCATTACATGAAAGTAACTTTCGCACAAATGGAAATAAAAAAAAGTAGAAACTGCACGAGTAATTTCGTATCCATTTACGAACATAATGGACTTCCAGGAACATCCAATGGTGAGTATGTTATTTTCTCTGACAGAAATGAATTATAAATTATATATTTATAGACAACCTGCTCGGGAAATACTGTGGAAACGAGCTTCCTGCACCTTTGACCTCCTCAACTAACGAATTGTTCGTTCACTATGAAGGAGACAGTACTGGCAAATTTATACTGAAATTCAATAATAGTCAGACAGGTGAGTTTTTCATTTTTTCAACGTTTATAGTGGTTCATCACATTTTTGAAAATATATTCGAATGGTTGTGTAGCGTTCGATTTGATCAACGAATAGTTAGTTTTGAGAATTATAACAGAAAAATTAGTTTTTCAGAGAATATATCACATGACTGTTGAAGTGCCATGTTACTTTGCCTTATATATTGTGGAAAATAAGGTTCCAGAAAGTTTCATTTTTGAAATTGAGATTAAATGTTCCAAGTCGATACTATGAGTTTGGAGTTGAATTCAAGATACAGTCTTTTTTTCAAGGACAAAACACAAGCACTACAGGAAAATCCTCAAGGTGCTCTAAAAGCGGCGCCTGTGCTGAAGTAACGATTCACATTGGATTTGAATCGTTAATCCTTAGCTCGCACAAGTTTCGACTTCTGAGGGTTGTGGTTCATATGGGTGCGACAGCTGGTTAACGGAAAAACAGATTTTACACAGATTTTTTTAAACAGATTTGGAAACACGTGTTCAGGGAGTATATTCCACATAAACACAGAATTCTCCAAATGAACGGGTTCTTGAACAGAGGAGTTTGAGGTGTACTGAGTTGAACCTCAAAACGATGAGCAGCCACAGTTCGTCACGTATTTCTGATATGTACCGTTCTTTGTGGAATCAAATGTGCCAAATCACTTATACACTCCCCGTGAAAGCATCTATACAAGAGAGACAACTCTTCAACCTTCGATGTTCCAGACTATCAATGTTGCAAGTGATGTTCGCGTCTCCAATCAGGAGGATGACTATTTTCTGAATGAAATCCAGCAGCTTCAAGGTATGCTGGATAGATCATTAGAGTTGAAACAAACATCTATCCAGGGGAAATTTCGAAAATGGTCTTGAAGATCCTTCCACTCAGAAGATCTGTATTACCAAACTTTTCGCGGCTTGAACTGAAACAAGTTTGAAGTTGTAAGTCAAAAGTAACTGATAAAAAGTCAAAGTTTTCACTTGAAAACCGAAAATAACAGTTCTATAAAATTGGAATTGCGAGTTTGAAGTTGGTATTTTTTTTTCTATTGCAGCTCCATAAATTCATTGCGTTTTTCCTTTCCCATTTCGACAATATTTTATCCTGCACTAGTTTGTACAGATACTTTATTGGATGTTTGTCATATTCTTCATAATTTGGGTTGTCCATAAATTGCCACAAAGGAACAGGGTTTTTGTTGCGTAAAATATGACTAATTTATTTATTTTCGGGGTAGTTATGTTAGATCTAAAGTCAGATTTTTTCACCGGCTTTAGTTTTCGAAATATAAGAAAAACGCGATTTTAAAGAAAAAATATTTTGAATTATGACAATCATTAAAGAAACAATCACCACTCATCAACATTTTTTTCTTTTGTAGTATGTACTTGCATGACTCAGTTCATAATTGCTATTTTTAATGTTCCAACAGTCCAAATGGCTGTGAACCTTGATACTCATATTAGAATCAAGCTGCTGGAAGTTACGACAACATCTCTTCAACGTGCTCAGCATAGCTTCCATCCTTTATGTTTCCCAGAAAATGTGCCATTCAAACGAATCAATTCCAGGCATTTTTTTCAATATTAGCCATATAACTCTGACTCTGCCAGAGGTGACCAACTCTTCCCGTACTACTCGTGGGAACACACATGAATGATACAAACACAAAAACAGAAACAACAAAAACAAAAACCAATCCCGAGGCGGTGGCTGGGGATGAACAGAAATGTCCACCCCAATCTACCGCTTGGAATGAGGCTGGACATAGTAGATCACCTCGTGATGTAATACAAAGGCAAAGGCGTAAGCGCATTTGCGGCGCCGAGGCCAAAAAGAGAAAGAGAGCGAAAGAGACAGGCAACTATAAGTGCCCCCTTCTTCTCTCCCACTCCACCTCCAACAGCAAGGGCGGGCGCCAAGAGCTCCACCTTGAATAAAGGCAAGGAATCTGCTGCCCCTGCAGTAAAGCTCCCTCACTTGTGCACCTCCACGGAGGGAACCCCAAGAAGGTTGAAGAAGCTGCGTTACGACAGTAATGTCGCTGCGCCTTCCGAAACCTTCGCGGAGGCCACCGTGAGACACCTCAAGGTTGCCAAAGAGAGTGTGTGTTCGACGAGTCTTGGTCTACACCTGCCAATATAAACGAGATGCCTCCTAGTGACCTGTCCACCTTCTTGGAAAGGGCAGGATGGACGATGACCTAGGAGAACAACTCCTCGGAAGGATGTACAATGGGTCACATGTGGCCTAAGTGCTGTGGGCTTACACTCACCCTCACTACTCTACAGATACCAGATACCAGATTTGTGGACCATCAAATATTTTGGCTTTCAGTTCCTCTGTACTCATACCTATTATGAATCTTTGCAAAGATGTATTCAAAACTATCAACATTTTTATTCAGAGTTTCGACAAAGTGTTTCATGAGCCTTAGCTTGACACACAGAGGAGGCAGTATTATGCGATCCCTGGGTACTAGTGGTTTATTTATTACATTCAGTTTCTCGGAAGGCCAGTCTTGTCGAAATCAGTGCTGCGACTTAGCTCTGCTGTCTCACAGACAACCTTGTATTACGCGAAAAAAATTCACCATTAGATCTACACATATGTGCCACTTGTGTTCGTGGTATTCGATTTTCTCCATGATAGAAGCCACAGAAGAATTTTTTTCTTTGACTTCAGTTGAAAATGCCATTCATTCAGGTCATATTTATTTATTCCCATTACTCTCAATAAACCCAGAAGTATCTGAACAATAAATAAAGTAATCATCTGTTTCAGTCGAGAAGTTAGATTTTCCGATGCTTTCTTAGAAAAGCCAAGGTCCCTCACCAATGCATTGAGTTTTCCTGGTTAAAAAGCCCAGGAGAAATATGTGAAGAAATCAGTTGTTCCACTTTCATCACTTGAGTCGTGATCATTTCATTTAGTTAGAATTGGTAGTTCAAAGTTCCGAATTCGGAAACCAACCAAGAATATTAAAATGTTTATAACCTCTGAGTTTCGTAGATACTATTTATCTTCTAATCATATTTGTTCCACTCGCTGCAGAATGCGGAGGAATTCTGAACCAGGAATCTGGAGAAATAACCTCGCCTGGTTATCCAGTTATGAATCACTTGAACAGAATCTGTAAGTGGGTAATCAAAGCTCCCGAAGGGCGTAGCATAACTCTGAATATTCTCGATTGGGATGTGGATCTTTCTGATGAAATGGGCGACCAGCTTCTTTATGCGTACGATGGAAAATTAACCGAAGCTGCTACTTTAGATATGAAAAATAATCGAATCGTCCAATCCAGTTCCAACTTAATGTTTATTATATTTTACTCTCGTAGACCTTCCGAACACAGAGGATTCAAAGCCAACTTCAGTTCGAATTTGCCAACAGGTGAGATATATCGGCATTCAGTCTATTCGTTATACTGATCTCTCTTTGATTATTTTAGTCTGCAGGGGTGATTTTAGTTTACCCAGTGGACAAATTAGTACACCGACAGCAAGAAATTACTCCTACAGTTGCCACTGGACCCATAATACAAACAACCTGTTATTGAATCAAACAACTGCTCTCACGATTTTTCTCAATACAAATTACAATTTATCAGATGCTCATATTGCATTGTGCGAGTTCAGCTCAGCAAATGTGAAAGTAGTCACAGAAGAAAATCCATTCAGCGTATTGAGCTGTTTATGTGCGACTACAGTTAGACCAGTTATAGTTAGGACACCATTTTTAATAACAAAATTGCAGGTAAGGTAAAACTAAGGTGAAACTAAGAAGTAGTGCATTTTCAATGGTGGTAACAAATATGGCATGATGATGCTTCTAGGATCAAGAAGCTGCATAGGTTAAATATCTTACCAGTCACAGGTTACTTGAAAATTATTTATTTTAGATGCCATAAAATATAACAACTCACGAAGTAATTGTAGAACCAACTTTTGCAAAAATATAGGCCTTCAGTCAAATAAGTATTGATTCTGTTCTCAATACATGCAAAAAAGCATTGTACCTATATTTTGCAACTTATCAAAACCAAAGTTAATGTTACAGATGAAAACGTAATTTTTTATATCTCAGTTATAACTTTCACTCTGGTTCAGTCGTAACGTTGGGATTTATGTCTTTTTCCAACCAATCTCTCTTGCCAAAGAGAGAAAATAGTAAATCAAAAATTCACAAAAAATCACTATATTCATGAAGACCGGCAATCGCCTTCCAAGGGAAATATTAATTTTAATATCTTGTACACTATTTCCATTGTAAATTAAAGTGGTATCATCAACAAACATTTGTATTTCACCAAATGATGTTACTGTAGCCAATGAATTGAAATATATAAGGAACAAAACAGGCCCAAGTAATGATCGTTGCGGTATCCCACATGTTATATTTTTTGGAACTAAGTATATCGCCCATATTGCTCCCCATTCACTAGATACTTTTAAAAACAGTTATAAACTAAACCTCGGATACCTATAGTATGCAGTATTATCAGGAGATTTTCATGATCCATACTATAAAATGCTTTCTTTTGGTATTGTAACGAATTAAAGAATTAACTGTCTTAATCAAATTTATTTTTAACAATATTTCACAATCACAACTAATTTAAATACAACACTTAGTAACTAACGCTTAATTTATCTTCACAGTTAGATTCCTTTCTTTAAACGCACGATTCACTTTCTAAGTACAGACTACTGCTCGGGACGGAGAGCGACCTTTTTATATCGTCAACGAACGCTCCGGATCTCTCTGGGGATTTCGGGACTCATCCACACCTTTCGCGCTGTTTCGCGATGAGACATGCGTTTGCTGACTGGGACATCGGTCAGGGCCGGCTACAGATTCATTACAGTGTAATGAAAAAACTCCACATTTTTTATTCGAATTGGATGATGGCATCTACTACTGCGGAATCTGTGTCACTATTTTTTTGAAATTCGTATTGCCCATCCTATAATATTCGTCACTTGGGTTGTATTAGACTTAAGAAGACTTTTGAAATTTTTGTTTGTAATAGAGAAACTTGTTGGCAATATAAACGCTTTTAAACAAAATCGATTGGATATAACATTAATCTAACGTTTTCAGGCATCAGTCAGCTACAAATATCAAATGAACTTCACCGTTTTATATGCTACTCATCAATGTGGTGGCATTGTACACGGTCAAATGGGTTCTATTTCTAGTCCAAACTTCCCTAACCAACCCTCAAGCACAGTCGAGTGTGCTTGGCTCCTCAAAGTGGACAAAGGACAATCGATAAATATAACAATTTCGACAATGGACTTGGGGGATGACTGCGACAAAAGCTTTTTGGAAATATTCAATGGCGATCTGCCAACTCTTCCGAGAATCGGAAAGTATTGCAAGAATAATAAGCCGGACTCTATGATATCTCAAAATGACAAAGTGTGGATTGAATACAGATGGGAAAAGGGATCATCTGGAAAGGGTTTCCAATTGAATTATGAAGCAGTGAGTTCAGGTACTGATATATGCAAGTTTATTTTTGTTTTGTTTTTTGTTTATTCAGTGATAAATAAACAGGATATATCATAGGTATTGTGTTCAATTTTTAGGGGGATTACTTGCTTATATTCTATAAAAAACAGATTTTAAACCGAAAAAAGTGTGTAGTCCCAACTAGCTTCATTTTTCGAAATGCCAAATTTTAAAGAGAAAAACAGTTCTTTGATAATTTTGATGTAACTGGATTTTGAATGATATTTCCAGACGACCATAAGTTTGGTTATCGTCAAATTGCAAAATTAAAAACACAAGTTTTCAGTCTAATTATTTTTTTTTTCTACCGTGCTCAGATTTCTACAATATCGAAAATTGCTATAGAATAATGTTGATCAGGATCGAGAATGATAATCAAGTTTTCTCTAAAAAGATCAGGATTTATAATGTTTTACCAATATTTACCCTTAAAACTCAATTTCTTTTAATTTACTAATTCTTACATAGTTTGATGTTTACTATCAAACAATTCTTTGTGAGAGCAACATAGATTACATCTACAATAAATACAGTTGAGTTTTTTGTTTTTGTAGAGATACATGTCGAGAAATAAAGAAAAAATGTTAATGCAATTGCAAATTTGAACGTGATGTCTGGATCAACTTTTTTCAACCACAATTTTCGGTTTTGTCTTACTTCACTATTGAGTGAACTTCATATTTTTTGATAAACATTCTATACAATTGAATGAATTTAACAAAAAATATATACAGAACTTTTCTTAAAAAATTACTTTTTTCTAAAAATCAATAAATAAAGTTTTGCATATAGTTCCTACTAAGACATACTGCATATTGTCGCAACTCAGTACTCGCTTGGCTTATTACCGAGAGGATTTTATTGGCTGTTTCACCCATTCATCGTTCATCCAAATAATGAAAGAACTCATTTAAAAACCTAATTGAAAATATATTGTAACGAAACGGGGAAAATAATTCAGGAATAAACTTACACTAAAATGTTAATCAAAAAATACAATAAATCACAAAAACTTGCATTATGCTACAAACCAGCAGGATCGAAGAAAAGGAGATGTACTGCATTACTGGAACCTTTTCTGAAGATCAATAGATACTGAATGAATTTCTCAATACTGTCTGTTTATGATATTGACCTCCCTCAATATTTATGAAGATTTATACGCTGACATTGCATCTTTGATCCGGTCACTGTACTGAGGTAAAATGCTCAGTATGCAATCTGTGCAAAGTTTGCGTATTTGGAGATTGTTTTATATTTCTATATCCTGTGATCGTATCAATTTCGATGTCTATATATTAAAAGATGGAATTCTGAATACTGAGTGTTTTTGTTTTAGAAAATTGAAGTGGAGGTTGGAACATCTTTCAATTCATGTATTTACTTAAATTAATTCAAATTATTTATGAATTATCGCACATTCTTCTAGACGCGTGTTTCCCGGCCAAATAAATGTCATCATACACAGTATGGATGATCGTACAGAATAGAATATCTCAAAGTGACGCTAACTTTGTTGTTGAAACGAGTGTCGAGAAGTGTGTTGCAGTTCTGTTGAATGTTGTTCTGTTGGAAAATGTAACACATTTTTAATATCTGTATTGAGGCTGAAAGAGGCAGAAAATATCTTATATTTTTCGTCATAAAAACTAAGAACGGTACAGACAAATGGATCCAGATATTTTCATTTTGATTTATTCAATCTAAAAATGAAATCATCATTATTAATGAATTCAATTCCATGTGATTCTCTCAGTTTATTCAGCACCTCTGCGACGCCAATGAAATTCCTAGTTCAAATCTGATTACATTAAAATAAGGCTTATTTCTACTAAACGTATCAAGTTTCATCAAACTTCGCAAAAAGTAAGTAAATAACAAAAAACTGATTGTTTATCAAAACTTTGACATAGGTTTTTATAATAACGATACAAGTTACTACTTGCGTTGATCTAAAAATTCGATAAGTTTTTAATTATGTTACACCTTATAATATATGTTACGTTCTATACGCATGTCATTAAGGTGTTACATACTATTATTTTAACCTCCTTTTATTCTTTAACCTCTTTTCACTTTATCACTTTATCACTTCAATTATTAGGTTTAAGTATTACAAAAGTTTCTTTTTGTTTTGAATTCTCTCAATAAAGAGTTAATTTAGTAATTGATAAGCAGTACCTACAATTGATAGTTTTATGACTGATTAACTTTGAAAAACTTGATGAAAAAATATTGATGTTTGTGAAAAATAGTTTGTAATGTTTTCATTTCAATAACCTACAATGTAATAAATAAACGATCATGCTTAATTATTATCATATTATTATTATTATTATTATTATTCCAGGATGCGGCGGGATATTTTACGATAAATCAAGAATTATTCAAACACCAAATTATAAAAATAATTATGATAATAACGCAGAATGTCTTTGGATCATTCAGTCTGCTCCTGGTTATCATATACAACTCGACTTTCTAGATAGATTCCACGTTGAAAAGAGCGAAAATTGTACCAACGATTACTTGGAGGTAAATTACAACATACTTCATCAATATATTTGCCTTTATAAATCCATTTATCATATTTGTTCATTTTACTCATAAAAACAATAGGGGAATAGTTCAGTTTACTATAAACATTATGAATGAATTCCATTTACTCATTTGTATTGATTTAATAAGCCCAGTAATTTCATGATCGATATGATATTGCTAAAATTTCAGTAATGAATCAAATTGAGTAGACCTTGAAAGTTTGGAAAAATTACTGAAATCTATTGTTTCTGTTAACTGTCTTAAGGTTCAATTGAAGCTACTTATATTTTCTAGTGTTTGGTAAGAGATTCACAAGAGTTGAACATAAAATTTTCAATTATCATTTCCGCCAAAAACCAGATCTATCTATAATTTTATTTTAGTCTTTGGTGTTTCTATAAATATTTACGTATCTTAGTTACACACGTTTCGTAAGTCTACATGCCACTTTTTTGAGCCCAGGTAGATATTCTGATGAAGCTCGTTGCTTTGAGATCGAGTATTTGCATAGAATATAATATAATAGAATATAATCATCTATCACTATGGTTGATAGTAATACGGTTACGTGGGTTTTGAACCAACTCAAATTAGTTGTAGTTCCACCCCATACTAAGTGAGCTCCGAACTACCCCAAAGTTGGTCCAGAATCCACATAGTCATTCTACTCTCAAAAACCTTCAAACAAGTTTATATCCATAGATTTTCGATTGGGTTAATGACGAATGGTTGTCCATGGGAAGAAAATGTGGACGAGAAAATCCAACTGGCATAACCTCATCTTCAGATAAAATGAAACTTTTGTTCAGAACCAATGACAGAATTACTGCGAGTGGATTCAAGGTATGTTGAATCTGTTTTTCCGTTATAACAATTCATATTGCGAGAGTTAGATAATGCAGCTCACTTTCATTCAACAGGCCATCTGGAACTGGAAATGTGGAGGAAAATTTTTGGCAACGAAAGTTCCTCGAGTCCTTACCAGTGCAGGATATCCGGTTTACTACGAAGGAAATATGAAATGTGAATATGTTATCGAAACCAAATCTGATGTTCTAAACCTGAGATTCTTGGATTTCAACATAGAACAGAGTGAGTTTTTCGATAAAATAAATTTTTAAAATAGTACCTTCATAAAAAGGAATAAAGAGATTGAGAATAATCGCTTCAAATAATATTGAAATACAAATATTTGTAGGCAAGCTCGAAATTCAATATTCAGAATGAACTCTGAACCATCTTTCATTGAAAAAATCCTAATTAAAATGAAAAGTGAAGATGTTTTTTCGTGACATATTTTGTATGAGCTGATACAACACCCAGCTCATTTTAGGAAAAACTGAACAAATGTGACAAAGTCCAAAATTTATCCAAAGTTTATTCTTTAAGAATTCAACATTGAAAAATGTAAAAATCAAAAAAGTTCATTTCCGAAAGTCCAATATTTGAAAAATGAAAATCGAATGAGTTTCTTTCGAAAAAATCCGAACTTAAAAAGTGAATTTCTATATGTGAATTGAATTGAAATATTCAAACTATCATTATTCAGTCGAATGGAAGCTTGATTATAAAATAACGACAATGTTAATTAATAATCAACAATGAAATTGGACACTTATTCTTCAATAACAGCAAAAACTTGAAAGCTTTCTCTGAGAGTAGGTCCGAGTAGGTTGTTTCAAAAGTTTTTTCCGTTTTTTGTGAATCTATTTCAAATATGTTCAAAATGTTCAAAATATATTTTTCCGTTAACCAGCCGTCGCACCCCTACGAACGACAACCCTCAGAAGTTGAAACTTGTGCGAGCTAAGGACTAACGAGGTCTTACCTTTTAACGTGTGATTTTTAACAAGGGTTGGACGATAATAAGTGAAAATCGATCGTTCAGCCTGCGGCTTGAACCAGCGACTCACACATCGGTCGATTGAGAAAGTGAACAAAGCACCTACGTTGAACCGCCCGGCTACCGACCGGGCGGATCAGTACATTTTTGCCAACGTAATACAAGTCGATGAATCCCGTTAGCATGAAATAATGGTGCTCGGGATTCGATAAAGTCGATTAAGGCCGTTTTGCCTTGATTGGAGGAAATTCTGCCGGTGAGAGACCCCCCATGCCCCCTCCCGGGTTGAGTGCCCAGAAGTAGAAGCTTCCCCCCCAGCTATTTAGCGAGGAGAACCTACTACCCCACTCCATCCAACCCCCCTCTCCGAGCGGTCCTCAACTTGCTGATGGGCACTTCAGCAAGATTGACATCTGACCTCTTTTTAGTCGAAAGACAGCCTTTAGGTGCTTTTACTTTCTTATCGAATCTTTGTTTTATCTGACTATTCCTAACTGAATTTAAGCATGGGGGCCCCCAAAAACTAACCGGGGGCTTTGTGTTGTGCATCGAACGTTTCTCAGTGCATCCAAGAAAAAAATTTTGTCGCGGTGGCGGTCGAAGTGTTCTTCGCTGAACCTACCTGGAAGAGAGTGTATCTGATTAGTGTTATACTTACCTGAGCCGCCTGACGGCGACTAACGGGGGCGGTCTATTGTTCTGTTTGGTCGACCTGGGATGTTTGTCCCTTTTTCGGAATCTGGGGTCATCTATATTTAACGCATCGTGTAGATCGCGGAACGCTGGATTTGAATGCGATCTGATTCTATCGAACGTGCTTTCTGCATGTTCTCTCATATACACGTCCACATATTGCGTGTCCAGGTCTAGGTCTCTGTATATAAATCTGTTGGGTATATAATAAGGTGCGTTCACAGCGGCCCTTACGCTCGCATTCATGAACGATTGGATCTTCTTTCTGTATGTCTATGCGCACTGGCCCCAGGCAGTGCATGCATACAGTATTATTGGCATTAGAATCGTTCTGATCATTAGTAACTTAACTTTCAGTGCCATGTTACTGCTTCTTCCTATGATCGGCGCCAGGCGTCTTCTGGCCTGTCTGGCCATTCCTATTCTCTGCTGTACGTGGGCCTGGAATGTTAGTTTCTTGTCTAGGATGACCCCCAGATATGTCGCTTTGTTTGTCCTCGGAATCTCTTGTCCGTTGAAGGTGACGTTGCCTTCCGGTTGTACGAATCTGCGAGTGAACAGTATCGCCTGACTCTTGTCAGGGTTGATACTGATCTACCACAGGTTAGCCCTCTCCTCCAATCTGTCTACCTGTTGTTGAAGGTATCTCGTAACGTGTGCTTGACTCGTAGATCTCGCCAGCAGGGCCGTGTCGTCCGCGTAGAGCGCCAACTTGTTAAAGTTGTTCTCTGGCTTGGACACGTCTGCCATATATACGGAGTAGAGGTGTGGCAAAAGGACTGCACCTTGCGGGACTCCTGCCTCCAGTCTCCTACTTTGCAGCGGCATCGCCTGTCAGCTAGAAAAGACTGTATTAATCTTACCATTGGTTTTGAGTATCCAAAATCGCTCATCTTGGCTAGTAGCCCGTCGTGCCAAACTCTGTCGAACGCCTTGGAGACGTCTAAGAAGATAGCTCCGGTATTGTATTCTTTGCCAAGGTTGAAGCCTTCTGTCGCAAAGTCCACTACCCTCAGGACTTGTAGCTCTGTTGAGTGTTCTGATCTAAAACCGAATTTTTCGTCGGGGAGGATCCCTAACTCTCTAGTTTGTTCTTCCAGTCTCTTCAGGATGACAGTAAGCTAATTGACCGGTGGTTCGCTGGAAACAGGTGGTTCTTCTTGGGCTTCGGTATGTGGATTACCGTTTTCCCTTTGAGCGGGTCCGGGAAGTGTTGCAATCTGAGTATAGCATTTATGATGTTGGTTATGGCTGCTATACCCTTTCGCGGCAGCACTTTCAGTGCTCGATTTGTTATATTGTCTGGGCCTGGTGCTTTCTGAGTGGCAAGACGTCTCAGTATGTCCTTCACTTCCTCAGGCGATGTCGGGGCCAGGGGTTTCGCGTTATTTGTCCGTTGTCTAAGCCTCCGTACCGTTCTTTTCACCTGTCTCTCTATTTCGTCTACCTCGTCTGTGAACGGGATGTCATTCTCTCTGCACTGCCTTTCGAAGTTGTACGCGAATGCTTCCGCCTTCTCCTGGTCAGTGTAGACAATTCCTTGCTCGCCGTGTATCGGTGGGCAGGGTCGTCGAGGCCCATTTCTGAGTTTTTTCTGCATTTACTATGCAGATCGATCTTCTGTGGTCAGTTCTTCCAGACGGGTAGTCCATTGTCTTTCTCGGATCGCTTTCAGTTCTTCTTTCAGTATCCTATTTGCTCTATGCATGCACCTTTTGTCCATAGGTGCACGTGTCCTTTGGTACTGTCTTTTCAGGCGTCTTCTTATTCTGATTAGTTCCATCGTTTCTGGTGGAAGATGCTCTAGAAAGTTATAGCGCGTGGCTGGGACGTCCCGCGCGCTTCTTTCCGTTGTTTGTATGATCGCCTGCTGAAGCTGATCCATGGCGTTCTCCAGAGTTTTTGTCTCGATGCGTGGTATCTCACCCAGCACATCGTGTATGTCTCGCTGGTATCTTGTCCAGTCTATGATTCGCCTTGTTGGGTTGTCTGTTTCCACTTCACCCCTTCCTATTGTGAATAGGATGGGTTTGTGGTCTGACGAACCTTCATCTAGTATTTCCATCTCCGTAGTATCGATGTTCTGTACTAGTGCGATGTCGAGAGTGCTTGGGACTGCGTCTGCTTGCGGGTAGTACATTGGGCTGTTAGGTGCTACAAATTCTTCTAGTAATCTTACTATATCTCTGCCTCTTGTGTTTGCATTTCTGCAGTTCCAGTCTGGCGACTTTGTGTTGAAGTCGCCGATGGCCACTGTAGGATGGTGATCTGGGAATAGTTCTGCCATGTCGGTTCTTTCTAGTCTTCTACCTCGAGGAGGTAGGTATACCGACGATATTATCAGCTGTTCGTAGCGTCTCACGTTAACTCTGACCGCTACTACTTCTCCGATTTGGACATCTGGTTTTCTTTCTTCGTTTTGCTCTAGATCTGTTTTTACTAGTAGCGCAACGCCTCCTGCCGCGTTGCGCCCCCCTGGCCTGTCTGTCCTATATATATTATATCCTGGGATTCGGTAGCTCTTTTCGCTTCTTATCCGTGTCTCCTGGAGTGCCATGACGTCTATTTCTAGACGCGACAGTAGCTCCAGTGGCTTGTTTCTTTTGTCTGTGAAACCGTTTATGTTTCACGATCCTATGACTAGTCTGCCAGGCACTCGTACTGGCATTACTGTTTGGCGGGTGCTTGAGTTAGTGCTGCTAAGACCGCTTGCGCGATCTTTTGCTGCTCGGCTGTCAAACTGCTAAGTATTTTTACTAGGTCATTTTCGTTGTTTGTTGGTGGTTGTCTCGTTGGGGCTTTTTTAGCCGATTGTTGTGGCTTCGGCGTCGGTCTTTCCGCCACTCTGGGTTTGTTCCAAGCTGAAGTTCTCTGCCTCGGGAACATCTTGCAGCCTCTGTAGCTTGCCGGATGCGCCTCAATACAGTTCGCGCATTTGGCCGGCGTGTCCATTGTTTTCTTACACTCTGGTGTCGTGGTTTTCTCCACACTTGATGCAGCGTGCCGTCGAGTGGCAGCATCTCTGCGAGTGGCCGAAGAACTGGCATCGATGGCATTGGGATACCAGTCCCTTGTTAATTCTTTGGGGTTCTGCCCATACTATCAAATTTACGCATGTTCTTAGCGGAAATCCCACTGTCGCCGATAACCGCGTGCAGTGGGATTTCCTTCTTTACTGAGTATGTGTGGAAGTCCAGTTTCTCGCCTTCCAGGTATTTGGTGGCTTTACGCCACTCGTTTTCGTCGTTGGTGTATAGGTATATGCTATCCCTCGTGAGTTTGGCTTTTGGAAATCGCACTCCACTTTTTGGCGTCGTGGATTACTATTGGTGGAGGCTTTCCTGCTTCCATCAGTGGTCCGCTTGTCACTTTTGGAGATGATTCCCCTTTTTCTGAGTTTTGCCCCTCTGTGTTGTTCGTCTTAGGTGCGTTTTCCATTTCCATGTTTTCCGTGGCCTGTTTTTCTGCCTCTTGTTTGGCGATTTTTGCGACTTTTTCTTGGGCCTGTCGCTTTCTGGTTTTCTTGTTGGGTCTCGCCTTTTCAACTAGTACGAACCCGTCTTCCTCGGAGTCTGAGTTCGATGCGCTGTCCGGGCCGCGTGGCCTCTTGGTTTGGCGCGTTTCCTCTTTACTTTCAGCGTCTATTTCCCTTTCCTTGGGTTGCTCTTTTTCTTGTTCTTTTTCGTACCTTGTATCGGTCTCTTCGGGTTTTTCTTCTCCTTTTGGTTTTTGCGTTCTTGACGGTCCCGTGTCCGTCCTCTTTTTTTGGACGAGTATTCCCTCTACCTGATTCAGCCTTTCGTTAAGATGTTTGATCATATTTGTCAGCTCTTCTCTTTGCTGGATAGTTAGAGTTCAACCCAGTTTATTATTTGCCTCGATCAACAAGTTTTTCAATAGAAATTGTAGCCGAAAAGTAGAATAAGTTAAATGAAATTCAGGTATGGTATAAGTATTTTTTAGACTTTCGCTTCCGGAGTGGATACGTATCACGACCGTTGTCATCGACGGGGAAGCAGAGTCCATTTTGTACACGTTTTCTCGTGTAAATGTCTTGTCGACAGAAGTATGTGCATCACAATCTCGTATAAGTATTGTTGCCGCCGTTACTTGTAACAGTTTCGGGCATTTTAGAAATAAGTTCTCAAGTGAGACATCCTGAATGCTAGAGAAAGGTTGATGATCGTATTACCGGTATCATAGAAATAGCAGAGACATAATCAAATAAGAAAGCAAGCAAGCAAGCAAATGTTTTTTATAGAAACAAACATGTAAATTTAAATCAACTACGTTTCTATTTTTCATTATTGTGTGTAATATACCTATTTACCAAGAATAAATTAATTTCCACATTGCATTATATACTTATTCTTGCGACGATTTATAGAAACTTTGTTTATCATTTTTTTGGTTATTTTTAGGTGGATCAGATTGTAAAAATGACAATGTTACAATTAAAGGAAGAAGTTATGGCACCTACAACGACATTCATAATGTGTATTGCGGAGACAAATTTCCTCCGCTCTATCGATTGAAAGGTTCTGCTGTGGTCACCTTCATGACAGACAAATATGTATTCCAACGAGGGTTCAAATTGGAATATAAAGATGAAAGTGAGATATTTGCGATAATTTTAGATACTACCTGACTGTTATATCACATAAACATTTTTTAGGTTGTGGAGGAGAGATAACAGATGAAACTGTCATAGAAGTTGAACCTAGCCCCGACTTTAGAGCTTTTGGCAGTTATAATCTACCCAAAATAGAATGTGTATGGAATATAACGGCACCACCAAATCAAATTGTAGTTTTGAAGTAAGTAGATCTTTTTTCTGTGGCGGAAAACAATTCATGCAATACAAAACCGTCTTTATCGGAAATGATTTTTTTGTAATGGAATACCTTGTATATGTCCACTTAACTACGTAGTTATGCATGAAGAATGTATCCAACTTACGAAAGAACTTTTGGAGTTTCCTATTAAGTAGCAGTACAATATGAGTCCAGAGTATCAGTCCTATATAAGCCAAATCAAATTTTATTCTGTTCTGTGTTCAATCCTTTTCATCATTCTCCCCACTTCTCGAGTTAATTCTCCAAAATAAAAATTGTGAGTTACTAATTTATATTTTGAAAATAGCCAACGCAAATCGATATTTTAAACTTTCAAATATCATCCCAATCCGAAATAATAGTTCCGGATATCTGGATAAAAATCGTCGTTATGAAATTTATTGGAAATCAGTTAACAGATGCATCAATCGAAAAAGAAAAATATTGTTTAAATTGAAAGGGTGATATTTTTAGGAGTGATTAATCAATTTCAAAAGAAGTAACTCTTTTCATAGATGTGTAGATCATGCAAAGAAGTACATTTCACACAAACTGTAATAAAAAGCCCTTCTAAAACAGCTACTTTCAAACACACATTGAATTACAGGGAAGAAAATTCTTTCGAAACAAAAATTTTTATATGAACACTGAAATGTTTTTTGTATAATTCAATGTTCATATGAAATTATGAATTGACAGACATGAAATTAACATCTAGGTGTTATTATTCTCCAAATTCCAATCACTGTCACTGTCCCAATCGAATTGAATGAATAGAATCAAATATTTAAATATGATTGTAAATAAATATTAAAACTTTCCATAAATACTGAATTTGCAGGTGTGATTTGATATTGTGATTATGGCAGTAACTAGACTATAACTCTACTGAGATAACTCAAATGAATAGGTATATGAAAAAACTCCCCAATGAAATTAAGAGACACAAGATACCAAAATGAAAAACGAATTGCCATTCATTCACATAGACTCACAAAAATAAGACAATAATGCGCCAATTCAAATTCCACTTTGAAAACCCATCAATGTATATATGCTAATCAGAAATCTCAATGTCTTAATCGAAATTCATTAGTAACTTCAACATCATTCTGAATAGTAGTAATTCCATTGAAATAAAAAGAATATGCGACGTACATTAAATGCATCTAGACGCGTCAAATACGTCATTGATTCGGTTGCCGGCTAAGCGGTCTTATGTCAAAGTACTTTAGATGTTAACAATGAAATCCTATTGTTGATTAATACGAGTTTAGTAATTTACGTATTTCGTTCCTGTATTTGAACATTGTGTATTTCAGTAAACATTCAGACAAATGTTCTCCTCGAAATTTCTTCAGGTAATAGAATTGATTCAATATGAGAATTGATATTTTGCTCTTATATCGATGCATTTAGCTGGATTTTTCGATAAATAATCTTCATGAATACCAATCGAGCTGAAAATTTTCTGAGATGAATGTCACTTTTCTTAAACTCCAACTTGTTATTTTTGACCGATACCAATCGGTCAACCAACAGTAGATAACACCACTTGTTCTACGGACTCGTATCATGCTGGTTGCTCTTATGCAACTGCTACGGACAAATAACAAAATTTTCTTTGAAAATGGAAATTCATCGATAACATTTTGAGGTCTTGTGGTATTACTTTCGATGAAAAAAACAGGTTTGTGAATATACAGAGCATTCCAACGAAAACTTGACCCCCCTGCTAGTTAGAAACGAACATCTAAGGAGACTAATTCTGATATGGAAACCATTCTCGAAACTTCACCCTTCTGCGGTCAGCAACTACCCCCCATATTTTTTTCAATAGCATGGGGGGTCGAGTGATACATCATTTGAAAGGTATTTTATCCCTCTATTACTTCTGTTTTTTTTCCAAAATTGGTTCATTTTTTATTGAGAAATTGAGTGTTGAAAGTTTTATTTAAGAAAAAACAGAAAATTCGCTCTCGCTCACTTTATTGAGGAAATCAACAAAAGTAATATCAATGGCAACACAATCAACGGATGTAGTGTTCAAAATGACTTCCATCTATTTTCATACAATAATACAGTCTACTTTCGAAAGCGTTCCTCACATTATTGAAGATGTCCAGAGTCAGAAATCGGCATTCCCGAACAATTCTTTGTCGAAGGCTCTCTTCTAGTTTTGTAGAATTTATTTGATTAGTAGTAAATGGACGACACTATTATTTTCTGCACTGGTAGTTTTTGTTGAATCTAGTTGTAGCAAAACAAAAAGTAGATAGTTGGCCACTGTCACTTCTTCACGTCACCCCTGGCCACGGCCGCCTCTGGCGACCGGCTTTATTTTCTTTCGTGCTTGATTTACAACATTATTCAGTTATCCTTGTTTACTGTGTTTCCACGTGATTTATTCTACTGAAAAAAGAATAGAAATGAATGTGCTAAAGCTGCTGCAAGAATTTATAATATGAATCATCCAAACCACAACGTGAGCTATCAATACGTTAAACAGTTAATGGATAAGTTTCGAACTTCAGGTTCTGTTCACAACAGAAAACATGAAGTATCACATCCTGTCAGAAATGACGGAGTTGAAGTTGCAGTTTTAGGACATGTACAAATGGATAATCAACAATCTATCAGACAAGTAGTTAGTGCGTCTGGTGTATCAGCTAGTGTTTTTCGGATTTTGGAAGCCTACAAATTCCATCCTTTCAAAATAAGCCTAGTTCAGGAATTAAATAAAGATGATCCTGATCGTCGACTTCAGTTTTGTGAGGTGTTCAGCGAGATATTGACCAATAACCCAAACCTATTATGCAATACATGTTTTTCAGACGAAAGTTCTTTCATGTTGAATGGTGAAGTGAATAAACATAATTGTCGTTACTGGAGCGATGTAAATCCTCATTTGGTAATGGAAACACATTCACAAACTCCATAAAAATTGAATGTCTGGGCCGGCATTCTTGGTAATCATATTGTTGGACCATTCTTCATTGAAGGTAATCTCAATGGAGACACATAGTTGAATCTATCACAAGACTGTGTAGATCCTATGATTAAACACATTTTAGAAAATGATGATAATTTATTAGAAAATGAAAAAGCATTCCAGCAGGATGGTGCACCCTCACATTTTGATGTTCGGGTGAGATATTTTTTGGACGAACGTTTTCCAATGCGTTGGATAGGCAGAAGGGGCCAGTGGAGTGGCCAGCTAGATCACCTGATCTCACACCGATGGACTTTTTTCTGTGGGGATACCTGAAGTCGAAAGTGTACTCTACTATGCCTACAAATCTAGAAGCCCTGCGACAGAAAATTGTTCGGGAATGCCGATTGCTGACTCCAGCCATCTTGAATAATGTACGGAACGCTTTCTAGAGTGGACTGTATTATTGTATGGAACTAAATGGAGGTCATTTTGAACAATTTATCCGTTGAATTTGTTTCCAATGATATTATTTGTTGTTGATTTCTTCAATAAAATGAACGACAGCGAATTTTCGCTGTCGCGAAAGGGGGTAGCGAAAGGGGGTAGTTGTTGACCGCAAAGGGGTGAAGTTTCGGGTATGATTTCCGTATCAGAATTAGTCCACCTAGGAATGAAAATTGACATATTCTTTGAAATTTTCGAATACACGTCCGTTTCTGACTTACAGGTGGGGTCAAATTTTCGTAGGAACGCCCTGTAGATGGTCCCATAATAAAAATCTTGTTATAAGGGATTCAACAAGATTGGAATATTGTTTAATGATTATCTCAATCCTTTTTTGCATCTATTTTAGTTTTATTTCTTTAACAATCTCAAGAACACGTTCTTGTTATAATTTATTATGTTTTTAGTGTCGGTGAACTGAACATGAAACTTACTACATCGTGCTTCGTTCAAAATCTTCAAATATTCGACGGATTACAAGAAAACAGCTCATCTCGTTTAGCACAACTGTGTGGTAATGTATATCATGAGTTCCCGATATCGTCATCATCTAATAAAATGCACGTAAAGTTTATGGCACTACCATTCAATCGTGGCTCATTCAAGGCAGAAATTCGATTTTCACATGGTAAGTATCATCTCTACATTATATACCGAATGTCAACGAATCTATTCTAGAGTATCAGGTGTATCAAAATGAGATTTGGTATAGGTAAATGGTATTTGAACAAGAAAATTTTCGAATATTTTTCAATTTTCAGTTCCTTCCAGTTCCACCAGAAATAGCTCTGGTTTTTATTTCTTGAATGAAACACCCTACATGTTTCATATTTTTAGATTTCTGATACAATTCTGAATCAGAATGTAACTTGGAAAGTTTTTACACCTACTACGTTTCTAAGAGTCGCTTTTAATATTGCAACTAGTTGGTCATGGTCGAACGTAAACTAATCTTTAGACATCAGGTGACTTAGAAAATCACCTTCGAAAAGTTTTAGTGGTCAGTACAATAGACAGAAATAAGTCAAGTTGCCAACATTACATAGTGTATTTCTTTAATGTCCCCCCTTTTATTTTTTGAACGAATCAACTCAGAAACTTTGGGAAATTTGGTATAATGAAATTAATGCATGAATACTTTATTTTGAAGTGAAATTGACAGATTAAACTTCCAAGATGGCGACTGGGCGCCATCTGGGAAAAAAATTAAATGGAAAGGGGGCTCTTGTGACACATCTTTTTAAAGTTTCTGACAAATGCTTCACAACCCTAGAATATAATGTCAATATCTTCAACTACTACAAAATGGCGATTTTTCAATAATTGCCTGAATACATTGACATTAACTACATGATATGAGGTAATAAGCTTGAGATCAGTTCAGAAGATGCTCGAAATGGTTGCCTTGAACTTCTTGACATATGAAAAGCCTATTCAATATTTCACGCCAAACTTTTCGAACACAGTAACGTCAATATCTCTACAAATATTTATTATCCTCTGCCTTATATCCAGTATTGAAGCAGGTTCAATTTCCTACACTATTTGCTTCAAATAGCCCCCTTAAAAAAGTCCAAAGGTGTTAAATCTGGCGATCGGGCTGGCCATTCTGTAGGACCTCGACGGCCAATCCAACGACCGAGAAAAGTAGTATCCAAATAGTGTCTTACTTGTCTGGAGTTTTGTGGTGGTGCTCCATTTTGTTGGAATACAATATTTATATCGAATACAGTTCCCCTGTTGAATTTTGATCAATAAATAGAGGTCCTACGATATGGTTTGCTAATATTCCTGCCCAAACGTTAATTTTTTCTGGATATTGGGAATGTATTTCTCGGAAAACGTTGGTGTCACTCCAATAACAGAAATTTTGTCTATGAACATTGCCAGTTGAAAAAAATGTACATTCACTAAAACAAATATTGTGGATTACCTATGTAGGATGCTTCGCAATGGTTTCCGTCATGATTTCGCAGAATTCTGTTCTTCGATCAGGGTCATCTTCAGTTAATTGGTGTACCATTTTAATTTTCTATGGATGATACCTATTCCTCTTCAAAAGTCTCCACAAACATTCGCGACGGAATAAGTAGACTATTCAGGAGTTACTACCATATCATCAATTATTTGCACTTGCTGTTCTTCCGGAATGGACACTACCGGCAGTTGTGAATTTGGATAGAAGTTCCCTCAAATATTTTCTACAGATAGGACGATTTGGAAAACGTTCATTGAAAATCCTTTCGGTATCGTGAAAGTTACGCGTCGCACCGTAAATAAAATCGCTCCAATTTTTTCTTCCAATGGACAAGAATTGACCATTTTAGAGATTGTTGACGTGGTACCTTTCTACTAGTAAAACCGAAAACTAAATGAGAATATTCTAACCGAACAATGATGTTCATTGTCGTACTGACATTTTTTGACATTTTCATAAACAAAAAATAACTTAACAAACCTTATCGGGTTATTGGAATTGCCATATGGCAGATAAAAAGGAATATTTCTAGAAATATCGATATTAATGTGTTTGTCTTCAAGAAATTATTAGATGTTCCACCATTTTGTAGTTAGTGAAGATATTGACTTCATATTCTAGGGTTGTGAAATATTCGTCAGGAGCTTCAAAAATATGTGTCACAAGACTACCCTTTCCATTAATTTTTTTATAGATGGCGCCCAGTTGCCATCTTGGAAGTTTCATCTGTTAATTTCACTTCAATATAAAGTATTCATTCATTAATTTCATTAAACCAAATTTCAATTTTTTGAGTTGACCCGTTCAAAAAATAAAAAGGGGGGACGGACATTAAAGAAATACACTGTATTTCGTGTCTAACTATAATTTGGGTTGTTTCGAAAGTTTTGTTCATTTTTATGAGTCTATTTCAAACCGTAATATCTCAGTGAATACTTATTCAATTTATTCGAAATAGGCATCATTTGAATCAGTGCACTTTTGCCAACATGACACAAGTCGATTAATTTCGTCAGCATGAAAATTGTGTACTTCAGATTCCTTGAAGTTGACGAAGACGGTTTTAGCCTAATTCCAGTTGGCGAAGATTCTACTGGTGAGAATATTTTCAAAGCACTTGAAAATATGTTAGTCGGTTGGCGAAAGGTCTGGGGAGTATGGAGGGTGAGGCAGAACTTCGACGCTCAATTTGGACGGGCGTTGTCGTGGAGCAGGATCAACCTCTTCTATTGACCAGTGCCGGCTGCTGTTGACGCAATTGTTGGTACATTTCGTCGATTTCCTCACAATAGGACACTGCTGTGACAGTTTGGCCCCGTTTCCGAAAGTTATAGTGAATCACCAACCGCTGACCCCCATACAGCAACCCTGGTCTTTTTTGGTGGGTTTTCGCCTTTAGGAAGTGCCTGGGTGGCTCATCGCTGTCCAACCACTTCTCTTGACCACTTCCTGTTGTCGTAGATTATCCACGATCCGCTCCAAAAAAGAATTGTTTTGATTGCGCAAAAGCAAAGGACAGACCTCAAAACGTGACAATTTCTGTCAATCGTTCACATCGTGGGGCAACCACTTGAAGAGCTTTTCGATCTTTCCAATACGTTCTAAAGCATGAAAAAACCGCATGTGAAGTGACGCCCAGTTCTTCCGCCATCCCACATACCGTTTGTGATTAGTCAGTCTCCACCAGGTTCCTCAAATCCTTGTCCTAGATTACTATTGGTCAGCCACTTCGGTGTTCAGGTTCAGGCTAAAATCTCCTGGACGAAACTCAGCAAACCAACGTCGAACAGTGCGTTCATTAACACTATCTATTTTGACGGCGTTTTGGTTCAATTTGAATTCGTAGAGAAAATTGGTCGAAAATCGCTCAACGACATCATATATTCGTATACATCAATGTTATGAGTACAGATTCTCTATCTATCAATATATACCACGACATAGTAAGACTAAATATTCATTGAGATATGGAGCTAGAAAAACACCTGACATTAATATGGATAAAACTTTGAAACAACCTAAATTTAATGTGTTAAACCAGTTAAACTGACTGCAATGTTAAATTCAATCATTTTCTCTAATGAAAAGTACTCATTTTTTCCAGTTTATTTTCTTCATTGAAATAAACAGTTCAATTGTATTGAAGAACAATATCCGTTTACAGGTCCAAAGGAAGGCTGTGGTGGTACTCTGAATCTTACTGATAGAATGGTTCTCGAATCACCAAATTTATCCAACCTTGATTGTGGATGGAAAATAATTGCACCACCGGACCATCAAATTCTAATAGAAATTACAGAGCTCAATTTACCCGACCGTTGTAAAGGAAATACTGCTAATAGTTCTTCGTGTGAATGTTTTCTACTAGAGGTGAGTGTATTCAAAAATAGTTTTCGCTGTCTGTATCGTGTATATTCTGGTCGAAAGCCACAGCCACAGCATAAAACAAATGTAAAATTGTCCTTCTTTGTCTTTTACTTCGTAGTTTTCTGTTGCTCCCATATAGGACGTCTTAGTAATGGGAGTCATCGTCGCCACTCACAATTCTATTGGAAAATAAACATTGTTATTATTATCTCCACCGAAGGGTGAGCTGGTCGCGACCTGTTCCCGAAGCTCCAACACAATCGAGAAGGCGCACCAGCACTATTGACTAATGACCACTCCCCACACCGTGGGGTGTGTGCTCATGTGCCCTATAATTATTTTTATCATTATTATTATTATAGATTCGAGATGGTGGTGGACCGTTTTCTGACGAAATAGAGCGATTGTGTCCAAATGCTTCCAGTAGAAGTTCCTATCCAGTGATAAGCACCTCTAGAAATGCTGCTTTCATCCGATTATTTCTTCGAGGGAAAAAGGAAAATGCATTCAAAGCTACGCTGAAATCTGCGATGTGTGAGTTTTTTATCCTTATTTGTTATTTTTTGAGATAGTAGAGAGTCATGAATTTTAAATGCATGTAATGAGAGATCACCTGTTGTGTGGTGAAGCTCGAAGGAATGTATAAAAATTAGCTTGTAGTTCTTCATAGTTAGTATTCGTGGAATTAACGTGATTCAATCAAAAGGTATCACTGTTACCAAAAAAGAAACAGGATACTAGCCGATTGAATGGAACTGGCCGATACTAGATGAATATCTATGTCAGAACTTACCAATATAGTTTACTTTGGCAGAAGATGCTATCGTACAGCGAAACACGTACATTATAATTTTCATCAAGTATATATAATTGAATATAACTTGACGATACTTGATGAAAATCCATATTAAAACTAATAAATACAGTTTATTGTATAATTTTCACTTCAGTGGGTTTTAAAAAAACCGCGACACGTGTTCCGCTATATAATAGCTTACGCTTGAGGAAGCGATTTTATAGCGAAACACGTGTCGCAGTTTTTTTAAACCCTTTATAGTGAAAATCATACAATAAACTATATTAATTAGTTTCAAAATAGCAATAAGTTTTCCGCTATACAACAGTTTCTACTATACACAGTGAACTACATGTCTGGAAAATGGCAGGTATTATTTCATCCTGTAGATGAAGATAAAACAGTCTCAGTAATGAATTCAACGAAATGCCATTCGGATTATCCAATGCACCTGTGACATTCAAACGTTCAACGGAATTGGTACTCAGAAAACTCACTTGGAAAACATATCTGACCTTAATAACACCACACTTGAGATACGCCTCCAGAAGTTTATAAATGAATCCCAAGAGATGTCAAACCAGTACAGAAGTAGGTGATACCAGTGGATTTTTTTGGCGGTTTTACAATTTTGGTACTTTGTTTTGTTATTCAGACAAATTACCTGATAAATGAGCAGTTCGTCGAAAACGATAACCAGAGGATAACCTAGTGTCCTAGTTGAAAGAAGTCTATTCATACTCGCCAAATGCGCTTCTTAGTATATTATGATCGTCTACTTCAGTAATACGTTGAGATAGCCAAAAAAATTCACCTAGGCATAAAAAAGAAACAGGGAACTTGTTGGAGTAATTAAATTATATTCTATACAGCCTAAAATTTCTAATGAGGTCTGTCAGCATTTATGTGGCTTTTTAACTTTTGAACATCGAAGGTCGGTGTATTGTATCCAATGATCTTATTGTGATTCAGCCTAGCACCACTGATGAAACCTACAACGGGTCGAAACAGCATTGTCTGATGTTGGTTCATGAAAGCGTGTTTTTGGAATCTAGTTTCAACTAGATGCTTTACAGTGAAAGGCAGAAGACTAATCTCGTTCGGCGGTCCATGTAAGTTTCGCTTTGAAACTGACCGTTTTGGGAAGCGTCGTCTATTTTTATTATTCAAAGATTGGGTCTTCTGTCGATCCCATTAATGACGTCTCTGTAAGGGGAGATGTCATTGCTTCTACCCACCAAGCAATCCATTTCTGGTTCAGCCAAATACCACTGATGAAGCCGATAGCGGGTCTTAACACTGCTCGGTGATGTTACATCATGAATGCGTTATTTTTGGCTCCAGTTTCAACTTCAGTTACCATATTTCTATTATTGTTAATTGTTTTTTTTTACTTGGGCTAAAAACCTTCCCTTGAGAAATATATAAGTTATGAATGAAAATATTCTATTTTTCAGCTATCTGCGGCCCCAGTACTCTCAATGTTACCGAAGAAGTCAAGATATTAACTTCCCCGGGTTTCCCAAGTCCATACCCTGCTAGTATTAAATGCACATACACCTTATCTGTTAGTCACATATTAGAAAGAATTTCCTTACACTTCATTGAATTCGATTTGGTGGAAGAAAATAAACCTGCAGATGACAAACAATTGACTAGATGCATCGGGGATACTATTGAAATTTTTGAAGACAACAACAACAAGATAGTCCATGAAGGGTTAGGACCAGGTGCAATCTTCAACGGACAATCGACTAGTTTGTCATTGGTAAGAATCATTAATTGTATTTCACAGTACCTATTACAGTATCACGCATTAAGTAAAAATGTCTGAATGAGTTGATTAAAAAGTATATTAGTGAATAAAAAGACTTTCTACGAATTGATAAATACAATTTATAGTCAGGTTCTATTTATGAAGTAAATAGTAACACATATAGATGGCGCTAGTCTCATTGCATTCACCGCTTTTCAGTTAGTACTAACCTTCAGAAGAAAGCACTTGAAACTTCATGATATTCTACTCATAAGTTTGTGAGGTATTCAAAACAATGGATCAAAAACAATTTCGTGTTTTAATTTTACACTGCTTATTGATGGGAAAAATACCGTTCAAGCGAAGCAATGGCTTGAAAAGTTTCATAAGGACTCCGCTCCATCAGAAACAACAATTAAACGTTGATTCACTGACGTCAAACGTGGTCGTAGACACACCGATGATACAGAACGCAGTGGACGTTCAAATTAGGTAGTAACACCGAAAAACATAAAAAAATCCACAAAATCGTTTTCAATAATCCAAAAGTGAAGTTGCGAGGGTAAGTTTTTTTCTAAGATCAAAACACAAGCACTACATAAAAATCTTTAAGGCGTTATGAGAGCGGTTACTGTGAGAAAATAGCGATTTATATTGGATTTGAATCGCTGGAGATTAAATACATTTGGAAATACTGAAAAGAGAAAACTAACGTTACTGCAGTTTCGTCCTATATGGACATCTCAAACTAATACAATAAATAATAGTTACAATTAAAAGTGGTAAAAAACATAGAAATTTTCATTTCTCTTTTCATTATGATCTCCTACCACGTAGTAACGGCTACATCCATCAATTTATTTGGAAATACGTTCTCAGGAAGTTTTTTTCCATATAAAGACAGTTCTCTAAATGAAAGATTTCCTGAATAGTGAAGTTCGAGGTGTACTGAGTTTAATCTCAATACGATGTGCAGCCGCTGTCCGTCGCGTATTTCTGATATGTACCGCTCTTGGTGGAATGAAATGTGCCAAGCCACTTGAACACTTACCGTGAAAGTATCTATAAGAGAGACACAAATCCCCACACCTTTCTTCGATATTCTAGAATCTAGACTATCAAGGTTGCAAGTGATGTTTGCGTCTCCAATCAGGTGGATGGCTCTTTTCTGGAAAGAATCCAGCAGCTTCAGGGTATGCTTAGGGGCGGAGCTCCATACATAGGAACAATACTTCAAAGAAGATCTGATCTGAACTTTATAAAGCATCAAAAGTTGCTGTTGGCTTTATATTGAGAAAGCTCTGTTCAAAGTGGATGCCGCGCGACGTTACTGTTGACCAAAAACAAGAACGTCTTGATGATTATGAGCAGTGTTTAGCCATGTTTAAACATAACAAACCGGAATTTTTGCGTTGATATGTGACAATGGATGAAACATGGATCCATCACTTTACTCTGGAGTCAAAACGATCGTCACTTGAGTGGAGAGCAACTGGTTAACTTTTCCAAAGCGCCCGAAAGCACAGCAATCGGCTGAAAAAGTTATGACCTTGGTATTTTGGGATGTGCGTGGTGTAATATTCATCGACTGAAGCGTTTAAAGGACAAAACTGCGGAAATACGACCTCATTTAAAGAAAAAGAAAGGTTTGCTTCATCAAGACAATGCCAGTGTCACAAATCAATGAAAACGTTGGCAAAATTGCATGAAATGGGCTTCGAATTGCTCCCGCATATACCATACTCGCCAGATTTGGCCCCCAGCGACTACTGGCTGTTCGCAGATCCCAAAAAAATACTCACCGAAGTCACCGGTAAGAAATTTTGCTCGAATGAAGAAGTTATTGCAGAACTGAGGCCTATTTTCTGGTATCCCATTTATAATTCTCACATACAACAAATTGAAGCTGTCCAAAGAAAGTTCTTGAAATTCTTGTCTTTTCGCATTGCAGGCATTTACCCCCAAAGGGGAATTGACTATTCCAACCAATTTAATATTATATCACTGAATACACGTAGACTTCTCATTACGGTCACATTTCTATATAATTTAATAAATAATAACATATCCTGCACTCCGCTCCTACAAAAAATAAATTTTTATGTACCACGCCTCAACTCAAGATACGAGAAAACATTTCATTGTCAGAGTAGTAGAACAAATGTGAATCTCAAAGCACCAGTACGTCGGATAATCGATATCCGGAAGAAAACGTGTTTTTATACCATTTATAAAACCTCATATAAATTAGGTTAGATGTAAGAAATGGATACATGCTTCGAGAAGAGTGGATTTAACAGTGCAAAAAATAAAGAAATACCCATATGTATGCTCTAAACATGAAATGAACAGTAATTTTTCCATAATTTATTATTTACCATTGATTAGAATGAGATATAATCTCGATCAATCAAATCATATTCATTTATTATATTCAATTAAATTTATTTCATTACCATCTATATTTGATTCATATTTCACTCGGAAATAAATCTGAAATTCAATTATTTTTAATTTCATTTGTTACAGTTGGAATCTACCGCTACTCTTTTACTAGAATCTGTATACTGTCTATTAATTAACTTTTTTTTTCAGTCACTTTCAAATTACGGCATGCAAGCCAACGTTTTAATGTTACAACATTGTTATCCTTTACAGTTGCAAATTTTAGTTTTGCTCCAGGAACATTTTCTTCTGTTATAAACATTCTTTTTTAATTGTACTTTACCGTATGTTTATATGAGGATTACGCAGTGTTTGTCCCTACCGAACTACTAGCGCTGCTAGTGAGTGATTTTTCGTACTTCAGGAAAAGGGTTCATTGGGTGGAAATAAAGTGCTATATATCTATCTATCTATTTTGAGGCAAAAGATAAATTGTTCTACAAAAGTGGTATTGAATTGTTAGAGCGGCGCTGGAATGATTGTGTTGCTCTTGGTGGAGGTTATATTGATGAATGAATTTTGATTAAAAACGCGTTGAAAAAAAAAACATTGAAAAAAAATGACCAGTTACGTCTATTCTCATAATTTGTTGTAATAATTATTGAAAGTAATATTTCCATCAATTTCATGCGAAATTAGTTACATCACAATGATCATTCGAAAGAACACAAAGTGTTCTGAGAAGCGACTTGATATCTCTAATAAATGAAGAATAAATATTACTGGAATTTTATCACAACACCAAACCGTTATTTTCAACACCTCGACAAGTATTTCGATCACCAAGTGATCATCTTCAAGAGGAAGATTGAACTGAAGATTAAATCTTCCTCTTAAAGATGATCACTTGGTGATTGAAACAGGTGTACAGGTGTTAAAAATAACTATTTGGTGTTAGGATAGAACTCCATTACCTAATATTCATTACTACACCAAAGGTTCCAAACACTGCATCACAAGTAAATGAAGAATATTTTTACCTGCTTACCTGCTTACCTGCTCCCAAAATTACCTGTCATGAGGCGAATAACTCTTGGGGTTGACGTACCATTTCAATAGCGCTGCTTAAATTGAGGCTAAAAGTGCATCTTCTAACTCCGTAAGTTGGTCTCGGCAGTTAGAACTGTTAAGTAGGAAACGATAGCAGATTTGTGTTCATTTCAGAATTGGAAAATAGTAAGGCTGTTTTATAACAAATAAAAGATACTATGTGTTTCGATTCTGTAGGGATAAAATTCCATTGCCTATTTTTTGACGGCATACAACTCAATTTCTCCCACTGAGGTTTAGGAACATCAAAGATGTTCACTAGTCACTGGTCTCACTAGCTGTGAACCTGATTTCTATCCCAATCATTAAATCTAGTATTTTCCAATGAACCGGAAAAAACTAGCTTTAGAAGTGAGAAATCTTCATATTCCACAAAAACCTCAACAATATTATTTTCTAAGTTGTGATGATTTTGAAACCTTCCATTCATTTTATCAGGACAAGCGAACAAACTAATTTCTTTGAATGAATCGTAGTTAATAACTACCGGTAAATGTCTCTTCGAAACAGTGTTATGATATTGTTACTTTTTTCCTCGTGGGCTGATCAATAATTGACTATACTGAATTATCAAACTAACTTTATTTTACTTTAAATACAACAAACATTTCAACATTAACCACAAAATGAAAGAATCAGGTTGGCTTTCAATGCAGAATATGAGAAAGCTACACCTCCTCACAGTTACCCACAAAACCCTTCTGACACGAAAACCAGCTTATCATTGTGATTGAGATTGAAGCTGTTTTCAAGCATACCCAACTCTCGGACGCGACATAAAAATATCTTAGTAATCCCAAAGCATCGCAGTTCCATTTATACTCGCAGTTTTTCTTAAAATGCTGCCAGGCTCTATAACCAATTGCCGAATAAATATAAATCGTCCAGTCTACAGAATTTTAAGAAAAGATTGAAAATTAAATTTAAAGGAAATTCGAACTGACAATCTTGATAACCACATATATAACTGTTCGATTGCCTTTATGGATTTCTGAATTATGATTACGATTATACTTGTATACACTACCTTTCTCATGGTAGGGTTGAAAAACAGCTCAGACTGAACCCCCGCCAATTCATCATTTATCGAAATAGTATCTTACTGTCAATGCTATGTATTCTATTGTATATTATGATGAATAAAGTCGATTTATTATTATTATTATTATTATTGTTATCATTAACTGAAAATTTCAACTATTATTTTAATGTCTATCGCCTTACTAGATCACTTCGCGTACCACACTGTAACGTCCACTTCACAGTGTACTTGAGTGTCCGAATACGCTTGCAGCCAGCGTTTAAATATCGCAATGGAACATCGTAGAATTTCGCTGTTCCATCGACATCGATAGCATGTTTCTTGCGGCTTCTCGAGCGGCAGGTAACATTGGATATTTCCACGATCTCAGCTACGTTACGTTTGGTTTATGGTTACCAGTGGCGGCCGGCGTTATTTCCTTTCGGTCATGATTAACAACAATATTTTCACATTGTTCGTCACAAAAAAATAAGAGTACCACAGTCTTCTATGACTCCTTTATGTGCACAATATTCCGACGATGTTAGTTTGTAAATTCAACGTCGGCAAACTGCAATGGACACATTACAAGTGTCAAATGTCTGCTTTTTTGAGTTAGCTACTGTCCTATTAAAACGATCATGTCTGTTATATAAATTTTCGATAAAAAGTGAAATATGAATAAATATATTTTATGGGAGATCTGATCAAAACAAAAAAATTGTAGAATATAATCGAAAGTCAATCAAAAGATAAGTAATAGCATCAAGTGTAGTGAATTTGAATTCTGTAGCTCAAGAAAAACTTCTGGTACAGTAATAATATAAAATGTTCCCTTTGAATTCTAGAGACACCATGCACACATACAAAAATTTATTTTATTCTATTTTCAAGGCTTACACTGAAGTAACTGGCCGTCATGTGTTTTGCGGAAAAGAAGAAAAACCGTTTGATTATTATTCATCCAGCAAAGCTTTGAGCATAACATTCACCAGTAAAAACTCCATGTTCAAAGGATCAGGATTCAAACTGGAATATTCAATTGCAGGTAAGTTTTTTTTCTGTAAATTTTGGATTCTGTTATCAGACATTACGTTTCAGGATGCAACAGAAATTATACCAGTTTAGAAAGTAGAGTGTCGAATGGATATAAAAATAGAAACTGTTCATTTTCCATTATTGTACCCGAAAATCGTACAATATCTATATATTTCAACACATTCTATATGATTCACACTGTGAATTGTACGGATGCAGCGTTAGTAGTGAGTATAATAATATTTATCGACCTATTCTTCAACGAGTTGGTACCGCAAGGATCAATTCTAGTACCTCTTTTGTTCCTTATATATTTTGATTATTTGGATACAGTAAATTCATTTGGTGAATTACAGAAATCTTACTATATGTTTATATCAAAGAAGTTTACACTGATTCATTCAAAATTCCATAATAATAATAATACCAAAGACTCTACCAGTGCGAAATTTTTTGATATCATTCTAGATGACATCATGAACACAACACATCTAATACTATCTATTTAATGAAACTGATAATATATTGTAACAAATTAATAAATTAACTTGTCTTAAACAAATTTATTTCCAACAATATTTCAATAATCACAAACTAATTTATTAATTACAACACTTAGCAACTAACGCTTAATTTATTTCCACTATTTGAATTCCTTGTTTAGCCGCTCGATTCACTTTCTGAACAGCCCTCTTGGGTCGAGGAGACGTGCTTATATCGGTAACGGTCCTTTCTAGAATTCTGTAGTCGGTTCGGTACTAGAATTTCACCGGCGATTCCCGACTGCATTCTTTCGCATTTTTTCCATGATTCGGCCGGCGTAGTGGTCAGGGGCGGCTTCATATTCGATACAATATTTTCTCACTCATTTAGAGGTCTTATTTGCCATCTGTCTGCGAAAAATATTTGGTTTACTTTTCAAAACTATCTCCAAACAATATTTCAAATAAAAAACTCCTTTTATATATGAATGTAATATATTTGCTTCTGAAAATAATCATTATTCACTTGTCACTAAAGAACACAAAATTGAAATACTAGAAATAAAACAGATTCAGAGCGCCAGAGTATTTCCGAGCAATGCTGAAAAATTCAAAACTATCCAAAACCTTCCATGAGGTTGTTTCAAAAGTTTTGTCCGTTTTTATGAGTCTACTTTGAACTGTAATATCTCAGTGAATATTTATTCAATTTTATCGAAATAATCGTCATTTGAATCAGTGCACTTTTGCCAGCATTGTTGTCAGTATTGCTGACAGCATGAAAAGTGCGTGATCGAGATTCGATGAAGTCGACGAAGGGCGTTTTCGCCTGGTTCTAATTGGCGAAAGTTCCACCGGTGAGAAGGTTATGGAAGTGCTTGAAACCAAAATAATTGGACAGCGAGAGATCTGGGGAGCATGGTGTCTGAGGGATAATTTCGACGCCCAATTGGTTCAATTTTGGGACGGTGGTTTCTTAAACGGACGGGCGTTGTCGTGGACGGGATGTTCGGTTCTTCTGCCATCCCACACTTCGTTTGTGATGGGTCAGTCTCCGCCAGGGCCCCCAAATCTTCGACCTGGATAACTGCAGTTCGACCAATTCGGGGCTCATCTTCAAGGATAAAATATACGAAACGAAATTTCGCAAACCAACATGGAACAGTGCATTCATTAACACTATCATTATCAAATGCCTTGTTGATTTTTCGGGCTGTTTCGGTAGCGCTTTGGCTCAATTTGAAATCCAAGAGAAAAATTGGCCAAAAATCGCCTAACGACTCATGTAGTAATAAATTGAAAAGAGGCAAAAAACTTAAAATTTGAAAAAATGAGCAGCTTCAATGTATAGAGTGCAAAATTCTCTATCGATCAGTATATAACGGGTGATTTTTTATGAAGTATAGGATTTTATTTTCAATACAACACAAAAAAATTGAAAAAATTGATGACATTTTTATTGCAATCGATAGAACGATCATTATAATTTAATGTTTGAAATGATTTCATGCAAATATTGTCCGCGGCTCCGCTTTAGATGACCCATGCGCAAGGTCCAATTTCAGCACACTCTCTCTAACATATCGACCGGTATTTCAGGTATAAATGCTTCAATATTGGCTTCCAGAGCGTCAGTCGTTGCTGGTTTATCCCTGTATACATGAGCCTTAACATGACCCCACAAGAAATAATTCAAAGACGTTAAATCACACGATCTAGGCGGACAACTGACGGACCCCAAACATGAGATAAGGTGTTCACCAAAGGCGGCTCTTAATTGGGCCATTGTTTCGCGTGCCGTGTAGCATGTGGCACCGTCTTGTTGAAACCACATGTCAGGCATGAGCAATTCTTTCATTTTGGGCAACAAAAAGTCGTCAATCATCACACGGTAGCGCTCGCCGTTCACAGTAACGTTCCGACCATTATCGTCTTTGAGGAAGTACGGCCCGATGATGCCACCGACCCCTAATCCACACTAAACAGTGACTTTATCGGAATGCATCGGTAGCTCTTGCAATGCTTGTGGCTGGTCTTCACTCCAGATGCGGCAGTTTTGCTTGTTAACGTATCCATTCAACCAGAAATGAGCCTCGCCGCTGAACACAATTTTTCGATAAAAATGTGGATCTTCCTCCAACTTTGCCAGCGCCCATTCACCAAATGTTAGACGTTGTGGGAGTTCGTGTGGCTTCAATTCTTGCACCAGCCAATTCTTATAGAGTTTTACACCCAAATCCTTTCGCAAAATTTTCCACGTAGTGGAGTAACAGAGGCCAATTTCTGCGAACGGCGGCGAATCGACATTTCACGGTCATCACGAACGCTGGCGGATACAGCCGCAATATTTTCTTCGGTCCTCACTCTACGTATGCGTGTTGGTGGCTTAATGCCCCATAATGTAAACTGGGTTCGAAATTTAGTCACAAGCTTCCGAATAGCTCCCTCAGTAGGCCGACGAAACTGCCCATAAATTGGAAGAAGTGCACGATGCACTTTCTTCACCGAGCATGAATTTTGATAATAAAATTCAATAATTTGCAAGCGTTGTTCATTCGTAAGTCGATTTATGGTTAAATTATAGACCAAACTGAACAAGTTTGACAACGACACAAGACACGATTCACGCGTGATCTGTCAAAAACAGTGTTGCCAAAAAGATACCAGCAAAAAATCACTCATTACAACGACACGGTAGAACAAATATTTATTGAGATAAACATCTACAAAAACACATAGAAATGGATAAAACTTTTGAAACATCATACATTGACGAATCCATAATTTTTAATTAACCTATTCAGCATTGATTTCAACTCGATTGTTGAGAGAGGTCAACGGTTTTTCGAGAAAGAAGGCAGTAAATTGTAGATGGAAACACTTTTCATTCTACACACTATTTATTGATTTCATTTACTCATTGGACGTTATTATTCGGTAATGTTAATTTGAATGGTAAAATATGTAAAAAAAGTTACACAGAATTATTCTTCATTCGATAAAGTTGAGTTTTTAGCTGATTCGCGTGGTTTCACCAAGTTTATATAAATGACACTGAAATCACATGAATAAACGCAAGCTTTGAAGATAAACATAAAGTATATAAAAGAGATTAACACATAGTTTTCATATTAGTTCGATGTTCTAACTAATGAAAGGTAGAGTAAGGCAGGGTAATATATGAAAGAAACCAAATAGGATAATACAGACATAGGCAGTTTACAACTCCTAATGTTTTCCTTGGTAAAACCAAGGGAATATAACCTTTTTTATTTATAATTGAATACAACTGGCCGATATCTGATGAAAATCAATATTAATAAAATAATTAATACAGTTCATTGTATGATTTTCACTATAAGGGGTTTTACAAAAACCGCGACACGTGTTTCGCTATACAATAGCTTCCTCAAGCAGAAACTGAGAGTTACTTCTAAATTACAACCACTTTATACTCTAACCGAACCTATTATCTACTCGTCTACCTAAATAAATTTTCCGAAAGTATACCTGTAAATATACCTAACTATTTTTACCTGCAAATGAATAGATTCCATAATGGCGAATTATTCAATTCAGTTTGATCGTTCATAAGATGTTGAGAGTTTTTGAATTTGTTTATTTCCATACTCTCCAACAGGTTAAGATTCAAACCTTTCTTCTGGAAATGGAGGGGCTTGTATGCATGGTTGAACTCAAGTCCCTCTGAGATTAAATGAGTGGTCTATGTGAAATTTATTTTTCCTATCTGGAAACTATATTTGTGTTCCTTTATGCGAGCTTTGAATGCTCTTCCAGTTTGCCCTATAAGTTTACCCAATTCGAAGAGAAGAGGATAAAAGTTATAGAACCTTAACCTACTTAGGCCAACCCACTACAAATATTTCAGATTTTCCGCACAGCAAAGGTGTAAATATTGCTTTCAAAACCAACAACAACTTAGGCATGCATATTAAGAATAACAAAGATAAAAGTTCAGTTTCAGAAAAATCAGGAGTGTATAAATTATCGTGTGAGTCATGTCCGATGTTTTATATAGGGCAAACTGGAAGAGTGTTCAAAGCCCGCATCAAGGAACACAAATATAGTTTCCAGAATAGAAAAATAAATTCCACATATGCCACTCATTTAATCTCAGAGGGACATGAGTTCAACCATGCATACAAGCCCCTCCGTTTCCTGAAGAAAAGTTTGAAACTAAACCTGTTGTAGAGTATGGAAATAAACAAATTCAAAAACTTTCAACATTTTATGAACGATCAAACTGAATTGAATAATTCGCCATTATTGAATCTGTTCATTTGCAGGTAAAAATAATTATGTATATTTACTGGTATACTTTCGGAAAATGTATTGATATAGTTAATGAATTCATACCTAACCTTTTCAGGTAGATTAATTATTCAGGCAGACGAGTAAGTAATAGGTTAAAGTATAAAATGGTTGTAATTTAGAAGTTACTCTCAGTTCATGCTTGAGGAAGCTATTGTATAGCGAAACACGTGTCGCGGTTTTTGTAAAACCCTTTATAGTGAAAATCATACAAAAAACTGTATTAATCAGTATTTTATTTATATTCCCTTGGCTTTACTATCCCAATACTACTGAATTTCATCTTTCCATTCCATCTTACCATTCCATAATATGTTCTTTTTAAAACACATCAACCATATATTTAATTTGACTGTATTTCATATATGTTATTGTAATTGCACTTGCATGTTTTATTATGAAAGAATGATTAAAGATTATTCAATTTCATTCAATGTCAAGATTATAATAACCACCCTGTATAGCATTATTAAGGTGGATGGGTAAGTTGATCATTCATTGTTGAAAAAATTTGCTTTCAAATTAGAATTAATTTTTCAATGTTCTCCATTGAAGGGCAGAGTTACAGTTTGACGATTATACCGAAACATTTAATTCGACAAAAACTTTCGTTTATTATCAAATTCAGGATTACGAAAATTAAAAACGTACGGGCTTACAAGAACTTTGATCACAGCATTTGATAAGTGATAGACTTGAAAGACGATTCATTCAATTTTTGCTGAAACTTACCAAATTCATATTGCTGAAAGAGACACATCTGCTCTTGTCACAGTGATAATTCGTGAAAAGTATCAATACAACTAGATGATTCAATTACAGTCATAGGATTTTCGTTGAACTGAAAAGGAAATATTTCCTATTCAGTTCGACGTTCATATTTTCTATTCGATAATGCAGAAGTAGACAGCCAGACATTTCTTCTCAAACATATTCACTTTTCAATTACGTTAAGCACAATTCTCAATTTTTTTTCTCGATTCTCTCGTATTTACAGATAAGAGACGGTTCTCCCACCGGAAAAATTTTACTAAATGCTTGCGGATACAGAATCCCCGATCCAATATTTTCTTTCACCAATCAACTATTTGTACACTCATTTGCTAAAGACGGAACTAGGTTCATGATGAAATTCGACTTCGTGTATACCAGTACCGACAATGGCAGAGGATGTGGAGGTGAGATGTACAACAACAAAGGAAAAGTGTACAGTCCTCTGTATCCGAATGCGTTCAGAAACGACACAGAGTGTACCTGGGTGATAAAAGTACCTGTTGGCTTGCAGACAGCATTGAAATTTACAAGTGAGTAATTCAATAAATCAAATCAAACATACTTTATTGCCTGAAGATAATAGAAGAGAACACCAATTTATGGATAAGAGCCATAATTTCCAGAACAATGAGAAATGAGGAATGTTTTTCAAATTTTGGTCCTTAAAATTGTTTCTCAAAATAAATTTCCAAACAAGTTGTCTTTTCTAAAACCGGCAGGGTATGACGTCAGAAGTACCGACTATCCTCAAGATTTGAATTTGAAGAATTGATCAATGGATGAGAACATGTGAGATAGAAAACTAACCAAACTCTGTCCAACCACACAACCAAGCAACTAGCTAAACTCTGTCCATCCATGATGAGTTGTAACAAATTAAAGAATTAAATGTTTTAAACAAATTTATTCCCAACAAGATTTCACTAATCATAAACTAATTCATTTACAACACTTAGCAACTAACCCTTAATTTATTTCCACTATTTGAATTTCTTGTTTGGCCGCTCGATTCACTTTCTGAACTGCCCTCTTGGGTCGGGAAGGCGTGCTTATATCGGTAACGGCCCTTTCTAGAAATCTGTAGTCGGTTCGGTGCTAGAGTTTTACCGGCGATTTCCGACTGCATTCATTCGCGGTGATGCCATGTATTTATTTGCTGAGTCGGCCGGCATATCGATCAGGGGCGGCTTCAGATTCATTACACAATTAAAGAATTTTTTTTAGACGGAGTGTTGGGACACAAATTAGCAGTTTCTTCAGCCGTATCAGTACTTGACATTTTAAAAATTTTAAACTTCAAAATAACGTATATGTACACACCACCGCCGTTAAAACGTACCTGCCTCTCCGACACTGTAACAATTAATTCCGCCAGCCGATTGCAGTTAAGACTGATTGGCCAGCGCGAGGAGGTTTGTTTATTTTACCCAATAGATGCAAATGTACGTGGTGATCATGCTTTGTTTGTTGGATGGATATAGTAACTGATCACTCCGGCATTGTAACATTGAATGGGCTCATTCAGGCTAATTTAGTTCTTTATTGAAAATTATATACTTATTATAAAAGTATCCCACAAAATTTTCCGGTTCTTATGTCAATTAACAACTGAGCATGAGCAATTGAAAATGTGAGATCGCCCGAGGTACATCGTGACATCACACCAGGCAAACGAGCTTCGAGTGGTGGCAACCGGGCCTGTAGTTGGAGATTATGAATCGCTGCTATCAATTAAATTCAATTTTCTTCAAAGTAATGTTTGTTTCAATTCTGGGTAACTGGCATTTTTGAGACAAAAGTTCTATAATGAATAAAGAGTACCTTGGGATTCCAAGACATAACTTCGGATTTTTCTCTATGACGTAAATAGATCTTCGCTCAATATTGTTTTTCGAATTCCAGTTTTCAACTAATATTCTAGACAAAGTAGAATCTGATGATGTATCAACAGAAGTCATGTCTGATGTACTCAAATTCTCACTGTCCTCGGGGGAACTTAGTAGTAATTTTTTCCAGTACTTTCTGTATTTTCAATTTCTTTAGAACGATTTCTTTTTCGGTGGTATATACTATTTACGGTCTGTTTAGCTTTTGATCTTCGAAAAACCTGTTTATTAACTTGAATTCCTACATCAAAGGTCTTTTCCTGAGTACCTACCTGCTTCATCAGACATGATTTGATTTTCAGCGATATCTTCGTTACAAGTGTTTAACAAAATTTGTTTTTCCTTTTTGTGAACAAACGGTGGAGCTTTAGATGTATGGGCCGTCGGTCTATCAATCTGGCAATCAAATATATGCGGAATTACGCCTGGTTTCAATATAATTTTTCTCACTTTCATAGTTTTGATATACATGTAATTTTCTAAGTCTGTTTCAACCTAAAATTCAAAGTAGTGCTCAGAGTGAACTATAATTTTTTTATTAATCATTATCATTCATACTTACCTCCGCATAGCGCGCTGCCATAACTTTCGTAACAGTGAAATAAAAATTTTGTCTGGTGCAGTTAACGAAAATGTTTGTATTTAGGAACGATGCAATACTTGTAACATTATTCATATTCACGCAGTTGACACACATTTTTTGCAGATGTACTATTTGAAACATAAACTTTCAAATATGAAATAAAAAAATTTGTTAAATGAGCCTATTCCTTCAACCGACTACATCTAAATATGATTGGTCTGCAAAAGGAGGCTTGTTTATTTTGCCCAATAGATGCAAATGTGCGTGGTGATCATGCTTTGAGTAAAATAAATAAGCTTCCTTACGCTGGCCAATCAGATTTTTCTGCAATCGGCTGGCGGAATTCATTGCTACAGTGTCAGTGATCAGTTACGTTTTAACTCCCGTGGTGTGTACATCTACGGTATTTTGAAGTTTAAAATTTTTAAAGTGTCAAGTACTAATACGGCTGAAGAAACTGATGATTTGTGACCCTACACTCCACCAAAAAAAAATCCTATACCCAGCCGCATATTTTTAAAAGGGTTATCACGTGCACTATGCATGATAATATTTTGGAGCACTCTGTTGTTTGGTTGGACAGAGTATAGATACAATGTCAGTTCGATTCATCCACTATCGACCATTCAGTCCATACAGGGAATATTTCTTTGCCTGTGCTGTTGAGAACCTAAACTATAATCTACCACTTCCATCAGCATTCTGAAGACTTAGTAAACCTGGCAAAGTTGTTCAGAGTTAGGGCAAGTCTAACAAACTGGTTTACAGCATTGCCAAATATTTTTCATATTTCTCTACCGTGTTAGCAATTTGAAAAAAAGGGCAAATAGTCATATATTTATTGTCCAATGAAAAAATATCAAAACTAGCTATTTGATATAAACTTCAATTCAAAAATGTCAATAAATTGGTTAACCCAATTTCAATTTTATTCCATAGATGAAAACTGACTCAACAAACTGACATAATTTCAAAAACTACACCTCACGACTTGATCTCCACAATGTTTGTAGAGATCAAATCGTGAGATGTAATTTTTGAAATTACTATGAATCTTCATCAAGTAACGGCCGAATCAATCAGAAAAAAAAACTGACATGTCACAATAACTTTGAGGAAGAACTATACAAAATCGTCAGTTTTAGACATTGTGACATACTAACAAATTCAATTAGATTGTAATAAAGTATTAATCTCGTAATTTGGAGTTGAAGAAAGAGTCCTATATTCGAGTTTGAAGTCGAAATTTTGAGATTAAAGTGGAAATTTCAACTTCAATCTCGTAATTTGAAGTTAAAAAGTCCTATATTCGAGTTTTGAAGTCGATTAGATTCTAATAAAGTATTAATCAGGTAATTTGGAGTTGAAAAGTCCTATATTCCAGTTTGAAGTCGGAATTTTGAGATTAAAGTGGGAATTTCGAGTTTAAGGTCGCAAGGTCGTAAGGATTGAACTCGAAATTTTGACTTTAATCTTTCAATTTGGAGTTAAAAAGTCCTATATTCGAGTTTGAAGTCGGAATTTCGAGATAAAAATGGAAATTTCGTCTTTAATCTCATAGTTTGAAGTTAAAAAGTCCTATATTCGAGTTTGAAGTCGAAGTTTCGAAATTGAATTCGAAATTTCGAGATTAAACTCGAAATTTCGAGATTCAAAGTCGAAATTTCAAAATTACGAGATTGAACTCAAAATTTTGACTTCAATCTCGTAATTTGGAGTTAATTTCACGTTTAAAAGTCGAAATTTCGAGACTAAAGTCGAAATTTCTTCGAGTTTAAAGTGGTTATTTTGAAATTATCAGATTGAAATCGAAATCATACAGGAATTAGAGGAAGGGTGTGTATGATGTTCTCAATATTATTTTTATTAACTTGGTTTTTTATTGGAAAACAATGTGAAATGTGATAACAATTAGAAAATAAGTATGGATGGAATCACAATACATTAATGTCACCAATTTTATTTCAGTTTTCGACATACAAGGACAATGTGAACAAACATCTGTAAAAGTGAAGACCCACACTAGTTCTGGCACTACCACTACTGCAGTACTCTGCCAAGATGTAAGTAGATAACCAACTTTAGTAATTATGATGCACTGTTTGGAACCTTTGGTGTAGTAATGAATATTACTGGAGTTTTTTCCCAACACCAAATCGTTATTTTCAACACCTCGACACGTGTTTCGATCACCAAGTGATCATCTTCAAAGAGGAAGATTAAAACTAGAAACTAATGAGAAGCTAACCCTATTTATGCTATATAGGTATCCCATACAGGTAAACCATCCACGCGTACCACCCATACAGGTATACCAACATAAATTAATTTTACAATTTTACCTTATCTATTATTTTATAATATATGTTTATATAAAACAATTTTCAGCTGTATAAAAATTAAGGAATAGTTTCTAGTTTTAATCTTCCTCTTTGAAGATGATCACTTGGTGATCGAAACACGTGTCGAGGTGTTAAAAATAACGATTTGGTGTTGGGAAAAAACTCAACTCAACTTTAGTAATGAAAATTTCTCATGAATTACCGTTTTGAAATATCTCTGTTAGGGTATAGCTTTTGATGAAAGAAACAACTTCAATAATAATCAAAATAAAATAATAAATCATCATTCCATTTCGCAGAGACATGACATTACACCCGAAATGGCCTTTGAAATTTATATCCGTCTTCCCAAGTACTGAAACATTATTTTCAAGTACAAAATCTTTGATTTCATTGAAGATGAGAGTTTTCCACTTTCTCTCACTATTCTATTTTTCCTTTTTTGTTTACCTGATTTTTATTTTTCCTATGCAATTTAGCAAATAGATATTTTTGTTGCAACAGAAAATTGGAAGTATAAATAGAAATCGGAAATTCCAGAGGAATAAATGAACAAAGTAAACAAATCAAAAATATTTATTCACTTTGTTGTTTTTGAAAGCTAAATCTAGATGTTCTGGATTAGGTCGCAGGAAAAATATAAAATTTTATTTGATATTTCAACTTTGATTTTTGTGAACGCTTCAATAATTATACCAATCAATCAAGTGTTATCCTGATCCTTTACATTTTTACACATTCCACTTTAACATTTTTTTCTCTCCGACTTCATTCCTAAAAAACGCAAAAAAATTGAAAGAATGCAAAGAAAATTACAGAGAATCCAACAGTAGAGACGGACAAGTCCATCATCACACAAATCATCCACCTTCCTCCCTAATTTTTTTCTATTTCCTACCTAAGTAACAAACAGATCAATAAAATACAGATAGAAAGCTCTTCCTATCATCTAATAGAACAATTCGTTAAGGCCAATCTCAACTTACCTACACAGTAACTTAATGGACTGACACCTATCAGAAAACAACTACTCCTCTGGTTAATACCACAAAGGGCGTTGGATTATATCCGACAGCTTTCAGTGCAGGATTCTTCACGACAAACATGTTGTGTATCGATCGCTTCAGCTTTGTTCAAAAAATGTTACTCTGTTGATGATAGACACTACCTCGCACTGACGAGTGGCCAAACAGCCCAAAAACGGTCTGCAAGTGTGTCAATAATTGAAAATCGATTCCGGCAGTTGTATTGCCAACACCGTATGCAGGAATAACTTCAATGAAGAATCCTGCACTGACACCTGTCGGATATAATCCAACGCCCTTCGTGGTATCAGCCAGGATAGTAGTTGTTTTCTGATAGGTGTCAAGTTGAGACTGGCCTGAACAAATTGTTCTTTCAGATGATTTGATTTCTTTTTATGTTTGATTTGCCACTTCTCCAATGACTACTAGGACTAGTATCCATATGAGTTAATGGTCCGTAACGTAACACCGTACATGTTCAGCTCGTTGCGAGATGACACGGTTCACTTCCGGAAGTATTTTAAATGTTGCTTGTATCGTATCAATTATAGGTATATGAGAAAATAAAAAATGCAATTAAAATGTAATTTTATTGTTTCAGTATAAAGTAGGAACGGTTTATCGATCAGAGTCTTCCATTGAAATAACATATACTTCTTCCATACATAACGGTGGATCCGGATGGGTGGCACAGTTCCAAGCAGTGAGAAAGGGTAAACTTTTTTATAGTTATCTGGTTTGAAGATGAAATATTTCAATGCTCTATATCAAATATATCTCTATATCAAATATATTATTTGATTCCATATTTTTACAAAGTTTCTAAAGTACTAAATATTGTCCAAACATTGGGAATCTGCTAACGTTTGAAATACTCTCCGAGAAAATTGAGATCTCCTAATTTGTGAATTATTCTTTTCTTTGTTCAATCAGTACCAGTTTTATTGAATTTTTATTGCATGTGGCCTAAAAGATAATTCGAATTCTTACACGCGACTCAATGTCATACAATAGGATTTTATTTGGAACACCTGTAGATATTTTTTCTGTGGGTTACTCTGTATTTGTCATTAGTGTCAGTTATCGTATGTAAATGATGTTTTAGTGCCCGTTTTTGAGTTTTGTTTGGTGTTTTGCTTCGCGTTTCCACTAAATCGATTTTATCGTCCATATCAAAATGTAGGTATTTTGTTTGCATCACATGTGTTTATGTGTAGGTATTTGTCATTAGGATCAGTTGTCATATGCATTTGCTGTTTATATTGTTTTTCATTGTATTCATTTTCCATTCCATATTCTTAATATCTATTTTTTTGTATTGTATTTGTTGAGGTAACGGTGTGAACCAGTAACATGACAACCGACACCGATGACAAAAGTTAGAGAAGCCATCTCATGTAATATGATATGATATATTATTCAATTTAACAAAAACAATCCAGAGTAATAAAATCAGAAATTGTTCCATTATTGAGCGAAGCAAATTATAGTTCAACTTTCATAAAAGAAAGGGTTATTTTGCCATATTGATGCAAAACACATTTTTCTCAGTGTCATAAAAAAAAATTCCAGTTCTCCAAATAGCATTGAATGGTTTTTAGTAATCTATATTCATCTTTGAACTAAGTATTACTCATAAATATTATGATCTACTGATTTGTCCGGCATGAAATATTAATTTATTTTTTTAATTATTTTCAGAAGTTACTCAAATATCATAGATCTGTGATTGGGTGAGATATTCGTCACTTGTTAAACTGCAATAACATATGTAATATTTATTACAAGTTCAATAAAAATTTGTTGAAATATGATTTTTAATGTAAAATATAGTAAGTACAACCGTACTCATATGGATTAAGCATCTGGTAAAAGTCTGCCGGAAAACAACTACTTTTCCGGCTAATACATCGATGGATGTTCGATGTTTTATATATCTGACAGATATTTGTGCAAGTTTCCTCAGCGATAAAATCACAGACCAGTTTCGAAATGCATGTATTTTATTCGAATTTACTTACCACTCCCCAATTTATCCATTCTAATGAGATTCCCGCATTGATTGACTGCAATACCCGACTGAAAAATTATATATATATATATATATATATATGTATGGGATACCTATATAGCATAAATAGGGTTAGGTTGGCATTAGTTTCTAGTTTTAATCTTCCTCTTTGAAGATGATCACTTGGTGATCGAAACACGTGTCGAGGTGTTAAAAATAACGATTTGGTGTTGGGAAAAAACTCCAGTAATATTCATTACTACACCAAAGGTTCCAAACAGTGCATCATAA